CCGACGTTGGTTCATTTCTTGAAATCTACTATTTCTTGGGCAATTCCTAGCCAAATGTCTGCCCCCACAAGTGTAGCATCCCGAGTCGCTGGGCCTACGTTGATTACTGACCATTTCTTGTAGTCTTTTCACCTCCTGCTGTAGGCTATCTATCTGGCTCTGTTCCTGCACCGAACACATTTTTGTTTTTGTTGTGCTGTCTCTAGCACTGAGGTATTCGTCCAGAATGTTTCTGGCCTCATCTGTGCTAACTGGGCGCTGGGCTGCAATGATACCCGCGAGGTGAGGATCTTGTAGCCCCTTGAGAAAATAGCGCAGTGCAACTGTTGCTTTAGTTGCTTGGTCAGCTGACGGGAAAGCCATGGCCGTCAGTCGTTTCACATCGGACGTATATTCAGCGGTTGTTTCCCTTGCTGACATCTTTCTATTTTCTAACTGGGTCAGATGTGTAGCGGTGCCCACCCTGGTGTCAAATCTAGCGCTCAGTGCTGCGACAAACGTTTCAAGCGTTGCTCGGTCAACTTGAGTGAGTTCAAGATATGCAAAGTTGGCCGCACTCCCCTCCAAACAAGCTGGTAGATGCAGTAGCTGTCTATCTTCATTCCAGCTGTTAATGCGAGATATTGCTTGAAATTTGTTCCAAAACACTTGAAATGGCGCTGACCCGTCGTATTGTGGTAACGCCTGGTTCATACTTAATGGTCGCTCATCTTGTCTAGCGATTCTGAGTTCTTTAATCGTTTCTTGCAAGTTTCTTATTTGAGCCTGTAGTTCAATCTCTGCCATGTTTGTCCTCTGTATTAACTGGCCTGCTGTCAGTCTCTCTGGTTGCGTGTTAAAGATCGTTTCTTTCGCTGCCACCAAATGTAACGTTTTTACTGCTCTCAAAATATGCTGTTCTATTGTAATATTCTTGCTTCTATCAAACGTAACGTTCTTCTTCTCTTCTATTTCTCACTCTCAGTCACAGTTACAGACGATCAAGAATGAAGAATAAGCCGTCTTCTGCAAATCTTTATTTGACTATCTTTCTTGAGCGGGAATTGTCTGTGTAGCGCGCATCTAACAAGACTATAGCGCCAATACGTGTGCTGCATAAATTACTGCTAGGACCGTCGTTTCTCCATCCCCTCTAAGGCTAACGCACCGGCTTATATACCCCACCCGCGAGCGTCTCGGATGACACCTTGCTCTTGGCACGAATTCTAACGCTTACCTGTGAAAATTTCTCCCGCTTTTGTGCTAACCGACCCCAAATAACCCTATATAAAAACTTAACGCGATCTCCTAAAATTCTAATAAGCTTATCTCTGAAACCACAGACAATTCCCTTTACAATGATACAAATTACAATAAACATCAATAAGTTGTTCTTAAACAATAATACTTCAAACATGCAATTATTATAAAAACATAATCAAATACCCTAATTAAAGTAGATTTCAATAATATCGGCTTGCTCCTAACTAACACTAAGATATTCTAATTAAAGATCAAGCTTGGCCTAATAGTTCTTCCAATTTTCATGTTATAATAACAACTATTTATTAAGATATGAATTTTTCTTCTTGCCCCACTAAGCACAATTGACTGATTTCTAACAAATTCACTACAGAATATTAAGTTACTTCCTATTTTAATGTACTACCTATTAAATTGTCCATCCCGAATCGAAATATTCAACTTCATGGTGGATATTACAAAGAAACTAAAAGAACTAAATGTAAAACTGCAAGGAAAGGAAAACCTAACCTATGCCTTGCTTGAAACAGTTGATTGTTTCGGAAAAAAAAACTTTTTTGTTGAAGTCACAGAGAGCGATACATTACTTAATGGAGGCGAGCGAGTTGACGAGATTCCGTCCCCAATGTTGTTGACATGGAATAAAAACGTGCTTTTTAGATTTAGACCGTAAAAAAAAATAAAAAATAAAAACTTAAGCCTAAAATTAATTTTGAAATTTTATATTTTTAGAATAAATTTTATAAAAGTTGCAAATCCAGAGAACTTGAAAATAATTTGTTGCGTTTAAGGCTACATTTCTATTTATTTTCATCAAGCCTAAGTTATAACCGGATGTTTCACTTTCGTAAGACAAATATTGATTGGCTGTACAGTAACTTAGTGATCGATAACTATTTGTTTACAAAACTTTGCAGATCAAGTTTTTAAATAACAATGCAAATTTAAAACCCCATGACCTAGTTTTTTATTTTTAGCTTACAATGTGTACAATAAAATCAATGGCGGCCTATCCAATAGCAGGATGCCATTGTTTATGTCGCCATTACACGTGAAAACCAAATTGTTTTTGCTTTTTTTTTAATTTTTATTTAGTTACCGAAAATATTATAAACATCAAATACATCCAATCTTTAGTAAAGTCCGAAAAAAACCAGATAGACAGGATTTTATAACCATATTAATTGTAACTACGCTGTGCATGATTTTTAAATGAATTTATACACCTCTCAAATACCTTTGAGACTTTTCTCGCTGGTGTCCATTTTGATAAATTTGAAAAAAAAATATCATGATGAAACCAATGCTACTTTTAACAATGAATTACTTAGGCATTACAATAAACAAAATGAAGGATGGATTCCTGAGTGATTTGAGTAATTCGAAACAAATGTAAGTACTTTGACGTACATAGTAAATCGTTTTAACACAAAAACAAACATTTCACGGAACTCAGGAGAAAGTTAGAAGATTTGGAGGTCCAGAAAAACATGCACGTTTCGCTGCACAACTGGACAGCTCTAACATAAATGCCTCGAGTTTAGGCACTATTATGTGACGCATGGAATATTCTCCCAAGATACTACAATGAGGTAAAGAAGTTAGCATTTTGAGTGCTGACGATCTTCGGGTCACTATATTTATGCGAGCAGGCGTTTTCTTGCATGAATAAAATAAAAAGTAAAGAAGCCAACCAGTGTTTCTTCCGGGCATTTCTTGGGAGGGGCTACACCCCCCCCCCCCGAAGAGTCTACCCCTCCCCGGACGAAATGGACTTTATATAGAAAATATATACTTTTAACAGTGTCCGCCCCCTCGGAAATTTTAGTCCGTCCCCCGCGAAAATGTTAAGTGCTCCCCCCCCCCTCCTTTGGAGAAAAAAGTCTGGAAGAAACACTGAAGCTAACAAATAAAAAAATCTTAAGGCGTGCTTGAAACTGAAAACAAGATATGAGCCAGGTTTAAACAAACTTTCAAAAAGCTTGCAAGGTCAAACTATAATTGTAAATATTATTCAATAATTATTGTTATATAATTTGATTACTGATTTTATTATTCTAGCAGAGCTGGTTAAAATACTTAAATATGTTTTTTGCTAATCATGTGTATGTTTTTATATAAATAAATATTATTTCATATTAAAAGCTATTTATTTTAAATTATATATATAGGCCTATATATATATGTATATATATATATATATATATATATATATATATATATATATATATATATATATATATATATTCCTCATAAAATATCATAATATTGAAATAAAAATGGCGGCTCTTTAAAAACTGGGAAATTTTATAAATTGCGACTTTTGGCTCTTCCGTCTCAAAAGGTTGCCGACCCCTGTATTAGATACACTACTGTTTAAATAATCCTAATACATAACAGCCCATGTGAGCACTTCTCTCTTCCTCTCATCACTTTCCCCGTTGCATAATTGAGAATGTGCATCTACCTCTGAATATGCCCTTATTTGTTTTTTCCTTCTTTAAATAAATTTAAGTTAGACATTTAATACATCCAAGTGATCCAACATATTATTTTCAACAAAAGTGCGTATCATTAAGTTCTCTATATATTACTGAAGATACTGCTCTCATAGCCTCGGGACATATCGCGGACAGAGAGAGAGAGAAGTGAGCACATGAGCTTTTATACATTAGGGTAGTGTTGCTAGTTGTGAGCCTCGAGTTGTTTCCTTGCTCTTAAATCAATGATTTAATCAATTTAATGTGCGTTAAATTCAGTTTTACTCGTTGGAAACTCCTTTTTGGATACATTCATTGTGGCCATGCGTTTTTTCTTAAAGTTTATCTTACTATTAGTATCGCTGGCTGCAGCTGTTCAATTTATTTTTTGCAAATCTGGTGTGCTGGGTTTGTTAGTTAAACAATATTTTTCTTGTTGATTGCTACGTAGTTACTACATGGTGTTTTTTTTTTTTTTTTTTTGCAAAGCCTGGGTTCAAAGATACTAGATTTTACAAGAACTGGACTAGATTTTAGATGCTGGTCACCTAAGGACTTTGTAGAACTTAGTGTCTGGACATTCTTAAACCACGTGTCTATATGTAGGCCTAAATGCCAATCTTTTTTTCCATTCCATTTTTACTCATCTTTTTTCCTTTCACATCAAATCAAATTAGTAACTGGGTGTTTTGTTTAGTTAATATGGTATGTAAAGTGTAGTTTAGAATAGTTTTAAATAAAGATTGGTTCAACTTTTTCTAGGCCATCTGGTTGTTGGCACCTGGCCATCTGGTTGTTGGCACCTGGCCATCTGGTTGTTGGCACCTGGCCACCTGGTTGTTGGCACCTGGCCACCTGATTGTTGGCACCTGGCCCTCTGATTGTTGGCACCTGGCCCTCTGGTTGTTGGCACCTGGCCACCTGGTTGTTGGCACCTGGCCACCTGGTTGTTGGCACCTGGCCACCTGGTTGTTGGCACCTGGCCACCTGGTTGTTGGCACCTGGCCACCTGGTTGTTGGCACCTGGCCACCTGGTTGTTGGCACCTGGCCACCTGGTTGTTGGCACCTGGCCACCTGGTTGTTGGCACCTGACCACCTGGTTGTTGGCACCTGGCCACCTGGTTGTTGGCACCTGGCCACCTGGTTGTTGGCACCTGGCCACCTGGTTGTTGGCACCTGGCCACCTGGTTGTTGGCACCTGGCCACCTGGTTGTTGGCACTTGACTATTCAAATGATTTACAGATACAAAAAATTACAGATACCATTAAAGTTTAAAAAAGAGAAAAAGAACATTTTATTTCTGTGCATTAATTATTAATCTTTACATTCTGATAGTCTATAAATAAAAAACTGGTAACAGCATCAATAAATAAAGACATAACACATGACACAAGGTTAGACCGCACAATTCAATCATTAGGTCAGCCAGTCATTAGCTCAGCCAGTCATTAGGTCAGCCAGTCATTAGGTCAGCCAGTCATTAGGTCAGCCAGTCATTAGGTCAGCCAGTCATTAGGTCAGCCAGTCATTGGGTCAGCCAGTCATTAGGTCAGCCAGTCATTAGGTCATCAAGACACCATCAACTGTGAGGGCTTGTAAACATTTAGTCCTGAGTATAAATCTGGGATTCATCATGTTTGGGTGAGATACAAGACAACAAGCCGTCAACTGTTGTGCTAACACAACCACCTATCTACTGGCTGCCTAGCTACATGCAGCCAAAGGTCAAGTGACCATCACCTTTGAATAACCACATGAATGTCAACTCACCAATGGAAGTGACAGAACATTTACTTAATGACACAGCCATCATAGATAATCAACAAAAAAAACAAATGCATGGATGTTTTGAAATAGTTACATAATGTTTTCAGCTCATCAGCTGTAGTGGGGCCCACGTGTAGTGGGGCCCAGGTGTAGGTGTAGTGGGGCCCAGGTGTAGGTGTAGTGGGGCCCAGGTGTAGTGGGGCCCAGGTGTAGTGGGGCCCAGGTGTAGGTGTAGTGGGGCCAGGTGTAGGTGTAGTGGGGCCCAGTGGGGCCCAGGTGTAGGTGTAGTGGGGCCCAGGTGTAGTGGGGCCCAGGTGTAGGTGTAGTGGGGCCCAGGTGTAGGTGTAGTGGGGCCCAGGTGTAGGTGTAGTGGGGCCAGGTGTAGGTGTAGTGGGGCCCAGTGGGGCCCAGGTGTAGGTGTAGTGGGGCCCAGGTGTAGTGGGGCCCAGGTGTAGGTGTAGTGGGGCCCAGGTGTAGGTGTAGTGGGGCCCAGGTGTAGTGGGGCCCAGGTGTAGGTGTAGTGGGGCCCAGGTGTAGGTGTAGTGGGGCCCAGGTGTAGTGGGGCCCAGGTGTAGGTGTAGTGGGGCCCAGGTGTAGGTGTAGTGGGGCTAGGTAGTTAAATAATACATCAGCCATGTTGGGCATATACTCGCTGTCACACTAAAATACATCAGCCATGTTGGGCAGATACTCGCTGTCACACTACAAAACATCAGCCATGTTGGGCAGATACCGCCTGTCACACTAAAATACATCAGCCATGTTGGGCAGATACTCGCTGTCACACTAAAATACATCAGCCATGTTGGGCAGATACTCGCTGTCATACCGTCTGTCACTTAGCACATACTGGTATAGACCAGGCTTCATCTTGTCCGCTGTTGCCATGACGATACGGAAATCTCCTTCCAGCTGTAGACCCAGGTCCTGCCTCATTCGCTTGGTGCTAGGTCTGTTAGTGGCGCCAGTTGGGTGCCTGGTGGAGCAGTCAATAGAGGTTAGTGGCACAGTGGACAGTAAAAGTAGCACTGGTGGAGCAGTCAATAGAGGTTAGTGGCACAGTGGACAGTAAAAGTAGCACTGGTGGAGCAGTCAATAGAGGTTAGTAGCACACAGGACAGTAACAGTAGCACTGGTGGAGCAGTCAATAGAGGTTAGTGGCACACAGGACAGTAACAGTAGCACTGGTGGAGCAGTCACTAGGTTAGTGGCACAGAGGACAGTAACAGTAGCACTGGTGGAGCAGTCAATAGAGGTTAGTGGCACAGAGGACAGTAACAGTAGCACTGGTGGAGCAGTCAATAGAGGTTAGTGGCACACAGGACAGTAACAGTAGCACTGGTGGAGCAGTCAATAGAGGTTAGTGGCACAGAGGACAGTAACAGTAGCACTGGTGGAGCAGTCAATAGAGGTTAGTGGCACACAGGACAGTAACAGTAGCACTGGTGGAGCAGTCAATAGAGGTTAGTGGCACACAGGACAGTAACAGTAGCACTGGTGGAGCAGTCACTAGGTTAGTGGCACAGAGGACAGTAACAGTAGCACTGGTGGAGCAGTCAATAGAGGTTAGTGGCACACAGGACAGTAACAGTAGCACTGGTGGAGCAGTCACTAGGTTAGTGGCACAGAGGACAGTAACAGTAGCACTGGTGGAGCAGTCAATAGAGGTTAGTGGCACAGAAGACAGTAACAGTAGCACTGGTGGAGCAGTCAATAGAGGTTAGTGGCACACAGGACAGTAACAGTAGCACTGGTGGAGCAGTCAATAGAGGTTAGTGGCACAGAGGACAGTAACAGTAGCACTGGTGGAGCAGTCAATAGAGGTTAGTGGCACAGAGGTTAGTGGCACAGAGGACAGTAACAGTAGCACTGGTGGAGCAGTCAATAGAGGTTAGTGGCATAGAGGACAGTAACAGTAGCACTGGTGGAGCAGTCAATAGAGGTTAGTGGCACACAGGACAGTAACAGTAGCACTGGTGGAGCAGTCAATAGAGGTTAGTGGCACAGAAGACAGTAACAGTAGCACTGGTGGAGCAGTCAATAGAGGTTAGTGGCACAGAAGACAGTAACAGTAGCACTGGTGGAGCAGTCAATAGAGGTTAGTGGCACACAGGACAGTAACAGTAGCACTGGTGGAGCAGTCAATAGAGGTTAGTGGCACAGAAGACAGTAACAGTAGCACTGGTGGAGCAGTCAATAGAGGTTAGTGGCACACAGGACAGTAACAGTAGCACTGGTGGAGCAGTCAATAGAGGTTAGTGGCACACAGGACAGTAACAGTAGCACTGGTGGAGCAGTCAATAGAGGTTAGTGGCACAGAAGACAGTAACAGTAGCACTGGTGGAGCAGTCAATAGAGGTTAGTGGCACAGAGGACAGTAACAGTAGCACTGGTGGAGCAGTCACTAGGTTAGTGGCACACAGGACAGTAACAGTAGCACTGGTGGAGCAGTCAATAGAGGTTAGTGGCACAGAGGACAGTAACAGTAGCACTGGTGGAGCAGTCAATAGAGGTTAGTGGCACACAGGACAGTAACAGTAGCACTGGTGGAGCAGTCAATAGAGGTTAGTGGCACACAGGACAGTAACAGTAGCACTGGTGGAGCAGTCAATAGAGGTTAGTGGCACAGAAGACAGTAACAGTAGCACTGGTGGAGCAGTCAATAGAGGTTAGTGGCACAGAGGACAGTAACAGTAGCACTGGTGGAGCAGTCACTAGGTTAGTGGCACACAGGACAGTAACAGTAGCACTGGTGGAGCAGTCAATAGAGGTTAGTGGCACAGAGGACAGTAACAGTAGCACTGGTGGAGCAGTCAATAGAGGTTAGTGGCACACAGGACAGTAACAGTAGCACTGGTGGAGCAGTCAATAGAGGTTAGTGGTACAGAGGACAGTAACAGTAGCACTGGTGGAGCAGTCAATAGAGGTTAGTGGCACACAGGACAGTAACAGTAGCACTGGTGGAGCAGTCAATAGAGGTTAGTGGCACAGAGGACAGTAACAGTAGCACTGGTGGAGCAGTCAATAGAGGTTAGTGGCACACAGGAGAGTAACAGTAGCACTGGTGGAGCAGTCAATAGAGGTTAGTGGCACAGAGGTTAGTGGCACAGAGGACAGTAACAGTAGCACTGGTGGAGCAGTCAATAGAGGTTAGTGGCACAGAGGACAGTAACAGTAGCACTGGTGGAGCAGTCAATAGAGGTTAGTGGCACAGAAGACAGTAACAGTAGCACTGGTGGAGCAGTCAATAGAGGTTAGTGGCACACAGGACAGTAACAGTAGCACTGGTGGAGCAGTCACTAGGTTAGTGGCACAGAGGACAGTAACAGTAGCACTGGTGGAGCAGTCAATAGAGGTTAGTGGCACAGAAGACAGTAACAGTAGCACTGGTGGAGCAGTCAATAGAGGTTAGTGGCACACAGGACAGTAACAGTAGCACTGGTGGAGCAGTCAATAGAGGTTAGTGGCACAGAGGTTAGTGGCATAGAGGACAGTAACAGTAGCACTGGTGGAGCATTCAATAGAGGTTAGTGGCACAGAGGACAGTAACAGTAGCACTGGTGGAGCAGTCAATAGAGGTTAGTGGCACAGAAGACAGTAACAGTAGCACTGGTGGAGCAGTCAATAGAGGTTAGTGGCACAGTGGACAGTAACAGTAGCACTGGTGGAGCAGTCAATAGAGGTTAGTGGCACAGTGGACAGTAACAGTAGCACTGGTGGAGCAGTCAATAGAGGTTAGTGGCACACAGGACAGTAACAGTAGCACTGGTGGAGCAGTCAATAGAGGTTAGTGGCACAGAGGTTAGTGGCATAGAGGACAGTAACAGTAGCACTGGTGGAGCAGTCACTAGGTTAGTGGCACAGAGGTTAGTGGCATAGAGGACAGTAACAGTAGCACTGGTGGAGCAGTCACTAGAGGTTAGTGGTGCCACTTAGGTGCCTGGTGGAGCAGTCAATAGAGGTTAGTGGCACAGTGGACAGTAACAGTAGCACTGGTGGAGCAGTCAATAGAGGTTAGTGGCACAGTGGACAGTAACAGTAGCACTGGTGGAGCAGTCAATAGAGGTTAGTGGCACACAGGACAGTAACAGTAGCACTGGTGGAGCAGTCAATAGAGGTTAGTGGCACAGAAGACAGTAACAGTAGCACTGGTGGAGCAGTCAATAGAGGTTAGTGGCACAGAGGACAGTAACAGTAGCACTGGTGGAGCAGTCAATAGAGGTTAGTGGCACACAGGACAGTAACAGTAGCACTGGTGGAGCAGTCAATAGAGGTTAGTGGCACACAAGACAGTAACAGTAGCACTGGTGGAGCAGTCACTAGGTTAGTGGCACAGAGGTTAGTGGCACAGTGGACAGTAACAGTAGCACTGGTGGAGCAGTCAATAGAGGTTAGTGGCACACAAGACAGTAACAGTAGCACTGGTGGAGCAGTCACTAGGTTAGTGGCACAGAGGTTAGTGGCACAGTGGACAGTAACAGTAGCACTGGTGGAGCAGTCAATAGAGGTTAGTGGCACACAAGACAGTAACAGTAGCACTGGTGGAGCAGTCACTAGGTTAGTGGCACAGAGGTTAGTGGCACAGAGGACAGTAACAGTAGCACTGGTGGAGCAGTCAATAGAGGTTAGTGGCACACAGGACAGTAACAGTAGCACTTGTAAAAACAAATAACATAGGCCTACTTACCATTCTCCCTCTAAATACTTGATGAGGGAGAAGGCCCTACGCTGCAGTGTGTGCATAAAGTGGCCTATATAGGCCTCCCTGACACCATTTTCTGGGGGGAGCTTGTGGATCTGTTCTCAGGTCAAGGAAAAATTGGGACATTTTAGTCACACACATATGACTGGTCACATGACATTTTAGTCACACACATACGACTGGTCACATGACATTTTAGTCACACACATATGACTGGTCACATGACATTTTAGTCACACACATACGACTGGTCACATGACATTTTAGTCACACACATACGACTGGTCACATGACATTTTAGTCACACACATACGACTGGTTACATGACATTTTAGTCACACATATGACTGGTCACATGACATTTTAGTCACACACATACGACTGGTCACATGACATTTTAATCACATCCAATTGGTCACATGACATTTTTATCACATCCAATCGGTCACATGACATTTTTGTCACATCCAAAAATACACATGCAAAAGGTCTTAGTTTGGGTTATTTAAGGCATATTAACCATGGCACTGTTCTTAACTAGTGTTAAAAATAGTCAATAAAGAAAATGAACTTGCTGTAACCTCTGTTTTTCTCTAATATCCTGACTATCAAAGATACTGCCCAGCCAAAACATGAGAATTCAAGACTTAACTCATTTGCAAAACCATTCCCCAGGCCCTAAGTTAAGGGAGGTAACCTTTAACATAGTTTCTTTGAAATAGTTTTAAAAATAAGTTCATTGTTCGTGTAATTAAAAAGGCACAAAATATACTTTTAAATAAAGAAATACTATCTCAAAGAAAATATATAATTTAATACGTTTTTCTAATAGTATTTATCTTTTAGAGTGAATTTAGTGATGCAACTAGTGGTCAGAGTGCGCCATGGAATGCCTCCGTATTATTTCTAATATTTTAAAAATTATCATTTTACAATAGGTTCTGATGTTAAGTTTAATAGCTTAAATATCTAACGTATAAAATCTATTTAACTATCTGATTCTTTAAAACAAAATGAAAACTACGATAATGCACAAGTAACAGTTTACCCGAAAACAAGTGTAAAAATTTGTCCGAAACTCACCTTAGTTATCTTGGTATAAAATAGTTTTAAAAAATTATAAAAACTTTTTTTTTGTAAAAACATCTGAATTATTGTAATTTTGTAAGTGTAAATTGTGTAGAAGTGATTTTTGCATGAAAATTAAACAATATGTAAAAGGTAGTAATAGTGCTCACATCATGTTGCATTAGTAGCTAAAGAGTTAAACATGAAATTACAAATTCCCTCCTATTTCTCACTTTCCTGCCTATGGTCATGTACAGATGGGAGGTTAGATGTGGTAAAAAAAAAACTCACCTCGTCAATTAGATCTCGTACAAGACTCTCCTGAACAGTAACTGCTGGGAAGGCTCCCTCAGGCCTGTAGATATTAGATCAAAGTAGATGGCCAAGCCTTATCACAAGCCATACATCTGTGACACAAGTCCTACATCCCCTACCCTTTATGATAGCCCCCTTGTCCATGGTCCTACCCTTTATGATAGCCCCCCTTGTCCATGGTCCTACCCTTTATGATAGCCCCCTTGTCCATGGTCCTACCCTTTATGATAGCCCTCCTGTCCCTGGTCCTACCCTTTATGATAGCCCTCCTGTCTCTGGTCCTACCCTTTATGATAGCCCTCCTGTCCCTACCCTTTATGATAGCCCTCCTGTCTCTGGTCCTACCCTTTATGATAGCCCTCCTGGTCCTACCCTTTATGATAGCCCTCCTGTCCCTGGTCCTACCCTTTATGATAGCCCTCGTGTCCCTACCCTTTATGATAGCCCTCCTGTCCCTACCCTTTATGATAGCCCTCCTGTCCCTGGTCCTACCCTTTATGATAGCCCTCCTGTCCCTACCCTTTATGATAGCCCTCCTGTCCCTGGTCCTACCCTTTATGATAGCCCCCTTGTCCCTACCCTTTATGATAGCCCTCCTGTCCCTACCCTTTATGATAGCCCTCCTGTCCCTGGTCCTACCCTTTATGATAGCCCCCTTGTCCCTGGTCCTACCCTTTATGATAGCCCTCCTGTCTCTGGTCCTACCCTTTATGATAGCCCTCCTGGTCCTACCCTTTATGATAGCCCTCCTGTCCCTGGTCCTACCCTTTATGATAGCCCTCGTGTCCCTACCCTTTATGATAGCCCTCCTGTCCCTACCCTTTATGATAGCCCTCCTGTCCCTGGTCCTACCCTTTATGATAGCCCTCCTGTCCCTACCCTTTATGATAGCCCTCCTGTCCCTGGTCCTACCCTTTATGATAGCCCTCCTGTCCCGGGTCCTACCCTTTATGATAGCCCTCCTGTCCCTACCCTTTATGATAGCCCTCCTGTCCCTACCCTTTATGATAGCCCTCCTGTCCCTACCCTTTATGATAGCCCTCCTGTCCCTGTCCCTACCCTTTATGCTAGCCCTCCTGTCCCTACCCTTTATGATAGCCCTCCTGTCCCTACCCTTTATGCTAGCCCTCCTGTCCCTACCCTTTATGCTAGCCCTCCTGTCCCTACCCTTTATGATAGCCCTCCTGTCCCTACCCTTTATGATAGCCCTCCTGTCCCTACCCTTTATGATAGCCCTCCTGTCCCTACCCTTTATGCTAGCCCTCCTGTCCCTACCCTTTATGATAGCCCTCCTGTCCCTACCCTTTATGATAGCCCTCCTGTCCCTACCCTTTATGATAGCCCTCCTGTCCCTACCCTTTATGATAGCCCTCCTGTCCCTACCCTTTATGCTAGCCCTCCTGTCCCTACCCTTTATGATAGCCCTCCTGTCCCTACCCTTTATGATAGCCCTCCTGTCCCTGTCCCTACCCTTTATGATAGCCCTCCTGTCCCTGTCCCTACCCTTTATGATAGCCCTCCTGTCCCTGTCCCTACCCTTTATGATAGCCCTCCTGTCCCTACCCTTTATGATAGCCCTCCTGTCCCTGTCCCTACCCTTTATGATAGCCCTCCTGTCCCTACCCTTTATGATAGCCCTCCTGTCCCTGTCCCTACCCTTTATGATAGCCCTCCTGTCCCTACCCTTTATGATAGCCCTCCTGTCCCTGTCCCTACCCTTTATGATAGCCCTCCTGTCCCTGTCCCTACCCTTTATGATAGCCCTCCTGTCCCTGTCCCTACCCTTTATGATAGCCCTCCTGTCCCTACCCTTTATGATAGCCCTCCTGTCCCTGTCCCTACCCTTTATGATAGCCCTCCTGTCCCTACCCTTTATGATAGCCCTCCTGTCCCTGGTCCTACCCTTTATGATAGCCCTCCTGTCCCTACCCTTTATGCTAGCCCTCCTGTCCCTACCCTTTATGATAGCCCTCCTGTCCCGGGTCCTACCCTTTATGATAGCCCTCCTGTCCCTACCCTTTATGATAGCCCTCCTGTCCCTACCCTTTATGATAGCCCTCCTGTCCCTACCCTTTATGATAGCCCTCCTGTCCCTGTCCCTACCCTTTATGCTAGCCCTCCTGTCCCTACCCTTTATGCTAGCCCTCCTGTCCCTACCCTTTATGCTAGCCCTCCTGTCCCTACCCTTTATGCTAGCCCTCCTGTCCCTACCCTTTATGCTAGCCCTCCTGTCCCTACCCTTTATGATAGCCCTCCTGTCCCTGGTCCTACCCTTTATGATAGCCCTCCTGTCCCTACCCTTTATGCTAGCCCTCCTGTCCCTACCCTTTATGATAGCCCTCCTGTCCCTGGTCCTACCCTTTATGATAGCCCTCCTGTCCCTACCCTTTATGATAGCCCTCCTGTCCCTACCCTTTATGCTAGCCCTCCTGTCCCTACCCTTTATGATAGCCCTCCTGTCCCTGGTCCTACCCTTTATGATAGCCCTCCTGTCCCTGGTCCTACCCTTTATGCTAGCCCTCCTGTCCCTACCCTTTATGATAGCCCTCCTGTCCCTGGTCCTACCCTTTATGCTAGCCCTCCTGTCCCTACCCTTTATGATAGCCCTCCTGTCCCTACCCTTTATGATAGCCCTCCTGGTCCTACCCTTTATGATAGCCCTCCTGTCCCTGGTCCTACCCTTTATGCTAGCCCTCCTGTCCCTACCCTTTATGATAGCCCTCCTGGTCCTACCCTTTATGATAGCCCTCCTGTCCCTACCCTTTATGATAGCCCTCCTGTCCCTGGTCCTACCCTTTATGATAGCCCTCCTGTCCCTACCCTTTATGATAGCCCTCCTGTCCCTACCCTTTATGATAGCCCTCCTGTCCCTACCCTTTATGATAGCCCTCCTGGTCCTACCCTTTATGATAGCCCTCCTGTCCCTACCCTTTATGATAGCCCTCCTGTCCCTGGTACAGCTCCTTTAGCTCCTCAGTGAGAGCCTGGTGGCTGAGCTTTCTGTGGTCCACGGCCAGGCTGGACTGGGTGACAGTCTGGAGGTCAACGTCCACCAGGGTGCTGGGGTACCTGCTACACAGCACATCCCTGCTACAGATGCTGGACGACCCATCAGAACTCTTAACACAGACATAAAAAATGGCTGGACATTTTAGGAACTTTGAACTAGAAAACAATAAATCTTTTCCATTGGAACATGGTGTTCTACTGCCCCACAGCATCCCCACTCCCTCCCCACAAACACAAGCATCCCCACTCCCTCCCCACAAACACAAGCATCCCCATTCCCTCCCCACAAGCATCCCCACTCCCTCCCCACAAGCACCCCCACTCCCTCCCCACAAACACAAGCACCCCCACTCCCTCCCCACAAACACAAGCATCCCCACTCCCTCCCCACAAACACAAGCATCCCCACTCCCTCCCCACAAACACAAGCATCCCCACTCCCTCCCCACAAACACAAGCACCCCCACTCCCTCCCCACAAGCACCCCCACTCCCTCCCCACAAACACAAGCACCCCCACTCCCTCCCCACAAACACAAGCATCCCCACTCCCTCCCCACAAACACAAGCATCCCCACTCCCTCCCCACAAAAACAAGCATCCCCACTCCCTCCCCACAAACACAAGCATCCCCACTCCCTCCCCACAAACACAAGCATCCCCACTCCCTCCCCACAAACACAAGCATCCCCACTCCCTCCCCACAAACACAAGCATCCCCACTCCCTCCCCACAAACACAAGCACCCCCACTCCCTCCCCACAAACACAAGCATCTCCACTCCCTCCCCACAAGCACCCCCACTCCCTCCCCACAAACACAAGCACCCCCACTCCCTCCCCACAAACACAAGCATCCCCACTCCCTCCCCACAAACACAAGCATCCCCACTCCCTCCCCACAAACACAAGCATCCCCACTCCCTCCCCACAAACACAAGCATCCTAACTCCCTCCCCACAAACACAAGCACCCCCACTCCCTCCCCACAAGCATCCCCACTCCTTCCTTCCCCACAAACACAAGCACCCCCGCTACCTCCCAAACAAGCCCTCTTCTCACACCCACTTATCATCTGATCCAATTAGTGCCCAATGCACATGGGGCAGATGAAGTAGAGTTCATCTGTTTCAACTACCTAACAAGGAAGAAATGTAGTCCGCACTATGCCATCTTTGTTTCCCAAACAATTAGTCAGGTACATTTGAGAACTGGATGAACTCGAGCCCAGGACCCAAACCTTTCTAGCCTTTCTGGTTATGTGCTCTCCCATCAACCACGCACATCTACCATAACACATTTCTATATAGCTACAAGTTGTTTGTATGACAGGTGGAAATAGCATGCTGACCTTTATACAACCCTGCACGCAGAGATCCTGAAAGTAAGGCCAGTTCCTCCCGCTGAGGGCGGCCCTAGAGCACAGCCGCTCACTGTCCCAACAAAACAAGCCCAGTGTGTAGACCAGCACATTCACTTTGTCAGCACGCACACCAATCACAACGGTGCGTCCGTAGGTCATCAGGTGCGAGGACACAACTTTACGCAGGAACTCCAGCTCCTGGGCATGGTTGGGGTGGAAGGCTGTGTAGCTCAGCTGTCAAATACATCCGGTTATACACGTCAGGTTATACGTGTCAGGTTATATGTGTCAGGTTATACACGTCAGGTTATACGCGTCAGGTTATACGTGTCAGGTTATACGTGTCAGGTTATACGTGTCAGGTTATACGTGTCAGGTTATACGTGTCAGGTTATACGCGTCAGGTTATACGTGTCAGGTTATACGCGTCAGGTTATACATGCCAGGTTATACATGTCAGGTTATACATGCCAGGTTATACATGTCAGTACAGCTGTCAAATACATGAGTGAATCGACTACCTCAATCTTTGGGGGTAGCCCGACCTCCTGTAGAGATGACAGCATGTCCATACATGACCAGAGCCAGCACGAGAGGTCAGCCAGTCCAGAGGTGCCAAAATCTTTCTGCAAGTTTTACAAAATCTTACAGTTAGTATCACAAAATCTTACAGCTAGTATCACAAAATCTTACAGCTAGTATCACAAAATCTTACAGCTAGTATTACAAAATCTTACAGCTAGTATTACAAAATCTTACAGCTAGTATTACAAAATCTTACAGCTAGTATCACAAAATCTTACAGCTAGTATCACAAAATCTTACAGCTAGTATCACAAAATCTTACAGCTAGTATTACAAAATCTTACAGCTAGTATTACAAAATCTTACAGCTAGTATAACAAAATATTACAGCTAGTATAACAAAATCTTACAGCTAGTATAACAAAATCTTACAGCTAGTATAACAAAATCTTACAGCTAGTATAAGAAAATCTTACAGCTAGTATAACAAAATCTTACAGCTAGTATAACAAAATCTTACAGCTAGTATAACAAAATCTTACAGCTAGTATAACAAAATCTTACAGCTAGTATAACAAAATCTTACAGCTAGTATAACAAAATCTTACAGCTAGTATAACAAAATCTTACAGCTAGTATAACAAAATCTTACAGCTAGTATAACAAAATCTTACAGCTAGTATAACAAAATCTTACAGCTAGTATAACAAAATCTTACAGCTAGTATAACAAAATCTTACAGCTAGTATAAGAAAATCTTACAGCTAGTATTACAAAATCTTACAGCTAGTATAAAAAAATCTTACAGCTAGTATAACAAAATCTTACAGCTAGTATAACAAAATCTTACAGCTAATTTAATAAAAATCTTTCGGCCAAGTTGCAATTTCATAAAATTTCATGAAAAACTCTTTAAAAATTATAATTGTGCAAAAATTAAAAAATTACAACCTCGACCTAAATGTAAACCCAGTGATGTTTTAAATGTTGTGATCTTACCTTGGTAGACAAAACTCTTAACTTGACAACAATTCTGTTGAACCATGCATGAATGAGATCTACCTGAGTAAAGGTACACAAGGTTCTAAGTCACTAGACGTTTCAACAAAAGCTTGGTACAGGTAAGCTTGGGTAGAGAGAAAGACTAGAGGTAAGCTTGGGTAGAGAGAAAGACTACAGGTAAGCTTGGGTAGAGAGAAAGACTACAGGTAAGCTTGGGTAGAGAGAAAGACTACAGGTGAGCTTGGGTAGAGAGAAATACTACAGGTGAGCTTGGGTAGAGAGAAAGACTACAGGTGAGCTTGGGTAGAGAGAAAGACTACAGGTAAGCTTGGGTAGAGAGAAAGACTACAGGTAAGCTTGGGTAGAGAGAAAGACTACAGGTAAGCTTGGGTAGAGAGAAAGACTACAGGTGAGCTTGGGTAGAGAGAAAGACTACAGGTGAGCTTGGGTAGAGAGAAAGACTAGAGGTAAGCTTGGGTAGAGAGAAAGACTACAGGTAAGTACCAACCTGATGCAGGTAGAGTGTCAGCTCAGAGTTTGGTATAACCAAAGCTAGCGACTGCAAGGATAAGCCAGTGCTGCTCTGGGCAGAGAAAATAAAGGCTGGGATAATCACACCCAACCCTGGAATGTCACAGAATTTAAAGTCTACCTGCAAAATATGGTTTGTCACAAAATTAAAATGTTACTGCATAATTTATAAGTTAGACTACCTGACTAGAATGTTAGACTACCTGAGTAGAATGTTAGACTACCTGACTAGAATGTTAGACTACCTGACTAGAATGTTAGACTACCTGACTAGAATGTTAGACTACCTGACTAGAATGTTAGACTACCTGACTAGAATGTTAGACTACCTGACTAGAATGTTAGACTACCTGACTAGAATGTTAGACTACCTGACTAGAATGTTAGACTACCTGACTAGAATGTTAGACTACCTGACTAGAATGTTAGACTACCTGACTAGAATGTTAGACTACCTGACTAGAATGTTAGACTACCTGACTAGAATGTTAGACTACCTGACTAGAATGTTATACTACCTGACTAGATTGTAGATCTCTGTTAATCTCGCCTGAAAGGACCTGGCGAGTCACACAGCGCAGAATGTTTGTGTGTGGCTGCGGCCGACCTGTCACATACCAGACGTGCTCCAGCCGTGGGCCCAGGATGTTGTCCCACTGGCACAGCATGAGGGCGTCAATAAAGCTCTGCTCTATGTTCCCTATGGACGACACAGAGAAGCTGGAACTGGGACTTAGAGGCGTGGATGCTGAGTCATCAAAGTCCAATCTATACGATGTTTCAGAGTTAATGGCCATGACACCTGCCTCTGATGACAAGACCTGTGAAGCTATCAGACTCTCTAGCTGTTTTCCTTTCACCACTGCCATTATCATTGGTTTTTTTACTCTTTACCCTCCAATCATTTGCTCAGATTTGATAAATAGATTTAATCTCTGTCTGTAGCCGAATAGACTCCACTAAAAAATTGGCAATAACCAAGTCAATGAAAATAAAACTGAAGGCCATCATGGAGAGAGATGTCATGAGGTCGTGTTGAGTTTGTGAGGTGTTAGTCATGAGCATAATGACAAGCACAAACGACAGCACGATCACAGAGAAGAATGCATAGTTTACACAGAGAATGACCAGGGCCTCTCTGTTGATAAATTGCATATTTGTGCCACCTCGAAGAAAAATGGCTTCATTCCACAACATGAGTGGGCTCAACTGGCCAATTGAGCTACTTAAAAGTCCTTAGATCATGCCACTGACTGTAAGCACTAAAAAAAGATGGAAAAAAAATTAGTATAAGATGGAATTATCAAAATAACTGAGTAAACTACCTAGTTCAATACCAATTCTACTTTTGATACTCAAACTGATTTTACTGAGCAGGAATCGTCATAAGTCTATGGGATGATGTGGTTAGATGGTACAGTGTACAAGTGCTAATCTCAGTCTCAAGTTGGAATCAAGGGCTGGAGTCCATATGATGTCCCAGAGTCCACCCAGCTGTGATGGGCACCTTCTTTAGGGAAAGTAAAGGCGGCTAGGCATAGTGCTGACCACACTACCTCTTTATATGTCAAGGTCACAGAAACAGGTGAACTCTATCTCACTTGCCCCATGAATTGTCAGGTTAGAAAGGGAAACTTTACTTTGAGTGGTGTACAATCACTTGCCCCATAGATTGTCAGGTTTAAGGTTAGAAAGGGAAACTTTACTTTTATTGGTGTACGATCACTTGCCCCATAGATTGTCAGGTGAGAAAGGGAAACTACTTTTAGTGGTGTATGATCACTTGCCCCATAACACTTTAGCAGTTAGCTGCTTAGCACCTAAATTCCTAAAACTAACGATAGATTGATTAAGTTAAGTGTAAGTCTAGTAAATTAAAGTAGGCCTATTTTACTCTCCTCTTCTTTGAGACCTTTTGACTTGTCTAATTGAATTGTGAATTAATCTACTAATGAATTTTTAAATATATTTTTTTACTTTTGTCTTTAATGATCTTTTATATAATATTATATATATTTATAGAAAATATTACAGATCTAGATCTAGATCTAGATCTACCTTGTAGGCTACACACACATTTCCAAGCAGTGGTGAGGTAGAGTGTAGAGTATGGAAGGGGAAGGATCTAAAAATCTAGTTTTATAAGTTTTAGGCTACATATTATGATATTAAATTACTGTAGGCCGGGTGTAGGCCTAGAGTAAAGTGGCGTCTGCGGACAGACGTAGCAAAAAAAATCGGAAGTGCCGATTTCCATTGAGCGCCATTCAGTAACCGCTTCACATAGAAACAAACCGAAAGTACCGTCTCACTCCGCATTCTTTCTAGTTTAATCACGTCTGATTCATTTTGTATTCATACGCATAGCATTGAATGTATTAACATTTTCAGTGGTGAGACTCTGTGCGGACAGTAAGTGCACTTTTTTTTACATTTTATTTTCTGTGCGCACACTTGCTCCTTATGCGGACAAGGCATATTTTGTTCATTTTATTTCTATTTAAATGATTGAAATAAACATGTTACATACATAAATAGTGTTGTTGATTGTTTTATATATTAATATATTGGAAAACAAAAAATATGAAGAAATATGAAATAAGTTTTAATTAAATTAAAGTGATGCCTGAAAGAAACTCAGGACCCAGTTGAGATTTTATTTCACTTTTTGCTTAGTAGACACGTTTGATGATCAAAAATATTTTTAAAACCTAAAAACATTACTAAAAACTTATAGATCTAGATTTAAACTTAAATTTAAATATAAATCTGGAGTATCAAGATTAGTTCAAAGCTCATTTTTACTTAAAGTGTAAGAAATATACTCTGATTTTTCATTAGTGTCCGCAAAAGGTTAACCCTCAAAAAAGATGCGGACACCCCAATTTTTCCTCTAAGATGGCTTAAACAACCTTAACTATGATATTTATAGCTTTCTATATATATATATAAGCTATTTATAGTTAACCCAGTTAACTAAGCTATCTTCTTCTTCTTCTTCGTTCTTAATTTTTGAATATGGTGGAGGATTCAGACAACAAGTCCAACTTCGTGGACAAACCGGACTGTGGTTTCCAGTTTGTCAGGTGTCCCATATAATTTTTCCCTGAGTGGGGTGGGCTGGGGCCAGTGTCTGACTCTTGCCTGGCCATACAGAGTACATTCCTGGAGTACGTGCTCCGTGTTTTCCGGGGCCTTGCCACAAGGGCACATTTCGCTACACCCAACCTTCAGTTTTTTGTGCATGTGTTGATTTAGTCTGTTGTGGCCTGTTCTAAGTCGAAAGATTATGTATTGTTGTTTTCGTGTTAAATTGTAATAGCCGTCGTCTTTAATGTAGTGAGGGTGTGTGACAGACTAAGCTATGATTGGTTAGATTTATTCCTCTAATCCGGGGACTAGTGCTCTTCATCCGGGTGAGGTTCCCGACATAAAACGTCATACATCGCAACTTTGAAAAATTCCAATTAATCTCCCTATTGAGTGAAATAGAAGAAATGTACTCAGATGTGTTTAAAAATGGACATGCTTTGTGTTGTTTGCATTAGTTTCCTATAAACTATAAAACATTCATACAATTATTGTTTAAGCGAAAAACAGCAAGGTGTCCGCACAGAGGCAACTGTCCGCAGACGCCACTTTACTCTAGTTATAGTACATACTATTACTATACTACTACTAGAAAATCTAGATCTAGATCTTAGTACATAGTATTTAGTAGTAGTACATACTCCATAGTTAACTATTAACTAGATTCTAGATCTAGATCTTAGATATCTGATGTTACTAGATCTAGATCTATACACATTACACATAGATCTAGATCTAGAAATATTGAATAACTAGGCTAAATTTAGAATCAACTTTACTTTGAATCTAGACTAGATCTAGATCTAGATCTATTGACTAGAGTCTGGAACTTCTCGACTTAGTTTCTTAACTCTCTAAACCTAGATCTAGATCTCTACTAGTCTAGGCTTATTCTGAAAAAAAAAAACATTGGTGATCTTGTTGTCTGACCAACTACTAATGTTAAAAATAAATAATTTTTAATATGGGATAAAATTATGTTTGATTATAATACCCTTTAAATACTTAAATCATCAGTGTTCTGTAAATATAAAATTAAAATCGAATAATCATTACTGATTATAAAGTGGAAATAGAAGTAAATAAAGTATAAGCAGTTAACCCATCTTTACATTTAATCTAGATCTAGATCTAGCTCTTAAAATACAAACTGGCAATAACTCCTCGCAGTGGTTCTTAATCTGAGTTCGATCAAACCCCAGGGGGTTCGTTGAGTCAGTCTCGGGGGTTCGGCGGAGATCAAGACACACGGTGAACGGAAAAATGTCACAGAAAAAAAAAAACACAGAAACAAAGTCACAGTTTTTTGCTAGGAAAAAAAGTCACAGAAAAAAGTCACAGTGGACAAATTTTATCGGAAAAAAGTCACAGAAATAAAGTCAGAAAAAAAGTCACAAAAATCTTTTTAGAAATATTTTTATTAATTTGATAAAAATTGTAAAATTTTGTATGTTTATTGTTGTGGGTTGTATTTTTTATAGCATAAATTATTTATAGACGTTAAAATCATTATGATTTATAACAATTGTAAGTAAAAATACTCTAAGATAATTAACACAGCAATCTCAACATTTGTTACGTAGGCCTATTTAGTTAAGGCTAGGAGCTACAGGGAAAACACTTTTTTGTTATTAGCCAAGCAAATTCACTGAAACTTCACCCATATAATGTATGCTCAATGGGATTTTTAAAAATGGTGTCCAAAAAGAAAAATGTTTTGGTTGCCATGGTTACGTCCGCCATATTGGATTTTTGTTTATCATTTTCAAAATGCTAAGGCTCAGCAACCACTAGAGGTAAACACACAGAAATGCAAGCATTTTGTAGAGTGATGTTAGCCTGAAACTTTCTATAAAGTACTTTTTAAGAAAAGGGTTTAAAAAAATTATTTTTAATTTTTAAATCCTAGACTGTTAAAAAAAGCTGAAATTTGCTCAAATTCAACATATTTCAGTCCATAAAATCTAAAGTAAGAAAAATCTTTAAAAAATGCTTTATAGAAGTTGTTTATATATGTTAGAAGAATAATCAGGCTAAGTTTCATTACAATACATGCAGAACTAACAGAGGAGTAGGGATTTAAAGAGTGAATTTTAACGTTTTGAGAAAAACGCAAAAAACTAAAGAAAAATGAAAAATTTCATTCATAACCTAACAAATACTAACAAAATTTGGTTTTAATTTATGCAGGTTTATTTAACATATAAACATGCAATGAAGTATTAAACTTGCAAGTACATTTTAAATAATAAAGTAAAAAAAATGTCGTACAAAGATAACGCGTCAAATACGTAAAGGTAAAAAACATTTTTATTTTCTTAAAATAAACTGTTTCAAAAAATGGGCTGAACCACACCTAACACTTCTATTTTGTTAAGCATATTCACATTTCATTTTGGCAACTGCTACTTTTTACTGCCATCTAGCATTTTCTTTTTCCAGATTAGTCATCCAGCAAAATGTTTCAATGGGTTTTTTTTAAATCCTTGCTACCACTATAACTATAATAATTGATTTATTCATATCTTCAGCTCTTTTTATCTCTTCCTGTTAATACTTGTGCACTAACCAAAATAAATGCTCTTTTTCTAAGTTATTGTCTGGTTTCATACTGCTTGGCTCTCTCTTGGCAAAGGTCAATTCTATAAAGGAAAGTAGAACATCAAGTTATTTCAGTGGACAAAAAAACCCACACTTTACCACAAACACATTTTGCATTGAATATTTATTGAATCCTAAACTAAGTTGCAAAGTCATTGTAAGGTATAAGCTATAAATAAATTTTACAACTGTTTTGGGTCCAGAACAAGATTTTGAAAAGCGGTTTACCGTCTTTCAGATATATGATTTTCCTTTTTGCAGTATTTAAAAGTTGCCATATTCTTTCACTGAGTTCACTTGGTCACTAGCTCTTCAATCATTTTCTCCAGATATTGTTATGTGAAACAAAATTATGTGTAGGGAAAGTTACCTTGAACCAGGACAACTTGCAGGGTTTTCAACACACACTGTAGGCCTAAATCATAGGGGAAATGAATTTATTAATAAAATATACAAATGTAAAAAGAAAAGTAATAATAAAACTATAATGATATATTGTATGAATATAAGATTAGTAGAATCACTGAATAGAATTTGATTCATTAGTTTGAGGAGATAAAAATCTTTTAAACTAGATCTAGATCTAGCTAGTATCTGAACCACTAATGAGTCTAATGACAAACAGGTCTACTAACCTAAATAAGATGTTCAAAAAAAATATGTAGGTCTACTAATTAATCTTTAAATTTAAATAGTTTAAAGGATATTGAAATACTCACTGCTTGATGTCCGTGCATCTATTCCTTGTAAACAAAATTAAGGCTGTAGTTGTCATAATCAGCTGTAGACTGTAAAACACATGAGCCTAGTTTGTTGTGTACTCTGTTATCCTTGTTAGGCATTAGGACACTTGTAACATGTTTAGGCCAACTTCACCCGGGGATTACTTAAGTTATTACCAAAATCGTTCTATCTGATAAGTCTTTTTTGGGTTCGATCACAGGGTGATAGTGTATTTCTTGCTGTGTAATAACTTACTACACACACACGTAAAACACTGCTTACTCTTCTCGTAGGCTTGTGTAGACTAAATCTAGTAGCAGTGAATCAACAAAGAATGGTGGCTGGTATAAAATCACGATACTTCTAAACAGTTTAAACATTATTAAACCGACAAAAACATTTGATACGATGAGATTTGTCTAAAAAGTTTGTAAACAGCTGATTGAATATCCACAACAAGAATGAGTGCATCACTAGGCACGCCGGAAGCGATAAACTAGCTAGCGAATCGAAAATTTTAACACTGATAATGCCGAGTCCGCCAGCCAATAGAATTTTACCTTGCTTCCGGGGTAAGGCCGAGTAGGAAAATTTGGTATATGTAGGTCAAACTCTTTAAAAAGTGTGTTTCATTTGAACATTCGAAATTAAATGGAATATTTTCATTGGTTGACAAATTTACCTTGTCGTTATAGACAAGAAAAGGAGCTTTCCGGCGATACTAAACACGCGGTACCTATTTTTAGTTATCTGTATGTTTTATAGTAGTAAACTTTGGCAATTTTCGCAGTGTTTTTGAAAAATTAGACAAAACATGCATATACATGCCTCACAAAAAAATTAATTTAAAATAAAAATAAGCATTTTCCAACAATATGTTATGTGGTTTTGTATTCAGAAATGGATATACTTTAATAATTAGGTCAAAACTGAAATTCGACATCTGACACCCAACACACATAAATCCGGTGCCGCACACAGCCTTAAATACGCGGTAGAAAAGTTAATTATAAAAGAAATTTAGGCACATTTTGCCGTAGGCTATTCCCTGGTCGGCCTCTCCTCAGTAGGCATTGTCCGAACATATTTTGTGTTGTTGACGTTATGCGTCATCGACAGCCTTTGAACCTTGTCGGCTTTCTGTTTTGATCCTAAGTTTTGTTATGTGATGAGCGTGATAAATGTGGGCAGTAAAGGTGGTTGAACTAAACATAAATATTGTTGCCATGAGTTGAGGGCAGCAAGTCAGATTAACTTACCATTTCACGGTAATTTAACATTAGTATTAGTATTTTAAAAAAAAACACGATGAAAAACGTGGACTTTGGAGCATTCTATTAAATGCTACTAATCTTAAGTTTAAAATAATTATAATCTACATACTTCATAATAAATATTTTTAGATGAATTATAAAAATTCCTATGCGTATACAGCCTACACACATTACATTACATTTAATTAATCCTAAGTTAATTTGCACTCTCTAAATATTTAATACATAAAAGTATTAACAAATATTATGCAAATATGTATTTGTGACTTTTTTTCCTGTGACTCTTTTTCCTGTGACTTTTTTTCTGTGTTTTTTTTTTTCCTGTGACTTTTTTCTGTGTTTTTTTTCCTGTGTTTTTTTTCCTGTGACACACACCCGACTCATGTAATTCGTGATCGGATTTTGTCAGTGCGGACGAAAAGGCCTAGAAGGGTTCGGTGATTGCGCATGTGAAACTGGTGGGGCTCGATACTGATCTAGAAATCTAGCGGTTATTTTCATATTTCTATGGTTTAATTTTATTTATTTATTTTTTAGCGCAATTTCAAAAAAATTCATAAGAAACGTTTTAATAACAAGCTTTTATGTAATGATGCACTAAAAAGTAGAAAATAAATTATACACTACTATTTAAATTACTATAAAGAAAAGCGTGGGTCACTTTAGTACTTTAGTACCTATTGGATACCTTTACTAATATTTGAGAAGAGACCCACGCTGGGTTTTTGTTTTCTTTTTGTACTTAAATTAAATTGTGTCTGGATTATGTCGTCTTGAAGATAAAAAAAAAAATGTCAATCTACTTTCATCGCTCTACTTCCAGAGTTTCTTCCAGGAACCCCTTCCCCGAAAAAATGTTTACCGCCCCTCCCCCCCCCCCCCCCGAACGAAATGAAATTTATATAATTTATATAGAAAATATACTTTTAACAGTGTCCCCCCCCCCCCGAAGAAAGTTTACCGCCCCCCCCCCCCGAAAATTTCAAGTGCCCCCCCCCCCCCCGGAGAAAAAAGTCTGGAAGAAACACTGTCTACTTCTACTCTCTTACTTATAACCTACGCCACCCCAATGAGCGCCTTCAGAAATTAAGCGTATAGCTGAGGTACACTTTTTTTACTTTCTCGTATATACGTAGTATAGAGAAAGTATTGTAATCGTGCAAAAAAAAAATCGAGATTTTTACAAATCTCGACGTTTTACACCTCACTGATACGGAAAAACATAATTTTGCAATCTTGTCCGTATGTCTGTGTGTCTGTGTGTGTGTCTGTGTGTGTGTGTGTGTGTGTGTGTGTGTGTAAACACGATTACTTGAGTACCGTTACAGCTAGGTTGATAAAATTTCATATATAAGTATTTTATCAAAATCGTAGATCCGTATCAACTTTTGAGCGATTTCCGATAACCGGAAGTGGTACTTTTTCTCCTTTGAATTTTTCAAAAGCCTATAAGTTGAGTACTATTTCAGATAGATAAATGAAATTTCACATGTAAGTAAAAGATCTAATTCTCTACCTTCTGTTAAATTTTGAGTAATTTCTGTTGACGGAAAGTACTAATTTACGCTATTTCCGATTTCTCAAAAACGCATCTAAATTTATAAAGTACTAATAATATTGCGCACCATTATGAACATCTTTATTCGGCGTTCGCTTGGTGTGCAATACTTTTTTCTATGAGATTCTATTTTATTTTAAAAAGTTTATGTATTTAAAATGGATTAAAAATCATAACTATATCCCGAGTTCCCATCCCCTGTTGTTTTATATAAGAATATTCGAGAAAGTTTAGGGGAGATCACTCCCGGTTTATTTAAAAAATTAGCGGCCCTTCATTTATCTAGAAGTGAAGGTAATGGGGAAAAAATGCATGACTCAAATAAACCGGTGCTACTACAGCGCTAACTTTGTAGACAAAGCTTGTCTAGTAATCGATTCCAAATGCATCCTAATGTTGGTAATGAAGGCCTGGTAGAAGACATATTTAAATATATTGCAATTTAAAAGCATGATCACCAGTGTTTCTTCCAGACTTTTTTCTCCGGGGGTGGGGGGACACTGTTAAAAGTATATATTTTCTATATATATTTTCTATATAAATTTCATTTCGTTCGGGGGAGGGGCGGTAGACTTTCTCCGCCCTCCCCCCCCCCCCCCGAAGAGATGCCTGGAAGAAACTCTGATGATCATTCACGATGCACAGATCTAGATCTAGTAGATATAATAAGAATATTTGCTAAGTGCTATCATCATAGAAGTTCGAGCTGAATAATCTGATTCATTTAGGAGCTGGCAGTGTCCAACCTTATACTTGATATTTTTAACAGCAGTCCCGGTCCCGTTTAGGTTCAATGAATCTTGTCTATTTATGTTGTGTGTGTGGGGGGGGGGGGGGGGGGAAGGGGCAGTAACGTTAATTGATATAATCAGCTGTTTATCACCGTTTGCGGCGATTCTCGGAATTTTGCAGCTGTAAAAAAATATTTTATGGAAAAGGGGGGCTAATCCAAGTGACAGTTTCCTGCTACGACAACACTCAACAATCAACATGGCAGATGCTACAATTGAGACACCGATCCCGAGTGAACTTGAAAATGCTACTTCTGTTAATGGAACGGCCAAAATACCAGCCACTCCAGAGGGAATGGCTATTGCATATGGAAGCTTGTTTCTAATGGCTGTAGTGCCCATTTTCATAGGTTCATTCCGTTCGGTGACATTCCATAAGGAACAAAAAGTACGAAAATTTCTAGATTCTAGAATTCTTTCTTAAGTCTTAAATCTTTCTTTTTATTTTCTACACTTTCTAGAATAGATCTAAATAATTCTAGATCGTTTCTAGAATTTAGATCTACTGATCTAGATTTAGATCTAGATCTAGATCTTATTTATTAAATAAAACTAATGGCCTACCATCCTAGATTTACCTCCGGTAAAATCTTAGTTTAGCGTCGTAAATTCGGCCAAAACTAGTAATGTAGGAGAGAGTGAATTAATGAATATGTCATTAAATATGAGTATATTTTCGTATATTTTGATAAAATATTATAAATAATTGAATAATAGATCACCATTTATGGTTAAATCAATTTAAATATCCTGAAATTAATTTTTATCAACCCTGTTCGAGATAGTAAATTTGCTATTAAAAACAGCAGCCATCTTAAGAAATTGTTATTTAGAGTAGCTTCCCTTTTATTTCTATTCGTATGTAAATGTATTTAAATATGATTGTCTTGTTGTATAGTCCGTATTGCAAAGCATTTTTTAAAATTCTGCTCTTTAAAAACTGAATTTCCTAACAAATAACTCTATTAATTCTAGAAGCATTGTGAGATGCAACTTGTATTCATGTATTAAATCACGTTTTTTTACTAATGTTAATTTGATCTTACTATTACTATATAGTATTATAGTTTGAGTTTTTTCTTATTGTTTGAATGTTCACTATTTTCATTTCAGGTTTTTCTTTTCATCAATTAGTGATTCTATCGTAACTTATGACATTTTTTGCTTCTCTTTACCTTAATTAAACCCCAAACTCCGTCATATTTTTGTTGTCAATGTCACAAGTCATAATGTAAAAAAATTACGCTTCACTCTGCCTTCTCTAAGATCTCTAACCATAATTTTGACAACATTAAATGTTTGTCATCATTTATATATACAGAGAGACAAAATGTATTATCCACCAGCTTCCCTCGTAAAACATCATCTAAAACAATGAGCCAGTCCACCCCTTAAGTGCGTGTTGTCATTATGGTCGATCGCAAGTCTCCACCTGCCAGACACATGTTGGTTATCCTTTGTTGTCAAATTGTCAATATCAAGTACACAAGTGAGTGATATGGGGTTGTCCATAAATGATGTCGCATATGATTTGCTACGGGAGTGAGTGAAGATTTGTGACGTCAACTCAGGCGGCTTTGCAATTTATGACGTGTCGGTCTCATGAAAGGAGGTGAACGGGGAAAAATACCTAGGTGGTTGATGGAGAACCTCTATAATGCTTTGTTCAATCAAAATAACGATAAATAAGCATTAGTATACGTATAACTTGCTTAAAACGAATCATCACAAATGTTGCAAGCCTGCTAGTTTAAGACATTCGGCAAAACGGCCGCAACACATTATCCCCGTCAAAAAGGCTTGCCACCAAATGCCTGCCGACGAATAAGCCGCGTCTAATGCGGGGCGTTAGGAATACGGCCATTAGCATGGGCCGCGTTAGTAGAGCACCAGTAGGCTATCGCGCTTTGTAAGATGACGTAAATACTTAAATTCAATTTCGCTAAACTGCGCGAAAATTTAGTAATGTTCTATCGTTTGAGGAAATTTATTTTCTTGGACTTAAATTGAAATATCATGTTGACTGTCTGGCTCTTAATTTCCGAATATCACTTTTAATGTATCAAGATTTAGAACTATAATTTACTTTAATATAAGTGTCATCTTATCGTTTATTGTGGTTTTTATAAAGCGCAGAGCAGCTACAAAATCGGGCGGCCATCCTGTTTTCACCAAGCTTCTTTTGGAGCTTAATATGGGTAGTCTAGTTCTATACGGTGTGAGCTTAATACATTTTTAAAGGGCCGAAAGTCTCAAGACAGCAAGCTTGCAGAAATAACTACGTACGTATGGACGAGGGATAGATGTGTTAGGGGCTGTTTAATGAACACCAACTTATGTAATCATATTAAACGTCGCAAAAGCGTCAAAAAGGCAGTGCTTGTTGTTGTTTTTTCTATAAAATTAGCCTAACGGTCGGCGGTACCGCTACATGACGTCACGTGCGAGCGTTAACTCGGTGACGATCTGCTAAGTGGGGGAATGAAAAAGGTGGGGTTCAAGAAATGCGACTCGGCAAGCTTTTTAGATTTCTTGACCCTTCTTAATAGTTCTTTCGTCCCCACTGAGAAAATGGATCACCAGTGTTTCTTCCAGACTTTTTTCTCCGGGGGGGGCACTTGAAATTTTCGGGGGGGGGGGGGGGCGGTAAACTTTCTTCGGACACTGTTAAAAAGTATATATTTTCTATATAAATTATATAAATTTCATTCCGTTCGGGGGGGGGGGGGGCGGTAAAAATTTTTCGGGGGGGCTTTGCCCCCGAAGAGATGCCTGGAAGAAACTCTGTGGATCACCAATGAATGACGCGTCATGCTTCTACAGCTGATTCTTTCTCCCACAACCATCCCGTTTTCACGAAAAAAAAAACCTGACCCGTCTCCAAAATCACATCGCTGAGTTCTACTCAACCTCTCCCCACCACAAATCACAATTTCTATCTGAAACAATATGTTCATATGTCTGCTCTGTAATAATGCAACGCTATCATTACTATCTTAAGAGCGACGTCATTTATGAGCGATCTAATATTGATTTGCTTACTGCAAATAAAGTGTTCAAAAGTTCGACCTCCCAACAATTGTTGTGGTCTTGGATGCACACTTTATTAAGTCTGATAAGATCTATTAGTCATTCATGTCAACTATATTTAAAAAAAAAGAAAAATTACTATACAGGGGGTCATCCATAAATGATGTCACGCTTTTTTGACGATTTTTCCCCCCCCCCCTCCCCTCCGTCACACGTCGTCACAAAAAGCCAGACCCCTCCCCTAAAATGACGTCACACCCCAGCCTACAACCCCCCTCAAAATTGCAGTTGAATTGTTTTTTAAACAGCTATATTTTTCCAAAATCTTGTCTGAACTCTGTCAAAATAGATTATTTACTCAATTGTTATTACAATGTATTAAAAACAGTTTTTGAAAACGCAAAATAACGTCTATAATTCGTTTTGTAACATTGCTTTTTTAAAATGCAATGTGTGACGTCGCACCATCTGAACCCCTCCCCCCTCCCACTCATCACACAACGTCACAAAATTACGGACCCCCTCCCCCCTACGAGTGTGACGTCATTTATGAACGACCCCCCCCCCCCCCCCCCCCCCGGCATATATTAAAACAATACAAAACAATCATATTAAACCACAAAATCAACACAAAAGACATGCGAATAGACAATTTATTGTTTTTAAAACATGGCCGCTGCTTGTATTTACTCATTGTTGTCTCGAACGGGGTAGTTTAAAGTTTATTCCAGGATATTTATGACTGGTTTGGTCTTGGATTGTGATTTGTTATTCAATTATCTGTTATATTGTGTAAAATATGACATAAATATGGCCAAATGAAAGAAATATTCATTAGTTACCTTCATCGCACATTACTAGCTACGTTGGAATTTACGACGCTAAACTAAGATTTACCTTACCTCCTACTCACTTTGTGAATTCAAATTGTAATAAAATTAAATTTAAATTGCATCCCCATCTGCCATCTATAATCTATACTGGATTCTATACTCACACCCATTCAGTACTACTCAATGAGTGAGAGTTACTAATAACTTAACAGATGACAGTCAATATTATATTTATTACTTTATACTTTATTAGTCCAACCAATCTGTCTAACCTTTGCCTTTATCATTTTTGGGTATTGGATACTACAACCAGTGTAACTGAGTGTAGTAGCATTGTATGTTACCATATGGATAAATTGTTTAAAATGTAACTTAACCAAAGAGAGCTAGATTCTATATGGTGTGAATATTCAGTACAAAAGACAAAAGCTTTTTTTTTTGTATTCCCGTATTTTCTTTTGTTTAGGCTACCTAAACTAAACAACTGTCATTTACACTTGTTTTCATCTTGTATGAGCTGAACTAATTTTTATTATTAATAATATTCCTTTTAATATTTTTTTAGCCTTTTCCCCAATTTTATTTGCTTGTATAGGCGCAGTAGGTAGACCTATATTAGCATGTCTATGTTGGCTGATGTAAATTAATGCCATAACTGTTGTTCTAGGATTCAGGTGAGAAGCCTGAAACCATGTCCCACAAGGATGCTGCAATGTTTCCTATTATAGCTAGCTGTGCTCTCTTCGGTATATATTTAGTTTTCCAGGTAGGTTTTCTTACATCTTAATAAATTTGCACAGATAGTCTATAAAGATAATGTCAATAGTAAGTTTATACACTGAACTATGTATTCTAGCTGTATGTTTAACATAGAAACATTCATTATTGATTCAAATTTGTTTAATTTCCAGATTTTTTCCAAAGAATACATTAATCTGTTGCTGACTGTATATTTTTTTATTCTTGGTGTTCTTGCTTTGACTCACATTGTGGGGTAAGTAAAAACAAATGTACCCATAATACTGTAATAATTGTATTACTATGGCCGTAAATTATTTCCCATCATAATCAGTCTTTTTTCCTGGCAAGTAGTTATTGATTATTACACAAGTCTATAGTTTTGTCTTTGTCTTTTCCACAGACCAATTTTTAGCAAATTTCTTCCATCCTCATTTCCTAACAAAGATTATCATTTAATTCTAACTCAAGGAAAAGGAGATAAAAAAGAAGGTACCATATTACTGCTATTTATATACTCAATTTATCCTGTATATGATATGTTACAAGTTGGAGCGTTTACAAAAATCTGGCTTGTTAAAAATATAGTAGTAGTCTACTTTGCTATCGCAGGCTACAATTTAACAATAGTGGAAATGAACCAGTAGTGACATGAAATCTGTATTGTTTTTTTTTAAATAATAAGTCCCACAACCTATGTAACATGTGTTTATGTTTACACACTGTGCATGAACAATTATGTATACACTTGTAATAAAGCTAACATGTTTGTATGACCATAACTGTGTATGGCTCTTGTCTTATCCATTTTACCTGCTAATAGTACAGTTCCCCTTCCAAACCTGACGATCTATCGGGCAAGTGAAGTAGAGTTCACCTGTTTCTGTGACCTATGCGTATGAAGGGATAGTGTGATCAGCACTATGCCCTGCTGCCTTTAATTTCCCTAACATGTGTTAGGTACCCATCAGAGCTAGGTGGACTCAGAGGCGGCCTACTAACTTGAACCTGGATTTGAACTCAAGAGACACGGGTTAGCAGTCTAGCTTTCTACTGCTAGGCCACTCCGCTCCTTTACCTGTTATTGGTCCAACCATTTGTTGTTTCCATCTGCTTGAGGAAAATCTCTTATTGCCTGTTTATAGTTGAGACCCAGGGTCCTTTGTTCTCCTGTCACAGGAAAATGTGTGTGGGTTCATTTTATTTACCAGAGTACACACCTTATTTCTAGATCTGATGAATTATGAATTTGACCGCAAAGATCTGGTCAGCCTTGGAATTTGTGGTGTCTTTGGTATTTGGTACCTTTGGAAAAAGGTGATTACATGGAACTATTAAAACTTTTATTAGTTGAATATTTTAATATTTGTAGTTAGATTTATAAAATACTATTATCAATGCCTCATGCACATATTGATTTCTTCAGCACTGGATTGCAAACAATCTGTTTGGCCTTGCCTTCTCAATCAATGGAGTTGAGCTGCTCTCTCTGAACCGTGTCAGCACTGGTTGCATTTTGCTTGGAGGTCTCTTCATTTATGATATTTTTTGGGTAGGTTTCTTCTTTATATTTGGCATTCTCGCTTATGTCTGTCCATCTCCCCCCCCCCCCCCCCCCCCCCACCATAAATAATGATCTCATATATTCAAAGTTTGCAAAACTATTGTTCCTTTTTTAAATGTATAAGGGATGTGACTTTTCTGATTTTTAGCAAATATCTGATTTTTCATTTAGAGCTGCAGTTTTCATACACTAATTAAATTTTCTCCTAATTATTCCGTCTTATGCAGACTATTTTTCAGAAGTTTTAAAAATGTAGAAAAAAGCGGAAATGACCTCTATGGAAACACCCGACTTGCTAATTCAACACGTTCCTATTTAAAAAGAGTTTAGCACTTGGCCTACCAAAAATTGTGTTATTGCCCCTCTATTTAAACATGCTATTCTTTTTAATTGGACGATTATGCTTGGTCTCAACATACAAGATAAAGATGAAATCTTGGTCAAGATTACCTATTTTAGCTGATTTTCAGATTTTTCAGAATCCATGAATTTTTAGTCTGAATTTTCTGCTTATATTTTTTGTTAGATCTAAATATTTTCACACTAAAAAATCAGAGAATAGTAATCTAAAATAGTGCAGTTCTTTAAATGAAAAGAACTTTTCCCTATCCTGGTTTCTATAGTGTTAATCTCACATGCACATTAGTCTATAGCCTAATTAATCTACCAGTATTTTAACTCACCCTATTTTCATAAGCCACCCTATCCACCATTTCTCTGTGCCTTCCATTTTATTTGACAACCTTGCAAAAGGTGACCTTATTGACTAATCAGCCCCTCTTTGTAGCAACTGTGGCTTATGTGAACCCACCATGATCCCAAGTACGTGTTTGATTATGTTTGATTGAGGAAAACTATAAATTATGCCATCGTCAATCCCAAATACTATGTTCTTCCAATGACAAATGCCTACTGATTTCAAAACTGAACTCTCCGTGACCCCTTGTCCGTGTTTAGTTGGTGGGAGAAAAAAATATGATACTGTCAATTGCTAATCAGTCCGGGCTATTCTAGAAGTATAAATAATAATGCGGCCTAGCTTTAATCAAAATAGTTAATTTTGGTTCAAATAATATTACAAGTAGGCATATTAATTAAAAATAAATATTTGACCCTTTCTTATTTCATTTAATCTTATCGATTTCATTTTCTATCACATGGACTAAGAACTTTAAAATTCCCTATAGATCTTGACTCTAACTTGGAGACTTAAATTTTGTACAGTGTTCATCTTTAGGAATAATAGGCATAATTTTAAAGTGATAAAAATAGTACAACTAGATCATAAGAAGTTAAGTTAGCTTATTGTTAAAATTAATGTTTTTTAAAAGATGCAATTTAGTAGTCAGGAGTTTTGTTATATTAGAAATTTTTTTCTCTTGTTTCAGGTGTTTGGAACCAATGTCATGGTAACTGTTGCTAAATCATTTGAAGCCCCTATTAAGTGTAAGTATTTACAGTAATGTTTTTTGGGCTTGAGTATTATGTTATGAGACTTAACCATTGGTTGTATATCTTCCATTTGATAGTGGTCTTTCCCCAAGATATCCTGGAGCATGGTCTGGGTGCCAGTAACTTTGCTATGCTTGGACTTGGTGACATTGTTATACCTGGTATATTCATTGCTTTATTGCTGCGGTTTGATATGAGGTGAGGATGTTAGCTCTGTACATTCCAGCTAATTCTATTCCATCTCCTGTTCCACCTCAACTCATTTCAACTCTTGTGTTTGGCAGCCTCAAGAGGAAAAGCAAAGTTTACTTCTGTGCTGGATTTGTGGCTTATTGTTTGGGTTTGGGCATCACCATTTTCATCATGCATTTCTTCAAGCATGCCCAGGTATTCTTTGACATTTCTTTTTTTATTGCAATCCACTCTAATTTATTTTTTCAGAATTTCAATGACATCATAATTAACCTTATAATCAGCAGCATAAAAGCATGGTCTATACTTTCCTGTTTCAGCCAGCACTGCTGTACCTAGTGCCCTCCTGTCTTGGTTTGCCAACAGTTGTTGCTCTGTTTAAAGGGGACATCAAAGCCATGTTCAAGTAAGTTTTTCTCCTCATCCATCCCTCTCACTTCAACACTAAAGATTGCTCTCTGTGGCTTGTTCTGTGCATAAACTATTTATATACAGACATGAAGATTGATAGAGTTCATGTGTAAAGGTATAGATTTAGTAGGCCTGCTGGGTTAGGGAAAGCAAGACCTAGTGACCCATTGGACAGAAAAAGTAGAGTTCATGCTTCCTGACCTTAGCCTATGAAAGGGAAGGGTCAGCACTATGCCCAGATGCCTCTTATTTTCCTCAACGTAAGTCAGGTACCCACCAGAGCTGGGTGAACTCAGGGACAACCTAACGTCACAAGTCCGAACCAAGATCTGAACTCAAGACCATCGGCCTAGCAGCCCAACACTCTACCATTCCACCACACCGTCCCCTGTGTTAAGGAAATATAGAGGGGAAATGTTTTGTTCTCAGACAGTGTGGGAACCCTTGTGTTGAAAGATTTCTTTACATACAATTGTAATCAGCAGCTGTTGACATCTTTGTCCAAATCATGGCTGCAAGTCTTTTTTTTTCTTAGTTATGAAGACCACTCTGAAACACCAGCTGCTCAAGAAACTGAAAAGACAAAGTAATGTTGGACAAACAGAACTGCGATGGAGGCTTGGACAAACAGAACTAGGATAGGATGGGGGCTTGGACAAACAGAACTGGGATATGATGGGGGCTTGGACAAACAGAATTGGGATAGGATGGGGGCTTGGACAAACAGAACTGGGATAGGAGGGGGGCTTGGAAAAACAGATGTGGAATAGGGGCTTGACTATTTTAACTTTTTATAGTGTTAAGTAATGAAAATAATTTTTAAGCATCAGTTTATTTTTATCCAGTCCTAGATATGTATTTATGTTTATATACATACATGTATATATATAGATATATGCACACACACAAATTGATCCCTTATAATAGTTCTGAGCAGTTTTAAGTGTAATTTTAAAATGACATTTCTAACAAATATCCTTTGTAGTATTAACACTAACTTTTGGAATTTTGGCTAGCTGATTAAAAAGTATATTTGATAATTAAAGTGGATTAAGCATTTTTATCTCCCTTCTGCTGAATTGTAAGCATTGTTTACTTTGTTGTTTCAATCTTTATGAGTAAAAAAGTTTAAATCATGACATATTTTATTGGGTTCTTTATGGATACAAATTTACATATTTATTTGTTGTGTTTTTTTTTTAGTTCAACCTGGAGGTCATTATTTCAAGTAGTGATATTTTTCTTAAACAAAATAGATAACTTTTCATTAAATTTTTATTTTTCCATCAGTGTTTTTGTCATGATCCACTCATTGAGGTATGAATTTTAAAAATGTGTATCTAAGTTGGCATCAAAGAAATTAAGTATCACATTTGAATGAGTGAAAACAACTCATGACTGTTAGATATTATAATTCGAATGAAAGTATTACCATAGCATGCATTTAATTAATGAATGGTGCAAGTCTTTGCTGTTGGTGGAACTTGTGAAAACAATCACAATATATAGTTAAAGCTCATTTATACAATTGTTTTAAAATAAGAAATTTCATATTTTTTAACAGGACTTGTTAGAGGTTGCAGATTTTTGTTGGTGTGATGTGAAAACGTAATGATGTACATGGGTCATTTATTTATTTTTAACAGCTTGGTTTGATTGTTGCATTATTGTATTTGATTTGTAAAAGCAGATTGTGTTTTTAATTCAGACATTCATATGCTACTATATCTGTAAAGTCATTTCTATTGGTTTTTCACACAATTCAGTTTCTTCATATATTGTTGATATGAGAAAGCACACTCTATAAAATACTGGTGTCTGGTTTAAATCTAATTTTCTTCAACTTTTCAAAATTGCTTTAGCTATTGATCATCTTACATTAATTTATGTCCCACATTTTTGTAGTTTGTTTCTGTTGTCTATTATTCTATAAACCTTAGGTTACAAAGTTTTATGGTATATTTTCTTTAAAACTAAAGGGTCCTTCAACACGACTACATAGGAAGGATCTGGAATGTTTCTTTTGATTTTCAGTGAGGACAAATCTAAGTGTAAGCCAGCTTTCTTACAGCTGCCTGTGTTTGGTGCTGAAGTGTAAGCTAGCTTTCTTACAGCTGCCTGTGTTTGGTGCTGAAGTGTAAGCCAGCTTTCTTACAGCTGCCTGTGTTTGGTGCTGAAGTGCAAGCCAGCTTTCTTACAGCTGCCTGTGTTTGGTGCTGAAGTGTAAGCTAGCTTTCTTACAGCTGCCTGTGTTTGGTGCTGAAGTGTAAGCCAGCTTTCTTACAGCTGCCTGTGTTTGGTGCTGAAGTGTAAGCTAGCTTTCTTACAGCTGCCTGTGTTTGGTGCTGAAGTGTAAGCCAGCTTTCTTACAGCTGCCTGTGTTTGGTGCTGAAGTGTAAGCCAGCTTTCTTACAGCTGCCTGTGTTTGGTGCTGAAGTGTAAGCCAGCTTTCTTACAGCTGCCTGTGTTTGGTGCTGAAGTGTAAGCCAGCTTTCTTACAGCTGCCTGTGTTTGGTGCTGAAGTGTAAGCCAGCTTTCTTACAGCTGCCTGTGTTTGGTGCTGAAGTGCAAGCCAGCTTTCTTACAGCTGCCTGTGTTTGGTGCTGAAGTGTAAGCCAGCTTTCTTACAGCTGCCTGTGTTTGGTGCTGAAGTGTAAGCCAGCTTTCTTACAGCTGCCTGTGTTTGGTGCTGAAGTGTAAGCCAGCTTTCTTACAGCTGCCTGTGTTTGGTGCTGAAGTGTAAGCCAGCTTTCTTACAGCTGCCTGTGTTTGGTGCTGAAGTGTAAGCCAGCTTTCTTACAGCTGCCTGTGTTTGGTGCTGAAGTGCAAGCCAGCTTTCTTACAGCTGCCTGTGTTTGGTGCTGAAGTGTAAGCCAGCTTTCTTACAGCTGCCTGTGTTTGGTGCTGAAGTGTAAGCCAGCTTTCTTACAGCTGCCTGTGTTTGGTGCTGAAGTGTAAGCCAGCTTTCTTACAGCTGCCTGTGTTTGGTGCTGAAGTGTAAGCCAGCTTTCTTACAGCTGCCTGTGTTTGGTGCTGAAGTGTAAGCCAGCTTTCTTACAGCTGCCTGTGTTTGGTGCTGAAGTGTAAGCCAGCTTTCTTACAGCTGCCTGTGTTTGGTGCTGGCTCCTGGAACCTCCAAATGTTGAACTTAGCATCTACAAGTTCTGACAAGAAGCTTAAAATAGCATTTTGGTTTAGGTACACTAAGTAGGTTTTATAAACAGGCTTAAAAATAAAGGCGTATTTGTTCAGTAAACTTAGTGATCTTTGAGTGAAAATGTTAAGACAAAAGTTTGGTCAATTTCATCCGGATTCATGTTTGGTTATACTCCAAATTAAAACATTTTTCAATATTTGTCACTGCCAATGTTAAATCAAATTAGAATAAAAATTATAATCAAAATGTAGTGCTGAATAACCTCTTTCATTTGAACTTAGTTTCTAGTGTATCAACTATTGTTGAAATCATTACATCACACCTGGGAAGAAAAAAAAATTGTTTTGTTTTAATGGAAGCTAGTCTAACAATTGTCACCTTGTACTAAAGGAGAGGTCCATCTAACAATTGTCACCTTGTACTAAAGTAGAGGTCCATCTAACAATTGTCACCTTGTACTAAAGTAGAGGTCCATCCATCTAACAATTGTCACCTTGTACTAAAGTAGAGGTCCATCCATCTAACAATTGTCACCTTGTACTAAAGTAGAGGTCCATCCATCTAACAATTGTCACCTTGTACTAAAGTAGAGGTCCATCTAACAATTGTCACCTTGTACTAAAGTAGAGGTCCATCCATCTAACAATTGTCACCTTGTACTAAAGTAGAGGTCCATCTAACAATTGTCACCTTGTACTAAAGTAGAGGTCCATCCATCTAACAATTGTCACCTTGTACTAAAGTAGAGGTCCATCTAACAATTGTCACCTTGTACTAAAGTAGAGGTCCATCCATCTAACAATTGTCACCTTGTACTAAAGTAGAGGTCCATCTAACAATTGTCACCTTGTACTAAAGTAGAGGCCCATCTAACAATTGTCACCTTGTACTAAAGTAGAGGTCCATCCATCTAACAATTGTCACCTTGTACTAAAGTAGAGGTCCACCCATCTAACAATTGTCACCTTGTACTAAAGGAGAGGTCCATCCATCTAACAATTGTCACCTTGTACTAAAGTAGAGGTCCATCCATCTAACAATTGTCACCTTGTACTAAAGTAGAGGTCCATCTAACAATTGTCACCTTGTACTAAAGGTGAGGTCCATCCATCTAACAATTGTCACCTTGTACTAAAGTAGAGGTCCATCCATCTAACAATTGTCACCTTGTACTAAAGTAGAGGTCCATCCATCTAACAATTGTCACCTTGTACTAAAGTAGAGGTCCATCCATCTAACAATTGTCACCTTGTACTAAAGTAGAGGTCCATCTAACAATTGTCACCTTGTACTAAAGTAGAGGTCCACCCATCTAACAATTGTCACCTTGTACTAAAGTAGAGGTCCATCCATCTAACAATTGTCACCTTGTACTAAAGTAGAGGTCCATCCATCTAACAATTGTCACCTTGTACTAAAGTAGAGGTCCATCTAACAATTGTCACCTTGTACTAAAGTAGAGGTCCATCCATCTAACAATTGTCACCTTGTACTAAAGTAGAGGTCCATCTAACAATTGTCACCTTGTACTAAAGTAGAGGCCCATCTAACAATTGTCACCTTGTACTAAAGTAGAGGTCCACCCATCTAACAATTGTCACCTTGTACTAAAGTAGAGGTCCATCCATCTAACAATTGTCACCTTGTACTAAAGTAGAGGTCCATCCATCTAACAATTGTCACCTTGTACTAAAGTAGAGGTCCATCCATCTAACAATTGTCACCTTGTACTAAAGTAGAGGTCCATCCATCTAACAATTGTCACCTTGTACTAAAGTAGAGGTCCATCTAACAATTGTCACCTTGTACTAAAGTAGAGGTCCATCCATCTAACAATTGTCACCTTGTACTAAAGTAGAGGTCCATCTAACAATTGTCACCTTGTACTAAAGTAGAGGTCCATCCATCTAACAATTGTCACCTTGTACTAAAGTAGAGGTCAATCCATCTAACAATTGTCACCTTGTACTAAAGTAGAGGTCCATCCATCTAACAATTGTCACCTTGTACTAAAGGTGAGGTCCATCCATCTAACAATTGTCACCTTGTACTAAAGTAGAGGTCAATCCATCTAACAATTGTCACCTTGTACTAAAGTAGAGGTCCATCCATCTAACAATTGTCACCTTGTACTAAAGTAGAGGTCCATCCATCTAACAATTGTCACCTTGTACTAAAGTAGAGGTCCATCTAACAATTGTCACCTTGTACTAAAGTAGAGGTCCACCCATCTAACAATTGTCACCTTGTACTAAAGTAGAGGTCCATCTAACAATTGTCACCTTGTACTAAAGTAGAGGTCAATCCATCTAACAATTGTCACCTTGTACTAAAGTAGAGGTCCATCCATCTAACAATTGTCACCTTGTACTAAAGTAGAGGTCCATCCATCTAACAATTGTCACCTTGTACTAAAGTAGAGGTCCATCCATCTAACAATTGTCACCTTGTACTAAAGGTGAGGTCCATCCATCTAACAATTGTCACCTTGTACTAAAGTAGAGGTCCATCTAACAATTGTCACCTTGTACTAAAGTAGAGGTCCACCCATCTAACAATTGTCACCTTGTACTAAAGTAGAGGTCCATCTAACAATTGTCACCTTGTACTAAAGTAGAGGTCAATCCATCTAACAATTGTCACCTTGTACTAAAGTAGAGGTCCATCCATCTAACAATTGTCACCTTGTACTAAAGTAGAGGTCCATCCATCTAACAATTGTCACCTTGTACTAAAGTAGAGGTCCATCCATCTAACAATTGTCACCTTGTACTAAAGGAGAGGTCCATCCATCTAACAATTGTCACCTTGTACTAAAGGTGAGGTCCATCCATCTAACAATTGTCACCTTGTACTAAAGTAGAGGTCCATCTAACAATTGTCACCTTGTACTAAAGTAGAGGTCCATCCATCTAACAATTGTCACCTTGTACTAAAGTAGAGGTCCATCTAACAATTGTCACCTTGTACTAAAGTAGAGGTCAATCCATCTAACAATTGTCACCTTGTACTAAAGTAGAGGTCCATCCATCTAACAATTGTCACCTTGTACTAAAGTAGAGGTCCATCCATCTAACAATTGTCACCTTGTACTAAAGGTGAGGTCCATCCATCTAACAATTGTCACCTTGTACTAAAGTAGAGGTCCATCTAACAATTGTCACCTTGTACTAAAGTAGAGGTCCATCCATCTAACAATTGTCACCTTGTACTAAAGTAGAGGTCCATCCATCTAACAATTGTCACCTTGTACTAAAGGTGAGGTCCATCCATCTGGAAGCTGCTCTCAATAAGAGAAGTGAGAGGCGTCTGGGTGGTAGTGTTGATAAACAGCGGCGTAGTGACCTCTTCCAGGGTGAACTATCAACTTTGCGTCCCCCATTTACCTACTTATTCATGTTGGCTAAAAGGCCCCCACCCCCTAATTGTATAGTTATCCATCATTGTTTCTTCCATACTTTTTTTATCCGGAGGGGGGTGGGACTGGTAAAATCTTGTTTTCTATATAAATTTTCAATTAAGTCCGTAAAACTAATACTAATAGTCTATTTACATATTTTCTTACTCTGTTGGGCTCCCCCTTAGGGTCGGGGAGTAGTGTAACCAGTGGCTCCCCCTTAAGGTCGGGGAGTAGTGTAACCAGTGGCTCCCCCTTAAGGTCGGGGAGTAGTGTAACCAGTGGCTCCCCCTTAAGGTCGGGGAGTAGTGTAACCAGTGGCTCCCCCTTAAGGTCAGGGAGTAGTGTAACCAGTGGCTCCCCCTTAAGGTCGGGGAGTAGTGTAACCAGTGGCTCCCCCTTAAGGTCGGGGAGTAGTGTAACCAGTGGCTCCCCCTTAAGGTCAGGGAGTAGTGTAACCAGTGGCTCCCCCTTAAGGTCGGGGAGTAGTGTAACCAGTGGCTCCCCCTTAAGGTCAGGGAGTAGTGTAACCAGTGGCTCCCGAGCGCGCCCCACTACGACATTAACCCAGGAGCCGATGTGTTCTACTTCACTGATTAACAAAGTATCCAGAATATTTTCATACAGCACGCCCTGGGTACACTGTATGGATAAACTCGCGACATAGAAATAGAAAACATTTTATTGATTAGGAGCATTGAAATGAAACATTGTCAATAAGATTATGAAAAAAAAACGAAAAGAAGGGGTTTTATGTACGATCTATGTTTATACTTGTTAAAAGTAACATAGACTAATACCTATTAGAAAAATTAAATCCAAATTATCTATATATATAATTCTCTTCTGGGAGCCGTTAGAAAACAAGCTGCAAGCGCCTCCTTGCAGTCCCCTCTCTTTCTCTCTATCACTATCACTACCACCCCCACCCCTGCATTGTCTGGTGAGCTGTGGTTCACGCTGTTTACATTTTACAATCATAGAGACGGGTTTGGTGACGGCTATTAGGGGCAGATAATTTAGTTTGAAACGATTTTAAACTTAGAGGAGGTAACTAAGATGAGGCTGCTTTCACATGGGGGGGGGGGAGGGAGGTTTAGTGTTTTTAAGCAAATATTTTTAGTGGCAGCATTGGTACTGTCGAATTCACAAATTATAAATTACTGAAAAGTAGAAAAAAAACCCAACTAAATAGCGGCGTATGATACGCAGCGGGTCGGCTCGTATACATTATTAGACAACACCATGTTAAACGCACACGCTGATTAAGAGGCTTAAAATTAAGAAACTTACTTGATTTTGTTAAAAACCCGGCTGTTCGATGGTATTTAGGTTGCTTTTGCCTTTTAAAAACACCTATTTCGGCTGAGCATGGGTCTGACTACATTATCGCTTCATATGCTGAGAAGACAAATACGGGTAGACTCTACTTCACCTGCCCCGTGTCCCGATAGGCAACTTTATCATCCACATCTTTAAAAAAATTGAAAACATTAACATGATGTGTCTCGAGCCCGTACCACCCGCATGGTAAGTTGGTAACTATTACACTATCAACTCAGCTATCTGGGAAGTTCCGAAAAGTTATAAAAACTAATGTCGTACTTTATATAGAGGAGTCCGCGACGTCACACTTTTGAATTATAAAAAAGAAATGTTAGAAAACGAATTTTAGACGTTATTTCGCGATTTAGAGAACTGTTTTAATAAATTGTAATAGGAATTGATTAAAATACTCTATTTTGACAGTTTTCAGACAAGATTTTGGAAGAATATCGATGTTTAAAAAAATTGAATTGCAATTTTGGGGGGGGGGGGGGGGGGGGTTGTAGGCTGAGGTGTGACGTCATTTTAGGGGGGGGGGGTCTGGCTTTTTGTGACGACGTGTGACGGAGGTGAGGGGGGGGAGGTAAAAATCGTCCCAAAAAAGCGTGACGTAATTTATGGATGACCCCTAAGTTACACGAATAAGCCCTATTATTTCAAATTAAATTTTATCCCAAATTAGCCAATTCCATAGCTAAACCAACAAAGATTTATATAAAATAATTAAGGATTGTATACATTTCATAGCGTACGAAGATCTAAATCAAATTTGAATGAAATAGTTCATTTCATTATATTCTAAAATTGGAAGATGACGCCATTAGTTTTGTGTTCTTTTTTAGTGTAAACATATGACATGTGACATCGCTGTTTAATGCGTTCTTGTCACTACAATAAACGCTTTAGTTAGAAATCTGTTTCTACATTCGAATGTGCTTTTATTTTTATTTTCCTTATTTAAAGAAAATTTAGTTTATACATTTATACCGTCCACCACATTATTTTTAACAAAAGTCAGTATCTTTATAATCTTTAAGTTCTCCATATATCGCTGAACATGCTGACGACGTTGCCAAAAATATTGCAGACAGAGAGAAGTGCGCACATGGGCTTTCATATATTAGGATACCAGTTTTAGAAAACATAAGGTCTAAAACTACACGATTGGTAACGAATCGACGAAACATACATGTCTTTATAAACAGAGTTTCTTCCAGACATCTCCTCGGGGGACGGGCTAAGACACTTATACCCCCCCCCCCCCCGAAGAAAGTCTACCGCCCCCCCCCCACCCTCCCAAGGAAATGGAATTTATATAGAAAACGTACTTTTACCAGTGTTCCCCCCCCCCCCCGATTATATTGACCGCCCCCTCCGAAAATATCAAGTGCCCCCCCCCCCCCCCCCCCCTCGGAGAAAAACGTCTGGAAGAAACACTGTTTATATATCCAACGCTCTGATGGTGATGGATAAGAGACGGTAGGCCACATTATCCCCTTCCGACACAGTGGTCATTTTTGTACATATGTGTAAAAAAAAAGTAGTTTCCCTTTCAAACCCGACGACGGTCTATGGGGCAAGTGAAGTAGAATTCACTTGTTTCTGTGACCTCGGCATATGAAGAGACAGTGTGGTCAGCACCATGCCCAGCCGCCTTTACTTTCCCTAACATGAGTTAAATTAATACCCATCAGAGCTGGGTGGACGGTCTACTGACTGGAACCCGGATTCGAACTCGAGACTTACGGGTTAGCAGTCCAGCTCTCTACCGCTAGACGACTCGGTCTCAAAAAAAAATTCTAAGTAAAAACACGAATTTTAGTATTGTTTTGCACTCATTGTATTCCGGCACCTATTTTCTTCGATGTGACATTTTGTGACGATGGGGAGTAGGTGGGTTTGTTCAATACAGCGCGACGTCGTTTTTGACTTACACCTTCTCGATATGTCAAGTTTTATTTTTTAATCCTACAACACACTTTTAAAAAGTAGAGCGATATATTTATATTAATTGAAGATGAACCCGCCCTCGAAATTTTTTTGACCGGTGGATTTACTTAAGTTACAGTTACATTAGCGAGAAAGCCTTACGCCTGCAATTGATTCGTTAAAAAAAAAATCAGCAATTTTTTTTTTCTCATTTAGGCCTTTGGCTAAACTACATCTTTGGTCAACAAAACCTTCTGCAAAATATAGTTCCATACAAGCTTCTAGTTTTGTTCTTCACAACAAGCTATATTTAAATACTCACTAGAAATATTGTATAACTTTATAAGTATAAATAATTATAAACGTGTATATTTTGGAAATTGAAAGAAAACCAAAATTAGTGCGCAAAGATATAGCCTAAGTATAGCACATGTCGTAAGTTAGGCTCAGGTACTATTCCTAGACTATAAAGTAATCAAAATGGCGATGTGGCAACCTGAGGAAAACGGTCTCCGTCAAATTCTACAATTACTTAAAGAATCACAGTCTCCCGACACTGAAACACAAAGAGCTGTACAACAAGTAAGATTTTACGTTCCCTAAACATTCGGCCGAGGTCTTTATTTTACAGGTGGCTTCAAGGCAGTCTAACATCTAGAAATCTAGACTAGAGTAGCTAGATCTAGATTCTAGAATGTAGTCTCGCACTTGATTGAGAAAAAGTAAAATCTACTCTAGTCTAGATTCTAGATCTTAATCGAAATTCTCGATCTAGAATCTGCTACTGGCTAGTCTAGCTCTATATTAATTTTATAGAATCTAGATCTCTAACACTTCGTTTTTTACAGGTAGACTGATACTGAAAGTAAAGAGACCTGCTCCCAGCTCTAGTGACTAGATTCTCTAGTAGCTTTTCTTACTAAATCTAGAATTTACCCAAATTTCAAATTAAACATGACTACTGAATGATAGACATCCATATTTAATCCATTAGGGACTAATTTTGAAGTTTTTAGTTCGTTTTAAACTAAATTACTTAATTTAATATTTATTGACACTCACTGCCATGGACAACACATCTCTCCATGACAACTCTTCTTACCCCTGAAGGCACTTGAAGCTAAAGAGAACCACAAATGCGGTTAGACTTTTTAAGTGGCCATGTACCCAGAGTTCCCCACTAGTGATCATCAAATAGCGGTCACGTGGTCAAAAAATAAAAAAAATTTGGTTGTCATTTTTTGGCCACTCTTATAAAAAAAAGGGTTGACTGTATTTGATTTATTTTTTCATAGACTGATAAAACTAATAATGCTTTAGTAGGGAAATCAATTTTGTAAAAGGGAAATCTATATTTAAAAAGTTCTAGTATTTTTGATGAAACCAACTTTTAAATTTAGCCTTCATTCTCCAACGCAAATTTTAAAATGCTTTTCTGGCATATATAGCCCTGCCACCTAGATCTATAGCTTGTTGTTATAACGTGAAAGTCCCGCCATTTTGCGCGTGGTAAACATTTTAAAAAATAATTAGTAGAAGGTCTCTGGAATTTGGCCGAAAAATCGTCGGAAGTCAAGCGTCCGGTCCGGGCGCCATATTGTTGTTAGCAACCGGCCACGCCTCCGGGTTAGCGAGAAATACTATTCTCTAGTCTAAGTCTAGACTCTAGTCTCTGTCTCTACTAGTCGAGTGAATCTTTTTCTCTTCAAAGTCTATCTAAGTTAAACATCTTGCCTTGCTATTCATTCTGATCATTGAATTCATTCCTCTTGAGGGGGGGGGGTGTGGTACCTGTGTTCGATAATAGTAGATATTCTCGCTTTTCAATTTAAATATGACCACTGAATAATAGGCATAAACTTCTTGTAACTTGACCTAATTTTTTTACCGCCTTCATGGTAATCTTCGTTCTTAATTTTTAGTGTTGGAAGGGATCGAGCCTTATCTGCCAGAGGGTTGAATTCGATACTTTTTAAAAAAATTTATCAACCATGAGCTTTTGCCGACTCAACCCAGCCTCCATCACAATTAACTTGAATTAAGGATACGTGTCAACTGGTTATGCGCCATTGAGGCCATTGACTCCGATTTCAGCCTGCTTTTCTTTTTGGATTTGCTTCCATAGCCTTTGTTCAAACCAAGAACAAACTACAAGGCAACAGTTGTTTGATTTTGGAGTTGTCTCTCCTAGAAGAGTTGCTGTCCCCAGCTAACGAGCCTCATCTGCCCGAGGGTTGGTCAGGCCACATACCACACACGCACAGTGTTGTGTGTCGTGCCTTAACCAAAACAATCTCCCTTCGAATCATTAGCGATATTTAAATAGTTATGCTAAGCCTAATAAATTTATTTTATACTGAGATTACATATTTCCTGTATGATGGTATACCAGTAGGACTAAGTTTTTAGTTATAGTTGCACTTTTAAAGAAACAGCTTCATTGTTTCAATAGCACCCTCTACCCTTCTTGAACTTTTTCCGTTTGTAAAGAAATGTGGTATGCAGTGAGGGGGCAGGTGGGTAGGGTAAATACTCATTGGGGAAAAAATCCACCATGCTCATTTTAACTTGATCAATATTAATTCTATTCCTCAGAAATTGGGAGAGTTAAACAATTATCCAGATTTCAACAACTACTTGATTTTTGTTTTGACTAAATTAAAATCTGAAGGTATACATTTTCTACATTTTTGTGTAGCTTTTTGCTTAATGTGTTTATTTGAAAACAAATTTGTGATATCTTAAAAGTAGCATCTTTACTTTTTGTATTCTGTTTATTTTAGTTACATTTTCAAATTTTACAGATGACCCAACGCGGTCCTTAAGTGGTTTAATACTGAAAAATAACGTTAGGGCTCATTTTGAAAGATTTCCATCTGAAGTGACAAGTTTTATTAAACAAGAATGCTTAAACAGTATTGGGGACCCTTCACCTTTGATCCGAGCTACAATAGGAATTATTATTACAAATATTATCTCCAAGGGAGAGTTACATAACTGGCCAGAAGTCTTACCTCACCTTTGTGCTTGCTTGGATTCGGAGGACTATAACATATGTGAGGTAATAATAGTACTTCTCTTACATTTCAATATCTTTCTTGAATCGCATCTGGGTGATTTTTTTGTCACTTAGTGTCGGAAAAAGAAAGTAGAGTATATTGCTGTACAATTTTATATTCTTGTAAGTTTTTATTAATGCAAGTACCTGTGCAGCAAACATTTGTTTAAATTTATTTATCCAATGCGTTCCTTTTCTGAAAAAAGCTGCACAAATTCGTGGAAAACTGATGCAATTATCATTTATTAGCCACTTTTTAATGCATTTTTAAAGTAATAATTTTATAGCTTGAAAATGAGAATCTATAATATAGGCTGGCTGGTAGTTTCAGTCATTCTGTCATCGCTGTAGAATCTACAGACAAAAACAAACAACACATGTCGTGCATTACTGGCATCTGCATTGTCTTATTACAAGTACTGGAGTAGGAACTTATTATGTAACGACTTGAATTTTTTTGATAGGTTGCAGTTTAAAAAAATAATTAAATAGCCGGTTAGGAAATGAGGGGAAATTGTGCGGGCGTGAGCATTTTTGGTGGAATACACTGCCGTTTGTTTGATAAACGTTTGAGCTTTTGTTTGCATTTTTGTTTTCGTGTTTGGTTTTGTTGTTACCATTTAAAAAAGATTCACTGTGGCAATGCACAGGTAGGCAGCTAGTTTGGATACAAAAAATCAACTCTCATTTCTAAGCACTGATTTTAGTCTAGTTTACACGTCAAGTTTTACAGAGACTTTGAAAAAATGCTATCCAAGAATGGTCTTAATTTTTTTTTAAATGTTAGTCTAAACATAACTACCTTTATGTTCCACTTTACAACTTGTGGCACATCAAGCCTCAAGCAATATTTTTCCACTTTATACACCACAGAAAATAATTTTTAACAACTGGATTATGTAACATAAATTCCATCCCAACCATCACCTTTTTTGAAAAGTAATTAGACCTAAATACGTCACTAAACCTTTTTTTGTTTTAAAACTGTGTTGAACTATTTCCCTGTAATATAGGTTTATTTAATTGTACAATATGTTTATTCTTTCTTGAATCGCATCTGAGTGAACAGTGTGCCACTCAGTGTCGGAAAAAGAAAGTACATTAATGCTCAGTTGTTTTTTGTTGTTGTGTCTAGCTGATGCAGCTAAAATGGCTGACAACATTTTTTTAATAGCTATTTGATATTTATAGTCCACTTAGTCATTTTTAACAATTGGTTTGTAACAAAAATTCCTTCCTAACCATCACCTTTTTGAAAAGTAATTAGACCTAAATAGTTGACTAAACAAAGTTTTTTGGTGGTATTTGATTCTTTTTATCTCATGGCTCTTAGTACAGGGTTCGTACGCAGTCTGGAAAGTCTGGAAAAAGTCTTGAATTTAGAAAAGTGAATTTAAGACTTAAAAAAGTCTGGAAAATCGCTAGTTTTTGGGCTGGATATTTTAAAAGTCTGGAAAAAGTCTGGAATCTAGTTTTAGAAACAAAACTTCGAAGTCCATATTTTCCAAATTAAAAAATTGCTATTTTTAGGTGATATTACTCCAATTTTTTTCCCCGCGCTTTTGCGAGTGTTTTCACTGTTGTGACTTTTTTCGCTGGTTCGCAGAAAAAAACGGATGCTCAGTTACTACATCATTGGAAGAGGAGGGGAAGGGAGGGAAGAGATATTTTGTGTTGCGACTGACCGTGTGAATGTGTTACAAGTATTTAAAATTGTCATTTAAATTTAATGAAAGAATGATCGCCTTCAGAATTGTTAGGCTCTCGATTTTACCCGCTATTTTTCATTAAGTTTACACGCAGACAGTGATAACAAAATATTATGTGGGAGGTATATGGACGGTAGTTTAGATATAATTTATTTGTCTCTGAGGGTCATCCGTTTATGACATCCAAAAAAATTTCGGATTTTACCCCCTCCCCCCTTCCACACGCGTTCACTTACTTTGGGTTAATATTAACATTTATAAGATTAATAAGTCGCGAGGCCTCCTTGGGTTCATACCAGTGGCGTAGCGAGGTCGGGTGTCACCCGGTGCGGCACTTAATGGTGTCACCCCCCCCCCCCCCCAGAGGCATAGAGACCCTTCCCAGGGACAAACTTTCAAATTTTCGATTTGCACCCCCCCCTCAAACTTTCGATTTGCACCCCCCCCCCCCTCGAGTTTTTCTCTATATATTTTGCTATTTTTTGCCTTGGTGTCACCCCCTAAATGGTGTCACCCGGTGCGGTCCGCACCCCCCCCCCCCCCCCCCTCGCTACGCCCCTGGTTCATACCCGTATTTCTGTTTGCTTCAGCGGTCGCTTACCAAAGAGGTACTAATTTTATTTAGGAGTCGTCCATAAATGACGTCACACTCGGAAAAGTCGGAAGGAGGGTTTCAGAAAGTTTGACGACACGCTCTTGCAATAATGTTAGGGTAGATATAAATACCGTGTTTTCTTTACACGCTGGGATGGTTTTTAAAACACAAGCATAGATTTCAATGCTGACGATTAAAGCTAGACTACCCCGCCCCTTCTTGTAACTACGGTCACTTGTGTGAACTCACCATGACCCCAAGTTTGTAGTTGGTACTGCTTGGTAAGGAGGGTGGGGGGTATAAGTCACATCACAGTTCATGGTATGACGTATTAAACAGGCATACTGAAGCCTAGACTACTATGACCTCACAATGACCCCTTCACCGTGTCTTGTGGTTGTGGGGGGGGGGGGGGGAGGGGGGAGGAGGATACCGGCAATTTTTTTTATTGCAGACCCGTTCCTCAGCTATAAGTAGTATAAGTGTGTATAAGCATAAACAGTGAGTGATGTGGTTACAACCTGCAGAATGTTTTTTTTTATGCTCCAATTTTTTTCTTTACAAGTAGCCTATATTAGGCTACTTAACAAGAGCAGACCTAAATTAATACATTACGTTAGTATTCTTTAAGGTAATTAACTCTCACTATTATCATATGCAATACCATTTTAATAATAGTTTAATTGAAAACATAAGCAATTTGATCATGAACAGATTACATAAGTCTAATGTTTAAAACAAAATAGCTGCATCATTTTAATCAATTATTTTAATTGTTAAAACTTTAGGTGGAGTTGAGTAGGCAAACTTAGAAAAGTGATTTTCTGTCAATTTGGCTAGAGAAAGTTCAATATAAATATATCTCAACTGCCTAAAATAAATGTCAATTTAGTACAAGTAATTATGAGAGTACAAATGGTGCATCATTTTATAAATTACTCGCGAACACATTATCTGTATAAAGTCTGGAATTTTTCCAAAAAAGTCTGGAAAATGTCTGGAAAAAGTCTGGAATTTCATTTTGAAAAAGTAGTACGAACCCTGTTAGTAGGCAATACTTTGGTAATGTTGTAATGACAGGGCTTAATTTATAATTTTTTGGCAATATGTAAAAAAAAAATACTTAAATGGAATTGTTTATATAACAATTAGTCTTGTTTTAAGACTGTTGAAATATTTCCCTGTAATAAAGGTTTATTTAATTGTACAATATGTTTATTCTTTCTTGAATCGCATCTGAGTGAACAGTGTGCCACTCAGTGTCGGAAAAAGAAAGTACATTAATGCTCAGTTGTTTTTTGTTGTTGTGTCTAGCTGATGCAGCTTAAATGGCTGACAACATTTTTTTAAAAGCTATTTGATATTTATGGTCCACTTAGTCATTTTTAACAATTGGTTTGTAACAAAAATTCCTTCCTAACCATCACCTTTTTGAAAAGTAATTAGACCTAAATAGTTGACTAAACAATGTTTTTTGGTGGTATTTGATTCTTTTTATCTCATGGCTCTTAGTAGGCAATACTTTGGTAATGTTGTAACGACAGGGCTTAATTTATAATTTTTTGGCAATATGTAAAAAAAAATAATTAAATGGAATTGTTTATATAACAATTAGTCTTGTTTTAAGACTGTTGAAATATTTCCCTGTAATAAAGGTTTATTTAATTGTACAATGATATGTTTATTCTTTCTTGAATCGCATCTGAGTGAACAGTGTGCCACTCCGTGTCGGAAAAAGAAAGTACATTAATGCTCAGTTGTTTTTTGTTGTTGTGTCTAGCTGATGCAGCTAAAATGGCTGACAACATTTTTTTAATAGCTATTTGATATTTATAGTCCACTTAGTCATTTTTAACAATTGGTTTGTAACAAAAATTCCTTCCTAACCATCACCTTTTTGAAAAGTAATTAGACCTAAATAGTTGACTAAACAAAGTTTTTTTGGTGGTATTTGATTCTTTTTATCTCATGGCTCTTAGTAGGCAATACTTTGGTAATGTTGTAATGACAGGGCTTAATTTATAATTTTTTGGCAATATGTAAAAAAAAATATACTTAAATGGAATTGTTTATATAACAATTAGTCTTGTTTTAAAACTGTTGAAATATTTCCCTGTAATAAAGGTTTATTTAAGTGTACAATATGTTTATTCTTTCTTGAATCGCACCTGAGTGAACAGTGTGCCACTCAGTGTCGGAAAAAGAAAGTACATTAATGCTCAGTTGTTTTTTGTTGTTGTGTCTAGCTGATGCAGCTAAAGTGGCTGACAACATTTTTTTAATAGCTATTTGATATTTATAGTCCACTTAGTCATTTTTAACAATTGGTTTGTAACAAAAATTCCTTCCTAACCATCACCTTTTTGAAAAGTAATTAGACCTAAATAGTTGACTAAACAATGTTTTTTGGTGGTATTTGATTCTTTTTATCTCATGGCTCTTAGTAGGCAATACTTTGGTAATGTTGTAATGACAGGGCTTAATTTATAATTTTTTGGCAATATGTAAAAAAAAAAAATACTTAAATGGAATTGTTTATATAACAATTAGTCTTGTTTGAAAACTGTTGAAATATTTCCCTGTAATAAAGGTTTATTTAAGTGTACAATGATATGTTTATTCTTTCTTGAATCGCATCTGAGTGAACAGTGTGCCACTCAGTGTCGGAAAAAGAAAGTACATTAATGCTCAGCTGTTTTTTGTTGTTGTGTCTAGCTGATGCAGCTAAAATGGCTGACAACATTTTTTTAAAAGCTATTTGATATTTATGGTCCACTAAGTCATTTTTAACAATTGGCTTGAAACTTGAAATAAAGTGACACTTTTTTATTTTCAGGGGTCATTTGGGGCTCTACAAAAAATTTGTGAAGACAATGCTGAAACATTAGACAGTGATATGGCTGATCGTCCTCTAAATGTTCTCATTCCAAAGTTTCTAAATTTCTTCAGACATCAAAGTCCAAAGATAAGGTATACTAGAAAAATAATTCTGTTAATGTATTTTTTAAAATCTGTTTTCACCTAGTTACTAAAGACCTTTATCATTACACAAGAATCCTTGAACTTGGTAATCATGTTTAAAAGGAAAGCAGTGGTTTTAATTTTATGGGGGATTGACATTCTAATAATTATTGCTTATAAATATGTTGTTGAATATTATACTAAAATAATGTTTTTCATTTTAGTTACATACTCTACAGTATTGAAAAAGTATCTGGAAAAGACTAGATTTTCATACCCATTACCTAAAATGATTGTAAAAATAAAGAAAGCAAAATCTAATTTGGAGACTAATAGTTTCAATAGAACTTTTAAAACAAATTTCTTCCTCTATTATTTATAAATCTAATTACATTAGTATTAGAGGAATAGAATCTATCAAAGCTAGTTGGACTAACTGTTTGAAATTGTTAGAAATATGACTGTATTGCACTTCCATAACAAAAATTATCAATTTCTTAAATACAGAGCTAAGAGAAATGTCTGAACTTCATATGTCCCATGGACAATTAAGTCTAAAAGGGCACTTTTTTTTTACATATGAAGGTCTACAAATATAAATTAATATTTTTCAGGTCACATGCCATAGCTTGTGTAAATCAGTTTATCATTAGTAGGACACAAGCATTGATGGTTCACATTGATACTTTCATTCAGGTATTGTTTTTTATTTAAAGGTTTCTTTTCAATTAAATAAGCTGTGTGGAAATTGTTCATTTCTACTGTATAATACTTAAAAAAGAAACTTACCTTTCTACCCCCCAGAAACTATTACATTTATAAAATGTTTCAGAACTTGTTTTTCCTTGCCAAAGATGAGGACACCGAAGTGAGAAAAAATGTTTGTAGAGCATTGGTAATGCTAGTTGAAGTCAGAATAGACAGATTAATGCCACATATTGATCAGATAATTCAGGTAGGATTATCTCAAATATTGTTTCCAGTTTTATTTCTTTCTTAACCTGTGTAAATTATGTATTGTGAACACACTATTTTAGTACATGATGGAGCGCACCCAGGATGCAGATGATACTGTGGCACTTGAATCGTGTGAATTTTGGCTGTCTCTTGCTGAGCAGAAAGTGTGCAAAGATGTCCTTGGACCTCACATAGAGAGACTAGTTCCCATTTTAGTCAAGGGCATGCGATACTCTGAGATTGACATCATTCTCCTAAAGGTACTTTTTTTTTGCTAAAACTTTGCTATAGAACTTGGGTATTATTTAAAAAAAAAAAAAGCATTTGTTTTAATATAATTTACCAATTACAGGGTGATATTGAAGAAGATGAAATGATACCTGATAAAGAGTCTGACATAAAACCTAGATTTCATAAGTCACGTACACATTCTAACCAAAAGCATGATGAGGGCGAAGTAAGTGGCGTATTACTTTTTATTTACTTAAACAATGACATCTCATTTCATTAATGCTGCTTAGTGCACACATTTAAAGTAGTGGATCTTTTTGGCTTTTTTCCTTGTAGTTGTTTATCTAGTAGTTTGCCTTCCTTATGGTTATGACATTTTTTCAACAGGAAGGTGACTCAGATGAGGGTTATGATGATGACGATTCATTATCAGATTGGAATCTTCGTAAGTTTAAAGGCAGATTGGAGATTTAGAACCTAATCTTTTAATTTCACAATATATAATGTTGTATTTTCAGTATTTATACTTTTGTTTCTCCATTCTTACTGATAACAGTATTGCTAATTAGCTGGGTTTTTTCTTTTTTTGAAGAAAAAAAATAGTACCCATTGCTCTAAAACTATTTAGAAGACATTTTGTTGTCCATCATTACAGGAAAGTGTTCAGCTGCTGCACTGGATGTACTGGCTAACGTGTTTCATGAAGAGATTCTTCCCGTTTTGCTTCCAATATTAAAAGAAACATTATTTCACATTGATTGGGAGGTGAAAGAGTCTGGCATTCTAGTACTTGGGGCTATTGCAGAAGGTTGCATGAGTGGAATGATTCCACACCTACCAGAATTAATCCCCTACCTTATCAACTGTTTGTCAGATAAAAAGGCACTTGTTAGATCTATCACTTGCTGGACATTGAGTCGATATGCTCATTGGGTTGTTGGACAGCCTCATGATAATTTCTTGAAGCCCCTTATGACTGAGGTGAGTTAATGCTGCATCTTATTTTTAACACTTAAACATTTGTTTGATGCTAAATGTATATACTTGTTGTTTATGCTTACAGTTATTGAAAAGAGTTCTTGATGCTAATAAGAGAGTTCAAGAAGCAGCTTGTTCTGCATTTGCAACTCTAGAAGAAGAGGCCTGCACTGAATTAGTACCCTATCTGGGATTTATACTGGAGACTTTAGTTTTTGCTTTTGGAAAGTATCAGGTGTGTGTGTGTATATATATATATATATATATATATATATATATATATATATATATATATATATATATATATATATAAAATTTGTGGGTGCTATTGATTTTCTAAAAATCTCTGCTTTACCTGTTAACAATCAAACTTGTATACTTACTTTGCAGCACAAAAATCTTCTTATATTGTATGATGCTATTGGCACTTTGGCTGATTCTGTGGGGCATCATTTAAATAAACCTGTAAGTTTTTTAACACTGCTAAAATATTTAAAATATTTTGGTAAAGCTTCGATTTCAGCTTTTGTTCAAGGTTTTATGTGTCTAAAATTTTTTTATTTCAAAGGAATATGTCAACATGCTTATGCCTCCCCTGATTCAGAAATGGAATATGCTGAAAGATGAAGATAAGGATCTGTTTCCTCTGTTGGAAGTAATTTTTTTTGTACATAATTCTATGGTTAATGTGTTTCATGCATAGTTGTTTTTTTTTTTTTACAGTAATGGACCTTGTAATTCTCCCTGTACTCTCAATGGAAATAAATTTCAATTAGTATTTACAATGAGAAATATAATATACTGGTTCATTAAAAATATTTGTTTACATTGTTAAAATTTTTTTTTGTTGTAGTGTCTATCCAGTGTTGCTACAGCATTGCAGTCTGGTTTCCTGCCATATTGTGAGCCTGTTTACAGGAGATGTGTCTGTCTTGTTGAGCAGACACTCACTCAGAATTACGTAAGTTTCAGTAATAAAATAATTTCTTGTAAATTTTTCTGTAAATTATTTTCGGTGTGATGATAGTTTAAAGCATTGATAAGAAATGATTGTTGCTTGTATTCGTACTGTCTGACCATAAATAATCAGGATAATCCAAGTTATTAAAGTAAGTATCCTGCAAAAAATTGATTGGTTTCAAAATTTCAGGCAAATCTTTCCCAGCCTGATCAGTATGATCCCCCGGACAAAGATTTTATGATTGTTGCACTAGATCTGTTGTCTGGTCTTGCTGAGGGTCTGGAAGGGCACATAGAGGGTCTTGTAGCCAACAGTACTATTCTCAAACTTCTTTTCCAGTGCATGCAGGTGGGTTTACTTTTCTGCTCTTAATTTGAATAGCTTGATTTTGTTTGGTTTTGTCAATAAACTATACTGGTTCTTAATTAAAGGATCCAATGCCTGAAGTTAGACAGAGTTCATTTGCTCTTCTGGGTGATTTAACTAAGGCCTGTTTTCAACATGTTCGCCCGTGCATCCGTGAGTAACCTTTGTTTTACTTTAGCTTATTATACATTATAGGTAGTTAAAATATTAGGTGTGTGCTGTTATTGAAAGCTTATCCTTGTTTTCTCAGCAGTTGCCTTATGGCCGCAAGACTCTTTCTTTGTTTGCTCCTACTAAAATTTCACTCTTTATAATATTGTCACTAATTACTGTTTATTATTTCAGCTGAATTTATGCCCATTTTAGGGGCTAATCTGAATCCTGAATTCATTTCTGTCTGTAACAATGCTACTTGGGCCATTGGTGAGATTTCAATAAAAATGGGTAAGTAAGTGATATATGTCTCTTAGTTACTGGATTAAAGAAAGCAGCAGTAGGTCCTATCAGACAGTATAAATCTTGTTTTTGCTATGATGTAAGTTTTAAATTGACAAGTTTTACTCAAGGATTGTAGCTATGTCAAACTTATCTTTGCCAGGTGCTGATATGCAACCATTTATTGGCATGGTATTGACACAGTTGATAGATATCATCAACAGATCTAATACACCAAAAACTCTATTGGAAAATACAGGTGTGTATTCTGACTTTAATTTCTTTGAGGTTAACATATTTATATTTTTCTTCAGCAAGAAGCTGAAAATGAAGATTTTTATTCTATGTAGGTAGCTGAAAGTGTTCAAAGTTATCATTTTAAAAAGACTTTTAAAAAAAGAAAATCTGTTTGATATTTGGTTGCATGCTGCCATGGTTGCCTCAACATTTGGAAGTTATTCAAAATTCCAATTTTAGCGGAGTTTGACACACAGATAATCTGTCATCAAAATATTTTTATTCAAAAGCTGCTTTACATAGTGTTTAATTGTTTTCATAGAATGTTTAATATAGTTGACACAAAGCTTGATAAAACCAAAAGAGTGCAATATGTTTTCATGGACTTGAAGTAAAGTGAGGGCACTGTTGGTTGTAAAGAAAATGTACTGTGTTTTTTCTTTGTATTGTCAACTATATTTTTCATGTTCAAAAATTGTAAATCATGTGCACTTTTGGTCTCATTTTTAAAAAAAAAGAATTGTTTATTGTCATGTCTTTGTAATGTATAAATAATATTTTTTCCCCATTTCAAGGTATTTTTTTGATGAACTCATATTTCTAGATTATATTGTTTCAGTATTTATCCAGAAGTTTTTCTAACAATGTTGTGTTCTTAAGTACTGTTTAATGTATGTATTGTTTATCGTTGTATGTTCTTTCTTCCCATTATATTTGCCTTCTTCGTGCGTTCTGTCATCGTGTCCTCGTCGTGGTTACATAGCCATAACTATTGGGAGACTGGGCTTAGTTTGCCCCCAAGATGTGGCCCCACTTTTACAACAGTTTATCAGACAATGGTAATTTTTCTTTTTCTTTATTTGGTATCATTTCCTTTGGTTCACTACTTTCCTTTTTAAGAAATTAATAAAGTAACCCAGTGTGTTATATACCAAAGTGTGGAATACAGCAGTTGTGTAGATATCCCCTTTAATAATTTTTTTTGTTGAATATTGTCTTGTTATTATATTTTAAATTCATTTAAATTGTTTTTATTTAAATTTATGTCCTGGTATTAATTTTAGAACTAATTATATTAAGCATAATTGTTAATTGTTCTTGCAACATATTTGTGTAGTCTTGGTCATGGTAAGTGACAGTGCCTATAAGCTAATTATCACTGTGGCATAATGCAGCCAGATGCTTATTTAATTAAATTTCACAATGGTTAAGTAGTTTTTCTGATATCTGATCGACTGTTGTTTTCCAGGTGTACCTCATTGCGCAACATACGAGACAATGAAGAAAAGGACTCAGCCTTTAGAGGTGTGTGCCACATGATTGGGGCCAATCCAGCAGGAGTTGTCCAGGACTTTATCTTCTTCTGTGATGCTGTTGCTTCATGGATGCATCCAAAACCGGATTTAAAAGAAATGTTTTATAAGGTATATTTGTCCTATAAAAATATACTATGCTTACATGTTCTTGTAAACCTATTTTGTAAAATGTCAAGGTGTGATTAAAATGAGTCCACACTGAATAAAGTGAAGTTGTATTCGTACTATGATCTTGGCATACACATTATTTGTAAACTATTAAACAATATTAAATGAGTGTTAACTTTATTAACCTTCTTTTTCAAGATACTTCATGGGTTTAAGGCTCAAGTTGGTGAAGAAAACTGGTCTAAATTCTCAGACCAGTTTCCCCAGCCCTTGAAAGAAAGGTTAACTGCCAATTATGGCGTTTGAACAGACCAACAGGTTAGTACTTGAGATTTTAGGCAGTTGTTTTAAATGCATCAAATGTCCTGTGTAAGTGTGGCACCCCTCAGGGTTGAACAGTTTTTAGATTGGCACATTTAAATTTCTAATTGGTAATGTTGGCTGGGTTTTGGCATGAATTTCAATAGGTTCTGCTGTTTTCAAGAACAGTTGAATTTACACACCAACTGGCATAGAATTATTCAGTATTGCATAGGTATTTTAGTTAATTTAGGGCGCTCTCAGTAAATTAATTTGCATGCAAGAAATGCTTCTAAACTACTAAATAGATAATTAGCACACAAGTAATGCTTCTTTACCCCATGAATCTGTTTTCTTCATAAAACGTGATACATTTTTAGCTATTAAAATTGTGAAGTTGACTTTAGAGTACTCAAGAAAAACAATAAATTCTGTAAGTTCTATTGAAAACATTACTCGCAAAGCTCTCAATTCTTTTTTGCTTCTATGTGGACTGATTTAGAGGTTGCTTTTTTCCCATTACCATGGCAAGCATAGTACCATCAATTTATTCTTTAAAAAATAGTTCTAAGCAAAATTGTTTTTGCTATTATAGAATTTTCAGTGGGAGTTCTATTTTTGTACAAGGAAGCGCCCAACTTTAGCTTAGTGAAGATATTGGGCACATTATTGTGCATCTGGAATCAGGATACTTCAGCCTACATTCCTGCCAAAAGCGGAATTGTTCCACTTTTTTTTACAAAAACCGCATGTGTCCTATTCTACCATCGCGTTTTCATCGAAGTTTGTTTCGCTTTTTCAAAAAATAATAAAGAAAACTAATACAACAAACTGGGGAAAAAGAGCTGGGAAAAGCAATTATCTCCCTTTGGCACTGGTTTCGATTTCCTTGTATATTTTACAAGCATAATTTTATACTAGATCTACTAATAGATAATGTGTACAACCTAGCTTCTGAACTTTCTTTTTTGCAATTGAATTGTAGATTTAAATTATGCCTTAAATAACATTTAGGGAGAAAAATACTATAAAATCATGACTAGCATGCTAATTTCTAGATCTAGATATTAAATCTATCTTGTAACTTAAAATTTATTAACTAACTACTAAGATGGAACCAGGACTTTTACTAGGTAGTTAACCCATCCATAACTTTTACTTATATTACATATGATGCATTGAGCACTTGTTCATATGGCCTAGAGCATAGCAAGGCAGGAATAATCAAATAAGAATGTTTTGTTAAAGCTATGTTTTTTTTATAATGGGGGGGTTAACTGGTTAACTTTTTTAATAACATAACAACCCCAATCACCACAACACCCTGACTCTACTAGTATATACAAATGTTTACTTAATTACTATTATAATACTAGTAACCATATCTTTGACTATAAACTTAATGAATCGAGAAGTAATTCTGTACTTACTACACAAATGTTATAAAACATTCAATTTTGGTTGAAGAATTGCTTTCTGGCAACACAAATTTGGAACCAGCTTTTCAAGTCTTGTTTAGATGTAACCTAGAGGCCTACTTAACTTAACACTATACCTACACTAGTATGTATGCTACTGTGTATAATGTCATTAGACTTATTTTTAATTTTTGACTTGGTAAAGTAGCATCCGCGCGCATATTCCTCTTTATGGCTTCAAATTCATCTTTTTGGTATGACTGTTCTTACTTTTGTTTGCCAGGGGTGGGCATGTCTGATTGTTGTTAATCAACTTTTTTTTTATCAGAACAAGCATTTTTGGGTGTTAATTTTGTCTTTTTTCTTTTCACAGAACTTTCTTGGAGACCAAGCTCCTGAGTGTATCTCACTAAGGGTGGGGTGGGGTGGGCAGGGTGATATGGGCCAGGGATGCGGAGATGGGAGGGTTCACAGGAACTTAGCTACGGGAGGGAGGGTTAACCTTCATTAAATGTTCAATCTCCTGTGGAATGTAATTTGACGACCAGCAGTGGTTTTTAACTTTGCTGAATTAGTACATTCTGCTGCTGTACTGTTTCATTTCCCTATTCATTTGAAAAAGGCAGGTTTGTACATCTGTGCTTATCTAATTTAGTTGTGCAGAACTGTTTGAATATAAAATTAATAAAAGCTGTAATTTGTTGGTTTTTTTTAAAAAGATCTGCAGATGAAAGTTTATTTAGATTTGCTTAAAGAACAAACATCCTAGTACTGACTAATGTTGCACTCTTGATAGTTCAGTATGTCTTAGAATTTGAATGGATTAGGGAATTACAAAATAATAATTCTATTGAAAGTTGTTAATGTTTAAATGCACGTTGAAGTAGTAAGATTTTTCCATCATTGAAACTGTACATGGGTATACAACAAAACCATATAGTTCTGTAAAACACTAGATAGCTTGCCTTTTAAACATTTCTTACAAAGATATTGGATAGATTTTATTTATTCTTAACTAGATTTTTATCAGCATTTTCCCATAAGTTGTGTAAATTATAAGGAAATGCATTGCATCGTCAGTTGTTTGATGATTGTGTCAACCTCCCATGTTCATTTTTCCTCCGTATTTTAAACTACCTCAGACATAGAGGTTAAAATTGTGTGTAGATCAGCGTAAGATCTAAGCTGAATAAACTGTTGCTTGTCCCAATCATGCTAAGGTTGTGCCATTGGACCCAGCTACCACCAAGCATCAAGTTGGCTTCAAGTTAACTGTGATATTATTCACCATTTGCAACTGTGTATAATGAAGTAATATTGACTTAATTGAAAGTGACATCTGTATGTTGTTTTAAATGTAAGTGAATATTTCTACAATGTATGCAGTTTAATTTAATGAAGGCCTGTTAACAGTAACAAACCAGTGCTCAAACATTTTTTTTTAAAAATATTTTGGATCTTGGGTTTATTTAGTGTATGGGGTCTAAACTATTTGAAAGGATTGAGTTGCTGTCCATATTTGTAGTTGTATTGGTGTATGTACGTTTGACTTGTCGAGTAGTTTGGAACCCTATTTGACTTGATGGTCAGATCCACTTGTTTTGAATAGTTTGAGCACGGTTTAAGCCTTCTTGACAACCATGTCTGCAGGAAATGGTATCCACATACATTAATAAGTATTATGAGTGGGCTTGTCACATTTCTAAAGCTCAGCAGTTATGTACCTTGTTACTTCCTATTTTGCTGCTTTCTATAAATTAGTTAACACTAGTAGTCTAGATATTTAATAGGAATTATGTGAAGAGATACCATTCTCTAGTGAAGTGGTCACTACAACTATCAGAGGGTTTCAGACTGCTCATTCTCTAAAAATACTTGTTTCTATTGGAATTTCTTATAACTTATTTTAATGTCCTATGGAGGTTGTTTGATTTTAATCCAAGTGATTTTGTGTATTGGCAGTGCCAAGTAAAGTGTTCCTGATTGTTGCCATGTGCATGTTGTTAGACTTTCTTACTATGCCCTTAACATATCAAGTCACTTTTAAAACTGCTTTATGTAGTGCACACTGTTTACCAATGTTCTCTACTGTCTTTCTTTATAAACATTTCTCTCCCAAAATGTGCATATTTTAGCTCCACCCTGTATGGTGTTTGTAAATTATGTGTAAATTTAGCTGTAAATGAATAAAGGAAATGTTCTTACAAAAATACTATTGTTCAGTTATCAATGATTTAATTTTTACAAGATTTTTGGTTGGGAATATGAACTTGAAGTAGGGGCTTGTAGTAAACCTAAGTGGGTTAAGCTGAATCTATATCACCAATGTTTCATTTTCAAGGAAGTTTATAACCCAAAATATTTGAGAACTTATGTCTACTGGTATTAACTACCCATGTTAAAATTTCAGGCAGTTAAGACCATTGCATGTTTCTAAATGACATCTTTCATGAATAAACCTTTCTAACCTAGAAAGTCCAACACAACCAAGAGGTTTTTCTATTTCTAGCTCCATTTTAACTAATCTAGTGTTAGTTATCACTAGTGGGACTTTCATACATGAACATTTACTGTTACATTTTTTGCTTTGCTATAGATGACAAATGAATGTTCTTGTTTACTAACAAGGAACCAATGACAAAAGCAATCATTGGCCTCTGTACTAAGAACAACACTGCATGATCCAGTTGCTCTACTAATTAGGGTTTGGTTTAAATTGAATCTAAAGAACAGGTGGAGAAAATTTAGTCTTCATCCTGATAAACAGCCATCTACTGATACTCCCAGTTGCTGTTGCTTTTTCTCATGGGATCAGCAGGAGTTTTAGAACTAAGCATGGAATCTGAATACAATTCAATTTCAAGCCAAAAACAAATACACAATTCAGATGGCAACATTTTAATGATCAAAGTGCTTTATGCTGTGTTTTGTTCAGACTAGACCTCTTTTATTTGCAGGGATGCCAATTTTTTCTTTTTCTCCTCCTTTTTTAATTTTTTAGCCTCTTTCTTTTCTTTTTCTTCTTTTTCAGCTAACATCTGAGCAAACTTTGGATCATTGGCTTTGATTTTATAGCCAAAGTAATCTCTGGCTTCATCAAGCAGTAACTGTTTCTTGGCTGCTTTTGCTTTTTTCTCTTTTTCTGCTGTTACTTGTTTATTTTTATACTCTGCTATTAATTTTGGCATTTCTGACATTTTTTTCTCTATAGCTTTCCGCCTGCAGAAAATAAAAAACAAATCTGAAAGACAAGTCTATATAGTCTACTTGATCTAAAAAAAAAAAGCTATAACTGCATTTTAATTATTCCAATAAATTAAACCTCTTTCTAATACAAAACCTGTGCAGTTTCTCTGATACATAATTCTTTTCCTTACCTTTCCATTTTTTCTTTCTCTATTGCTATTTTATTGGCCTGAATCTCCTGCAGTCTGGCAGACAAATTCCCGCACCTTTCTTCTATTTCTTCCTTCTTCTGGTCCCGTAACTGTGCTCTAGATGGCCACAATATTCTAGGATCTTCCCCTGAAGCTGTGCCATACTGAGCCACACGAAGCTTTCTGCGGTACAAATCTTGATAGGGTAAATCTGGAGGTAGCCCATGGTACTGTTTATACTGGTTAGGTCTTAGCCCAGATACATTCCTCAGCTTTTCGTCTAGATTCAATTCTGTACCTGTCAACACCAAGAAGACACTCATGAGTATCATGATACATGAGTACCATGACATGTGAGTACCATGATACGGTTATTTGTAGGTCAGGTTACAATAGTCCAGAAACCAGGGCAGTGTGTGTGTTAACATTGTGTGTTACATATTGTGACCCCAAGCTCAAATGTGTGAATAACACTACAGTAATGTGACCGATTGTGAGGGTTTTTCTGTGGTTAGATAGCTGGTAGGAGGTTGTGTTGAATGGGAAGTGTGGACAAGGATATGATAAAGGAGAAAAAACATTGTGTAGTCGCTGAGGAGTTATTTAATTTGATGGTAATATTTACCTACACATTGACCAAAGAATACACAATCTGAGGATCATGTCATTCTGGGGTGCTGAATGGTGTATAAAAATTTAGTGCATGGTCTCATTTTATAACAAACTTTTCACAATGTATCATTTGTATGTGGGTTTCTGATACAATCTGACACATCACTTATTAAGAATGATTGCTAAACATTTTACTTTACATATAAGATTACAGGTGCCAGTATTACTAATTACAAGATAATCTAAACTTCAGTCGAATTAGACAGTAAAGAAGTAATTAAGAATATATTTGAAGTTTACTAAATACAAAAACTAGAAGGAGATAAAACTAGGTGTTACTGATCATGGTTTGTAAACACTTTTAGTACTTTTAAAATGTTATTTAAAACAAAAAATTAAGATAAAACAATTAGTGACAAGAATAAAAATAAGTTATGAAAGTAAACATAACCAGAATGAATTTTATGAATTAAAAGTTAATGTAATCCTACATTTTAAAAAGAATGATTGAGTGTAAATATTCCAAATATGCTCTCCACAAATAAGTTTTAAAGCTTAGGCCTAATGTTTTTACAAACATAACTCACACACAAACGTTAGGAAAACACTAGGATTATTTTTTTATGAATGTGACTTTTAATTAGAAAAGGTAAAAAAAAACAACATAAAAAAGCATTAGGACAGTTCCAATTGTGTGTGATTGTCAGCAGGAGAAAAATCCCTACACCGTCGGGGAGTTCACCATGAGTTCACACTGACTTAAATTAAAATTATCAGCATACATAATAGCTTGGGCAATAGCTATTTGAAATTGTGTTGGACTCAATTTTAGGGTTATTGTGAGTTCATAAAAGTTTCTTTATAGTATCGTGCGTGGGAGATACTTGTAACAATACAAATTTAACCGCCTTGCAATTGTGAGTTACGTACTTTACCCATTGCCATGAAAATCGGAACTGACACACGAACATAGCAGCACATTCAATATTCCAAATTTGCATTTTTCTCAAGTTTTGACAAAAGTAAATTATCAAAAACTAAAACAAAAATTCATAAAGAAATAAGCCCAATGTTTTCCTAACGTTTTGTGTGTTTCGGTTGTGTTTTATTAGTAAAATACACTAGTCTAGTAGTAGTGAGTTTAGCGACAACTCTGTCTAAGTCTAAGGAGTCTAAGAGCCTAAGACTGGCCTAAGACACTCTGACAAGTGCTAGTGACTAACTCTACTCTAGCCAGTAGATCTAGTTAGTAGTAGCTAGATACTAGATAGATCTAGGCTTAGTTTACTCTACAACTAGATCTAGAGTCTAGTCGGTAAAACTCCATTTTAATTTTAGCATATTTTAAATTTTTATTTTATTCCCCGCTTCACGTTCATAGTGATAGACATAGATACATTCTATTTAGTAAAACACAACAACAAAAACCTACCTTCACTTTCATATAATGTGACGAAATCATCTGCGCTTTTATTTTCTAACTGACAACGAACATTGCTTATACAGATGTATCTCAAGAGACCATTCGTAAATAAAACGTTTTGTCTTATCGTTTTACCAAGTATCACAGCTAAGGTCGCCATTTTCTATTTAGAGTAGTACCCCTTTGATTCTAACTTGATTCGTTAATTTTTAAGAATCCTATTCGCAACTTTTTACTTTCTCGTATATACGAAGTATAGAGAAAGTATTGTAATCGTGCACAAAAATCACTTGAAATTTTAACAATTTTCACCGTATTACACCTCAGTCCTTCATCACATCCGAAGTATAGAGGACTTATTTTAATCGGGCAAAAATTATCAATCCAGATGTATCAAAATTAAGAGGTTTTGTGTGTAATCCAGTCTGAAAAACTGGGCTTTGCAACTCTGTCCGTATGTCTGTGTGTCTGTGTGTGTGTGTGTCCGTGTGTAAACACGATTACTTGAGTACCGTTACAGCTAGGTTGATGAAATTTCATATATAAGTATTTTATCAAAATCGTAGATCCGTATCAACTTTTGAGCGATTTCCGATAACCGGAAGTGGTACTTTTTCTACTTTGAATTTTTAAAAAGCCTATAACTTGAGTATTATTTCACATAGATAAATGAAATTTCACATGTAAGTAAAAGATCTAATTCTCTACCTTCTGTTAAATTTTGAGTAATTTCCGTTGACCGGAAGTAGTAACTTACGCTACTTCCGATTTCTCAAAAAACTAATGTAAATTTTAAAAGTACTAATAATATTGCGCACTATTAAACACTCATTTATTTAGCGTTCACTTGGTGTGCAATTCATTTGTCTACGAGATTTTATTCTATTTTTAAAACTTTAAGTATTTAAAATTGATTTAAAATCATGTCTATAGCATGAGTTCCCATCCCCTGTTGTTTTATATAAGAATATTCGAGAAAGTTTAGGGGAGATCACTCCCGGTTTATTAAAATGTTAGATCTATTCTTTTTCCTACTTTCATAAATGTGATTTTTACTTTCTCGTATATACGAAGTATAGAGAAAGTCTTGTGATCGTGCAAAAAAAAAAAAAAACGAGATTTTTACAAATCTCGACGTTTTACATCTCACTGATACGGAAAAACATAATTTTGCAATCTTGTCCGTATGTGTGTGTGTGTGTGTCCGTGTGTAAACACAATAACTTGAGTACCGTTACAGCTAGGTTGATGAAATTTCATATGTAAGTATTTTATCAAAATCGTAGATCCGTATCAACTTTTGAGCGATTTCCGATAACCGGAAGTGGTACTTTTTCTACTTTGAATTTTTCAAAAGCCTATAACTTGAGTACTATTTCAGATAGATAAATGAAATTTGATATGTAAGTAAAAGATCTAATTCTCTACCTTCTGTCAAATTTTGAGTAATTTCCGTTGACCGGAAGTACTTATTTACGCTATTTCCGATTTCTCAAAAAACGCATGTAAATTTATAAAGTACTATATTGCGCACTATTATGCACATCTTTATTTAGCGTTCACTTGGTGTGCATTTCTTTTTTCTGCGAGATTATATTCTATTTTTAAAAACTTGAGTAATTAAAATGGATTAAAAATTATGTCTAGAAGTCTATATTCCGAGTTGCCATCCCCCATAGTGTTATATTAGAATATTCGAGAAAGTTTGGGGGAGATCACTCCCGGTTTATTTTATTCAGCCTTAAAATATAGATCTAGAATCTAGACCTAAATAATATTATTGAATACTATTTCCAACGCACCCCATTCCACTTATTATAAAATTCATTTTCCCCAGACAAGGGAGAGGTTAACCTTGGGCGGGACCCAGGGCTGAAACTTTTTTTGGGGCCCCCGTAATATATCTATATATCTATAGATCTCATCTCATATATATATATATATATATATATATATATATATATATATATATATGGCTGGATCTAGCTTAAAATTCTCTTTGAATTGATTCCCGTGTGTACGCCTCTGCTTGAAAACAATGTTACACTTTATAGCAACAATGAATAGGCCTAATCTCCATCCCCCCCCCCACACACACACAATCTCTCCTCTTTTTGTTATGATTGCATAAAATAATTAGTAAGCACATTGTAATATTAACTAATATCTATCATATGGAAGAATTGTCAATGATGTCAATTTCATCTTCTTCTTCGCTCTGAATTTAGTAAATGATGGAGGATTTAAACAACAAGTCCAACTTCGTGTATCAACTGGACTGTGGTCTCCAGATCAGCGGGTGCCCCATATAGTTTTTCCTTGAGTGGGGTGTGTAAGGGCCAGTGTTTGGGTCGCGCCTGGCTTTATAATGAACAGTCTTGAAGGAGGTACTCTGCTTTCTCCGGGGCCATGCCACAAGGGCAAATTTCGCCACACCCAATTTGTAGTTTTTAAAAAAAAAATATATGTTCTGTTATAGTCGGTTATGGCCTGTTCTGAGTCTAAAAATTAAGTATAATGTCTATTTGATTTTAATTGTTTCATATTTAAAAATAGATTTGCTGCGCACAAAGATGCGCAAACCTGAAGCGTGGCGCGTGATGCCACACCGACGTCTTGTCATTTGCAACAAGATGTCTTGAAGGGTTGGAGTCAACTTCACGGGGTGTGGGGTGTCTAGTTTTTTTTCCCCGTCCACTTTAACACAGAGGTCAGCAGAGTGAGGGAGATAGAGGGAGGGAGACGGAGAGAGGGAGACGGAGAGAGGGAGAGGTGTTCCCTAAGCACTGGCAGTCAGTAAGTAGACGTAAGATGTCATTTAAAAGGCAACAAGTAATGCTTCTAGTTACTGTTTCACTAGTTTCAGAATTCAAAGTTACTATATCTGCTCCCATCCACCAACCCACCCACCCCCGCATTATTTTACAGCTTCCTGTGTCGCAGGTGTTGGAACTGGGTTAAGGTCAGCAGAATTAGGTTAAGGTCAGCATCATCAGATTGAGGTCAGCAAAATAAAAGATGGAGCCGCAAGGAGTTTTGTCGTCAGACTTACCGCTATTCTACGGTATGTGTCAGCAGATCAGACTTTCATGATGATCGGATGAACAGACAGACGGACAGACACAAACAATATCATATATATATATATATATATATATATATATATATATATATATATATATATATATATATATATATATATATATATATATATATAGCCTATGTGTGTGTGTGTGTGTAACGTAAAATGGGGTAAGCGCCAAACCCCGTTTTACGTTACACACGGTAAGGAGATATGGTTTTATTTTTATAACGTTTATTTCTCTAGTATCCCTCCCTCCCACCCCTGTTAAAATAGTGAGAGCCACCCCATAAAATGGCGTAACACTAGTCGACCAAATGACGTAACACTAGCCGACGTAATGACGTAACACTAGCCGACGTAATGACGTAACACTAGCCGACCTACACCCATGCCTTGCGATGTATTCCGTTAGATTCCGTTAGATAGTAGAACCAAACAGTGGCGATTACTCCCATTAGCACGTTCTAAAATTTACTTTTAAAATTAAAAACAAAACAAAATTGCAACAAGTCTGATGTCATGTCCAACGAGCGACACTCAGTGTTTCTTCCAGACTTTTTTCTCCGGGGGGGGGGGCACTTGAAATTTTCGGGGGGGGGGGCGGTAGACTTTCTCCCGGGGGGGGACGGACACTGTTAAGGATTGATGAGGTTTATTGATGACACTATGCGTGCTCTTTATTGAAACGATTTTGTAATTGATCAGATCTCTGTAAAGTCAATAATGAGATGACATTATAATTTTAAAAAAAATTAACTTCAATATTTCGCCCCCAAGGTGATCTAAGTATGGGCAATGAGAACAAGACTGAAAGCTATTTTCCTCAGAAATGTCAAGCATTCAATTCCCGGCAGACCTGGCGCCCGCGCCCATCCTACGTCAGGAATCCAACAACCACGAACTGTTCTTCTCTCCCCAACAACACCTCCCCAAGCAGCGTTGTAAGCCCATCTCTAGGAAAGGTGTAGTCTGCAGTCTGGGACCTTTGGTAGGTATTGTCTGGGACCTTTGGTAGGTGTAGTCTGGGACCTTTGGTAGGTGTAGTCTGGGACCTTTGGTAGGTGTAGTCTGGGACCTTTGGTAGGTGTAGTCTGTAGTCTGGGACCTTTGGTAGGTGTAGTCTGGGACCTTTGGTAGGTGTAGTCTGTAGTCTGGGACCTTTGGTAGGTGTAGTCTGGGACCTTTGGTAGGTGTAGTCTGGGACCTTTGGTAGGTGTAGTCTGTAGTCTGGGACCTTTGGTAGGTGTAGTCTGGGACCTTTGGTAGGTGTAGTCTGGGACCTTTGGTAGGTGTAGTCTGGGACCTTTGGTAGGTGTAGTCTGGGACCTTTGGTAGGTGTAGTCTGGGACCTTTGGTAGATGTAGTCTGGGACCTTTGGTAGATGTAGTCTGGGACCTTTGGTAGGTGTAGTCTGGGACCTTTGGTAGGTGTAGTCTGGGACCTTTGGTAGGTGTAGTCTGGGACCTTTGGTAGGTGTAGTCTGGGACCTTTGGTAGGTGTAGTCTGGGACCTTTGGTAGGTGTAGTCTGTAGTCTGGGACCTTTGGTAGGTGTAGTCTGGGACCTTTGGTAGGCGTAGTCTGGGACCTTTGGTAGGTGTAGTCTGGGACCTTTGGTAGGTGTAGTCTAGGACCTTTGGCTGGTCTAGACTGGGACCTTTGGTTGGTGTAGTCTATAGTCTGGGACCTTTGGTAGGTATCGTAAGGTATGTAAGTTACAGACATGTGTACTAATTGCAATGTACTCAAATGTAGATGCTGAACTCATGCTATTACTATTAGTACTTAGGTATCAAAGAATTGCAGTTAAATCATGTAAGATAGAACATATAGAATATCTCACTGAATTTCTCATCTATTTTATTGACAGTCTTCTTTCATCAAAGTGAAAAATATTTTCCCGGTACCCGCACAGAAAGAAAAGCTAGGTGGTAAGTGCATACAATGAAAATCTCGCACATTTAGACATGTAGCCTATATCCAATTAAAATCTCGCACATTTAGCCATAAATTATGCACGTCTAATTTTCGCGAGTGCGTGTGTCCTGATGCTTTGAGTTTCCCCAGACAAGTCGACCACTCGGTCGGTGATCTCTTCAACACAACCGGCCTCAGCCAGACTGCCAGAACTGTATGTGACCAAACTCAACAAGGGATCGGCTGGTGGGTCCATGTGTGGGTCTGTGTGTGGGGCCGTGTGTGGGTCTGTGTGTGGGGCCGTGTGTGGGTCTGTGTGCGTGGGGCCATTTGTTGGTGTGTGTGTATGTTTGTATGTGCGGGTCTGTGTGGGTCTGTGTGTGTGTGTATGGGGGGGGGGGGGGGGGCGTGTGTGTGTGTGGGGCCGTGTGTTGGTCTCTGTGTGGGACCGTGTGTTGGTGTGTGTGTGTGTGTCGGGCCGTGTGTTGGTGTGTGTGTGTGTGTGTCGGACCGTGTGTTGGTCTGTGTGTGTGTGTGTGTGTGTGTGTCGGGCCGTGTGTTGGTGTGTGTGTGGGGCCGTGTGTTGGTCTGTGTGTGTGTGCGTGTGTGCGGGTCTGTGTTGGTCTGTGTGTGGGGCCGTGTGTGTGTGTGTCTGTGTTGGTCTGTGTGTTGGTGTGTGTGTGTGTGCAGGTCTGTGTTGGTCTGTGTGTGTGTGTGCGTGTCTGTGTTGGTCTGTGTGTGTGTGCAGGTCTGTGTGGGGCCGTGTGTGTGTGTCTGTGTTGGTCTGTGTGTTGGTGTGTGTGTGTGTGCAGGTCTGTGTTGGTCTGTGTGTGTGTGTGCGTGTCTGTGTTGGTGTGTGCGTGTGTGCAGGTCTGTGTTGGTCCACGATGATTGCAACATTTCTTGACGTCTAGACAAGCTGGGTGAAACAAAAACTCCGCGCAACTCGGTCAAGCTGACCGAACCGAAGCTGTTCAAGTTCCACAGGTCATGTTCAGAGATCGTCTGCGACCTGAACAGGAGCAGGAGGCAGCTAGCCATGCAGTGCCTGCACCATTTCAAAAGGTAGGGGAGGAGGGGGGGCGGAGACTTTTTTCAAAGATCACCTTCAGTAGGAGGTAGAGGCAGGGCGGGGGAGGTAGGTAGGGAAAGGGAGGTAGGGGCAGGGAGGTAAAGATGGACCGGTAAAAAAAAAGTCTGTCTTCTCGACAGAAATTCCAAACTAGCCTGGGGTTCATCTCTCCCCTCTGACCTGTGCTCGTTCCCCGACCACTCTGTCCTCGTCAAGTGGTTCTTCGCTGCCCGACCCAACCTCCCGTCCTACACCATAGAGAGTGTCTTCGCCATCCTTACCAGGTCAGTTGCTCAACCCTCACCCCCTCATACAACCACCCCTCGCAAATCAACCCTCGCCCCCTCTTACAATCACCCCTTCACACCGTCCCACCTCATACAATCACCCCTCGCCCCCTCATACAATCACCCCTCACACCGTCACCCCCTCACACCGTCCCACCTCATACAATCACCCCTCACACCGCCCTCCCTCACACAATCACCCCCTCACACAATCACCCCTCGCCCCCTCATATTTATCACCCCTTCACCCCTCACACAATCACCCCCTCACACAATCACCCTTTCACACCGTCCCCCCTCATATTTATCACCCCTCACACAATCACCCCTCACACAATCAACCCTTCACACAATCACCCCTCACACAATCAACCCTTCACACAATCAACCCTTCACACAATCAACCCCTCACACAATCACCCCTCACACCGTCCCCCTTCACACAATCACCCCCTCACACAATCACCCCTCACACAATCACCCCTCACACCGTCCCCCCTCACACAATCACCCCTTCACACCGTCCCCCCTCACACAATCACCCCTCACACAATCACCCCTCACGCCGTCCCCCCTCACACAATCAACCCTTCACACAATCACCCCTCACACAATCACCCCTCACACCGTCCCCCCTCACACAATCACCCCTTCACACCGTCCCCCCTCACACAATCACCCCTTCACACAATCACCCCTCACACCGTCCCCCCTCACACAATCACCCCTTCACACCGTCCCCCCTCACACAATCACCCCTCACACCGTCCCCCCTCACACAATCACCCCTCACACCGTCCCCCCTCACACCGTCCCCCCTCACACAATCACCCCTTCACACAATCACCCCTCACACCGTCCCCCCTCACACAATCAACCCTTCACACAATCACCCCTCACACAATCACCCCTTCACACCGTCCCCCCTCACACCGTCCCCCCTCACACAATCAACCCTTCACACAATCACCCCTTCACACGGTCCCCCCTCATATTTATCACCCCTTCACCCCTCACACAATCAACCCTTCACACAATCACCCCTCACACCGTCCCCCCTCACACCGTCCCCCCTCACACAATCACCCCTCACTCCGTCCCCCCCATACAATCCCCCCGTCACCCCATCAGTAGCCCAATACCTACAAAAACTGCACACACACACACACACATGTCAGGGGAATGTCCACACTAACCCACACACCAACCCACACACCAACCCACACACTAACCCACACACCATCCCACAAACCAACCCACACAGCAGATGTATGTCCCCAGGTACGGCAAGGTCAAGGCCATGGTCCAGCTCTCCCCCAACTCTGCCCTGGTCGTGTTCGCCAGTGAGTCGGTGGCCAAGACGGTGGTCAAGGCGGGCCACGTTGGGTTCCACCAGTGTCCGTTACTGTGTAACTGGGTCTTCATCGCCATGTACAAGAAGTAGGTCACGCTCGCGTCACATGACTCACTCAAAGTTTGGTCATCGGGAGGGGAAGGGGTCAGCAGTGGCCAGAGTTTCTTCCAGGCATCTCTTCGGGGGGGGGGGGGCCAAGCCCCCTCGAAAAAATTTTACCGCCCCCCGAACGAAATGAAATTTATATAATTTTTATAGAAAATATATACTTTTAACAGTGTCCGCCCCCTCCCCCCCCCCCCCCCCGAAGACAGTCTACCGCCCCCCCCCCCCCCCCCAAAAAATTTCAAGTGCCCCCCCCCCCCCCCGGAGAAAAAAAGTCTGGAAGAAACACTGGCAGTGACTCAATAACTATTTAACCGAGGTGGACAAAGCCCTGGAACTGAAACATGTGATCTGGCCCACACAAATTCCAAATTGATATTTTAAAAAACCCAGATATACTACAGCAGTGATTGTTTTACGGTAAATATTAAACGCTTTTGCGTAGAAAATTATTTAAAAAGAAACAAATACTTGAGCTCTACAGTGAAAGATAGTTCAATTTACTGCCATAGTTGAGGTGGGTTCTGGTAAGGTTTAAAGTTAGGTTTATGGTTATTTATATTTTTATCGCACGTTAGTATTTACAAATAGTTATTTAATTGGAAAAGTAAAAATAATACATTCTCAAAACCAGGGTACACCGGGGATAGGTTGATTAATAAACACACGAATCATGGTCCTCTACAGATAGGTTGTTCACGGAGGCTAGTGCAGGGCCTGGCCAGGACGGCTATTATATATATATATATATATATATATATATATATATATATATATATATATATATATATATATATATATATATATATATATATATATATATATATATATATATATATATATATATATGTATATATATCTATTGATGCCACTGAATATATTTGACAGCATGGGCCCAGACAAACTTGGCGGCCCCTTTAAGAGGAAGACCCAGGAGGAAGCGTTCAACCACTACGTCCGTCAACAACAGAAGATCATCCTAACCAGCTTCAAACTCCACTCACCCGACATGTACTATGACCACACCAAATACATCCCATAGCTACCACACCCATCCCATAGCTACCACACCAAATACATCCCATAGCTACCACATCCATCCCATAGCTACCACACCAAATACATCCCATAGCTACCACATCCATCCCATAGCTACCACACCAAATACATCCCATAGCTACCACACCAAATACATCCCATAGCTACCACACCAAATACATCCCATAGCTACCACACCAAATACATCCCATAGCTACCACACCAAATACATCCCATAGCTACCACACCAAATACATCCCATAGCTACCACACCAAATACATCCCATAGCTACCACACCAAATACATCCCATAGCTACCACACCAAATACATCCCATAGCTACCACACCCATCCCATAGCTACCACACCAAATACATCCCATAGCTACCACACCAAATACATCCCATAGCTACCACACCAAATACATCCCATAGCTACCACACCAAATACATCCCATAGCTACCACACCCATCCCATAGCTACCACACCAAATACATCCCATAGCTACCACACCAAATACATCCCATAGCTACCACACCAAATACATCCCATAGCTACCAAATACATACCATAGCTACCAAATACATCCCATAGCTACCACACCCATCCCATAGCTACCACACCCATCCCATAGCTACCACACCAAATACATCCCATAGCTACCACACCAAATACATCCCATAGCTACCACACCAAATACATCCCATAGCTACCACACCCATCCCATAGCTACCACACCAAATACATCCCATAGCTACCACACCAAATACATCCCATAGCTACCACACCAAATACATCCCATAGCTACCACACCCATCCCATAGCTACCACACCAAATACATCCCATAGCTACCACACCAAATACATCCCATAGCTACCACACCAAATACATCCCATAGCTACCACACCCATCCCATAGCTACCACACCAAATACGTCCCATAGCTACCACACCAAATACGTCCCATAGCTACCACACCATATACATCCCATAGCTACCACACCAAATACATCCCATAGCTACCACACCAAATACGTCCCATAGCTACCACACCATATACATCCCATAGCTACCACACCAAATACATCCCATAGCTACCACACCATATACATCCCATAGCTACCACACCAAATACATCCCATAGCTACCACACCAAATACGTCCCATAACTACCACACCATATACATCCCATAGCTACCACACCAAATACATCCCATAGCTACCACACCAAATACATCCCATAGCTACCAAATACATCCCATAGCTACCACACCAAATACATCCCATAGCTACCAAATACATCCCATAGCTACCACACCAAATACATCCCATAGCTACCACACCAAATACATCCCATAGCTACCACACCAAATACATCCCATAGCTACCACACCAAATACATCCCATAGCTACCACACCACATACATCCCATAGCTACCACACCAAATACATCCCATAGCTACCACACCAAATACATCCCATAGCTACCACACCAAATACATCCCATAGCTACCACACCAAATACATCCCATAGCTACCACACCAAATACATCCCATAGCTACCACACCAAATACATCCCATAGCTACCACACCAAATACATCCCATAGCTACCACACCAAATACATCCCATAGCTACCACACCAAATACATCCCATAGCTACCACACCAAATACATCCCATAGCTACCACACCAAATACATCCCATAGCTACCACACCAAATACATCCCATAGCTACCACACCAAATATGGACAGAACTACAGGATGGATATATTTTATGTAAAGCTAAACAGGTTAAAACAAATTAAAAGTTGACATCAGAGAACTAAGAATCTGTCAGTACTTTAGAGAAAATAAACGTGTGCTTTGGTTTTTTGGAGATTTTTTTTATCACTGCTTTAAGTTGGTGCAGGATTTTCTTATCACTGGTGTAAGTTGATGCAAGATTTTCTTATCCCTGATGTAAGTCGGTGCAAGATTTTCTTATCCCTGCTGTAAGTTGGTGCAAGATTTTCTTATCACTGCTGTAAGTTGGTGCAAGATTTTCTCATCACTGGTGTAAGTTGATGCAAGATTTTCTTATCCCTGCTGTAAGTTGGTGCAAGATTTTTTTTATCCCTGCTGTAAGTTGGTGCAAGATTTTCTTATCACTGCTGTAAGTTGGTGCAAGATTTTCTTATCACTGCTGTAAGTTGGTGCAAGATTTTCTTATCACTGGTGTAAGTTGATGCAAGATTTTCTTATCCCTGCTATAAGTTGGTGCAAGATTTTCTTATCACTGTTGTAAGTTGGTGCAAGATTTTCTTATCACTGGTGTAAGTTGATGCAAGATTTTCTTATCCCTGCTGTAAGTTGGTGCAAGATTTTCTTATCACTGCTGTAAGTTGGTGCAAGATTTTCTTATCACTGGTGTAAGTTGGTGCAAGATTTTCTTATCACTGGTGTAAGTTGGTGCAAGATTTTCTTATCCCTGCTGTAAGTTGGTGCAAGATTTTCTTATCACTGCTGTAAGTTGGTGCAAGATTTTCTTATCACTGGTGTAAGTTGATGCAAGATTTTCTTATCCCTGCTGTAAGTTGGTGCAAGATTTTCTTATCCCTGCTGTAAGTTGATGCAAGATTTTCTTATCCCTGCTGTAAGTTGGTGCAAGATTTTCTTATCCTTGCTGTACGTTGGTGCAAGATTTTCTTAGCCCTGCTGTAAGTTGGTGCAAGATTTCAGCAAGAAAAAAAACCAACTTTCTAGTCACCAAAATCAAAGCCAACTTGCGTCACGTGATCTTTATAGCTGTCTGGGTTAGAGATTTAGCACCCAGAGAAGATCGATGGTGTAGAGATTATTATTAGGTTATTTCTGACGTCATACCTGGAGTGCACGTGAAAGCGACGTGACCTTTGACATGGCGAGTTTTGACTTGAACAGGAGAGAAATCTTGGGAACAAATGAGTAGGTTATAACAGCCCACAGTTCCAACATAGCGGCCCACAGAACTGGCTGTACCATATAGCGGCCCACAGTTCAAACATAGCGGCCCACAGTTCCAACATAGCGGCCCACAGAACTGGCTGTACCATATAGCGGCCCACAGTTCAAACATAGCGGCCCACAGTTCCAACATAGCGGCCCACAGAACTGGCTGTACAATATAGCGGCCCACAGTTCAAACATAGCGGCCCACAGTTCCAACATAGCGGCCCACAGTTCCAACATAGCGGCCCACAGTTCAAAAATAGCGGCCCACAGTTCAAACATAGCGGCCCACAGTTCAAACATAGCGGCCCACAAAACTGACTGTACAATATAGCGGCCCACAGTTCCAACATAGCGACCCACAAAACTCACTGTACCATATAGCGGCCCACAAAACTAACTGTACAATATAGCGGCCCACAGTTCAAACAAAGCGGCCCACAAAACTGACTGTACAATATAGCGGCCTACAGTTGCAACATAGCGGCCCACAAAACTGGCTGTACCATATAGCGGCCCACAAAACTGGCTGTACAATATAGCGGCCCACAAAACTGGCTGTACCATATAGCGGCCCACAAAACTGGCTGTACAATATAGCGGCCCACAAAACTGGCTGTACCATATAGCGGCCCACAAAACTGGCTGTACCATATAGCGGCCCACAAAACTGGCTGTACCATATAGCGGCCCACAAAACTGGCTGTACAATATAGCGGCCCACAAAACTGGCTGTACCATATAGCGGCCCACAAAACTGGCTGTACAATATAGCGGCCCACAAAACTGGCTGTACAATATAGCGGCCCACAAAACTGGCTGTACAATATAGCGGCCCACAAAACTGGCTGTACCATATAGCGGCCCACAAAACTGGCTGTACAATATAGCGGCCCACAAAACTGGCTGTACCATATAGCGGCCCACAAAACTGGCTGTACAATATAGCGGCCCACAAAACTGGCTGTACTATATCCCCCAGCCAGATCCATAAGATCGGATCAATAAAAAACATTGAATAAATCCGATGATTTTATTTCCCTCACGGAATGGTGTATCGGATTAACCGGAAATTATATTTTGCCGGTTTTTGTCCTTCAAATGGTTCTCCCCCAACCCCCACGTCATCCGGCTTCCCATTTCGGCGCCCGGAGCAAACTAACTGCTCCCCCTCCCTTCATATATATATATATATATATATATATATATATATATATATATATATATATATATATATATATATATAATGAGAGAGATTGTGTCAAATAATGAGAGAGGTTGTGTCAAATAAAGAGAGAGGTTCAGTCAGCCGTGTAAAGAAATAAACCATGTAAAATACCTGAAAAGGAACCCTAAGGTAATATATATTTTAATATTTGGTCTAGACTGGTGAGCTGTGGTTCACGAGAATGTTTACAATTGTAGAACCGTGGATCTAGTGAAGGATATTAGAGCAGATAATTGAGTTTTTAAACGATTAGAAAACAAAGGGGAGGTAGCAAGACTAAGAACTGTCCTTCGCTTTATCAACTTGCTGTTGTCTGTAAACTATCGTCACGGACGGCTGCTTTCACGGGGCAGATAATCATCTTTCAGATATATCAAGCTACTGATGGTGTTTGAAAGCAAATAGTTTTAGTTGTATCTTCATAAATTAGGAATCACTAAAAAGTAGAAAATAAAACAAATATAAATAAAGCAGGAGTGATCTCCCCTAAACTTTCTCGAATATTTTTATATAACACTAGATGGGATGGCAACTCGGGATATAGACATGATTTTTAATTACTTAAACTTTTAAAAATAGAATAGAATCTGGTAGAAAAAGAATTGCGCACCAAGCGAACGCCAAACAAAATGTGCATAATAGTGCGGAATATTATTAGTACTTTATAAATTTACATGCGTTTTTTTTTTGAGAAATCGGAAATAGCATAATTACTACTTCCGGTCAACGGAAATTACTCAAAATTTGAAAGAAAGCAGATAATTAGATCTTTTACTTACATGTGAAATTTCATTTATCTATCTGAAATAGTACTCAAGTTATAGGCTTTTGAAAATTTCAAAGTAGAAAAAGTTCCACTTCTGGTTATCGGAAATTTCTCAAAAGAGCATAATGATCTACAAATTTGATATAATACTTATATATGTTATAGCCCTAAACGTACTCAAGTTATCGTGTTTACAGACACACACACATCCACAGACATACGGACAAGATTGCAAAACTCTGTTTTTCCGACTCAGGGAGCTGTAAAACGTCAACATTTGCAAAAATCTCGAATATTTTTTTTTTTGCACGATTACAAGACTTGTACTTCGTATATACAAGAAAGTAAAAAATTTACAGCTACAAGCTTTTGAATGCACAGAAAGTAAAACTAATCTGCTTTCTTGCATAAAAGCTTTGGTCTCTCATGAGATCGTTTACATATTTTAGCGATAAAAGCTTATATAAAAGAAAGCAGAATCTTGTTGCTAGAAAGGTTTTTATAATTGTTTTATTACAAGGTTTTATTTAGTTCGCAACGTCGGTTTGTTTGTGTATTTGTTTGTTTGGGAGTTTGGGGAAAATGTTGTAACTCAATTTTGACCAACTTTTAATGCAGCGATTTCGTTCAAATTTTCCAGTTACCTTCTTCTTTGAGGACGATGCATGCGTAACTATTTTAAAATCTAATTTGACATTCGACATTAAAATCTAATAAAACGGTTTCGAAATTAAGTAGAGATAACATGATTGAATGCTAACGATCACCCGATGTAGCACTATATTCAACAACGTAAGGGGAGATCACTAGCTAGACGCGATCACCCGATGACGCTGAATGTTGTTTGGTCACGGTTGGTTGCCCGAATGTTGTAGAAGGCGCAGACAGATCGCAATTTACTGGTCCGGTCTGAACTCTGTTCAATAATAAAAGGGGAGATAACAGGATTAAATACTAGTGATCGCGCGACCATCTCGCGGAGAGGGTGAACTCTTGTCACGGTCGGCTGATTTCTTGATGAACGTTGACTAACAACAAGGGGCAGACAACTGTTTTTTTAATGAGATTCCCAACTAGTAATCGGGCCTTAACACACATTTTAGTCGCGTATCTGGTGTCATCTTCGTTTAGAACGAATCACTAAAAAGTGGAGAATCAAACAAGTAAAAACCTTTAGAACAACACACTTTTTAAATAAAACAAGTAAAACACCTTTAGAACAACACACTTTTAAAATAAAACAAGTAAAACACCTTTAGAACAACACACTTTTTAATGCAATAGAAATAAGACAATAAAATAAGGTTGCTCTTTTTTAATAAAAACAACCTTTGGACACTCATGAGATCTCTCACATATTTTACGACCAAAACTTTTATTAAATAGAGCTTCTTTGTTTTATTTTCTTATTTTCAGTGCATTTAAAAGCTTCATGCTATATAGGTTTTTAAAATGTTTTTTTTTTAAAATTATCATTAAACAAACTGAACAAACTATTTTTGTGTCTTCATATACCGGGGATAAGAGTCTATGTAGCCCCCCCCCCCCCTCCCCTCTGAACAAACTATTTTTGTCTTTATTAACGGGGTGCGAGTCGACATTATCGATAAAAAAATCAATCAATAGTCACCTCCCCCCCCCCCCCCCAGCTGTTTGACGCCGTCTGACGGTCCACTGAGCTGTTTCCTGGAGCAGCCGACAGTCGGACGCACAGTGGGGCAGATATAAGACCAGGTGGAATCATGGGGCTGACACGTTCAGCTAAAACAATGGCACACAATTAGGCTGTTTTTTTATGGCACAGAGGTAAGTAGTATCAGGCACAGCACTAAGCTTTTTTTTTTAAGACAAATATTAAAGTAGTGAAATATTGATGTAGTGAAATATTGAAGAAGTGAAATATTGATGTAGTGGAATATTGATGTAGTGGAATATTGGTGTAGTGGAATATTGATGTAGTGAAATATTGATGTAGTGAAATATTGATGTAGTGGAATATTGATGTAGTGGAATGTTGATGTAGTGAAATATTGAAGTAGTGAGATATTGAAGTAGTGAAATATTGATGTAGTGAAATATTGAAGTAGTGAAATAATGATGTAGTGAAATATTGAAGTAGTGAAATATTGAAGTAGTGAAATATTGATGTAGTGGAATATTGATGTAGTGAAATATTGATATAGTAAAATATTGATGTAGTGAAATATTGATGTAGTGGAATATTGAAGTAGTAAAATATTGATGTAGTGAAATATTGAAGTAGTGAAATATTGATATAGTAAAATATTGATGTAGTGAAATATTGATGTAGTGAAATATTGATGTTCTAATTTGGTTTAAATCTCAGTCTGTCACATTAATTTCTTGTCAGGCGGTTTGAGATAAGGTTTTGTGCTGATAAATTTGTTTACATTTCAGGGCAATTTTTTCGTTTAATTTCTTATCAACACGCGAGCTCTGATAAGAAGAAATGGTACAAAAATAAGTCTTTTATATCTTTGGGACTGCCTCTGTGTTTGTGTGTTTGTGTGTCTGTGTGTGTACCTAGACGATCTGTGTGTCCTTTATACATTTCCTCCATGCTTGTCCAAGTAATTAGCTCAATATCTTAAAGACTTAGTAGCAGAGGCGTATCCAGGTTTTCGTTGTAGGGGGAGCGAAAAGAGCAAAAAAAAGGCGCAGAATTTTTAACACGTTCACAATACGTGTATTATATATATATATATATATATATATATATATATATATATATATATATATATATATATATATATATATATATATATATATAAATAATTACTAGCTGTATGTCATTACTTCGCTATGATGTAAAATAAATTGAATGTAGCACTCTGAAGAAATAAGAAAAAACACACAGTGTAGGCCGACAAAACAACAATTGTATCAATCTAAACAAACAAGTTAATAAAAAGTCTAGTGACAATTTAAGCGCAATTTCCTTAATTATTTTTTTGTGACCGAACGAAAGGATATTTTTGAAAACTTTCTTCGGCAATATTGTTCTAAATTATGGCAGGAATCGATTGGTAAATGTTTCAAGTCCCTAAGTGGTCTGGTTGCCGAGATATGGGCCAAAAACTGCATTTTTTCGAGGTTTTTTGGCTTTTCCGGGAAATCCAGGAAGGAATTCCGGGAATTTTTATGGCCCACAATCATCCTCGGAACTTGCTTAACATATTTGCTTTTGGAACTAGTCCTTGATATTTCTTCATTGAGGAGGAGATACGACTTAAAGCTGCGGACACACATTCATCCATCCATCCAGAAATAACGAATTAATAATCGCAATTGTCCGTATGGAAATTGCGCTAAAAAATATATATATAGATACACACTACAACCAGAAACAATGAACGAAACACAATCTGTTTTGTAATTCTTGTAAAAAAAAAATTCTCATATAATAATTTCTGGGAAATTATTTAAGACTAGTGAAATAGGGGAAAGAATCACTCTCTTAATATAAATATGTATATATCTACACATTTAATTATAAATGTCAAAACAAATAAATAATTACTTTAGAATATAATGAAATGGTTTAACACTATTCGTGTTTACAACATGTTTTTGTCTATGATCAGAATTTAATATATCGTCATCATAAATGCTAAAGTATTACAGCATAATGAAAGTTTTTAAAATCAGAGTTTTCGATATAATAGAAAAACATTCAAAGTAACAGCCTACATTTAACTAAATATCGGTCCTTTAGTTCAGATCATATATTTTTAATTAACTACTGCTTTTTTGTGTTCTTTAGAGATCATTTTTTAACATAGTGATAGGTATGGGTTAGAACACTGTATTGATCACACACCTTTTTACTGATAATTGCAAAAACAATATTCACAGAGTTTTACGGTTAAAAAGCTAATTTTCTGGCGGCATGGTACTTTGTTACATCATTACGCGTTTTTCTACATGTACTTAACAGATCAGTTCGGGGTGGGTGGGTTCAACTTTAGGTCAATTATCCAACCCAGTGTATACCTAGGTGTGACATTAATGTCGCTCTACACAATTGTGGTGGTGAGGTGTGTGTGGGGGGGGGGGGGATAACCAACTCAGCGTGAACATAGCGTCAGTTTTTAGATGACTGTTCTAAACATACATATATATTACACAAATATATATTACAGAAATAGATTTAAATAAGTAGCAGTGGTATTATGACAATATTTTTTTTTACAGAAGGGTCCATTGGGAGGGGGGTTGTAACTGTTTCATATAATTTGTAATCGTAATCACTATCGCCCAAACTGTAAGAATACTACTACTTCATCGTGACGACGTTGTTGACCTTGTCAAAATTTCCCCGTTTCACAGCGGTTTCTGTTTTGTAATTTTAAAATAAATTCATCACACGATTCAAACTATATATATATATATATATATATATATATAAAGTAATTATGTGTGAAGTTTTATGTATAACATTTTCTAATTCAATTATTCGTAAGCAAATACATTATGCAGTTGCCTTAAACTTAACACCCCTCTTGCCAAGTGGTACTACTCGTAGAGGTTTTTTAAACATTGCAATTCATCGTAATGGTTATTTTTAGAATGGCAAACTGATGCAGCTGTTAATACGTGTTGTAAACGTAGACTAGTACAATAATTCTTAATTAAAAGAAATCTTGTGATTTACATAGATGTGCCGACCAAAAATATTTTTTTAACAAATATCATTGTTTAAAACTTTGAGTTTAAAAAATTTCCAAAAAGGCGCCACTTTGCTGAAAATTGCCAGAGGGGGAGCGGCCGCTCCCCCTGCATACGCTACTGCTCAGTAGGCCACTGCGTGAAACAAATAGACGGGTCCAAAATTTCAGGGAAATAACGTTGTGATTTTTGGAAGGAGAGTAACTAATAAAATACTTAAAAAAAACTTTTAAAAAAACCACGTTTTTCTTGTGGACTAAAAAGTAGAAAATAACTATTTACATACATTTGATGACAAAAAACGTGGGTACGTTCACCATCAAATTTCCCGACCCATCTGCCCGACCCACGTTTTTTGTCATCAAATGTATGTAAATAGTTATTTTCTACTTTTTAGTCCACAAGAAAAACGTGGTTTTTTTAAAAGTTTTTTTTAAGTATTTTATTTTCTCCTTTTTAGTCCGTTGCTACACATGAAAAACGTGGTTTTTAAAAAGTTTTTTATATAGTTTATTTTCTACTTTATCTAATCACTTGATTAAGTATGACTTGACTAAGTGTTTTTAAATACACGGACTAAAAAAATCTTGAGCGACCGATACGCTTTAAACAGAGAAAGGGTGTAATTTACGTTGCTGGCGTGGTTTTTTAAAAAGTTTTTTTTAAGTATTTTATTTTCTCCTTTTTAGTCCGTTGCTACACATGAAAAACGTGGTTTTTAAAAAAGTGTTTATAAATACACGGACTAAAAATCTTGAGCGACCAGGATTCGAACCTGGGTTGTCGCGGCCACAACGCGAAGTACTAACCACTATACGATCACGGCCAGCGCGCTCACATCGATTGGGGCCGAAGTAACTGTGTCAATAGGACTGCAGTCTTGTCGGTATCTTTAGAAATCATGTCCTCAATTTTATGGTCCTTGGGGCGTAATTAAATTAAGCTAATTACGGTCACTAATTGCTAGTTTTTATGATTGCATCTGAAATTGTTAGGCGAAAGTAGCATGCATGCCAAATTTCAGGTCTCTAGAGCAATCAGAAGTGGGCTAATTTTCGATGTCAATTTTAACAACAAACATCCAAACAAACAAACAAACGCGAAGCTGAGTTAAGAAAAACGTTTTAAAATAGTATAGGAATATTTTTGTAATGATACGGAATTTGATTTTAAGAGCGTTCTTTTTATACAATACTTTAAAGACGTGTAGGCTATATGCAAGGAATGGCTTATATCGGTCAAAGGTCAACAATATAAGCAACGTGTTTGTTATTAGTGAAAAAATAACCCACAAGGCAAGCATGAGCGTGTGTCTGAGAGTGTGTCACACGTCTGTCAGCTGAGTCACGTGACTCAAAACAAAGTTACAATAATTAGGCCCCTAGAGACATAATTAAACTAATTAAAGGGTGATTAAAATAACTTGCTACACATTGTACTCTGCAAACCATTTGTAAAATTGTTTGCACTCCGGTAGACAGAACCATGTGTCTCGTGTAGACAGTGTCTCGTGTAGACAGTGTCTCGTGTAGACAGTGTCTCGTGTAGACAAAACCAAGTGTCTCGCGTAGACAGTGTCTTGTGTAGACAGTGTCTTGTGTAGACAGAACCAAGTGTCTCGTGTAGACAGAACCAAGTGTCTCGTGTAGACAGTGTCTCGTGTAGACAAAACCAAGTGTCTCGTGTAGACAGAACCAAGTGTCTCGTGTAGACAGTGTCTTGTGTAGACAGTGTCTCGTGTAGACAGTGTCTCGTGTAGACAGTGTCTTGTGTAGACAGTGTCTTGTGTAGACAGTGTCTTGTGTAGACAGTGTCTTGTGTAGACAGAACCAAGTGTCTCGTGTAGACAAAACCAAGTGTCTCGTGTAGACAGTGTCTCGTGTAGACAGAACCAAGTGTCTCGTGTAGACAGAACCAAGTGTCTCGTGTAGACAGTGTCTTGTGTAGACAGTGTCTCGTGTAGACAGTGTCTCGTGTAGACAAAACCAAGTGTCTCGTGTAGACAAAACCAAGTGTCTCGTGTAGACAGTGTCTTGTGTAGACAGTGTCTCGTGTAGACAGTGTCTCGTGTAGACAAAACCAAGTGTCTCGTGTAGACAGAACCAAGTGTCTCGTGTAGACAGTGTCTCGTGTAGACAGAACCAAGTGTCTCGTGTAGACAGTGTCTCGTGTAGACAGAACCAAGTGTCTCGTGTAGACAGTGTCTCGTGTAGACAGAACCAAGTGTCTCTTGTAGACAGTGTCTTGTGTAGACAGTGTCTTGTGTAGACAGTGTCTCGTGTAGACAGAACCAAGTGTCTCGTGTAGACAGTGTCTTGTGTAGACAGTGTCTTGTGTAGACAGTGTCTCGTGTAGACAGAACCAAGTGTCTCGTGTAGACAGAACCAAGTGTCTCGTGTAGACAGTGTCTCGTGTAGACAGTGTCTCGTGTAGACAGTGTCTCGTGTAGACAGAACCCCCCCCCCCCCCCACTACATCCGAGTTGGGATATGAGTGGTGTTTAGTGAATCAGATGTGACGTAAGCAAGGAGAGGAGACAAGCACCAGACAAAATGACGTCACAGGACTGCTAGCCACAGTGACGTCATGGTCTAAAAATAAAGTCCATTTCCTTAGCAAAAGAGAAGTTAGAAAAATGTGTTGTAAATGTAAGTTCGAAAAAATTGGATGTTAAAAAAAAATACACTGAACTTAATTATAAGAATGGAAAAGAAGGCAGTCCGTTAAAGACAAGTTTGTGAACAGTTAAGTTGTATTTACACGTTCCTCAGCTCTTCTTAGTTGGGTGTGTGTTGTAATGCGGGTGGTTTGTGGGTGTGTGTTGTAATGCGGGTGGTTTGTGGGTGTGTGTTGTAATGAGGGTGGTTTGTGGGTGTGTGTTGTAATGCGGGTGGTTTGTGGGTGTGTGTTGTAATGCGGGTGGTTTGTGGGTGTGTGTTGTAATGCGGGTGGTTTGTGGGTGTGTGTTGTAATGAGGGCAGCCAATTGGTCGCCCAGATTTACATCAGAGTAGAGCTATTAAACTAACCGTTGAGGCAATGAAGAAATGCAGGCCCCCCCCCCCCCCCATGATGGATCGATAAAGATTTGAGACCAAAGTCTCAAATACAGGTCTCTACCTCACGTCACAGCCATACGTCGATATGTTGGCATTGACAAAACTCTATGAGTAGAGGAGCCGGTCAATTTAGTAGAGGAGCCGGTCAATTCAGTAGAGGAGCCGGTCAATTTAGTAGAGGAGCCGGTCAATTCAGTAGAGGAGCCGGTCAATTCAGTAGAGGAGCCGGTCAATTTAGTAGAGGAGCCGGTCAATTCAGTAGAGGAGCCGGTCAATTCAGTAGAGGAGCCGGTCAATTCAGTAGAGGAGCCGGTCAATTCAGTAGAGGTGCCGGTCAATTTAGTAGAGGTGCCGGTCAATTTAGTAGAGGTGCCGGTCAATTTAGTAGAGGAGCCGGTCAATTCAGTAGAGGTGCCGGTCAATTTAGTAGAGGTGCCGGTCAATTTAGTAGAGGAGCCGGTCAATTCAGTAGAGGTGCCGGTCAATTTAGTAGAGGTACCGGTCAATTTAGTAGAGGTGCCGGTCAATTTAGTAGAGGAGCCGGTCAATTCAGTAGAGGAGCCGGTCAATTCAGTAGAGGAGCCGGTGACAAACATCGGACACTTATGGTCAGCCATGGGGCGACGTGGTATCGCAGGGGGCGGGGAGGACGGGTGGGCAGGGGGCGGGGAGGACGGGTGGGCAGGGGGCGGGGAGGACGGGTGGAGCCCACAGTGTGGCGAGTACAGCGGAAAAAACCTCACAGGTGGCATATTGTGTGACAGTTTTGACCCACAACTGAACAGCGAGTACGTTTACTACAGACAGCAGTTTCCGACGACAACGCAAAAATATATCCTTTTAATCTAATTCGATGTTAAATTGATCATTAAAATTAATTAGAAGAGTCCCTGTAATTTCAGCACCAAAAGGGGGATAACACGGTTACTGGCATCTAATGGGTGGGACTCTCTCAAGGCACATTCTTTTTTTAATCGCGTGCAGATATTAAAATATATGTAATTGTAAATAGCAAAAAATAATTCTTTAAATGAGGATCCTTGATCTAAAAAATAAAAGTGCGTTGCTGAAATCTCTCCTTGTGACCAACTGTTTTGATTCAATGATCGAAACCACACAAGGCGCGACCGTCGGCTCCATGTAGGCCGTATGCCCCGCTGCTCCTCTAGGACCACCTTGAGCATTATGACGCCTACTTGTGTTTTAAATAGCGCCATACACTATGGATGCAGCGGGCTACTATAATCGTTGCCTACAGTCTGCCGGCAGAAGAGCGCCCAGATTTTCCTATTGGCGACCCGAGCAAATGGGGTCAGCTGATTGGGCGTCATGCACACAGGGGGTCAGGTGTACTACTCGAGTCAACGGTCAAACTGTCGGGTGCCCTGGAGCCGCCCCCCCCCCCCACATAAACGCTAGCGCACATACTCCTTTTAGAGGGCGCCATACACTAGGGACACGGCGGGCTAATGCATTCGATGACTAAACCTACATTGGTACCTGATGTAGTGGTCACCCACATTGGTACCCTGCTGTTGTGGTGACACACATTGGTACCCTGCTGTAGTGGTGACCCACATTGGTACCTGCTGTAGTGGTGACCCACATTGGTACCTGCTGTAGTGGTCACCCACATTGGTACCCTGCTGTAGTGGTGACCCCCATTGGTACCCTGCTGTAGTGGTGACCCACATTGGTACCTGCTGTAGTGGTGACCCACATTGGTACCCTGCTGTAGTGGTCACCCACACTGGTACCCTGCTGTTGTGGGACTGGTGACCCACATTGGTACCTGCTGTAGTGGTGACCCACATTGGTACCCTGCTGTAGTGGTGACCCACATTGGTACCTGCTGTAGTGGTGACCCACATTGGTACCCTGCTGTAGTGGTGACCCACATTGGTACCCTGCTGTTGTGGGACTGGTGACTCACGAGAGCGACGTCCATGACACCCGTTGCCGAAAGTTCTCACTATTACGGGGGCCAAACGTCTAAAAATACACGATTGGTAATGGAATGATATAAACTAGATCGCAGCAACGCTAGTATTTATTGTAAAGGTGTTTATCCTTGTTCTATTAATAGCTTAAGTAGGTACCTACTTTGTTTCGCTAAAATTTTATTTGTCTTTTCAGCCACAGGCCCACGTGAAACTTTTGCTCAGCTCCACCCCCCTAGCAGGAAAGCAGAGGTGTGTCGTGACGTCACGGTCTCACCACTACAAAAACTTGGCCAGTTAAAAAATCCACGCTGTAAGATCTGCGCCTAATTAGGACAAGCTGTAAGATTTGCGCCTAATTAGGATTTACAAGACTCACACGTCGTTTAGAATAGGTTGGGATGACCGCAATAACCACAGATTTTCAAGCTTTTAATGTGTGTTCTGCTCTATTTTTAGTACTAAGTCATGTTTCCGCACAAGTGACAGTGGGTAGTTGAAGCCTAGCAGTATAAAAACAACCCGCGCTTGTGGGAAATGTCCCGTCTAGCCGTGGCGCCAAGCGACCACAGCAAATCTCTGCCCACCATTCTGCACAAGCTGCGGGCCGTGCACAACTTTTCCGTGCTAGCTGGGAGCCATGAAGCCACAAGTACACAAGAAGATTACAAACCTCGTCTGGACGGTCGAGTACTCCGGAGGAAAAACTCGTCCTTGTCCAGCCTGATGACGTCACACGGCCAGGACGTCAGCAAGTCGAGCACAAGCCGGCCCACGTCTGCCGCTAGACCGCCAACTGCTGACTCACGTAGCAAACAGTTGCGGCAGATGGAGGAGCGGCGGATTCTCGCGCGCAAACAGGAAGTGGCCGCTCTGTACCGGGACACGCCCCTGACCGACGTGCAGGCGACGTCGACTGACGTCATCCGCTACCTGTACGAGCTGTGGCAGCCCCAGCTGACCGCCAGCTTCAGGCCGGGCGTCCACACCAGCTCCAGCAGCCGACAGGACCTGCGCAGTACCAGGTGGTTGGTGCAGACGACACCACGTCACGTGATGAAGCTGCACCGCGCCAGACTCGTCATCGACATGTGCCACCAGATAGCGACGTCTGAAGATGTTAGCAAGTGAGGCGCCAACCTGTGGCACGTGACTATATGACCAACAAACGAGATGACCCATACATTACATTCATATCATCTAGATTAACGGACAAATCAACTGCCAGTTGAAGTGGAGATCCTCCAGAGAAAATGGATTGGCCACACACTCAGGAAGCCTGTATCGAGCATAACAAGACAGGCCCTCACCTGGAATCCACAAAGCGGGAGAGGCAGACCAAGAAAGACCTGGAGACATGACCTGAAAGAAGACACCAAGAAGATCGGATACACATGGGGACAGTTGGAGTAGGTAGTCCAAACTGGCGAAAAAGTGCTTTTATGGTCAGTTTTTGCGGTTTTCAAAAAAAAAATTTCACTACTTCTAGTTGTCCTATAAGAATAAAAATTATATGTCAATAAAGTTTAAGTCTTTATCTGACGTAATCTGGTATCTTTATATCTGTAACACATGTTTGAATGTGTTTTATATTTGTTTGAAAAGTATCAGTTACGTCAACAAATGTCACCGTTTTGCGCGTACCGATCGACCCCACACTGTTTCATTTGGTTGCGGCTTCGCGACGAAGCATCGTAGAAGCATAATCTTAATGTCCTTTTAAAGAGCGAATTCTAGTCTATCGTTTAATGTATAAATTGAAAAAATAACTAGCTTAATTCATTTTAATAAATCAGTTTTTAAAATTTAAATGCCAATATATACACGAAAACAAACTAATTCTGTTTCAATTTTTACACCGATGTAAAGCTCACTTTTATAACTACTTTGTGTTGTAAATTCAAGTATTTCTGATTTACGGTCGCGAAGCCGTGCCCTCAATAAGCATGTAACCCTCGAGTCAACTTTTAGCCCCGGGTGAGTTGCTCGCCGAAAGGTTTTAAAGCTTGACGACCGATGATGCTAAACGGATTTTACCCTTGCTAGAGCCTTCAAACAAGTTGTAAGTATCATTTTTAAAATTTCATTTCCATTTTAATACTTGAATTTTAAGTTTGAATGTCAGTTTGGTTTAATTAGTACACGTTATTAATGTAAATTTGAACGCTACTAGTCCACGGTTTTGGCGTGTGAACTACGCTTGTACACAGGGTGTGTTTAGACGTGAAGCTATTTAATTCAGGACATTCTAGGGACTTGAAATATGGATACACTTAACTATTAGATGCTAGTGTTTACTAATTCTTTAAAATCTATCGACTGGGATCAATGATAGGGTCGTATTACTACAGTTTATCTGGACTATCACGTCAAAATTATGAATCGACAAATTCAAAATGGCCACCAGACAATCCTGGTTTCTATGTGGACGAACTCAATTATTTACAGGGAACGAAGGTTAAATACTTATAAAATATTAATGAAACACAAAAGAAATTTATAATTATAATAACTATACATTTTTATCAATTTATTTAAAACAAAAGACACTAAATTTTAAGGACTAATGTGATTATTTTTTTTTAATTTTCTGTTGTGCACTCTGATTCTGATTCCCCTGCTGAATAATGTGAAATGGTCTGCGCCAGTCTCCTTAATAAAATGTACCAGATCAATTTTTAGATGGTGGTGCTTATTATTATTTTGTACATGTTGTGACTTAGTTTTAAATGTTATATTAGTTGTAAGTGTAAGCAGTACTAGTAGTATTTCTCATTATTTATTTATTTTATATGCATATAGTAACAATGAAGGACAGTTAAGTTGTCCTATAGGATGTTGAGAACCACAGTATGGCACCTTCATCATTGGATATCTCAACCATTGTGGCACAAGCAACGAATATTTCATTCAATAGAATTAATATTAAAAATATACTATCAAGTATAAATTACTTTTAACAAAAAGGTGTTTTCAGGCTTTTTCATGTTTCCAGCTACAGTCATAGGACGAATAGTAGGCCTGCACAATAGGCTAGTAGTAAGTTTAATTATATTTTATTAATCACTAAATAAATTATTTATTCCATAGCTGGAGACATTTATGGTGGCTTATCCAGAACTTTCCTTACAAGGGAAGGGAAGAAGGCCAAGAGCCCCCCCCCCCCCCTACAGTTCCCAAAACATATCACTTTTGATGCTCCACAAGATCAAGGTTGAGGGAAACAAGACATACAAAGATGTGGAGTTGTCGTTTTAAAAACTGTTCCCCCAAAGCAGTTATCAACCCGATAGGTTTGAATGTAGCATCAACTGCTGCATCACTTGTAGGCATCATGTCTTTATTAGATTACATTACATTACTCCACTAAATTTTGATTCTGTTTCTCCTAGATAACTGTGGCATTTTTTGAAAATAATATTTTAACTCATGTGATTTTTGAAAATAATGAACACATTCTTCCTGTTAATGTTACCAACACAATAGTTTTAGAGTTATTCTATGTCCAAAGCAAAAAAAAATTAAAAAAAATTAGAATTTTTTTTTTGTTTGTATGAAAATAAAAGTGACCAAAACGCATTTTTGTCATTTTCAATTATTTTTTTACCTTAGAAAGACTCATTTTAGATGACTGAAAAAAATTGGGCATATATATTACAAACTTTGCAGTAACTTTACCAATTTCTACACTTCTATGTTATCTAGTTTAGAAAATATGGGTTCTCAAAAATGGCTCTTTTTGAAAATCAGTTTTTTACCAAATTTTAATTTTTTAAAAATCGCATAACTTTTTTATTTATTGAGATATTTTTATAAAATTTGTGGCAATAGTAAAAGTGAATGTTTATTATATAAATTCTATCTCTTTGGGGGGGGGGGGGAGTAGACTTTCTTTGAGGGGGGCGGCAGGCAAAGCCCCCCCCCCCCCCCCCCCCCCCCCCCCCAAAGAGATGCCTGGAAGAAACTCTGATCTTAATTTACTCAGAGATTTGGACTCTATCGATCACAAGTTTGTGTAGATTTCCAACCCAGAGTCATACTAATAAATACTAAGATAGCTACATTACGCAGTCCTATTGCAGCCATTTCAATTTCAAATGTTTTCTAGCTCTGTTGATTCTCTAAATACTTGCAGTCAGTACAGCCATCTCACCCAACCTTTCCAGTTGCACCTCAAAATATTGAAATTACGCCCCGCAAACAAGGATTTATTATTGCTATGATTAAATTATTTTTAAATAACAGTGTTATTTAAATTATATACATATAAATTTATATATAGGCAGTATCTACATACATTTAAATAATAAACTCCTATGTATAGGGCCCCACTCAAACTTCACCCACCCCAATATACAACAGGGCCCCACAAAAAACTTCATCCACCCCAATATACAACAGGGCCCCACTCAAACTTCACCCACCCCAGCATACAACTCTTTCAAATCTATTTCCCTTGAGAAGTTGTTGAAAATTTTAAAGTTTTAATAATTTAAAAGATTTCAGTTTTTTATTCTTCAAACTTCCAATGATATAATGATGTAAACAGCTGAAAACATCCCTCATGATTCTAGCACAGTCAGCCAAAGAAACTTCTAGTTCTAGCTGCAGTCTAATGTGTACACAGGCAATGAGTAAAACAAATTCATTACTTTCACCTTTACGAGCTTAGCTAGCTTCTAGTTTTTCTGGAGCTTAGCTAGCTTCTAGTTTTTCTGGAGCTTAGCTAGCTGCTAGTTTTTCTAGAGCTTAGCTAGCTGCTAGTTTTTCTGGAGCTTAGCTGCTAGTTTTTCTGGAGCTTAGCTGCTAGTTTTTCTGGAGCTTAGCTAGCTTGTTTTCCTTGAGCTAAACATTTTGATGCCATTGTGCAGAGAAGCTCTGGCAAATTTGGTCAGCAAGGCACCGACGTCAGTTTTATCATCCGTCAGGTCTCTGAAAGTGTGGGAAAGTCAATGTTTTATCATCCGTCAGGTCTCTGAAAGTGTGGGAAAGTCAATGTTTTATCATCCGTCAGGTCTCTGAAAGTGTGGGAAAGTCAATGTTTTATCATCCGTCAGGTCTCTGAAAGTGTGGGAAAGTCAATGTTTTATCATCCGTCAGGTCTCTGAAAGTGTGGGAAAGTCAATGTTTTATCATCCGTCAGGTCTCTGAAAGTGTGGGAAAGTCAATGTTTTATCATCCGTCAGGTCTCTGAAAGTGTGGGAAAGTCAATGTTTTATCATCCGTCAGGTCTCTGAAAGTGTGGGAAAGTCAATGTTTTATCATTCGTCAGGTCTCTGAAAGTGTGGGAAAGTCAATGTTTTATCATCCGTCAGGTCTCTGAAAGTGTGGGAAAGTCAATGTTTTATCATCCGTCAGGTCTCTGAAAGTGTGGGAAAGTCAATGTTTTATCATCCGTCAGGTCTCTGAAAGTGTGGGAAAGTCAATGTTTTATCATCCGTCAGGTCTCTGAAAGTGTGGGAAAGTCAATGTTTTATCATCCGTCAGGTCTCTGAAAGTGTGGGAAAGTCAATGTTTTATCATCCGTCAGGTCTCTGAAAGTGTGGGAAAGTCAATGTTTTATCATCCGTCAGGTCTTTGAAAGTGTGGGAAAGTCAATGTTTTATCATCCGTCAGGTCTCTGAAAGTGTAGGAAAGTCAATGTTTTATCATCCGTCAGGTCTCTGAAAGTGTGGGAAAGTCAATTGTTTTATCATCCGTCAGGTCTCTGAAAGTGTGGGAAAGTCAATGTTTTATCATCCGTCAGGTCTCTGAAAGTGTGGGAAAGTCAATGTTTTATCATCCGTCAGGTCTCTGAAAGTGTGGGAAAGTCAATGTTTTATCATCCGTCAGGTCTCTGAAAGTGTGGGAAAGTCAATGTTTTATCATCCGTCAGGTCTCTGAAAGTGTGGGAAAGTCAATGTTTTATCATCCGTCAGGTCTCTGAAAGTGTGGGAAAGTCAATGTTTTATCATCCGTCAGGTCTCTGAAAGTGTGGGAAAGTCAATGTTTTATCATCCGTCAGGTCTCTGAAAGTGTGGGAAAGTCAATGTTTTATCATCCGTCAGGTCTCTGAAAGTGTGGGAAAGTCAATGTTTTATCATCCGTCAGGTCTCTGAAAGTGTGGGAAAGTCAATGTTTTATCATCCGTCAGGTCTCTGAAAGTGTGGGAAAGTGATTCGAGATATTTTCTCATCAATATCTGACTACAAAGAAAAATCAGCTTTTTATAGCACATTAAAAAATATCAGTTTTCTGATCAGAAATCATGAATTGATGTTGTAGTAACTAGGAGATATGTATACATTTGACATGAAGTTCTGTGAACACATTCAACATATATGTGTGTGTGTTTGTATATAATTATATGTGTGTTGCAACTGATCTGAAAATGTAGAACACTATGTAAGATGACATATAAAAACTCACTGGACGTATGGCGTAATCTCAGCAAGTGACCATTTCTTTTTTTCTTCAAACAGTAATTCAAATCTGTGACATAACAAAATATGTCACACATCACAACATATTTCACATGTATTAACATACATCACACCTTGCCACATGTATTAACATACATCAAATGTAAGAACAAATCAGACAAAAATCTGAAATCTTCTTACATCCAACCACACAAACTGCCAACTAGACCCTCACAAACTGCCCACTAGACCCTCACAGCCAACCACACAAACTGCCCACTAGACCCTCACAGCCAACCTCACAAACTGCCCACTAGACCCTGGGCGCTAAACCTTACTGGACTGACCTCTCACTGACCTCTTCAGGCAAGTTATCCACACTAAAGTACCAGATGACCTCTGGCCGCACCTCTCTGTCCACCAAGGCCATCCCCTACAACATTGTAAGAACAACAGGGTCAGGAATTGTGGGACCCTAGGAGTTTTTTATGGGACCCAAGGAGTTTTTTATGGGACCCTAGGAGTTTTTTATTGGACCCTAGGAGTTTTTTATGGGACCCTAGGAGTTTTTTATGGGACCCTAGGAGTTTTTTATGGGACCCTAGGAGTTTTTTGTGGGACCCTAGGAGTTTTTTGTGGGACCCTAGGAGTTTTTTGTGGGACCCTAGGAGTTTTTTATGGGACCCTAGGAGTTTTTTATGGGACCCTAGGAGTTTTTTATGGGACCCTAGGAGTTTTTTATGGGACCCTAGGAGTTTTTTGTGGGACCCTAGGAGTTTTTTGTGGGACCCTAGGAGTTTTTTGTGGGACCCTAGGAGTTTTTTATGGGACCCTATGAGTTTTTTATGGGACACTATGAGTTTTTTATGGGACACTATGAGTTTTTTATGGGACCCTAGAACCCTAGGAGTTTTTTATGGGACCCTAGGAGTTTTTTATGGGACCCTAGGAGTTTTTTATGGGACCCTAGGAGTTTTTTATGGGACCCTAGGAGTTTTTTATGGGACCCAAGGAGTTTTTTGTGGGACCCTAGGAGTTTTTTGTGGGACCCTAGGAGTTTTTTATGGGACACTATGAGTTTTTTATGGGACACTATGAGTTTTTTATGGGACCCTAGAACCCTAGGAGTTTTTTATGGGACCCTAGGAGTTTTTTATGGGACCCTAGGAGTTTTTTATGGGACCCTAGGAGTTTTTTATGGGACCCTAGGAGTTTTTTTATGGGACCCTAGGAGTTTTTTATGGGACCCTAGGAGTTTTTTGTGGGACCCTAGGAGTTTTTTGTGGGACCCTAGGAGTTTTTTTATGGGACACTATGAGTTTTTTATGGGACCCTAGAACCCTAGGAGTTTTTTATGGGACCCTAAGAGTTTTTTTTATGGGACCCTAGGATTTTTTTATGGGACCCTAGGAGTTTTTTGTGGGACCCTAGGAGTTTTTTATGGGACCCTAGGAGTTTTTTATGGGACACTATGAGTTTTTTATGGGACCCTAGAACCCTAGGAGTTTTTTATGGGACCCTAGGAGTTTTTTATGGGACCCTAGGAGTTTTTTATGGGACCCTAGGAGTTTTTTATGGGACCCTAGGAGTTTCTTGTGGGACCCTAGGAGTTTTTTATGGGACCCTAGGAGTTTTTTATGGGACACTATGAGTTTTTTATGGGACCCTAGAACCCTAGGAGTTTTTTATGGGACCCTAGGAGTTTTTTGTGGGACCCTATGAGTTTTTTGTGGGACCCTAGGAGTTTTTTATGGGACCCTAGGAGTTTTTTATGGGACCCTAGGAGTTTTTATGGGACCCTAGGAGTTTTTTAATTAAAGAATTACGCAAATCATGTAAACTTTGTTCATTCATGTTTTCTTCCTTCTAATTTATAGTAACTCATATTTTACTGGTTATGTTGATATAAACTGTGTAATTAGATTAGCTTGCTAATTAGTTAAAAGAATTATACTATAATACCCTTTACTGAGTATACTTAATACTGATATCCCTGTGACCCCCCCCCCCCCCCCCACCTCTCAATGTAAAACTAGCAAGAACATTTGCTACTGGCAGTTAAGTAGCTTCATCTGATCTTAACTGTAACAGGCTCATTATCAAGTTACAAAACAAACTCCGTAAAATTAGAAAATCAGCAGTACACTACAAGAAGTAAACTACAGATGGCCACTCTAGCACACAAGGTTGAGGTTAATAAGGTTGAGGTAAAAGTTGAGGTAAAGGTTGAGGTAAAAGTTGAGGTAAAAGTTGAGGTAAAGGTTGAGGTAAAGGTTGAGTTAAAGTTGAGGTACCTCTATCTGTGTCAGCGATGTTTTAAATCCTTCTGGAACACTCTCTTGCCACGCCTTCAGGAAATCTGACAGATTAAACTGGAGAGAAACAAGAAATCTGACAGATTAAACTGGAGAGAAACAAGAAATCTGACAAATTAAACTGGAGAGAAACAAGAAATCTGACAGATTAAACTGGAGAGAAACAATAGATGGAGGTTAAAAAATTACAAATCAAGACAGTACACTAGTAACACAGGAGTTACCTCCCCCAAAACAGTAAAACAGGAGTTACCTCCACCAAAACAGTAAACAGGAGTTACCTCCCCAAAACAGTAAAACAGGGGTTACCTTCCCAGAGTTCCTGAGACACAGCTCAGCAAAATGTTTGCAAACTTTGTCCTCACATAGGTGATAAATATTTCCTGTAATGAACAAATGTCAGATTAATGCCATAAAACATGATATAGGTGGGAAACAGCTGGGGACTAAAGATAGAAGAACATTTTTTTCATAAAAAATGTTTTAATAACAAGCTTTTATGTAATAATGCACTAAAAAGTAGAAAATAAATTATAGACTACTATTTAAATTACTATAAAGAAAAGCGTGGATCACTTTAGTATCTATTGGATACCTTCACTAATGTTTAGGAAGAGACCCACGCTTTTCTTTATAGTTATTTAAATAGTAGTCTATAATTTATTTTCTACTTTTTAGTGCATTAGTACATAAAAGCTTGTTATTAAAACGTTTTTTATGAAAAAAACTTTCAGTACTTTACATGTTTTATTTACAATAGAGTTACATGACTAAAAACCACTGAACGTGATGGCGCGCCTACTGAACTTGATGGCGCAGCTATTGAACGTGATGACGCGTGTGGTGTGGTTGGATAGACATGCCTACTAATTTGGTTCAAATTTTAATTAATTCATAAAAAATTAATTAGGCATCCAATTAAGTCAAATTTAATTTCAGATTGCATTGTCTTCATGTCTTGACCCACGTGTCAAATGTGAATCGTATCGGTCAAGTAGAAGTGACCGAATTTTCACTCCAGCGTTTCGATCTAGACTGACGACAGACTGTCGAGGAAGTGAGTTAAATAAAAGCTTGTAATAAATCTTGAACCACTCAACTCCTGAGGGCACAAAATCTACCTTTTGTTATTGTAGCTGCCCCACTGACAAGTTACAACATGAAAAACTTCCAATCTGCATTTTTAGTCATTCAAATTCACACATGGGTTAATTTTAGAGATTTGTTTTTAAAGGCATCAAAATTTTAACAATTTTGCTGTAGTATAAAAAAGTATAGCGGTGTTTTACACTATATGGGTGTAGGGAACACAGCATCCCCCCCCCACCCCGGAGTAATTACCCCTCTAACAGTTGGACATTACACCCCCCCCCCCAACATAGCTTAAGGTATAGGTAGGGTTAGAGTTAGGGCTAAGGTTAGTGTTATGGTCAAGGTTAGGCTTACACCAATGTCAAGAGTTGGTTTTGTGTTAAGTTTCAGGCTGAGGTGAATGCATAGGTTTTGGTCTTTTTCTTAAGGTAATTGACAGGGGGGGGGGGGGGGGGGGGGTAAATTGCTCAGGGGGAAATACGGGAGGAGGGGGGATGTCCTGTAGCCATGGATGTATTACAGGACAGCATGGTGGCCTAGTGGTAGAGAGCTGGACTACTTACCAGAGAGTTTTGAGTTTAAATACGGGTATAAGTCAGTAGAATGACCCTGAGTCCACCCAGCTCTGATGGGTACCTAACTCACATTAGGGAAACAAAGACGGCTGGGCATAGTGTTGACCACACTATCCCTTCATACGCCAAGGTCTCTGAAGCAGATGAACTCTACTTCATCTGCCCCATGTGTCTGAGGCACAAACAGGAAAAGATAACGATGATATGGGTGATGATATGGGTGATGATATGGGTGATGATATGGGTGTATTATACCCATGACAAATACCAAGGTTGGTAATTGATGAAAAACACTGAGGGTAAGCCAGTGTTATCAAGCTAATGAATGTCATCATTAACCTCAATTCAAAAGAAATTATTTTTCTAGCAGATAATATAACATAATATTTCCCCCCTCTAGTTTCACGGGGAAAATTTTCCTGTCTAAATAAAAGTTGTGACCCACGTGTTCTCTCAGTGTCCATTCCGTCCTTAGAATAGCTGACCACAAGATGTTCTATCACCTCCCTGTAGATAGTTCATCAGACAATCTATCACATCATACAAAAAGGTATTTTTTATGTATATGGGATGTGTTCACCTCTCCAAAATGGAAACTTCAGCTTAGGTATAGGAAGGTACACATTAACCACCCACACATCAGCTGACCCACCCACACACCAGCTGACCCACCCACACATCAGCTGCCCCACCCACACACCAGCTGACCCACCCACCCACCAGCTGACCCACCCACCCACCAGCTGACCCACACATCAGTTGACCCACCCACACACCAGTTGACCCACCCACCCACCAGCTGACCCACACATCAGTTGACCCACCCACCCACCAGCTGACCCACACATCAGTTGACCCACCCACACACCAGTTGACCCACCCACCCACCAGCTGACCCACACATCAGTTGACCCACCCACACATCAGCTGCCCCACCCACACACCAGCTAACCCACCCACACACCAGCTGACCCACCCACACATCAGCTGCCCCACCCACACATCAGCTGACCCACCCACACATCAGCTGCCCCACCCACCCACCAGCTGACCCACACATCAGCTGACCCACCCACACACCAGCTGACCCACCCACCCACCAGCTGACCCACCCACACACCAGCTGACCCACCCACCCACCAGCTAACCCACCCACACATCAGCTGACCCACCCACACACCAGCTGACCCACACACACACCAGCTGACCCACCCACCCACCAACTAACCCACCCACCAACTGACCCACCCACACACCAGCTGACCCACCCACACATCAGCTGACCCACCCACACACCAGCTGACCCACACACACACCAGCTGACCCACCCACCCACCAACTAACCCACCCACCAACTGACCCACCCACACACCAGCTGACCCACCCACACATCAGCTGCCCCACCCACACATCAGCTGACCCACCCACACATCAGCTGCCCCACCCACCCACCAGCTGACCCACACATCAGCTGACCCACCCACACACCAGCTGACCCACCCACCCACCAGCTGACCCACCCACACACCAGCTGACCCACCCACCCACCAGCTAACCCACCCACACATCAGCTGACCCACCCACACACCAGCTGACCCACACACACACCAGCTGACCCACCCACCCACCAACTAACCCACCCACCAACTGACCCACCCACACACCAGCTGACCCACCCACACACCAGCTGCCCCACCCACCAACTGACCCACCCACACACCAGCTGACCCACCCACACATCAGCTGACCCACCCACACACCAGCTGACCCACCCACACACCAACTGACCCACCCACACACCAGCTGACCCACCCACACATCAGCTGACCCACCCACACACCAGTTGACCCACCCACACATCAGCTGACCCACCCACACATCAGTTGACCCACCCACCCACCAGCTGACCCACACACCCACACACCAGCTGACCCACCCACCAGCTGACCCACCCACACACCAGCTGACCCACCCACACACCAGCTGACCCACCCACACACCAGCTGACCCACCCACACATCAACTACCCACACACCAGCTGACCCACCCACACATCAACCACCCACACACCAGCTGACCCACCCACACATCAACCACCCACACACCAGCTGACCCACCCACACATCAACCACCCACACACCAGCTGACCCACCCACACATCAACCACCCACACACCAGCTGACCCACCCACACATCAACCACCCACACACCAGCTGACCCACCCACACATCAACTACCCACACACCAGCTGACCCACCCACACATCAACTACCCACACACCAGCTGACCCACCCACACATCAACCACCCACACACCAGCTGACCCACCCACACATCAACCACCCACACACCAGCTGACCCACACACACACCAGCTGACCCACCCACACATCAGCTGCCCCACCCACACACCAGCTGACCCACCCACACACCAGCTGACCCACCCACACACCAGCTGACCCACCCATACACCAGCTGACCCACCCACACGCCAGCTGCCCCACCCACACATCAACCACCCACACACCAGCTGACCCACCCACACATCAGCTGCCCCACCCACACATCAACCACCCACACACCAGCTGACCCACCCACACATCAGCTGCCCCATCCACACATCAACCACCCACACACCAGCTGACCCACCCACCCACCAGCTGACCCACCCACACATCAGCTGACCCACCCACCCACCAGCTGACCCACCCACACACCAGCTGACCCACCCACACACCAGCTGACCCACCCACACATCAGCTGACCCACCCACACATCAGCTGACCCACCCACCCACCAGCTGACCCACACATCAGCTGACCCACCCACACACCAGCTGACCCACCCACCCACCAGCTGACCCACCCACCCACCAGCTGACCCACCCACACATCAGCTGACCCACCCACACACCAGCTGACCCACCCACACACCAGCTGACCCACCCACACATCAACCACCCACACACCAGCTGACCCACCCACACATCAGCTGCCCCACCCACACATCAACCACCCACACACCAGCTGACCCACCCACCCACCAGCTGACCCACCCACACACCAGCTGACCCACCCACACATCAGCTGACCCACCCACACATCAGCTGACCCACACACACACCAGCTGACCCACCCACACACCAGCTGACCCACCCACACACCAGCTGACCCACCCACACACCAGCTGACCCACCCACACACCAGCTGACCCACCCACCCACCAGCTGACCCACCCACACACCAGCTGACCCACCCACACATCAGCTGCCCCACCCACACATCAGCTGCCCCACCCACACATCAACCACCCACACACCAGCTGACCCACCCACACATCAGCTGCCCCACCCACACATCAACCACCCACACACCAGCTGACCCACCCACACATCAGCTGCCCCACCCACACATCAACCACCCACACACCAGCTGACCCACCCACCCACCAGCTGACCCACCCACACACCAGCTGACCCACCCACACATCAGCTGACCCACCCACCCACACATCAGCTGACCCACCCACACACCAGTTGACCCACCCACACATCAGCTGCCCCACCCACACACCAGCTGACCCACCCACCCACCGACCCACCCACACACCAGCTGACCCACCCACCCACCAGCTGACCCACCCACACACCAGCTGACCCACCCACACACCAGCTGACCCACCCACACATCAGCTGCCCCACCCACACATCAGCTGCCCCACCCACACACCAGCTGACCCACACACACACCAGCTGACCCACCCACACACCAGCTGACCCACACACACACCAGCTGACCCACCCACACACCAGCTGACCCACCCACCCACCAGCTGACCCACACACACACCAGCTGACCCACCCACACACCAGCTGACCCACCCACACACCAGCTGACCCACCCACACATCAGTTGACCCACCCACACATCAGCTGCCCCACCCACACACCAGCTGACCCACACACACACCAGCTGACCCACCCACACACCAGCTGACCCACCCACACACCAGCTGACCCACACATCCCACACAAGAACCTGCCCAACCTGGGAAACAGATCAGCCAGAACGTGACAACATTCGTCCATGTTGATGCCCTCGTCCAGCCAGTCTCTCTCCCCACACAGCTGGATCACGTGGTACAGCACCGTGGCCATGTACTCAAACTCAACCAGTCTCCAGAATCCTGAGACCAAAAAAATTGTTTCTATAGTCAACAAGTCTTCAGAATCCTGGGGGGAAAAATTTGTTTCTATAGTCAACAATTCTCCAGAATCATGAAACAAAATTGTTTTAATAGTCAACGTCTACAGAATCCTGGGACAAAAAAATTGTTTCAATAGTCAACAAGTGTTCAGAATCCTGAGACAACAAAAGTGTTTCAATAGTTTGAAACTTCTGCAAGAATGGTACAATAGAGTTATATCCCCTTACCTTGAATAAGACAAGCATTCATGGCCACTAATCCAAGTTTAATTTCAGTATCGCTGGCTTGGATGCTGGCCTGGAGTTCTTCAAAAGTGTACTGGGAAAATAGAGGGCAGGCAATCAGAAAACATAAGGATAAAAGAAAAGTAATGACAGCGTGCAAATAATCAGCCACAGTGTCTGGACGAGGCAATGATCCTGCTGGTGTCTGATATAAGTGAACCCTTAGAAACCCAGGACCAAAGCTGTCATCACCCGTCTAAAGCCTACAGTAGAGTCAAACTTTAAGCCACCTCATTATCTTGAGTTACCATGGAAACCCAGTGTATCACATGAGCTGAGTTACCATGGAAACCCAGTGCATCACATGACCTGAGTTACCATGGAATATGGAAACCCAGTGCATCACATGACCTGAGCTACCATGGAAACCCAGTGTATCACATGAGCTGAGTTACCATGGAAACCCAGTGCATCACATGACCTGAGTTACCATGGAAACCCAGTGCATCACATGACCTGAGCTACCATGGAAACCCAGTGTATCACATGAGCTGAGTTACCATGGAAACCCAGTGCATCGTGTGACCTGAGTTACCATGGAAACCCAGTGCATCACATGACCTGAGTTACCATGGAAACCCAGTGTATCACATGAGCTGAGTGAGAGACCAATGAAAATGAACCAACTTTTTGTCCAGTGTCCAGTTCATCCCCTTCACACTCTCTCCCTCTGTACGGGTTCTGTTCAAGCAATCTGCGCAGTTTTTTAAGTCTTGGTTTGATGGGACGAAGTTCGTAGTAATTATGTATGACTGAGGTTACCTGTTTTATCACAGACAAAAATTTCAGTTTTATTCAACACTTGGAAAAGATCATTCATAGTTCAGCAAACATATTCAGTCCAATTATGCGGGGAAATGAGTGTAAAATTGTTTACAATTAGATAAAGATTTGATGGAACTAGTTGACTGAAGAGCCTTACCTGTCTGTTAATGATTTGGTTTTCTGCAAGCTCAGGCAAATCTGGCCCCATTGAAAGATCTGGCAACAAGAGCAGTGAGTTTGATGTTTCTGCTTCCCTTAGGTCAAAGGTCAATGTATCTGTAACAAGCACTGCACTATCTGCAGGATCCCCGCGAATTTCAACCCTAAAATATTTGACCATAAAAATATTTTCACCTTCAACCTTAACATATTTGACCATAATTTTTTTTACCAGAACTTTGATGTTTAATCTAAAATATATGGGGCGTTTAAACCTAAAATAAATTAGGCCTAATTTGTTTTTTAAAAAACTTTAATGTGTCAAAATCAGAAATCCCTGACAAAAAGACAATGAAAATCAAAGGATTCACCGTTTTCCTGCTTGCAATGCAGCGATGACTGGCTCTTCCATCTCCAACAGTTTGACACAATCATTTTCAAGGTGATCCGAGAAATATAAACATTGTACAGCCGGTTTTAGGTCGGAAGCTTCCAACTTGGCAAACTCCAGAATACAACTTACATCTGTCAGGGTCCTGACTCAAACAAGAGTTTCAGCTTCAATTAAAGAATTCATTCTTATCACATCTTAATTTAAAACTCTGGCCTAATGAGAAACTTAAAGGACTACATTTGCTGATAACAGACTGCTAGCCCAAAGGAAAAGGTCGCTGGGCATATTTATGATAGAAGTGACAGATGTTTTTGCGCCCTTCTCGCAAATTACTGCCTGGCAATTTGTAGTTTCAATACCACCCGCTCCTCCTCTTGAATCAAACATTATTCTTTTGACCCCTACCCAGTTAGTAAATTTTTATAAAGAAATGCAGTATGCAGTGGGGAAGGGCTATAAACTCAATGAAACTGAGCGAAAAATTCAACGAGGTATTGACCTTGAATGACGCTGCTTCATGTGGGGATACTTTTTTTCCCTCTGAAGAACAAGGCAGTATGATATTAAGGTCGCGCACTTTCTTGTCATGATGTAGAATTTATGACTAAAAATGAGACGGCTCCCAGTTTAAAATGATTTTATTGTATACGACCTATGTTGAAAGTTTTTAAGTGCAGGCTCCCAGTTTAAAATGATTTTATTGTATACGACCTATGTTGAAAGTTTTTAAGTGCAGGCTCCCAGTTTAAAATGATTTTATTGTATACGACCTATGTTGAAAGTTTTTAAGTGCAGGCTCCCAGTTTAAAATGATTTTATTGTATACGACCTATGTTGAAAGTTTTTAAGTGCAGGCTCCCAGTTTAAAATGATTGTATTGTATACGACCTATGTTGAAAGTTTTTAAGTGCAGGCTCCCAGTTTAAAATGATTTTATTGTATACGACCTATGTTGAAAGTTTTTAAGTGCAGGCTCCCAGTTTAAAATGATTTTATTGTATACGACCTATGTTGAAAGTTTTTAAGTGCAGGCTCCCAGTTTAAAATGATTGTATTGTATACGACCTATGTTGAAAGTTTTTAAGTGCAGGCTCCCAGTTTAAAATGATTTTATTGTATACGACCTATGTTGAAAGTTTTTAAGTGCAGGCTCCCAGTTTAAAATGATTTTATTGTATACGACCTATGTTGAAAGTTTTTAAGTGCAGGCTCCCAGTTTAAAATGATTGTATTGTATACGACCTATGTTGAAAGTTTTTAAGTGCACTGACTATGACTCCTCAAACGGAGGTTATTTTTTTCTGGCACAGAAAAGAAAAAGTGAGGGGAGGGAGAATGGGAAGCACTTTTGGTAATAGATCTATATCATTTTAGGTGCGTAAAATCGGCAGAGGCTTGTAATGTGAAAGAAAGTTGCATCCATTGTTAGTATATTGATTGGGATATTATATTTGTGTCAAATACAATAGCTAACTGAATAATAATCCAAAAACAATGGCTAAATATTTAAATAATGAAAATATATTAATATAGGCCCTATCTAGATCTAGTATCAATATTAATTATAATATTATAGTAGACCAGAAATTAACTTTAAACACAGCAGTGTTTGCGAGCAAGATTTGCATCTGCCATCTGTAAACTAGAGTGGTTTCCCGTGAATCTCTAACTATAATTTTACAAAAAAAACAACCTGAAACAAGATGACTGCTAAAGTAATGAGCTTAGTTGCATCTGATGAAAACATTATTTTTGGTAAAAGGCCGCAAAAGGGTAAAAAGTAGAAGTAAGAAAAGCACCTTTTTTTAGAACATTCGTCTACTAAACCAAGATCAGGTAAGCTCATCTTATTTTTTTAAAATTAGATCTAGAATCTAGATCTATCTATCATAACGTTCTGTAATATTGTAATTTTCTACATAACTTTCCAAATCTAGATTCTACTACTGTTTACTAAACAATATGAGTGAAAAGGACTACGAAATGATTATTGACATTATGTACTCGCGCCATTATTTAAGCGGAAATGACCTTTCATATAAAATTTTATTCGCTTTCTAAAAAAAAGATAATCGACGTGGACTAGGCCTAGATTGTGATAGATTCTAAACTAATATTATTAATTGTAACTTTAAGATTTTTCCCCTTAGACTAGACTTAATGAGTGGTTCATAAATAACGGTACACTCAAAAAGGGTATTTGGGGTGGAGGGGACGGCAGTGGTACTGATGACTAGGCCATCTATACAAAGGTGCGTGGGTGTGTGGTGGTCGGGGGGGGGGGTATGACAGCCGCCAGTCAATGAACGGAAAAAAGTCTCAGGAAAAAGGCACAGAAAAAAGTCAAAATGGAAAAATTTAAATAAAAAAATTTAAATAAATCACAGAAATAAAATCACAAAATAGTCACAAATATTTAGATTTACTTGTTTAGAATTGTAAAATTTATAAATATAGTGGTGAATATTTGTAACATATATAGTATATACAAACTGTACAAGCATCATGGTTTTTAATAATAATCTAATTTTGATCTTCACACTAAGTAAAAGTACTAGATCTGTAAGATAATTTACACAGCAACCTCAATTTTTGTTACAATGTTTGGTAGAAAAATTAATTATAAGAGTATAGGAAGTGTAGGCATAGCGTTTTTTTTACTTTGACGTAGGCCTTTCCTCAGATGGTCTTGTTCATCCACATTGTGTATTGTTGACATTTTGCTTCAACAACCGTCTTTGTACGGTGTCGGTTTTTTGGCTTGATGCTATGCTTTGTGATGTACTGAGGGCAATAAATGTGGGCAATAAATAAAAGTGGTTAAACTACTGCTGCGATGAGTTGACAACTAATCGTGTTAGCTATGTCTACTTCCCATTTCGCGCAGATTCAAAGTTTGTATTTTAAAAAGATGATGGAAACGGGGTGAGTAGGTTGGAATACTCTAATGAATTTTATTCTGTAATTAAATTAAAACCTACATATACTTCAGACTAAATATTTTTACATGTTAACATACAAATACAACCTACATTAAATTTGATAAAAATTAATCAAATGTTGAATTGCACTTTGCCTTAATTTTATTAGCGGTTATTTTGCTTACATTTTTGTTTTGTAAATTGTAAGGGAAATGTGTCACTGTCAATTATATTGACTCAGATTGGCTAGGATATTAAATTGTGATATTCATCAGTGCCTGTGAAAGAAGACTTATTCCCATAAAAAAAAAGCCGAACTAGTACATTTAAAAAGGTCATACACGACAATGTATGATGCATCTATCTACAGATGGGACCATTCACATGTTTTAGAATATTTCTTTTTACTGATCTTTGTGTACCAATTATAAATATAAAAGTTTGAAATTTTAAATGCTTTTATACCTTTGTCTTCCAGTTGTCTATTTTAAAAAAACCTAGCTCAAACTGCAAGCACAAAACTGGCTATGATTGTCTACATCTACAATCTGATTTGTTTTTAATGAAAACAAAGAACACTTAAAAAATATTTGCTTTTAATAATTTTATTCAAATTTAAAAATATATCATTCAAACATGTTTACTATGCATCCATTGATAGAAAAACAAACTCAAATTGATTTGACTCAATAGATGATAGATCTGTACCAAATTTGACTCAATAGATGACAGAGCTGTATCAAATTGATTTGACTCAATAGATGACAGCTCTGTACCAAATTTGACTCAATAGATGACAGAGCTGTACCAAATTTGACTCAATAGATGACAGAGCTGTACCAAATTTGACTCAATAGATGACAGAGCTGTACCAAATTTGACTCAATAGATGAGAGAGCTGTACCAAATTGAAGCTAGAAATATTCTTGTAGATTTTCTCCAACTGAGATCTCCATGGCAGCAAGAACTTTCTGTGTCTGTTTCTCCACCTCATCAGACTCATCTGGCAAACAGCAAGACAGTAAGGTTAGAACATTAGCTAGAACATGTCACAGGTTAGAACATGTCACAGGTTAGAACATGTCAGAACATGTCACAAGTTAAAACATTAGCTACCACATGTGGCAAGTGAGAACATTATGTTAACTAAATAATTTAAAACGTTGTGCTGTGTTATTTAAACAGATGTGCTTACAAATACCAATTGTGTGGTTTTCATAGGACTTTCCTAAAGTTTTTACAATACTCCATGATGTTAGTGTTTCAGTCACTAAACAAAATATGCAAAAAAAACACTCAAAAATGTTTGTCTCTCATTTTCCTCAGATAAATGTTGGCAAAAAAATTTGTAAGTCATGTTGTCTTTAAAAGTAGAAAGTTTATTTTAAAAAATTTCCTGGAAGTTTAGACTGAAAAATGGGGCTGCAGAAAGCAAAAAAAAATATTTTCAAATTCTCTGCAAACTTAGTATCATTGTTTTTATATAATAGTAATTTCTGATTTCTGTTCAGCTTTAACCCATTTGCTACTAAAGCCTGCGGCACATCTAAACCCTTCCCCAGGCCCTAAGATAAGGGAGATAACCGGCAACAATTTTCTTAGAAAATATTTAAAAAATAAGCCTATCATTTGTTTAATTATTAAAAGTTGCAAAATATGTTTATTAAGTAAAGAAATAATATCGATTCTGATTGCTAATTATAATAGCTAAAATATCCAATGTAATATATATAGAATCTGTTTAACTACATTATTGTTTAAAACAAATTTAAAATTATGATAATAGTGAAGTAACTGTTTACGTGAAAACAAGTGCAAAAATTTGTAAGAAACTCATCTTAGTAATTGAGGGGGGAAACATGTTGTACATTTTTTAACTATATTAAGTAAACGTAATTGTGTAGAAGTGCTTTTTGCATGAAAATATAGTGACAGAAACACTTAGGTATAAAGGCATTAATGTCCGTTGTCTTGTCACAAATGAGTTAACTATTTTTTTAGGTGGCTATGATGGCAAAATTGACAAAACTAAACATTTTTCATCCATGTTACCAAAAACTTTGATGAGACGCACCTTGATTACTATTGCTGATGGTACATCACACTTGGTCGATGCCATTCATGTCAAAATGATGTGTACAAAACAGGTGTGGCACACAACTGATGTGTACAAGTACATGACCTGTGCATGTACATGAATGGTGCAACACTTTTGACTCACCTTCCATGAGCTCTGCCATGAATGGTATGGTCTCTGGTACACAACTGATGTGTACAAGTACATGACCTGTACATGAATGGTGCAACAATTTGGACTCACCTTCCATGAGCTCTGCCATGAATGGTATGGTCTCTGGTACACAACTGATGTGTACAAGTACATGACCTGTACATGAATGGTGCAACAATTTGGACTCACCTTCCATGAGCTCTGCCATGAATGGTATGGTCTCTGGCACCAGCTGAGTGTAGTCCTCACCCAGTTGTTTATGGAAGGCATCAAGTGCAGATAGGGCCCAAATTTTCACCTGCGACAATAGAGGATACAAGAGATAAACTATCTAGTGCGACAATAGAGGATACAAGAGATACAACCATCTAGTGCGACAATAGAGGATACAAGAGACAAACTATCTAGTGCGACAATAGAGGATACAAGAGACAAACTATCTAGTGCGACAATAGAGGATACAAGAGACAAACTATCTAGTGCGACAATAGAGGATACAAGAGACAAACTATCTAGTGCGACAATAGAGGATACAAGAGACAAACTATCTAGTGCGACAATAGAGGATACAAGAGATAAACTATCTAGTGCGACAATAGAGGATACAAGAGACAAACTATCTAGTGCGACAATAGAGGATACAAGAGATAAACTATCTAGTGCGACAATAGAGGATACAAGAGATAAACTATCTAGTGCGACAATAGAGGATACAAGAGATACAACTATCTAGTGCGACAATAGAGGATACAAGAGACAAACTATCTAGTGTGACAATAGAGGATACAAGAGACAAACTATCTAGTGCGACAATAGAGGATACAAGAGATAAACTATCTAGTGCGACAATAGAGGATACAAGAGACAAACTATCTAGTGCGACAATAGAGGATACAAGAGACAAACTATCTAGTGCGACAATAGAGGATACAAGAGATAAACTATCTAGTGCGACAATAGAGGATACAAGAGATACAACTATCTAGTGCGACAATAGAGGATACAAGAGACAAACTATCTAGTGCGACAATAGAGGATACAAGAGACAAACTATCTAGTGCGACAATAGAGGATACAAGAGACAAACTATCTAGTGGGACAATAGAGGATACAAGAGATAAACTATCTAGTGCGACCATAGAGGATACAAGAGATACAACTAGACAATAGAGGATACAAGAGATAAACTATCAAGGTAACTGGGATGATGAAAACTAAGATATTCCAGAAATAGGTCTAACACAGGGGCTCCAAACTTTTCAGCCCGAGGGCCGCATTAACTATCAAATATAAGTTCGGAGGCCAGAGTTTCTTCAGGCACCTCTGCTTCAACATCTCTTCGAGGTGGCGAAACCCCCCCCCCCCCCCCCCACCCCCGAAGAACGTCTCTTAAAAGTACTTTGATGCAAAAGTTTTAATATTAGGAAAGTCTTCCTTGGGCAAATACTTATAAAAACCACCCGCCCTTATTTGAACTTGTTTTTAATTAGGTTATTCGCTGGGCAACTGGCCACATTTACGTAATTGCACCCACTGCTACATTTTCGATTTGTTTTGAATTTTTCCTCAGCAACCTCCATGAACATTTTTTCTGTGGACAAAACAATCTCCGTAGTTTGGAGACCCCTGGTCTAAGAGAAAGGAGAATATATAGGAAGTAACCAAAACCAAACAATATCAAGACCCATTAAAACTAGATGGCAGGTAAAATGATGATCAGTTGGTCACTCAAATGTGTAGGCAACAAATATGATAAATAAACTTTAGGAATAAATTGATTAGTACATATGATAAATAAACTTTAGGAGTAAATCCAGCCAATGTGTGTGACTTACCTGTGGGTTTTCATGGCGTGTTTTCAGCAGAATTTGATAGTTCAAATCCTTCCAGAGTGAATCATCTTGAGCTGCAGCTGCCAGACTTGCTAGACAAGGGATGACGTGGTCTGTGATGCGGGTGGAACACACGGATGTTTTACCCAGGGTGTTCTCAAGCTGGTGAACATGGGGACATTTTCTTAGTGAAAACGTGGGGACATTTTCTTAGTGAAAACATGGGGACATTTTCTTAGTGAAAACATTGGGACATTTTCTTAGTGAAAACATGGGGACATTTTCTTAGTGAAAACATGGGGACATGTTCTTAGTGAAAACATTGGGACATTTTCTTAGTGAAATATTGGGACATTTTCTTAGTGAAAACATGGGGACATTTTCTTAGTGAAAACATGGGGACATTTTCTTAGTGAAAACATGGGGACATGTTCTTAGTGAAAACATTGGGACATTTTCTTAGTGAAAACATTGGGACATTTTCTTAGTGAAAACATTGGGACATTTTCTTAGTGCAGGTAGGTGGTAAATTTGTTCTCAGCAGGTTTGACATTTTTCTTCTGCTAAAACTAAAATCTCCAAGAGACCAAGCCAGTTGACTGGGGCATTAAACTAAAACCTCCAAGAGACCAAGCAAGTTGACTGGGGCATTAAACTAAAACCTCCAAGAGACCAAGACTGAGCAAGTTGACTGGGGCATTAAACTAAAACCTCCAAGAGACCAAGCAAGTTGACTGGGGCATTAAACTAAAACCTCCAAGAGACCAAGCCAGTTGACTGGGGCATTAAACTAAAACCTCCAAGAGACCAAGCCAGTTGACTGGGGCATTAAACTAAAACCTCCAAAAGACCAAGCAAGTTGACTGGGGCATTAAACTAAAACCTCCAAAAGACCAAGCAAGTTGACTGGGGCATTAAACTAAAACCTCCAAAAGACCAAGCCAGTTGACTGGGGCATTAAACTAAAACCTCCAAGAGACCAAGCCAGTTGACTGGGGCATTAAACTAAAACCTCCAAGAGACCAAGCAAGTTGACTGGGGCATTAAACTAAAACCTCCAAGAGATCAAGCAAGTTGACTGGGGCATTAAACTAAAACCTCCAAGAGACCAAGACTGAGCAAGTTGACTGGGGCATTAAACTAAAACCTCCAAGAGACCAAGCCTGAGCAAGTTGATTACCTGGTCCACCAAAGGCTGCATGACCACATCAAATCTTTCTTTAGTCAGGAAACCTTCAGTGTCATGAGCAAAAGTCTTCTGCAGACAGTCCAGCACATAGAGCAGCAGACGGCAGGACTTGCCTCTGGCAACCTTGTCTTTGCCAAAGTAGTTATATTCTGAGGAGGACAGTAAGGTCAAGGTGAGGCAAACAGCAAGGTTCAGGTCAAAGTTCATGTCAACACAACAGCAAGGTTCAGGTCAAAGTTCATGTCAACATAACAGCAAGGTTCAGGTCAAAGTTCATGTCAACACAACAGCAAGGTTCAGGTCAAAGTTCATGTCAACACAACAGCATGGTTCAGGTCAAAGTTCATGTCAACACAACAGCATGGTTCAGGTCAAAGTTCATGTCAACATAACAGCAAGGTTCAGGTCAAAGTTCATGTCAACACAACAGCAAGGTTCAGGTCAAAGTTCATGTCAACACAACAGCAAGGTTCAGGTCAAAGTTCATGTCAACACAACAGCATGGTTCAGGTCAAAGTTCATGTCAACACAACAGCATGGTTCAGACAAAGTGAATACAAACATTTATGTCAACAATAGCAAGTTTGAAACTGGACACAAGTAAATGTCTATTATTCAACATTTGATAAAATGCATTTTAAAAAATAAATTTATAAAATGCGTATAAAATGTAAATTATACATTAAATCGGCGGCTCTGGTGGTAAATGTATTAGAAATGTAGCTGTATTAAACATTTCAATCAATTGTAATTAAATCATAAAAGGCCTTCATCATTATTTTGTGTCGAAGTCTAAGATGATGTAGATCTAGTCATTTTTTTTCAAGTAAAAACTCAAAGTAACCACGTTGCAATTAGATATTTAAACTTCAGCGCATGTATAATGTGCTCCCTTGGTCGGGCATGTAGGGCTAATGGTCAGCGTGACCACAGATGGGGTAGAGGCGGTTTGTTATGGAAACACATGCAGCGTTAAGTTGAGTAAAACTAATTTAATGACATCACGTTGATTAGCCAAATTTACGTGACCTTATTTAGTCATTAATAGCTAGACAGCCATAAATGACAGTAAAAAGTTCGGTCTACAGCATCTTCAATAAAAAACCTGGCTGTACGGTTTGTAAACATTAACGTGACCACAGCTCAGCAGACCATGTGGGGGTGGGGTAGGGTTTTAGTGATAGTGATAGAGAGAAAGAGAGGGGACTGTAAGGAGGCGCTTGCAGCTTGTTTTCTAATGGCTCGCAGAGGAGAATTATATATATAGAAGATTATATAGCGGTCTGAAATGCTCAATAAAATGTTTCCATGGATCAATTTAGTAATAATAACAATTGAATATTCTAATGTCATCCAAAACAAAGCTTCCCTGAAAATTTCAGCGCGCTAGCTAACTGGGAAGTGCCCGAAATTTCGATCGCAAGATTTGATTGGAGAACCAAACAAACAGACGCGAAAGCAAGTTAAAGAAAACGTGGGAAAAAAAGTAAGTTTACACGCCGTAGAATTAAGGACATCTTGGAAAAGTTGGAACTCCTAATTATTTAGACCTAGTAATAGATGTTACAGATAATATCAAATCCCTATATTATATAATCAGTTAACTATTAATCCCAGCTGTTAACAATGTCTAACCACTGCCCCAGCTGTTAACAATGTCTAACCACTGCCCCAGCTGTTAACAATATCTAACCACTGCCCCAGCTGTTAACAATGTCTAACCACTGCCCCAGCTGTTACCACTGCCCCAGCTGTTAACAATGTCTAACCACTGCCCCAGCTGTTAACAATGTCTGACCACTGCCCCAGCTGTTAACAATGTCTAACCACTGCCCCAGCTGTTAACAATGTCTAACCACTGCTGTTATCAACTTACTCTTCATCTTGTGGTTCCCATCCAACAACTGTGCACTGTGTTTGAGAATGTGGCCAGCAAACAATGTAAACAAATTCTTTAACTTCCCTGCAAGGCTGAAACAAAAGGAATGTATTACACACGTGTCAAGGATTGTATTACACATGTGTCAAAGATTGTATTACAGATGTGTCAAGGATTGTATTACACATGTGTCAAGGATTGTATTACACATGTGTCAAGGATTGTATTACACATGTGTCAAGGATTGTATTACAGATGTGTCAAGGATTGTATTGCAGATGTGTCAAGGATTGTATTACATGTGTCAAGGATTGTATTACATGTGTCAAGGATTGTATTACAGATGTGACAAGGATTGTATTACATGTGTCAAGGATTGTATTGCAGATGTGTCAAGGATTGTATTACATGTGTCAAGGATTGTATTGCAGATGTGTCAAGGATTGTATTGCAGATGTGTCAAGGATTGTATTACATGTGTCAAGGATTGTATTGCAGATGTGTCAAGGATTGTATTGCAGATGTGTCAAGGATTGTATTACAGATGTGACAAGGATTGTATTACACATGTGTCAAGGATTGTATTACATGTGTCAAGGATTGTATTACATGTGTCAAGGATTGTATTACAGATGTGACAAGGATTGTATTACAGATGTGTCAAGGATTGTATTCCAGATGTTTAAAGAGATGACAGCTTGAACATACCCATCACATAGTCTGTAGAAGAACAAGACCCTCTCTTTGGCAACATCTTCTTCAACAGCCCAGTTGTAGATCTGTGGAGGGAAACATCAGTTGGGGTCATAATCATCAAACTGGGGTCATAATCAGCTCATCAAACTGGGGTCATAATAAGCTCATCAAACTGGGATCATAATCATCAAACTGGGATCATAATCAGCTCATCAAACTGGGATCATAATCAGCTCATCAAACTGGGGTCATAATCAGCTCATCAAACTGGGATCATTAACATAATCAGCTCATCAAACTGGGATCATAATCATCAAACTGGGATCATAATCAGCTCATCAAACTGGGATCATAATCAGCTCATCAAACTGGGGTCATAATAAGCTCATCAAACTGGGGTCATAATCATCAAACTGGGGTCATAATCAGCTCATCAAACTGGGATCATAATCATCAAACTGGGATCATAATCAGCTCATCAAACTGGGATCATAATCAGCTCATCAAACTGGGGTCATAATCAGCTCATCAAACTGGGATCATTAACATAATCAGCTCATCAAACTGGGGTCATAATCAGCTCATCAAACTGGGGTCATAATCAGCTCATCAAACTGGGATCATAATCAGCTCATCAAACTGGGATCTTAAACGAAATGAACAGTAAACTTACCTGAAGCAACATAGGTTTAAACTGGGCCTCAGAGAGTTTGAAGACAAGAGAGATAAAAGCCTCAATGACACAGCCTTCTATCACATCCAGGTCAGCAGCACTTATCTGGTGACAAATAATACAGGTCACACGTTTTAAGAGTATGGGGCTTGTTTTAAGAGTATGGGGCTTGTTTTAAGAGTATGGGGCTTGTTTTAAGAGTATGGGGCTTGTTTTAAGAGTATGGGGCTTGTTTTAAGAGTATGGGGCTTGTTTTAAGAGTATGGGGCTTGTTTTAAGAGTATGGGGCTTGTTTAAAGAGTATGGGGCTTGTTTTAAGAGTATGGGGCTTGTTTTAAGAGTATGGGGCTTGTTTTAAGAGTATGGGGCTTGTTTTAAGAGTATGGGGCTTGTTTTAAGAGTATGGGGCTTGTTTTAAGAGTATGGGGCTTGTTTAAAGAGTATGGGGCTTGTTTTAAGAGTATGGGGCTTGTTTTAAGAGTATGGGGCTTGTTTTAAGAGTATGGGGCTTGTTTTAAGAGTATGGGGCTTGTTTTAAGAGTATGGGGCTTGTTTTAAGAGTATGGGGCTCGTACAACTTTTTCAAAGTGAAATTCCAGAAAGTGTGCAGAAGTCAAATGAAGTCACAGTAGTTTAGGCATCAGGGTTAGGTATCAAATATTTAGTTGGGGTCACGATGAGTTCACACAAGTTTAGATATCAGTGACCATAGTTACAAGTAGGGGCAGGTTAGTCTAGCCCTTATTGTCAGCATTTGCAAATATTTAATAAACAAACGAATTAAAAATACAAATAGATAAATTATGCCTAAATTATTATATATAAAGTCACAGGCCTTTCCCATAATGTTTTGTTATGACTGCCTGACTGCAAACTTAATGTAAATAGGGGGTAAAATTGAGAGATCAACATTTCTATGGGCGATCATTCTTTCATTAAATAATTTGACATAGCCGTAACACACTCACAATCTCCCCCCCCCCCCTCCCATGAGATATAACAATCTACTCCACCCTCCCCTCCCAATGATATAGTAGCTGAGTGATTGTGTTTCTTCTGTAACCCAGCATAAACATCATAACAATAATTCTGTAGATCTGTGCAGCACGCAGGGAGAAAAAAATTGAAGTTAATTCATTAAAGAAATATAGACTCTATGGGAAATATAGACTCTATGGGAAATATAGACTCTATGGGAAATATAGACTCTATGGGAAATATAGACTCTATGGGAAATATAGACTCTATGGGAAATATAGACTCTATGGAAAAGTTTTGCTTTTAAAACTAGATTCCAGACTAAAAAATCCAGCCCAAAAGCTCGAGATTTTCCTCTTAAGTCTGAAATTCACTTTGCTAAATTCCAGACTGCCTACGAACCCTGAGATAAGGTCACACTTGGTTACATGTTTACAGAATAGGTTATATGTATACAGACTAGGTTATATGTATACAGACTAGGTTATATGTATACAGACTAGGTTATATGTATACAGACTAGGTTATATGTATACAGACTAGGTTATATGTATACAGACTAGGTTATATGTATACAGAATAGGTTATATGTATACAGACTAGGTTATATGTATACAGACTAGGTTATATGTATACAGACTAGGTTATATGTATACAGAATAGGTTATATGTATACAGAATAGGTTATATGTATACAGCAGGGGTCTCCAAACTACGGCCCGCGGGCCGGATGCGGCCCGCGAAGTCCTCTCATCCGGCCCGCGGAGATCTTTTTGTCCAAGGAAAAATCGCTTGTTGGTGATAGCGGAGGAACCTTTCCCAGAAAAATCAAAGACATGTCTGGAAGAAACTGGCCCCCGAACTGAACTTTGATAGTTAATGCGGCCCTCGTGCTGAAAAGTTTGGAGACCCCTGGTATACAGAATAGGTTATATGTATACAGAATAGGTTATATGTATACAGACTAGGTTATATGTATACAGACTAGGTAACACGTATACAGACTAGGCTATACATATACAGACTAGGTTATATGTATACAGACTAGGTTATATGTATACAGACTAGGTTATATGTATACAGACTAGGTTATATGTATACAGACTAGGTTATATGTATACAGACTAGGTAACATTTGGTTATATGTTTACAGACTAGGTTATATGTATTAACACGTATACAGACTAGGTTATATGTATACAGACTAGGTTATATGTATACAGACTAGGTTATATGTATACAGACTAGGTTATACGTATACAGACTAGGTTATATGTATACAGACTAGGTTATATGTATACAGACTAGGTTATATGTATACAGACCAGGTTATATGTATACAGACTAGGTTATACGTATACAGACTAGGTAACACCTTTGGTACAAACCTCTGTATGGGTAACTCTGAGATCGAAGCAGAAAAAGAAAAACTTGAGTAGATCTGATGAGAATGTGGTCAAGTCGTCTCTGGTCATCTTCACTATGTGGCTCTTCAGCATGGACAGGGCACATTCTGCACACGACTGAAAGGTGAACAACAAAAACTTCAAACAGTGACCACACGACTGAAAGGTGAACAACAAAAACTTCAAACAGTGACCACACTACTGTTTATCCTAGCAACCACACAAATATTTACCTCAACACAACCCTTACCCTAGCAACCACACAAATAATTACCTCAACACAACCCTTACCCTAGCAACCACACAAATAATTACCTCAACACAAGCCTTACCCTAGCAACCACACAAATAATTACCAAACCACAACCCTTACCCTAGCAACCACACAAATAATTACCAAACCACAACCACTACCCTAGCAAAAACAGCAGGATATACAAACAAAAATTATGTACTCACTGCCATCTGTTCCTTGAACTGGACAAAGCTTTTCTCCAGGACAGGAAGAAATGTTCGTGTTGGGGTGGCTGTTGCAAGGGTCCCACTAGTAGAGAGAGACATTAAATATAGAGCAACAACATCAGAGAGAGCAACAACATTAGAGAGACATTAAATATAGAGCAACAACATCAGAGAGACATTAAATATAGAGCAATATATAGTCCATCAAATGCCACCATCACCACTATCACCATAGCTCAGATGTCACCAGTCCATCAAATGCCACCATCACCATAACTCAGATGTCAACAGTCCATCAAATGCCACCATCACCATAGCTCAGATGTCACCAGTCCATCAAATGCCACCATCATCACTATTATCATAACTCAGATGTCACCAGTCCATCAAATGCCACCATCACCACTATTATCATAACTCAGATGTCACCGGTCCATCAAATGCCACCATCACTACCATAACTCAGATGTCAACAGTCCATCAAATGCCACCATCAACTAGCACCATAACTCAGATGTCACCAGTCCATCAAATGCCACCATCACCACCATAACTCAGATGTCAACAGTCCATCAAATGCCACCATCACCACTATCACCATAACTCAGATGTCACCAGTCCATAAAATGCCACCATCACCATAGCTCAGATGTCACCAGTCCATCAAATGCCACCATCATCACTATTACCATAACTCAGATGTCACCAGTCCATCAAATGCCACCATCAACTAGCACCATAACTCAGATGTCACCAGTCCATCAAATGCCACCATCACTACCATAACTCAGATGTCAACAGTCCATCAAATGCCACCATCAACTAGCACCATAACTCAGATGTCACCAGTCCATCAAATGCCACCATCACCACCATAACTCAGATGTCAACAGTCCATCAAATGCCACCATCACCATAACTCAGATGTCAACAGTCCATCAAATGCCACCATCACCATAACTCAGATGTCACCAGTCCATCAAATGCCACCATCACCACCATAACTCAGATGTCAACAGTCCATCAAATGCCACCATCACCATAACTCAGATGTCAACAGTCCATCAAATGCCACCATCACCATAACTCATATGTCACAAGTCCATCACATGCCACCATCAGCATAGCTCAGATGTCAACAGTCCATCAAATGCCATCACCACCATAACTCAGATGTCAACAGTCCATCAAATGCCACCATCACCATAACTCATATGTCACAAGTCCATCACATGCCACCATCACTATAACTCAGATGTCACCAGTCCATCAAATGCGACTATCACCATAACTCAGATGTCAACAGTCCATCAAATGCCATCATCACCATAACTCAGATGTCAACAGTCCACCAAATGCCACCATCACCACAACTCAGATGTCACCAGTCCATCTAACGCCAACAACTAGATAGTCAAATAGAACTCACCATATCAGCTTTAGTTTCTGTGACACTGTAGGTCTGTGAGCTTCTGGCTGGCTGCTGACAACTGAATGGATGACGCACACCTTAAGGAAACCAAGTCAAAACAAACTGGGGTCAAAGTTGAAAACATTGCAACTCATCCCTGATTGGTAAATGACATCTAACCATCCCTGGTGGGTAAATGGCATCTAACCATCCCTGGTGGGTAAATGACATCTAACCATCCCTGGTGGGTAAATGACATCTAACCATCCCTGGTGGGTAAATGACATATAACCATCCCTGGTGGGTAAATGACATCTAACCATCCCTGGTGGGTAAATGGCATCTAACCATCCCTGGTGGGTAAATGGCATCTAACCATCCCTGGTGGGTAAATGACATCTAACCATCCCTGGTGGGTAAATGACACCTAACCATCTATGATTAGTACTAAAGTCATAAAAGGTAAAGGATGTATTGACAAAGTGTAACAGTGTTTAACAAGAGAAACCTACTTGTACAAAAATGCTCAAGAGATAGGGGCTAAGAAACAAGGCTAGTGTTTCTATCATCTTCTGAAGGGAGCTCACAGCTGCCAATAGCAAAACTTCATTTCTGAAACACACAATGTCAGACAAAAGGGTGACAGGGAGAGGTGACAGATGTGTGATAGAGATGACAGATGTGTGAGAGAGATGACAGATGTGTGAGAGAGATGACAGATGTGTGAGAGAGATGACAGATGTGTGAGAGAGATGACAGATGTGTGAGAGAGATGACAGATGTGTGAGAGAGATGACATGTGTGAGAGAGATGACAGATGTGTGAGAGAGATGACAGATGTGTGAGACAGATGACAGATGTGTGAGAGAGATGACAGATGTGTGAGAGAGATGAGATGACAGATGTGTGAGAGAGATGAGAGATGTGTGAGAGAGATGAGAGATGTGTGAGAGAGATGAGAGATGTGTGAGAGAGATGACAGATGTGTGAGAGAGATGACAGATGTGTGAGAGAGATGACAGTTGTGTGAGAGTGTAAATAAAACTGACTGTGTGATGGCCTTGGACTGCAGATGATGGATGATTAATGGCATGAAGTCTCCCAGATACTGGACTGTGTGGACTGTGGTACTGCTGACTATCTCTGCTATACACAGCATACAGGAGGCTGAGACCAGTCCGTTCTTGTCTGCATGTCTGGTCAAGACTTTCACACAGACTTGCAGCACCTGCAGGTGATAGTCAGGCTGGCTTGAGGGGGCTACCTCACTTAATGAGGGTGCTACCTCACTTAATGAGGGGGCTACCTCACTTAATGAGGGGGCTACCTCATTTAATGAGGGGACTACCTCCCTTAATGAGGGGACTACCTCACTTAATGAGGGGGCTACCTCACTTAATGAGGGGGCTACCTCATTTAATGAGGGGACTACCTCCCTTAATGAGGGGACTACCTCACTTAATGAGGGGGCTACCTCATTAAATGAGGGGGCTACCTCATTTAATGAGGGGACTACCTCCCTTAATGAGGAGACTACCTCACTTAATGAGGGGGCTACCTCACTTAATGAGGAAACTACCTCACTTAATGAGGGGGCTACCTCACTTAATGAGGGGGCTACCTCCCTTAATGAGGGGACTACCTCACTTAATGAGGGGACTACCTAACTTAATGAGGGGGCTACCTCACTTAATGAGGGGACTACCTCACTTAATGAGGGGACTACCTCACTTAATGAGGGGGCTACCTCACTTAATGAGGGGGCTACCTCACTTAATGAGGGGGCTACCCCACTTAATGAGGGAGCTACCTCACTTAATGAGGTAGCTACCTCACTTAATGATGGAGCTACCTCAATTAATGAGGGGACTATTTCACTTAATGAGGGGACTACCTATCTTAATGAGGGGGCTACCTCACTGAATGAGGGGACAACCTCACTTAATGAGGGGACTACCTCACTTAATGAGGGGGCTACCTCACTTAATGATGGAGCTACCTCAATTAATGAGGGGAATATTTCACTTAATGAGGGGACTACCTATCTTAATGAGGGGGCTACCTCACTGAATGAGGGGACTACCTCACTTAATGAGGGGACTACCTCACTTAATGAGGAAACTACCTCACTTAATGAGGGGGCTACCTCACTTAATGAGGGGGCTACCTCCCTTAATGAGGGGACTACCTCACTTAACGAGGAAACTACCTCACTTAATGAGGGGGCTACCTCACTTAATGAGGGGGCTACCTCACTTAATGAGGGGGCTACCTCACTTAATGAGGGGGCTACCTCACTTAATGAGGGGACTACCTCACTTAATGAGGGGACTACCTAACTTAATGAGGGGGCTACCTCACTTAATGAGGGGACTACCTCACTTAATGAGGGGTCTACCTCACTTAATGAGGGGGCTACCTCACTTAATGAGGGGGCTACCTCACTTAATGAGGGGGCTACCCCACTTAATGAGGGAGCTACCTCTCTTAATGAGGTAGCTACCTCACTTAATGATGGAGCTACCTCAATTAATGAGGGGACTATTTCACTTAATGAGGGGACTACCTATCTTAATGAGGGGGCTAACTCACTGAATGAGGGGACTACCTCACTTAATGAGGGGACTACCTCACTTAATGAGGGGGCTACCTCACTTAATGATGGAGCTACCTCAATTAATGAGGGGACTATTTCACTTAATGAGGGGACTACCTATCTTAATGAGGGGGCTACCTCACTGAATGAGGGGACTACCTCACTTAATGAGGGGACTACCTCACTTAATGAGGGGGCTACCTCACTTAATGAGGGGGCTACCCCACTTAATGAGGGAGCTACCTCACTTAATGAGGTAGCTACCTCACTTAATGATGGAGCTACCTCAATTAATGAGGGGACTATTTCACTTAATGAGGGGACTACCTATCTTAATGAGGGGGCTACCTCACTGAATGAGGGGACTACCTCACTTAATGAGGGGACTACCTCACTTAATGAGGGAGCTACTTCACTTAATGAGGGAGCTACCTCAATTAATGAGGGAGCTACCTCAATTAATGAGGGGGCTATTTCACTTAATGAGGGGGCTACCTCACTTAATGAGGGGACTACCTATCTTAATGAGGGAGCTATTTCACTTAATGAGGGGGCTACCTCACTAAAAAAGGTGGCTACCTCACTTAATGGACTATCTCACTTAATAAGAGGGCTATCTCACTTAATGAGGGGACTACCTCACAGAATGAATGAGGGAGCTACCTCAATGAACATATGACAAATATGAAGTGCCTACCTCAATGAACATATGACAAATATGAAGTGACTACCTCAATGAACATATGACAAATATGAAGTGACTACCTCAATTAACATATGACAAATATGAAGTGCCTACCTCAATGAACATATGACAAATATGAAGTGACTACCTCAATGAACATATGACAAATATGAAGTGACTACCTCAATGAACATATGACAAATATGAAGTGCCTACCTCAATGAACATATGACAAATATGAAGTGACTACCTCAATGAACATATGACAAATATGAAGTGCCTACCTCAATGAACATATGACAAATATGAAGTGACTACCTCAATGAACATATGACAAATATGAAGTGACTACCCCACAGAACATATGACAAATATGATGTGACTACCTCAATGAACTGTTTGTGGTTCTTGGCTCCCAGGATACGACACAAAACTTTTAAGCTGTAAAGGCCAGTCTGGCCAATGAGCAGATCCTCTTCTTTAGACTTATCTCCCTTGACTAGAGACTGGTGCACAATACATTTCAGCCGTCCTGCCATTGTCACCAACATCTTGCTCTGAGAGAAAAAAACATTTTATACCAGCTTTAGGACATTCCCATTTTAACAGCCCTCATCATCAAGTGACAAGCTCAAACATTTTATACTAGCTTTAGGACATTCCCATTTTAACAGCCCTCATCATCAAGTGACAAGCTCACAACCCATGTGAAATAAAATAAAAAGGAGTAGAACCTGACCTGGCCACTGGTGATGTTGTCCTTGTAGTGCTGTAATTTGGTGTTGAGGAGTTCAATGGCGCGTTTCTGTACCAGCGGCAAGCTGTGGCCCATCAAACCAGACACAACTTCCATGAACATGGAGTCAGGCAGGAGATTCACAAGCTGCAACATCAAGGCTCAGTCAACAAGACAGCTCAGTCAACAAGACAGCTCAGTCAACAAGACAGCTCAGTCAACAAGACACTTCAGTCAACCAGACAGCTCAGTCAACAAGACAGCTCAGTCAACAAGACAGCTCAGTCAACAAGACAGCTCAGTCAAGAAGACAGCTCAGTCAACAGCCCAGTCAACAAGACAGCTCAGTCAACAAGACACTTCAGTCAACCAGACAGCTCAGTCAACAAGACAGCCCATTCAACAAGACAGCTCAGTCAACAAGACAGCTCAGTCAACAAGACAGCTCAGTCAACAGCCCAGTCAACAAGACAACTCAGTCAACAGCCCAGTCAACAAGACAGCTCAGTCAACAGCCCAGTCAACAAGACAGCCCAGTCAACAAGACAGCTCAGTCAACAAGACAGTCAACAAGACAGCTCAGTCAACAAGACAGCTCAGTCAACAAGACAGCTCAGTCAACAAGACAGCTCAGTCAACAGCCCAGTCAACAAGACAACTCAGTCAACAGCCCAGTCAACAAGACAGCTCAGTCAACAGCCCAGTCAACAAGACAGCCCAGTCAACAAGACAGCCCAGTCAACAAGACACTTCAGTCAACAAGACACTTCAGTCAACCAGACAGCTCAGTCAACAAGACAGCTCAGTCAACAAGACAGCTCAGTCAAGAAGACAGCTCAGTCAACAAGACAGCTCAGTCAACAGCCCAGTCAACAAGACAGCTCAGTCAACAAGACAGCCCAGTCAACAAGACAGCTCAGTCAACAAGACACTTCAGTCAACAAGACAGCTCAGTCAACAAGACAGCAGTCAACCAGACAGCTCAGTCAACAAGACAGCCCAGTCAACAAGACAGCCCAGTCAAGAAGACAGCTCAGTCAACAAGACAGTCAACAAGACAGCTCAGTCAACAAGACAGCTCAGTCAACAAGACAGCTCAGTCAACAGCCCAGTCAACAAGACAACTCAGTCAACAGCCCAGTCAACAAGACAGCTCAGTCAACAGCCCAGTCAACAAGACAGCTCAGTCAACAAGACAGCTCAGTCAACAAGACACTTCAGTCAACAAGACACTTCAGTCAACAAGACAGCTCAGTCAACAAGACAGCAGTCAACCAGACAGCTCAGTCAACAAGACAGCCCATTCAACAAGACAGCTCAGTCAACAAGACAGCTCAGCCAACAAGACAGCTCAGCCAACAAGACAGCTCAGTCAACAAGACAGCTCAGTCAACAAGACAGCTCAGTCAACAAGACAGCTCAGTCAACAAGACAGCTCAGTCAACAGCCCAGTCAACAAGACAGCTCAGTCAACAGCCCAGTCAACAAGACAGCTCAGTCAACAAGACAGCTCAGTCAACAAGACAGTCAACAAGACAGTCAACAAGACAGCTCAGTCAACAGCCCAGTCAACAAGACAGCCCAGTCAACAAGACAGCTCAGTCAACAAGACACTTCAGTCAACAAGACAGCTCAGTCAACAAGACAGCAGTCAACCAGACAGCTCAGTCAACAAGACAGCCCATTCAACAAGACAGCTCAGTCAACAAGACAGCTCAGTCAACAAGACAGCTCAGTCAACAAGACAGCTCAGTCAACAAGACAGCTCAGTCAACAGCCCAGTCAACAAGACAGCTCAGTCAACAGCCCAGTCAACAAGACAGCTCAGTCAACAGCCCAGTCAACAAGACAGCAGTCAACCAGACAGCTCAGTCAACAAGACAGCCCAGTCAACAAGACAGCCCAGTCAACAAGACAGCTCAGTCAACAAGACAGCTCAGTCAACAAGACAGCCCATTCAACAAGACAGCTCAGTCAACAAGACAGCCCAGTCAACAAGACAGCTCAGTCAACAAGACAGCTCAGTCAACCAGACAGCTCAGTCAACAAGACAGCCCATTCAACAAGACAGCTCAGTCAACAAGACAGCTCAGTCAACAAGACACTTCAGTCAACAAGACAGCTCAGTCAACAAGACAACTGTATACTGTCAACCTTTCCCATGACTTACACTATCCATGAGATCTTGACTTTTATTGAGTAAAATCCTCCAAAACCTTGCACTACTTGTGTCTTTATGTTGGTCATGTGACACAGTCACCTGACCAATCAAGCGAAGAATGGTTTCCATGAGACTCTGATAACCTTTAAGGAAAAGGCTAGGCTCTGCCTCTGCCATCTGCAACAGTAAGTTTGTGTTTGATTGATAAATGGGCTAGCTAAAGCTCTAAGTCACTTACCAATGAATCTAAGCCAGATATTTACCTGGGCCACTAGGTGTTGGCTGCCAACCAAATGATGAACAGCAAAGACTGTAGCAAACTTAAAATGCCTGAGCTGCTTGGCTGAATGGTAAGGCACGCTAAAGATCTCCATCTCCTCCACACTCATGTCCTCTAGATTCAGGCTTGCTTTGTCAAGCTGGAGTACCTGAGCTGAAACCAGACAAGTTCATTACCATATGCCCCTGTCATTACCATATGCCCCTGTCATTACCATATGCCCCTGTCATTACCATAAGCCCCTGTCATTGCCATATGCCCCTGTCATTGCCATATGCCCCTGTCATTACAAACCAGCCAAATGTCATCTAACCCCTCTATGTGCCAGTAAAGTGCTAACTTACTGCCCAGTTTTTCTTCAGGCAACCTCAGCATGTAGTCAACAGCCTTCTGATAGCACTGCAGCAATTGGGGGCTGGAGAACTTCTCTGTCAGACTTGTCAGGAATTCCAGGTCAGTGGTGGCCAGTGGTCCGGCATTCTGTGGGAGGTACATGACCAGTGGCAACAAGAGATTAATCAGTGTCAACAGAAGAAAGAGATTAATCAGTGTCAACAAGAAAGAGATTAACCAGTGTCAACAAGAAAGAGATTAATCAGTGTCAACAAGAAAGAGATTAATCAGTGTCAACAAGAAAGAGATTAATCAGTGTCAACAGAAGAAAGAGATTAACCAGTGGCAACAGAAGTAAGAGATTAACCAGTGTCAACAAGAAAGAGATTAACCAGTGGCAACAGAAGTAAGAGATTAACCAGTGTCAACAAGAAAGAGATTAATCAGTGTCAACAAGAAAGAGATTAACCAGTGGCAACAGAAGTAAGAGATTAACCAGTGTCAACAAGAAAGAGATTAATCAGTGTCAACAAGAAAGAGATTAACCAGTGTCAACAGAAGAAAGAGATTAACCAGTGTCAACAAGAAAGAGATTAACCAGTGTCAACAAGAAAGAGATTAACCAGTGTCAACAGAAGAAAGAGATTAACCAGTGTCAACAAGAAAGAGATTAACCAGTGTCAACAAGAAAGAGATTAACCAGTGTCAACAAGAAAGAGATTAACCAGTGTCAACAGAAGAAAGAGATTAACCAGTGTCAACAGAAGAAAGAGATTAACCAGTGTCAACAGAAAGAGATTAACCAGTGTCAACAAGAAAGAGATTAACCAGTGTCAACAAGAATATAAATCCAGACCTTGACATCATGCACCTCCTCCAGCGTACCCCTGACTGTGACGCTCTCAATGAACAACAAGACCAGCCTCCACAGGTAGCTGTCTGCTCCTAGGATGCTGACCAACTTTTCAAACAGCATCAACCTTCTGTGGGAGGGGATGTGGGGGATGGCATCCACAAAGACACGCAACACCACAGTCAGCATGTCCTGACATCCAGCAGCTTGGGCCTTGGTTACAGACTTCTCCCTCAAGCCTGGTTTGTCTTTACTTTTTTCTTGGGCAGCCTGGGGACATTAGGTTCATCAAGTTACAGGAAGTAGGTCAATGGTCAAATAGTAAGTAGGTCAGTGCTCAGGTGGTAAGTAGGTCAATGGACATGCACTAAGTAGGTCATGCTCAGACAGTAAGTGGCTGCAAGGGTCAGACATATTAGTAGGCCATGGTCAATGGTCAGATATTAAGTAGACTATAGTCAATGGTCAGATATTAAGCAGACTATGTAAGTGGGTCAGTGGTCAGATATTAAGTAGGTTATGGTCAATGGTCAGACATTAAGTAGACTATGGTCAATGGTCAGACATTAAGTAGACTATGGTCAGTGGTCAGATATTAAGTAGGCTATGGTCAGTGGTCAGATATTAAGGGTCAGTGGTCAGATATTAAGTAGGCTATGTAAGTGGGTCAGTGGTCAGATATTAAGTAGGTTATGGTCAATGGTCAGACATTAAGTAGACTATGGTCAATGGTCAGACATTAAGTAGACTATGGTCAGTGGTCAGATATTAAGTAGGCTATGGTCAGTGGTCAGATATTAAGGGTCAGTGGTCAGATATTAAGGAGGCTATGGTCAGTGGTCAGACATTAAGTAGGCTATGGTCAGTGGTCAGATATTTAGTAGACTATGTAAGTGGGTCAATGGTCAGATATTAAGTAGGTTATGGTCAGTGGTCAGATATTAAGTAGACTATGGTCAGTGGTCAGATATTAAGTAGACTATGGTCAGTGGTCAGACATTAAGTAGACTATGTAAGTGGGTCAATGGTCAGATATTAAGTAGGTTATGGTCAGTGGTCAAACATTAAGTAGACTGTGTAAGTGGGTCAATGGTCAGATATTAAGTAGGTTATGGTCAGTGGTCAAACATTAAGTAGACTGACCATAATGAGAGCTGGTATAACATTGTCCAGAATCTTGCCAATGACATGGAAGCTGTAAGCGTCATCTTGGCGGAGAATGCTGGTCCCCATAAATGTAAACACGGACATCATATTGTGTAGAAGTAAACCCTAAATATAAACACAGACATCATATTGTGTAGAAGTAAACCCTAAATATAAACACGGACATCATATTGTGTAGAAGTAAACCCTAAATATAAACACGGACATCATATTGTGTAGAAGTAAACCCTAAATATAAACACAGATATCATATTGTGTAGAAGTAAACCCTAAATATAAACACGGACATCATATTGTGTAGAAGAAAACCCTAAATATAAACACAGACATCATATTGTGTAGAAGTAAACCCTAAATATAAACACAGACATCATATTGTGTAGAAGTAAACCCTAAATATAAACACAGACATCATATTGTGTAGAAGTAAACCCTAAATGTAAACACGGACATCATATTGTGTAGAAGTAAACCCTAAATATAAACACGGACACCATATTGTGTAGAAGTAAACCCTAAATGTAAACACGGACATCATATTGTGTAGAAGTAAACCCTAAATATAAACACAGACATAGACATTATATTGTGTAGAAGTAAACCCTAAATATAAACACGGACATAGACATTATATTGTGTAGAAGTAAACCCTAAATATAAACACAGACATCATATTGTGTAGAAGTAAACCCTAAATATAAACACAGACATCCTATTTTGTAGAAGTAAACCCTAAATGTAAACACAGACATCATATTGTCTAGAGCGAAACCCTAAATATAAACACGGACATAGACATTATATTGTGTAGAAGTAAACCCTTAATGTAAACACGGACATCATATTGTGTAAAAGTAAATAAACTCAAAACAACCTTCAGATTAACTATAATTCTGTGTCAACTTACTGGAGCTATCTTGGCAGCTGAGCTAAGGAGCAGCAATGCTTGATGGTGTGTGTGGGGGTTGTCTGAGCTCCTGATACAATTCACAATCAGATCCATGTTCAGGTGCTCTCCCTTCACATGCTCTATGGTGGAACATTTTTGTCAAAACCTTTCAGTCAAACATTTTTGTCAAATTTTTTCTGTCGAACATTTTTGTCAAATTTTTTCTGTCGAACATTTTTGTCAAAACTTTTCTGTCGAACATTTTTGTCAAAACCTTTCAGTCGAACATTTTTGTCAAAACTTTTCTGGCGAACATTTTTGTCAAAACTTTTCTGTCGAACATTTTTGTCAAAACTTTTCAGTCGAACATGTTTGTCAAAACTTTTCAGTCGAACATTTCTTTCAAAACTTTTCAGTGGACAATTTTTGTCAAAACTTTTCAGTGGACAATTTTTGTCAATACTTTTCCGTAGACAATTTTTGTGAAAACATTTCTGTGGAACATTTTGATGCAACTTTTTTCACATTTAAATCAAACAAATTTTTTAGAGAGGTGAAAGACTAGGTAAAAAAAATTTCCATGAGAAAACACATTGCATACTGGCCATAGTTAATTCATGTAATAAGGATGGGCCCAGTAAACACAGAGGGTCCTAGTAAATAAACAGCAAGGGCCCCAGTAAACACAGAGGGTCCTAGTAAATACAGAGGGTCCTAGTAAATAAACAGCAAGGACCCCAGTAAACACAGAGGGTCCTAGTAAATAAACAGCAAGGGCCCCAGTAAACAGAGGGTCCCACTAAATAAACAGCAAGGGCCCCAGTAAACACAGAGGGTCCTAGTTAATAAACAGCAAGGGCCCCAGTAAACACAGAGGGTCCTAGTAAATAAACAGCAAGGGCCCCAGTAAACACAGAGGGTCCCAGTAAATAAACAGCAAGGGCCCCAGTAAACAGAGGGTCCCACTAAATAAACAGCAAGGGCCCCAGTAAAAAGATGTCCTCACCTTCTGCCTGTAGACTGCGAGCACAGATGGCGCTGATGGTACCCAGAATCAGCTGCTTCATGTATTCTCCAGATCCTTTGTCTTCCACATCCAGCACCCTGCAATTGTTTTGGTTGGTGAAGAATCAGTTTTCAAATGGTCATTACTACTTAGAAAATATCACTGCTACATTGAATAGACATTGAATCTACTGATGATTGAAGAAATGGCCAGACAGTGTCTCACCTCCCCAGGACCCTGAAGGCCAGTGGAACAATGGCTACAGGCTGGAGGATTTTCTTCTTGTTCTGGATCATCTCAAACAGGTGTCTGATACGCTGCCAGGGCCTGCAGTCTAGTTCCAACTCCACACTACCCGCATGCCTGAAATAGACGTTTCTCATGTATATACTTTTGATTAACTCCTGAAATATACGTTTCTAATGTATATACTGTATATACAACAAATCTCTCACTAGATCATACATTCTTTAGTAGAGGTTTTTTGTGGAGAGGTTTTTTATCGAGAGTTTTTGTGAGTTTTGAGATTAGCGTTTTTGTGAGTTTTGAGAGTAGAGTTTTTGTTAGTTTTGAGACTACTTACATTTTTTGTCTTTTCACCTCCCGTATGGAGCCAGCTGATGACTCACACAAGACAGACTGCAACTCATCCGTGATTAAACTTGACTCCAACGTCATCTACCAGCAGGTTCATACAAAACTATTTCATTAAACTTGACCCCAGCAAGTTCATACAAAACTATTTCATTAAACTTGACCCCAGCAAGTTCATACAAAACTATTTCATTAAACTTGACCCCAGCAAGTTCATACAAAACTATTTCATTAAACTTGACCCCAGCAGGTTCATACAAAACTATTTCATTAAACTTGACCCCAGCAAGTCCATACAAAACTATTTCATTAAACTTGACCCCAGCAAGTTCATACAAAACTATTTCATTAAACTTGACCCCAGCAAGTTCATACAAAACTATTTCATTAAACTTGACCCCAGCAGGTTCATACAAAACTATTTCATTAAACTTGACCCCAGCAAGTTCATACAAAACTATTTCATTAAACTTGACCCCAGCAAGTTCATACAAAACTATTTCATTAAACTTGACCCCAGCAAGTTCATACAAAACTATTTCATTAAACTTGACCCCAGCAAGTTCATACAAAACTATTTCATTAAACTTGACCCCAGCAAGTTCATACAAAACTATTTCATTAAACTTGACCCCAGCAGGTTCATACAAAACTATTTCATTAAACTTGACCCCAGCAAGTTCATACAAAACTATTTCATTAAACTTGACCCCAGCAGGTTCATACAAAACTATTTCATTAAACTTGACCCCAGCAAGTTCATACAAAACTATTTCATTAAACTTGACCCCAGCAAGTTCATACAAAACTATTTCATTAAACTTGACCCCAGCAAGTTCATACAAAACTATTTCATTAAACTTGACCCCAGCAAGTTCATACAAAACTATTTCATTAAACTTGACCCCAGCAAGTTCATACAAAACTATTTCATTAAACTTGACCCCAGCAAGTTCATACAAAACTATTTCATTAAACTTGACCCCAGCAAGTTCATACAAAACTATTTCATTAAACTTGACCCCAGCAAGTTCATACAAAACTATTTCATTAAACTTGACCCCAGCAAGTTCATACAAAACTTTTTCATTAATATCAATCTTAACTTAGACACTGTCATACTTACACCATGATTAGTTAGATAGCCTTAATGACACTATTGTCAATTTGTCACAGTGACACTGACACAGCTGTCAGTGAGATGTCATACTTACATGCTTGACAACCTTCCGACACTGTCTAGCCACATCTGCATCTCGAGTATCAGTCACAATGTTGACAAGTTCTTTAAACACACTCTGGCGGGAGGGGTGGGGCAGGGCAGCCATAAACTTGCTGCTGAGCTGCATCAAGAGACACAAGATTTGGTGCAGGATGAAGAGACACAAGAGATGGTGCAGGATGAAGAGACACAAGAGATGGTGCAGGATTAAGAGACACAAGAGATGGTGCAGGACGAAGAGACACAAGATTTGATGCAGGGTGAAGAGACACAAGATTTGGTGCAGGATGAAGAGACACAAGATTTGGTGCAGGATGAAGAGACACAAGATTTAGTGCAGGATGAAGAGACACAAGATTTAGTGCAGGATGAAGAGACAAGATTTAGTGCAGGATGAAGAGACACAAGATTTGGTGCAGGATGAAGAGACACAATATTTGGTGCAGGATGAAGAGACACAAGAGATGGTGCAGGATGAAGAGACACAAGATTTGATGCAGGATGAAGAGACACAATATTTGGTGCAGGATGAAGAGACACAAGATTTGATGCAGGATGAAGAGACACAAGATTTGATGCAGGATGAAGAGACACAAGATTTGGTGCAGGATGAAGAGACACAAGATTTGGTGCAGGATGAAGAGACACAAGATTTGGTGCAGGATGAAGACACACAAGATTTGGTGCAGGATGAAGAGACACAAGAGATGGTGCAGGATGAAGAGACACAAGAGATGGTGCAGGATGAAGAGACACAAGATTTGGTGCAGGGTGAAGAGACACAAGATTTGGTGCAGGATGAAGAGACACAAGATTTGGTGCAGGATGAAGAGACACAAGAGATGGTGCAGGATGAAGAGACACAAGAGATGGTGCAGGATGAAGAGACACAAGATTTGGTGCAGGATGAAGAGACACAAGAGATGGTGCAGGATGAAGAGACACAAGATTTGGTGCAGGATGAAGAGACACAAGATTTGGTGCAGGATGAAGAGACACAAGATTTGGTGCAGGATGAAGAGACACAAGAGATGGTGCAGGATGAAGAGACACAAGATTTGGTGCAGGATGAAGAGACACAAGATTTGGTGCAGGATGAAGAGACACAAGATTTGGTGCAGGATGAAGAGACACAAGAGATGGTGCAGGATGAAGAGACACAAGATTTGGTGCAGGATGAAGAGACACAAGATTTGGTGCAGGATGAAGAGACACAAGAGATGGTGCAGGATGAAGAGACACAAGAGATGGTGCAGGATTAAGAGACACAAGAGATGGTGCAGGACGAAGAGACACAAGATTTGATGCAGGACGAAGAGACACAAGATTTGGTGCAGGATGAAGAGACACAAGATTTGGTGCAGGATGAAGAGACACAAGATTTGGTGCAGGATGAAGAGACACAAGATTTGGTGCAGGATGAAGAGACACAAGATTTAGTGCAGGATGAAGAGACACAAGATTTAGTGCAGGATGAAGAGACAAGATTTAGTGCAGGATGAAGAGACACAAGATTTGGTGCAGGGTGAAGAGACACAAGATTTGGTGCAGGATGAAGAGACACAAGATTTGGTGCAGGATGAAGAGACACAAGATTTGGTGCAGGATGAAGAGACACAAGATTTGGTGCAGGGTGAAGAGACACAAGATTTGGTGCAGGATGAAGAGACACAAGATTTGATGCAGGATGAAGAGACAAGATTTGATGCAGGATGAAGAGACACAAGATTTGGTGCAGGATGAAGAGACACAAGATTTGGTGCAGGATGAAGAGACACAAGATTTGGTGCAGGATGAAGAGACACAAGATTTGGTGCAGGATGAAGAGACACAAGATTTGGTGCAGGATGAAGAGACACAAGATTTGGTGCAGGATGAAGAGACACAAGATTTGGTGCAGGATGAAGAGACAAAAGACAAAACTGGACTGATTGATATGTTGAGAGCTGCCTTAGATCAATAATTATCAGCAGTTTTATGTTAAATGCAGAGTAAAATGGCTCTCTAATAGAAGATAGGACATCTTTTATTATTTTCTAACACCATATAGCATCCTTTTCTATGCTTCTTGGTGGCCATTTCAGGCCTAGACATTATGCTATAGGGAGAGTCAACTTTAAACATAGACATATTGAGCTATAGGGAGAGTCAACTTTAAACATAGACATATTGAGCTCTAGGGAGAGTCAACTTTAAACATAGACATATTGAGCTATAGGGAGAGTCAACTTTAAACATAGACATATTGAGCTATAGGGAGAGTCAACTTTAAACATAGACATATTGAGCTTAAGTAAATTTTATTACAAAGACATATTGAGCTTAAGTAAACTTTAAACATAGACATATTGAGCTATAAGTGAACCTTAAACATAGACATATTGAGCTCTAGGGAGAGTCAACTTCAAACAGACATATTGAGCTATAAGTGAACTTTAAACATAGACATATTGAGCTCTAGGGAGAGTCAACTTTAAACATAGACATATTGAGCTATAAGTGAACTTTAAACATAGACATATTGAGCTCTAGGGAGAGTCAACTTTAAACATAGACATATTGAGCTCTAGGGAGAGTCAAGGTGTGGCTTACCTGGTGTAGAGCCAGCTGCTGGGTGGTCTGACCTGCGGCCACCATGGGGCAGGTGAGTGCTGTCAGCAGGACATTCAGGCCCTCAGCCGTGATACACACAGCAGTGGCTGGGGTCAGGTGTTTGAGCAACAGGGCTGTCATGTCCTGCTCTTCAGGGGTCAACACGGCTGCTTCCTGATCCCTGGACTTTAGCACTGCACCAAGCACACGCAGCAGGGATGGGAAACTTTCCTGGTGAGCACATCAAGGTAGGTGGTGAGTACATCAAGGTAGGTGGTGAGCACATTAACAAGGTATGTGGTGAGCACAGTAACAAGGTAGGTGGTGAGCACATTAACAAGGTAGGTGGTGAGCACAGTAACAAGGTAGGTGGTGAGCACATTAACAAGGTAGGTGGTGAGCACATTAACAAGGTAGGTGGTGAGCACAGTAACAAGGTAGGTGGTGAGCACATTAACAAGGTATGTGGTGAGCACATCAAGGTAGGTGGTGAGTACATTAACAAGGTAGGTGGTGAGCACATCAAGGTAGGTGGTGAGCACATTAACAAGGTATGTGGTGAGCACATCAAGGTAGGTGGTGAGCACATTAACAAGGTAGGTGGTGAGCACATCAAGGTAGGTGGTGAGTACATTAAGGTATGTGGTGAGCACATTAACAAGTTTGCTTGTGCAATTTCACTACAAATTGGTTAGTATTCTACTTCTTAAATTTTAAAGAATGTGTATAACCTGCGTACAACATCATCAAGCTAGTGTGGACAACTTACAACATCATCAAGCTAGTGTGGAAAACTTACAACATCATCAAGTTAGTGTGGACAACTTACAAAAGCAAGTTAGTGTGGACAACTTACAACATTAAGTTAGTGTGGACAACTTACAACATCATCAAGCTAGTGTGGACAACTTACAACATCATCAAGCTAGTGTGGACAACTTACAACATCATCAAGCTAGTGTGGACAACTTACAACATCATCAAGCTAGTGTGGACAACTTACAACATCATCAAGCTTGTCAAGTGCAGTCAGCAGCCCAACTTTGACAAGTGCAGGAGTTTGACTGAGTTCCAGGAGATGGAGGAGATAGTTCAAGGTCTTGGTGTGTGCTGGTAGGTTGCTGTTGTTCCTCTTGCGTTTTGGTGAGGCTTGGGATGGTTTTCTCTCCTCACCAACCAAAACTCTGGCTAAAATCTGGAGAATTTTTTTTGTTTTAGAGAGACATTTCACACAAATTTAATTGTCACAGCTAATGTTAAAAAAACTCCAGTTCAGCTGGTTATGTAATCATTATATCAACATCTATAAAGCTGCCTCTGTGGTTGACAAGTGATAAAGGGAACACAAATAGGGGGCACCAGATTGGTCTAACCACAAATAGGGGCACCAGATTGGTCTAACCACAAATAGGGGCACCAGATTGGTCTAACCACAAATAGAGGGCACAAGATTGGTCTAACCACAAATAGAGGGCACAAGATTGGTCTAACCACAAATAGGGGGACCAGATTGGTCTAACCACAAATAGGGGCACAAGATTGGTCTAACCACAAATAGAGGGCACCAGATTGGTCTAACCACAAATAAGGGCACCAGATTGGCCAAACCAATTTTTCAATTGGCAACTTTAATTATCTAAATAAAAAATTTTTAAAATACATCTTGAAAGAAGTGAGTCACAGTTCTTTGCACAATTAAATGTGCGTTATTAAATATGAATATGTCTATACATTTTTATTAACATTTTTTTTTTACATAATAATTTTATCTACTTCAGTACACATTTTAAAATTCTGAAATTTTCTGAAATCTGGTTTTATACAAGAATATAAAAAAAATTATACAAACTTGTAAAAATGGGTTCAATTTTTGTAGTATATACATAACATACATATAAAAGGCAATAAAAAACTATATAATTTATAAGCACTGCAAGGTGGTACTTAACTGGTATATAAGAAGTAAGTGTTAGACCATTTTTGTAGTTTTTCATACTGTAAACCACTAGACTGTCAACTTACTGTAGAGAAAAATGTTTGGTCTTGTGTGATCTCTTGCTTGTAACTCAGTAGTCTCTCAACAAGCCACTGGCATGAAGCCTCCACTGGTAGCTCAGAGCTCAATGTCCCCATGATTGTCAAGGCTGTTTTCCTGACTAGTTCAAATTTACTGGACAGCAGCATAAGTAGGCAGGGTAGCACTAGAAGATGGTAATAATACTGTACGAAGGTAGCACTACAAGATGGTAATAAAACTGTATGAAGGTAGCACTAGAAGATGGTAATAAAACTGTATGAAGGTAGCACTAGAAGATGGTAATAAAACTGTATGAAGGTAGCACTACAGGATGGTAAGGCAGTGATTGTAGGTAGCACTACAGGATGGCAAGGCAGTGATTGTAGGTAGCACTACAGGATGGCAAGGCAGTGATTGTAGGTAGCACTACAGGATGGTAAGGCAGTGATTGTAGGTAGCACTACAGGATGGTAAGGCAGTGATTGTAGGTAGCACTACAGGATGGCAAGGCAGTGATTGTAGGTAGCACTACAGGATGGTAAGGCAGTGATTGTAGGTAGCACTACAGGATGGTAAGGCAGTGATTGTAGGTAGCACTACAGGATGGTAAGGCAGTGATTGTAGGTAGCACTACAGGATGGTAAGGCAGTAATTGTAGGTAGCACTACAAGATGGTAAGGCAGTGATTGTAGGTAGCACTACAAGATGGTAAGGCAGTGATTGTAGGTAGCACTACAGGATGGCAAGGCAGTGATTGTAGGTAGCACTACAGGATGGTAAGGCAGTGATTGTAGGTAGCACTACAAGATGGTAAGGCAGTGAATGAAGGTAGCACTACAGGATGGTAATGTAGTGTGTAAAGGTAGCAGTACAGGATGGTAATGTAGTGTGTGAAGGTAGCACTACAGGATGGTAATGTAGTGTGTGAAGGCTAATGTTTTGCACATAGTGAACTGCTGGACAAAGCCACTGACCAGGTGTAGGATCAGACATGACCAAGGTCTTCTCTGCACGTGTCAAGGAGGTAACGTAGACACAGGCAAACTGCAGCATCCTTGCACGCTGCACACAGCTGACTCCATCTTTGTCTCTTGACATCATCATCATGCACAAGAACTTCATCAACTCACGGGCGCTCTCAAAAATCTGAAAGAAATAAAAATCTTATTTAAATATTTACTAGGGCTAACTTAAAACCAACAAAATTCTGAAAGTAATAATTTAATTTTTTACTAGGGCTAACTTAAAACCAACAAAATTCTGAAAGTAATAAAAATCTAATTTAAATTTTTACTAGGGCTAACTTAAAACCAACAAAATTCTGAAAGTAATAATTTAAATTTTTACTAGGACTAACTTAAAACCAACAAAATTCTGAAAGTAATAATTTAAATTTTTACTAGGGCTAACTTAAAACCAACAAAATTCTGAAAGTAATAATTTAAATTTTTTACAAGGGCTAACTTAAAACCAACTAAATTCTGAAAGTAATAACTTTTTAAAAATTTTTTTTGGCTAACTAGAAACTTTGGACAATGTGAAGAAAAAAAAATCTATCAAAAACCCAACCAAAATATGCAAGAAACAAAATGAAAATCTATCAAAAACCCAACCAAAATATGCAAGAAACAAAATGAAAATCTATCAAAAACCCAACCAAAATATGCGCTTACCTTAGTCATCTTGACAAAGCACCACTTGGCAACTTCTTGGACAGCACTGCTAGGTTTGGTAGACAGCTCAAATAAAAAGTTGATCACCACAGCCACTGTCTTGAGCCATGTAGACTCTGGGGTCAAGGCTGATTGGGGCAGCACCCAAAACTGGCAGTCTGTCAATGAAAATGTTGGGCTGAAACTTTAGAGGATGGAAGCAGGAAGAACAACTCATTTCTCAAAGGTAAAAAAAACAGCTCCCAAGGTAAATAGACAGCTAACAACAACAGCCTCCCCCCCAAGGTAAACAAACAGCTAACAACAACAGCCCCCCCCCCATAAGGTAAACAAACAGCTAACAACAACCACCCTAAGGTAAACAAACAGCTAACAACAACCACCCTAAGGTAAACAAACAGCTAACAACAGCCCCCCTAAGGTAAACAAACAGCTAACAACAACCACCATAAGGTAAACAAACAGCTAACAACAACAGCCTCCCCCCAAGGTAAACAAACAGCTAACAACAACCACCCTAAGGTAAACAAACAGCTAACAACAACAGCCTCCCCCCCAAGGTAAACAAACAGCTAACAACAACAGCCCCCCCCCCATAAGGTAAACAAACAGCTAACAACAACCACCATAAGGTAAACAAACAGCTAACAACAACAGCCTCCCCCCCAAGGTAAACAAACAGCTAACAACAACAGCCTCCCCCCCAAGGTAAACAAACAGCTAACAACCCCCCCCCCCCACCCCGAAGGTAAACAAACAGCTAACAACAACCCCCCCCCCATAAGGTAAACAAACAGCTAACAACAGCCACCTTTAAGAGCCTGGGGCACACAGGCCAGGTCCAACATTGCAGGTAGAGCTGCCAGAAGTGACAGGGGCAGACAACCCTGATAAACCAAATGAGACAAGGTTGCTTGCACAATCTCCTCCTTAGACATTTGGGCTAAATTTAATGGTGTATTTTTTTTGGTCTTTAGTAGCATCAGCTTAAACAAAAGAGAAATTTAAGAAAAGACATTAACCTTTTCCAGTCCATGTCTAAACATGATTTTATACGCCATACACTCAAGCAAAATGATGATGCATTTTTCAACCACAGCACTTTTTAATAAAAATTATTTAACAGCATTACACAGGAAAATGGTTCAAGTTTAATATGGATCAGATTAAATAGCTTAATAATTTACCAATAATGAATCAAATTACATTAATCACAGAAAAACATAAAACTCAACTTCAAATACTATTGCAGAATGGAAAAAAACTGAAAATATTCAACGTAGTCACTGGAGCTACTTTACTTTTCAATATCTCTATTTTAGTTACTTTATCAATAAACCCTGATTAAACAGCTTTTTAATTAGTGTTAGTTTCACTTATTATATTGCCTGCAATTATTTCCTGCTTCTGCACAAACAAATCTTTAAAATATCATTACTGGCCAGATCTCCATTTTTAAGGGTAAATAAATGTACTAAATAGAGTTGAGGCAAATGTGGGCACATTGGACTAAAGAAAATTCTCTGGCAAACATGGCCACATAAAAAGTTAGGAGGTTAAAACATCAAAATAGTGATCTCAATTATTATTGTAGCTGCTTGATTATTCATATCTAGTATAAACAAATCTACCTGGTACTGTAATGTCAGGTAGTGTTTCTATCAATCTGGCTGGCAAGCTGAGAGGCATTTATTCCTTACCTTTCTTGCCATTAAATCTGGCAAGGTTTCAGCAAGTTGCAACTGCAGCACAGCTTTATCTTGGTCCCTCTCCACTTCTTGAATCAGCCTCTGGTAGACGTGGAGCAGCAACAGGGCTGCAGAACCTGGTCTAGGGCTGGCATCTAAACTTCTGTACAGGCACTGGAGCTGGGGACATAGATGGGACATAGACAGATGGGACTGGGGACATAGATGGGACATAGACAGATGGGACTGGGGACAGATGGGAATGGGGACTGTGGACAGGTTTAGTTCTTACCACTTCTATTATATTCCTTCTATTGGCTACCTCTAGACTACATACTTACATAGTCATCAGTGTGGTGGCTGTTGGAGATGATAAATTGTGTAATGGCTTCAACAAGTTTCAAAAACACAACTGTCAATCCTTCGTCGTCCTGGTGCTGGCCCAACACTGGAAGCCAGGCTGGTGAGATAAACAGTGGTCTGGTGATGGTGTTCTAGTGATGGTGGTCTGTTGATGGTGGTTTTGTGATGATGGTTTTGTGTTGGTGGTTTTGTGATGGTGGTCTAGTGTTGGTGGTCTAGTGTTGGTGGTCTTGTGTTGGTGATTTTGTGTTGGTGATTTTGTGTTGGTGGTTTTGTGTTGGTGGTTTTGTGTTGGTGATTTTGTGTTGGTGATCTAGTGTTGGTGGTTTTGTGTTGGTGGTCTAGTGTTGGTGGTTTTGTGTTGGTGATTTTGTGATGGTGGTTTTGTGTTGGTGGTTTTGTGATGGTGGTTTTGTGTTGGTGGTTTTGTGTTGGTGGTCTTGTGTTGATGGTTTTGTGTTGGTGGTCTTGTGTTGATGGTTTTGTGTTGGTGGTCTTGTGTTGATGGTTTTGTGTTGGTGGTCTTGTGTTGATGGTTTTGTGTTGGTGGTCTAGTGTTGGTGGTTTTGTGTTGGTGGTCTTGTGTTGGTGGTTTAGTGTTGGTGGTCTAGTGATAGTGGTCTGGTGATGGTGGTCTAAATGTGGATAGGGTGGAACTAAAAAATAATAAATATAGGGGAACAATTCCGCTTTTGGTGGAATGATAGGCTTGTCTTACAACTTACACAATCTGATGTGTGCCAACAGGTGTTGTGAGTGGGCAACTGGGGAGTTCAACAAATCTCTTGCAAGCTGCAGCTCTGTCTCATCTCTAAGAACCAGGTAGGAGAGCAGCACTAGAGTCAGCTGACTCTCACTGACAGCACTGGGGGGCACACAGCACAAGCACTGCAGCAGCAAGTCTCTTGTTTCATTCCTAAACAACACATTCTGCTCAGTTCATCATCACCACAATACGCATACTCACACGCCAGGCTTATGGCCACAACAATACTCACACGCCAGGCTTATGGCCACAACAATACTCACACGCCAGGCTTATGGCCACAACAATACTCACACGCCAGGTTTATGCCCACAACAATACTCACACGCCAGGCTTATGGCCACAACAATACTCACACGCCAAGCTTATGGCCACAACAATACTCACACGCCAGGCTTATGGCCACAACAATACTCACACGCCAGGTTTATGCCCAGCTGCCACCAGTTTCTTTAGCAAGGTGTTGTACAATAACGTTTTGTCTTCAAACAACTCCCATAGGTGCTAAAAATAGAATTTAGTCATGTCAGTTCTAAGATGCTAGGATAGTCAGCAAGCAAGTGATTTCTGACAGCTGTAGGTAGCAAGTCATATAAGGATTGCCTTACCTGAGGGTTTTCCAACACTGCCTTGACCACACCGGGATCCTCGTCCTGTAGCCTTATGGTCAGAGCTGCTTGGACACTGGCCTTGTCTTCCATCTGAGAACAAACATTTTGCTTCAACAATATTTCTCATCACCTGACTGATGTCTAGGCTGTAGTCTTTAACCAAACACCAAACAAGACCTAACCTAACCACCAAACAAGACCTAACCTAACCACCAAACAAGACCTAACCTAACCACCAAACAAGACCTAACCTAACCACCAAACAAGACCTAACCTAACCTAACCACCAAACAAGACCTAACCTAACCACCAAACAAGACCTAACCTAACCACCAAACAAGACCTAACCTAACCTAACCACCAAACAAGACCTAACCTAACCTAACCACCAAACAAGACCTAACCTAACCACCAAACAAGACCTAACCTAACCTAACCACCAAACAAGACCTAACCTAACCACCAAACAAGACCTAACCTAACCACCAAACAAGACCTAACCTAACCACCAGACAAGACCTAACCTAACCACCAAACAAGACCTAACCTAACCACCAAACAAGACCTAACCTAACCACCAAACAAGACCTAACCTAACCACCAAACAAGACCTAACCTAACCACCAAACAAGACCTAACCTAACCACCAAACAAGACCTAACCTAACCACCAAACAAGACCTAACCTAACCACCAAACAAGACCTAACCTAACCACCAAACAAGACCTAACCTAACCACCAAACAAGACCTAACCTAACCACCAAACAAGACCTAACCTAACCACCAAACAAGACCTAACCTAACCACCAAACAAGACCTAACCTAACCACCAAACAAGACCTAACCTAACCACCAAACAAGACCTAACCTAACCACCAAACAAGACCTAACCTAACCTTAACACCAGACAAGACCAGAATGTTGGAAGATGTGACAACGTCACTTTGTTTTTAGATTGTAGTTTGATTGTCGTTTTTTCTATGGACTTACCATCACTATTCTTGTGGATCTATTTGTTAATGTAAATAAAGTTATAAGTTGTAAGAACTGTTGATCGTATTCTTGGATGAAAGAACTCACAATTACACCGCATGGTCTCATAGACAAATATGCGTTGTTACACTAACCAAACCTGAACATCAGACAAGACCTAACCAACCAATTGAATTATTGACTACAATTAAAAAGATCTGAAACTTCTCCAATAACCACTCTAGACATAAGACTAGAACTATAGGCAACCTTACCAAGCTGGTATCTTGCAATAATCTTTCAACTGCCTTCTTGCGAACGGAGCCCTGGCGATGATGCAGACAGATGACCATACAGGACAGCGGGTCAGAAACCAGGTCTCTGTCAGCTGCTAGCATTGACCTCTCAAACAGGCTGTTGAGAACATTCAGCACTTGTTCACTGTTCCTCTCAGCGCTCAACTCTTTTATCACACAGTCCAGCACAGCAGGGAACCTGGAGAAAACAAATTATCACCAGGAGATACATTTTTTTCCCCCTCGACTTTATGTCCTCTAATCACCTAGTCTAAAGTATGAAGGACTTACTTATTTTCCAAAAGTCTGAAAATATGAAATGGCCCCTCATGTTCAATTGTATAAGAATCATCCTCCATTGCAGAATCTTCTTTAAGGAACCAACCCAGAACTTGTCTGAAATCATAGCAGTCATAACATAGCAGTCATAACATAGCAGTCATAACATAGCAGTCATAACATAGCAGTCATAACATAGCAGTCATAACATAGCAGTCATAACATAGCAGTCATAACATAGCAGTCATAACACATCTCAATTCTATGATCTGCTGTGTCTAATGTTGAGCTATGTGACCCATGCTGTAATGTTGAGCTATGTGACCCATGCTGTGTCTAATGTTGAGCTATGTGACCCATGCTGTGTCTAATGTTGAGCTATGTGACCCATGCTGTATCTAATGTTGAGCTATGTGACCCATGCTGTATCTAATGTTGAGCTATGTGACCCATGCTGTATCTAATGTTGAGCTATGTGACCCATGCTGTGTCTAATGTTGAGCTATGTGACCCATGCTGTGTCTAATGTTGAGCTATGTGACCCATGCTGAATCTAATGTTGAGCTATGTGACCCATGCTGTATCTAATGTTGAGCTATGTGACCCATGCTGTGTCTAATGTTGAGCTATGTGACCCATGCTGTAATGTTGAGCTATGTGACCCATGCTGTAATGTTGAGCTATGTGACCCATGCTGTGTCTAATGTTGAGCTATGTGACCCATGCTCTAATGTTGAGCTATGTGACCCATGCTGTGTCTAATGTTGAGCTATGTGACCCATGCTGTGTCTAATGTTGAGCTATGTGACCCATGCTGTATCTAATGTTGAGCTATGTGACCCATGCTGTGTCTAATGTTGAGCTATGTGACCCACGCTGTGTCTAATGTTGAGCTATGTGACCCATGCTGTATCTAATGTTGAGCTATGTGACCCATGCTGTATCTAATGTTGAGCTATGTGACCCATGCTGTATCTAATGTTGAGCTATGTGACCCATGCTGTATCTAATGTTGAGCTATGTGACCCATGCTGTATCTAATGTTGAGCTATGTGACCCATGCTGTATCTAATGTTGAGCTATGTGACCCATGCTGTGTCTAATGTTGAGCTATGTGACCCATGCTGTGTCTAATGTTGAGCTATGTGACCCATGCTGTGTCTAATGTTGAGCTATGTGACCCATGCTGTAATGTTGAGCTATGTGACCCATGCTGTGTCTAATGTTGAGCTATGTGACCCATGCTGTGTCTAATGTTGAGCTATGTGACCCATGCTGTGTCTAATGTTGAGCTATGTGACCCATGCTCTAATGTTGAGCTATGTGACCCATGCTGTGTCTAATTTTGAGCTATGTGACCCATGCTGTATCTAATGTTGAGCTATGTGACCCATGCTGTATCTAATGTTGAGCTATGTGACCCATGCTGTAATGTTGAGCTATGTGACCCATGATGTGTCTAATGTTGAGCTATGTGACCCATGATGTGTCTAATGTTGAGCTATGTGACCCATGCTGTATCTAATGTTGAGCTATGTGACCCATGCTGTGTCTAATGTTGAGCTATGTGACCCATGCTGTGTCTAATGTTGAGCTATGTGACCCATGCTGTGTCTAATGTTGAGCTATGTGACCCATGCTGTGTCTAATGTTGAGCTATGTGACCCATGCTGTATCTAATGTTGAGCTATGTGACCCATGCTGTGTCTAATGTTGAGCTATGTGACCCATGCTCTAATGTTGAGCTATGTGACCCATGTATGTTAAGCTATGTGACCCATGCTGTATCTAATGTTGAGCTATGTGACCCATGCTGTGTCTAATGTTGAGCTATGTGACCCATGCTGTAATGTTGAGCTATGTGACCCATGCTGTATCTAATGTTGAGCTATGTGACCCATGCTGGGTCTAATGTTGAGCTATGTGACCCACGCTGTATCTAATGTTGAGCTATGTGACCCATGCTGTGTCTAATGTTGAGCTATGTGACCCATGCTGTAATGTTGAGCTATGTGACCCATGCTGTGTCTAATGTTGAGCTATGTGACCCATGCTGTGTCTAATGTTGAGCTATGTGACCCATGCTGTATCTAATGTTGAGCTATGTGACCCATGCTGTATCTAATGTTGAGCTATGTGACCCATGCTGTATCTAATGTTGAGCTATGTGACCCATGCTGTATCTAATGTTGAGCTATGTGACCCATGCCGTAATGTTGAGCTATGTGACCCATGCTGTGTCTAATGTTGAGCTATGTGACCAATGCTGTAATGTTGAGCTATGTGACCCATGCTGTATCTAATGTTGAGCTATGTGACCCATGATGTGTCTAATGTTGAGATATGTGACCCATGCTGTGTCTAATGTTGAGCTATGTGACCCATGCTGTGTCTAATGTTGAGCTATGTGACCCATGCTGTAATGTTGAGCTATGTGACCCATGATGTGTCTAATGTTGAGCTATGTGACCCATGCTGTGTCTAATGTTGAGCTATGTGACCCATGCTGTATCTAATGTTGAGCTATGTGACCCATGCTGTATCTAATGTTGAGCTATGTGACCCATGCTGTGTCTAATGTTGAGCTATGTGACCCATGCTGTGTCTAATGTTGAGCTATGTGACCCATGCTCTAATGTTGAGCTATGTGACCCATGTATGTTAAGCTATGTGACCCATGCTGTATCTAATGTTGAGCTATGTGACCCATGCTGTGTCTAATGTTGAGCTATGTGACCCATGCTGTGTCTAATGTTGAGCTATGTGACCCATGCTCTAATGTTGAGCTATGTGACCCATGCTGGGTCTAATATTGAGCTATGTGACCCATGCTCTAATGTTGAGCTATGTGACCCATGCTGTAATGTTGAGCTATGTGACCCATGCTGTGTCTAATGTTGAGCTATGTGACCCATGCTGTGTCTAATGTTGAGCTATGTGACCCATGCTGTGTCTAATGTTGAGCTATGTGACCCATGCTGTAATGTTGAGCTATGTGACCCATGCTGTAATGTTGAGCTATGTGACCCATGCTGTAATGTTGAGCTATGTGACCCATGCTGTAATGTTGAGCTATGTGACCCATGCTGTATCTAATGTTGAGCTATGTGACCCATGCTGTATCTAATGTTGAGCTATGTGACCCATGCTGTGTCTAATGTTGAGCTATGTGACCCATGCTGTAATGTTGAGCTATGTGACCCATGCTGTGTCTAATGTTGAGCTATGTGACCCATGCTGTAATGTTGAGCTATGTGACCCATGCTGTGTCTAATGTTGAGCTATGTGACCCATGCTGTATCTAATGTTGAGCTATGTGACCCATGCTGTAATGTTGAGCTATGTGACCCATGCTGTAATGTTGAGCTATGTGACCCATGCTGTGTCTAATGTTGAGCTATGTGACCCATGCTGGGTCTAATGTTGAGCTATGTGACCCATGCTGTATCTAATGTTGAGCTATGTGACCCATGCTGTAATGTTGAGCTATGTGACCCATGCTCTAATGTTGAGCTATGTGACCCATGCTGTGTCTAATGTTGAGCTATGTGACCCATGCTGTGTCTAATGTTGAGCTATGTGACCCATGCTGTATCTAATGTTGAGCTATGTGACCCATGCTGTATCTAATGTTGAGCTATGTGACCCATGCTGTATCTAATGTTGAGCTATGTGACCCATGCTGTATCTAATGTTGAGCTATGTGACCCATGCTGTATCTAATGTTGAGCTATGTGACCCATGCTGTATCTAATGTTGAGCTATGTGACCCATGCTGGGTCTAATGTTGAGCTATGTGACCCATGCTGTAATGTTGAGCTATGTGACCCATGCTCTAATGTTGAGCTATGTGACCCATGCTGTGTCTAATGTTGAGCTATGTGACCCATGCTGTGTCTAATGTTGAGCTATGTGACCCATGCTGTATCTAATGTTGAGCTATGTGACCCATGCTGTGTCTAATGTTGAGCTATGTGACCCATGCTGTATCTAATGTTGAGCTATGTGACCCATGCTGTGTCTAATGTTGAGCTATGTGACCCATGCTGTGTCTAATGTTGAGCTATGTGACCTATGCTGTATCTAATGTTGAGCTATGTGACCCATGCTGTGTCTAATGTTGAGCTATGTGACCCATGCTGTGTCTAATGTTGAGCTATGTGACCCATGCTGTATCTAATGTTGAGCTATGTGACCCATGCTGTATCTAATGTTGAGCTATGTGACCCATGCTGTATCTAATGTTGAGCTATGTGACCCATGCTGTATCTAATGTTGAGCTATGTGACCCATGCTGTATCTAATGTTGAGCTATGTGACCCATGCTGTATCTAATGTTGAGCTATGTGACCCATGCTGGGTCTAATGTTGAGCTATGTGACCCATGCTGTAATGTTGAGCTATGTGACCCATGCTCTAATGTTGAGCTATGTGACCCATGCTGTGTCTAATGTTGAGCTATGTGACCCATGCTGTGTCTAATGTTGAGCTATGTGACCCATGCTGTATCTAATGTTGAGCTATGTGACCCATGCTGTGTCTAATGTTGAGCTATGTGACCCATGCTGTATCTAATGTTGAGCTATGTGACCCATGCTGTGTCTAATGTTGAGCTATGTGACCCATGCTGTGTCTAATGTTGAGCTATGTGACCTATGCTGTATCTAATGTTGAGCTATGTGACCCATGCTGGGTCTAATGTTGAGCTATGTGACCCATGCTGTATCTAATGTTGAGCTATGTGACCCATGCTGTAATGTTGAGCTATGTGACCCATGCTGTGTCTAATGTTGAGCTATGTGACCCATGCTGTGTCTAATGTTGAGCTATGTGACCCATGCTGTATCTAATGTTGAGCTATGTGACCCATGCTGTATCTAATGTTGAGCTATGTGACCCATGCTGTATCTAATGTTGAGCTATGTGACCCATGCTGTATCTAATGTTGAGCTATGTGACCCATGCTGTATCTAATGTTGAGCTATGTGACCCATGCTGTATCTAATGTTGAGCTATGTGACCCATGCTGTGTCTAATGTTGAGCTATGTGACCCATGCTGTATCTAATGTTGAGCTATGTGACCCATGCTGTATCTAATGTTGAGCTATGTGACCCATGCTGGGTCTAATGTTGAGCTATGTGACCCATGCTGTGTCTAATGTTGAGCTATGTGACCCATGCTGTGTCTAATGTTGAGCTATGTGACCCATGCTGTGTCTAATGTTGAGCTATGTGACCCATGCTGTATCTAATGTTGAGCTATGTGACCCATGCTGTATCTAATGTTGAGCTATGTGACCCATGCTGTGTCTAATGTTGAGCTATGTGACCCATGCTGTAATGTTGAGCTATGTGACCCATGCTGTGTCTAATGTTGAGCTATGTGACCCATGCTGTATCTAATGTTGAGCTATGTGACCCATGCTGTATCTAATGTTGAGCTATGTGACCCATGCTGTATCTAATGTTGAGCTATGTGACCCATGCTGTATCTAATGTTGAGCTATGTGACCCATGCTGTATCTAATGTTGAGCTATGTGACCCATGCTGTATCTAATGTTGAGCTATGTGACCCATGCTGGGTCTAATGTTGAGCTATGTGACCCATGCTGTAATGTTGAGCTATGTGACCCATGCTCTAATGTTGAGCTATGTGACCCATGCTGTGTCTAATGTTGAGCTATGTGACCCATGCTGTGTCTAATGTTGAGCTATGTGACCCATGCTGTATCTAATGTTGAGCTATGTGACCCATGCTGTGTCTAATGTTGAGCTATGTGACCCATGCTGTATCTAATGTTGAGCTATGTGACCCATGCTGTGTCTAATGTTGAGCTATGTGACCCATGCTGTGTCTAATGTTGAGCTATGTGACCTATGCTGTATCTAATGTTGAGCTATGTGACCCATGCTGTGTCTAATGTTGAGCTATGTGACCCATGCTGTGTCTAATGTTGAGCTATGTGACCCATGCTGTATCTAATGTTGAGCTATGTGACCCATGCTGTATCTAATGTTGAGCTATGTGACCCATGCTGTATCTAATGTTGAGCTATGTGACCCATGCTGTATCTAATGTTGAGCTATGTGACCCATGCTGTATCTAATGTTGAGCTATGTGACCCATGCTGTATCTAATGTTGAGCTATGTGACCCATGCTGGGTCTAATGTTGAGCTATGTGACCCATGCTGTAATGTTGAGCTATGTGACCCATGCTCTAATGTTGAGCTATGTGACCCATGCTGTGTCTAATGTTGAGCTATGTGACCCATGCTGTGTCTAATGTTGAGCTATGTGACCCATGCTGTATCTAATGTTGAGCTATGTGACCCATGCTGTGTCTAATGTTGAGCTATGTGACCCATGCTGTATCTAATGTTGAGCTATGTGACCCATGCTGTGTCTAATGTTGAGCTATGTGACCCATGCTGTGTCTAATGTTGAGCTATGTGACCTATGCTGTATCTAATGTTGAGCTATGTGACCCATGCTGGGTCTAATGTTGAGCTATGTGACCCATGCTGTATCTAATGTTGAGCTATGTGACCCATGCTGTAATGTTGAGCTATGTGACCCATGCTGTGTCTAATGTTGAGCTATGTGACCCATGCTGTGTCTAATGTTGAGCTATGTGACCCATGCTGTATCTAATGTTGAGCTATGTGACCCATGCTGTATCTAATGTTGAGCTATGTGACCCATGCTGTATCTAATGTTGAGCTATGTGACCCATGCTGTATCTAATGTTGAGCTATGTGACCCATGCTGTATCTAATGTTGAGCTATGTGACCCATGCTGTATCTAATGTTGAGCTATGTGACCCATGCTGTGTCTAATGTTGAGCTATGTGACCCATGCTGTATCTAATGTTGAGCTATGTGACCCATGCTGTATCTAATGTTGAGCTATGTGACCCATGCTGGGTCTAATGTTGAGCTATGTGACCCATGCTGTGTCTAATGTTGAGCTATGTGACCCATGCTGTGTCTAATGTTGAGCTATGTGACCCATGCTGTGTCTAATGTTGAGCTATGTGACCCATGCTGTATCTAATGTTGAGCTATGTGACCCATGCTGTATCTAATGTTGAGCTATGTGACCCATGCTGTGTCTAATGTTGAGCTATGTGACCCATGCTGTAATGTTGAGCTATGTGACCCATGCTGTGTCTAATGTTGAGCTATGTGACCCATGCTGTATCTAATGTTGAGCTATGTGACCCATGCTGTATCTAATGTTGAGCTATGTGACCCATGTATCAGCTGACCCACCTAGCAACAACAGAAACAGTTTTCTGGTCCAGGGTGACCTGAGTCAAGACGTCCACCAGCATGGCCATCAGAGAAGGTGAGGATGGCTCATCATTGTCCTCTGGGTTGCTGTCACTGGTCAGTGAGTTTCCCAAAGCTTTCAGCGCCCTTTTTGTCAGCATCAGCATCAATGGTGTCAGGAAGGGCTCTGTGACTGTCTCTCTACTCATGGCCAGCAGTGTCTGGGTTAGAGATGGATGTCTGACCAAATATTTGAAGGACCTGTGTGAGGGACACAAAGATAAATGCACTGGTCATCTACTGGCTGTAACACAGAACCACTGGCTGTAACACAGGACCACAGGCTGTAACACAGGACCACAGGCTGTAACACAGGGCCACTGGCTGTAACACAGGGCCACTGGCTGTAACACAGGGCCACTGGCTGTAACACAGGGCCACTGGCTGTAACACAGGGCCACTGGCTGTAACACATGGCCACTGGCTGTAACACATGGCCACTGGCTGTAACACAGGGCCGCTGGCTATAACACAGGGCCGCTGGCTGTAAAAAAAGGGCCACTGGCTGGTGGCTATAACTTACTTTTTTGTAACTTTGCTGACGTTTTGTTTCTGGAACATGATGACAAGAACAGCTACAGCACTGGGCAAGAGATTGGCTTGAACATTCTAAGAATAAAGAAAAACAGCAGGTGAACATTCCAGGAATAAATAAAAACTGTAGTTGAACATTCCAGGAATAAAGATGCAATAGACCACATTCAATATACTAATGTGACAGCTGGTCTATTACCATTTGACTCTGTATTCCAAGTATGATAAGATTGAACAAACCTTTGCTATAACATTCATCAGTGACTCCAACAGGCTCTGGGCCAGGGTTGTTTGCGTGAACATTTGACTCAGGATCATGTAGGAGGACATCATGTGATCTGGCAGGTCATGTGACTGTAGCCCTGAGGTGACTGCAGGAATTAAAATGGACAGAGTGGACTCTGTTGGTGGAGCTGCCACGAGGGCCCCCAGCACAGTCTGGGTGTAAAAGGTCAGCACTTTCTGCAGGTGTCTGGCCGAGGGAATACCCTCCTCACCTGTGTTTGCCTGGAAAGTCAATACTTCAATGAGAAGGCTATCTCCCAGCATGGGAAATCTACAATTCCTTATTAAACAATGACAGCTTATGAATCAAATAAACAGGCTAGTACCTCAATGTGTCGGGTTAAAAGCTGGCACAGTAAGCCAAGAAATCCTTTAGCAGCTCTACAATGTGTGGTCAAAGTGTGTTTAGAGAGAAAGCTGCCCCCCTTCTGTAGAATGGAATCAGATATACAACATTACTGGATCTCATTTATTACACTCTATCTCAATATAGTATAGGAAACCAATACTTCATAAAAGGTTAGACCAATTTTTAACATGCCATTGGAATTAATATTTCTCTAAGCAAAGGGCATACACACAAACTGGTTCTAAGCAAAGGGCACACACACAAACTGGTTCTAAGCAAAGGGCACACACACAAACTGGTTCTAAGCAAAGGGCACACACACAAACTGGTTCTAAGCAAAGGGCACACACACAAACTGGTTCTAAGCAAAGGGCATACACACAAACTGGTTCCCAAAAAAAAAAAATGCGCAAATACAAACTAATTATACTGATATACTGTAGTTTTGTCGTATTTCAAGGAAATATGTTTGGTTATGCTACAATGTACATGTAGTCCCTATTTGTTAAAGTCTAGTAATATTCAATTAAAAAAAAACAAAAATGCCCTGAACAAACACATAAACTATACCTGGACAGGTTCAAGCCACTTCCACTTAGCACATTCATTACTGTCCAGTTTTAGGAGACGCAGTGCCATGATAAAAGGCTCTTGATCATGGTATGGCAACACACACATCATCAAAGCATCCACATTACGCAAATGAACATTATACCTAGAATCAAGTGGTTATTGAATATTACACATCTTATGAAGTGGTTATTGAACATCACACATCCTATGAAGTGGTTATTGAACATTAAACCTAAAACTGTGTGGTTATTGAACATTACACATCCTATCAAGTGGTTATTGAACATTAAACCTGAAACTGTGTGGTTATTGAACATTAAACCTAAAACTGTGTGGTTATTGAACATTAAACCTAAAACTGTGTGGTTATTGAACATTACACATCCTATGAAGTGGCTATTGAACATTATACATCTTATGAAGTGGTTATTGAACATAAAACCTAAAACCGTGTGGTTATTGAACAGCGCTACTCCTGCAATGATTATGAAGCATTACATCCCATGGTGGTGGCTGACCTGACCTACCTGTGAACCATCCATTCCATGGCTTTATGGGCCTCTCTCAACTGCATGTAGGGGGAAAGTCTTAAAAGAAATTTTTCCAGGACTTCATCCAGTTTTTTGTTAACATCTGGGGTTTGGATATAACGCTGTAGTGATTGGGATGATGGACTGAAAAGATTGTTTTCAAATTCCAAAAATCTCTCATCTTTTTCAATCAGCTGCTGAAGCCCATTCACACCTGACCAAATAGGGAAGCCACAGTTAGATTCATGGAATAAATCAACAATCTTCTTGACAGTTAAACTTTTAAAAAAACAGTTACCAATGTTATAAAAATGTTGCTTTTCAAATGTTGCAGCTTGTTTTTCATCATACAAAAATGAGGCTTGCTTGAGATCCCCACTAAGAACTGATCGAGTTTCAGGGACTGCAAGTTTTTTCAGCTGGGCGGCTAATGAGGTTGTCATCTTAACAGTCTTAACCTTTTTCACTCAACTCTTGTCCAGCCGTGTATTAAAACATTTGGTTCTGAGAAAAAAGGATACTACAATTATTACTAGGCAATTTTATTATAATCTTTTCTTGGTGAACATGAGGCGTGGGAAAATGTGTGACGCGCAAGAATCCAATCATTTGGCTAGATTTATGACTGTTTTTTTATGTCACACCTAAAAATAGAATGTTTACGCTTAATTCATTATGATCGTTTAAAGATTCGTTTTCATTATTTTTTAAACTGAAAGTATGAATTATTAGTTACATTTCAGGTTTTGTAACTTGGTATACTTACCCTTTATCAATTTTAAAAGCATAGCACGCTGATTGTGAACAAATATAGTCATAAAACACAGAAATATAAACTTAGGTAAAATCATGATATAGTGTCGGTTATTATTCCGGAACTGTACAGCAGTAAAAAACAGTAAAACCATGGCGCAGTCTGTCGAGCGATTTCCGGAAACCACCGGAAATACTGTAAACCATCATTCATTTGCCGCCATATTTTTTTAATACATTATGTTTAAAAATGTGCAAGGATTGATTTTAGTTGCATTTTAAATACTATTTTGCTAAGTAATATGTATTTCTAATTATTTTAAGTGTATGTGCTAATTATTGCTGCTACTAAACATTATTCTAGTTCTTCTTACTACTTTTAACTTTAGTAAATCTAATTGTCTTATTTTAATAACAGAACTAGAGCTGGTTGTCGCAAATCTGCAGGTTTTTTCTGTGTTTCTTAAAAAAAAAAAACAATTACTACACTCGACTTTATTAATGATATTTAGATTTACTAATTGTTGCTAATTTTTTGTCAGTTAAACATTAAATTAAGTTAAAAAATTAATTTAATGCACTTGCGCCTTTATTTTTCTTTCAATGGTCAAATAAACTATGGTTTACAGTAACGAATGTTACCGAAACTCAACGAACATTACCCAATAATTTCAGACGCTATATCGTGATTTTACCTAAAGTTACAACGCGATGTGCCACACCCGGGTCACACCCCCTCAAGAAAACGTGTTTATTAAGCTGTTTATCTCACTTTACAACAGCAATTAAAAGTAATTGTCAAATTTTTATTACTTATTGGGTAAGATTAAGCACATGTTTACTAAAAATTTAAAAAAAAACGAAAGTAAATTCTGTTTTAATGAAGGTCACGGGTCAAATAATTGGTAATCTATCGTTTTGGGTACGTAAAATCGCCCGCGACTTGTAATGTGAAAAACAGGTGACTCCTTAAATTGTAATAATTATTTCACATTTTGAGGAGGATTTATGTTTTGAAAAATACAAAAATGTTTCCTTGTTTCATTTATGTACCTGTTTCTAAACAATTGAATTAAAACTTTTCAGTAATAAATGTACACCAGCGATGTTTCCAACAGATGCAACCATGCTCATTTACTATAGCAGCCATCTTGTTTAAGTTTTTTTTTATAGCGGATATAGCGCGAGACAGGGGGAAGCCTCTCTATTTTACAAATGGCTGCTGTTTATATAGCAAATCTTGCTCGCAAACACTGCTGTTTAAAGTTAATTTCTGGCATATTTATTTAGCCATTGATTTAGGTTTATTATTCATTTATCTATAATATTTGACACAAATATATCACAATATACTTTAGTTTTTCTCACTAAATCTAGAATTTACGCAATTATCAATTTAAACATGACCACTGAATAATAGACATCCATATTTAATCCATTAGGCACTAACTTTGGAGTTTTTAGTTCGTTTTAAACTAAATTACTTAATTTAATATTTATTGTCAATCACTACCATGTCCAACACATCTCTCCATGACAACTCTTCTAACCCTTGAAGGTAAAGAAAACCACACATCAGGTTAGACTTTTTAAGTGGCCATGCACCCAGAGTTCCTCACTAGTAATCATCAAATAGCGGTCACGTGGTTTTTAAAAAATAAAAATAAATTGGTTGTGATACGGACGCCGGTCTTATAAAAAAACAGCTCACAATATTTGATTTCTTTTTTCATAGACTGATAGACTTAATAATGCTTTACTTATATGATCATTTTTGTACCTATACTGTTGATATTTTTAAAATTCTATTAATTTTAATGAAACCAACTTTTGAATTTAGCCTCCGTTCTCCAAACCAAATTTTAAAATGCTTTTCTGGCATATCTAACCCTGCCACCTATGGTTTGTTGTTATGACACGGAAATCCCGCCATTTTGCGCGTGGTAAACATTTTTAAATGTAATTAGTTGAAGGTCTCTGGAATTTGGCCGAAAAATCGCCGGAAATCAAACGTCCGGTCCGGGCGCCATATTGTTGTTAGCAACCGACCACGCCTCCAAGTTAGCGAGAAATACTAATATACTTCTACTAAAGCCTTGACAATGAGGTAACTTTTTCGTACATTAATAGCCGCGGGCGATTTTACGTACCCAAAACGATAGATTACCAAATAATTTTTCCTTCACTCTTCAGTCAAGTTCAGTGGAGGGTGCCACAAGCTGACCTGACTTTGGAATTTTTTTTCAGTAATAATGACTTTGCACAGAAAGTTAAAATATGCTAAATTAGCTTAGTTTACTAGTGTTCTAGCTATTATTGATACATTTTTAATTTTAAAAAAAACATTCTGTAGGCCTAATTCTCATCAAAAAGAAAAGCCTACCCTACGCCTAACCTAGACCTAAACGTTTTTGGTGTGTTTCGGTTGTGTTTATTATTTTATAATAAAAATACGCTCGACTGGAGGTGAACGTGAAGCGGGGAGAAAATACGCTAAAATGGAGTTTTACCAGGTTCAAGATTGGTTTAAAAAATTATTTGTCTTACCCGAAAACGTATCGAACAGATTTACGATTTATCACATGTGCAACATCAACACGAATGTGTAAAGCCCATCCTACTTTTTAATAATCGTGTCTAATATAAAAAATCAAGATTTTTGCCAGCGATTGCTATCATCAACAAAACAATTTAGACCTAGAATCTATCTAGATCTAGATGGCTGTATAATAAAACAAGTTTAACAATCTTTAAAATAATAAGTTCTTAAATGCACTGAAAATAAAACATATTTGCTTTTTTAAAAATAAAGCTTTGGTCTCTTACATGTAATTTTAGTGACTATTATATAATTAGTCTATAAATAATATTTTAAATATTAAATAGATAGATCTAGATCTAGTAGATCTAGCTTTGATTAAAGATTAAGATAGCGTGTTAGGCCTAGTTTTATTTTTTTAATTTCCAGTGAATTTAAAAGCTTGCTAGATCTATATGCTATCATAAGGTTTTTCGAGTCAGGAAAGCTCATGTCTGCTAAACTGAAAAGTAATCAAACAACTGCTGCCTTTTTTGTTCTTGGTTGGCCAAAGACTATGGAAGCAAATCCAGTGAAACAAATATAAAAACTAAAAACATTTGGTCGCTAAAAAAATGTAAGAAATCTCATGATTGATGAATGGAATTTGATTTTGTTTATTTAATATTTTCTTATTTTCAGTCCATTTAATTAAAAGCTTGTGGTTGTTATTATAAAGGCATTAAAGGTTTTTATATTTATTTTATTTTCCACTTTTTAGTAATATATTCCAAATGAAGTTGACACTATATCTAAATAGGCTTCGACTAATAAAATATTTAATTTGCTTTAAAAACCAACCAGTAGATTGCGCTATTTAAATGAAACTTTTTTGCCACTTCTAAAATCTAGATCTAAGTGGTTGATACAGTGGCGACCAACCATGACCAAACAACCTTCAGCATGAACCACAACTCACAAGACTGGTTGGCTGCTAGCGTCTTGCTAGTTATGCCACCTTCTGTTATTGAATATAGTAATCTTATCTAGTGATTTCATTTTGTTATCTCCCCTTAGCTTCGAAACAGTTTAATTAATTTTTAATGACTAATTAAATATCTAATTAAATTAAAAATAGTTAGACTTGTATTGTCTTCTAAATGAAATGTATTCGGAAAGTTTGAACGAAGTTGATGCATTAGAAGAGGGTCAAAATTGAGTTACAAGATTTGCCACAAACCCACAGACGGTGCAAACTAAATAAAACTATTAAAACCTTGTAAACAGAAAAGCAGGCTAAAATTGGAGTCAGCTGCTTTCATGGCACTTAATCAGTTGACACATAATAGTTAATTGAGTTGGAGGGAATTCCTTCCAAGACTAAAATTAAGAATGAAGAAAAAGATAAGGTTTGTATATTTGTTTTGCCACAAATCCGCAAATAGACATTAGGAACTAAGTAAAAAGCTTGTATAAATAAAAAGTCATGGTAAAATAAATACTTTATTAGACTATTAATGATTTACACATACATTTTAACTAAAAACATCCACTTTGTATAAAATATTGCTAATGAATTCTCCATAAATTATTAAAAAATGTAATTATTAAAAGTTTGTAGAGTTCAAGTATTTTAATATAATCATACCATCATGGCCCCACTTTTAAAAAAAAAGCAAAGCTATCACCTTTAAACAGCCACACAAAAAGAAATAAAATGGCAAATCCTATTAACATACATATATATATATACATGTGTATGTATACATATACATGTATACATACACACATATAATAATATACAACTGTCTTTTTGCAATCAATATTTATTTGTACAATAATTGGGCTATAGGCCCTACACAGGTCTAGAATATACCACATTCCTTGCTTGAAATACAAATAATGCAAATTTAGTGAGATGAACAGAACTAAATACTTCTAAAGCAACGCAGTTGAAGGTGCAGGCTAAAATAAAATGCTCGATACAATTCTAGTTCTATATCAGAGGCCAAGAGTACTTTGGGTAGAAGTTGGTGTCTAGAAAAATTGACATCAAAAACACAACATGAGGGTAGGCATTTTAGAACAAGCCAAACAGATGTTTGAGACACACATCAGATTTAGCCAGTAAGTTTTTATTTTACACAAATACACATACTTAGCCAGCAAGTTTTTTGGAATTAAAAAAATCTTTAATACATGTATTATAAATAAACTATTATGTACATGTACTATAAATTAACTATTATGTACATGTATTATAAATAAACTATGTACACACTATTTTGATGGTCTGAACACCAAATGTAAACCATGTCATACTAAATTCTCATCCCACAAATGTAAACCTTGTCATACTAAATTCTCATCCTACAAATGTAAACCTTGTCATACTAAATTCTCATCCCACAAATGTAAACCTTGTCAAACTAAATTCTCATCCCACAAATGTAAACCTTGTCAAACTAAATTCTCATCCCACAAATGTAAACCTTGTCAAACTAAATTCTCATCCCACAAATGTAAACCCCGTCAAACTAAATTCTCATCCCACAAATGTAAACCTTGTCAAACTAAATTCTCATCCCACAAATGTAAACCTTGTCAAACTAATTTCTCATCCCACAAATGTAAACCTTGTCAAACTAATTTCTCATCCCACAAGACATTTAGACACTAGAGAAAATCCACTTGAATACACTTTTGAACTGAGTCAGTCTAGGCTCTGGCTCAATGCAGGAATGCCATCAGAAAAACTAGTTCAAACAAAGCTTTCATTTACTAACCAATTATAATCCAATGCATAGAGATCAATAGTATCATAAATACATGCATTGAAATTTTGTTTAAGAATCATCACATGACTGCTGGGTGTGTTCTGTACATTTGTTAGAATGGAATTTTGTCATTTGTTGGGAATGCACTACAAGATTTAATAAAGGTGTGAGGAGGGGGGGGGGGTGTAAACCGTATGAGATTTAAGTAAGAGAGAAAGAGGAGATGTGGCTTATTTAGGACAAATCTGTGGGGATTACACAAAAGTTATCTCCCAAAAAAAAACAATATGTCAAGTGAAATGAATACACACTGAAAGATAACCATGACAGAGCCTGGTGTGCTTATAAACAGGAGGGAGATTTTAAAATGAAGATTACATTATAAAATGTAAGAATAATTCAAGCAAGAAAAAAATCTGGCAACTAACTTGATCAAGCAACGAGAAACATGAATGGAAGCAATAAATGAGGTGTGCACAGGAGTACAGTAGAGAGTCTCATGGTCCAAACACCATCTACTGAAGACCTAAGCCATGCCGCCCCCCCCCCCCCCCCCCCGCTTACTGCAAACAACTGTACAAATCTTTTAACAATAGGATGTTCAAAGTTTTTAGCATTAAAACAGTAGCAATATTTTCATGTAAACAAATCACTTGATTTACTAGATGGTAGCTTAGAAAAATGTGACCTGATTTCAAAAGTTAATCAAAAAGTGAATTAGTCAATTGTAATACAAGCTATGGAATGCCATCAATGTACATATGTGATAAAACAGTTTTCAAATGGAATGCAGTAATTGCCTTGATACAATTAGACTATAAATCTAGAACTCAATGTGAATGGGATAATCTATTCAAGTAATAGCATGTTAGGTCAGTGGGGCTCTAGCTAATAGAGGTCACCTTAGTCACCTAGACTCACTGTCTGACTAACTTAGTCACATAGACTCACTGTCTGGCTAACTTAGTCACCTAGACTCACTGTCTGGCTAACTTAGTCACCTAGACTCACTGTCTGACTAACTTAGTCACCTAGACTCACTGTCTGACTAACTTAGTCACCTAGACTCACTGTCTGACTAACTTAGTCACCTAGACTCACTGTCTGACTAACTTAGTCACCTAGACTCACTGTCTGACTAACTTAGTCACCTAGACTCACTGTCTGACTAACTTAGTCACCTAGACTCACTGTCTGACTTAGTCACCTAGACTTATCAGCTGGTTAAACTTAAACAACTTGGATGCTATCAAGCTAACAAAATGAATGCAGGCAACTCCCAGTTCCCAACAGATCAGTTTGTGCCAATGATTGATGCGAATGTGGGCTAACAAGTTAATGGCTTAAGAACAAAAGATTATCAAACTACTACTAGTATAAATATAAATAAGCAACCCTCTGCACATAATGGTGCACCCCAGGCAAGAAATCCACCCCAGCAAGCTGAGGCAGCCGGCGATGCCCCCAGCAAGCTGAGGCAGCCGGCGATGCCCCCAGCAAGCTGAGGCAGCCGGCGATGCCCCCAGCAAGCTGAGGCAGCCGGCGATGCCCCCAGCAAGCTGGGGCAGCCGGCGATGCCCCCAGCAAGCTGGGGCAGCCGGCGATGTGAACAACCCATCTGAGGTAAACGTGTCAACAGTACAGGAAACTCCAAATGCTAGTGGGTTGCTTTAGACATCATCAAATATTCCTTTAGGTGCTCGGCCAGCAAGACGTCCTGTGCTTGGCCCACCAGCAGGACGCGCTGTACTCGGCCGAGATGCACGGGACTGGTACCCAGAGTTGTCAGTTCTATTGTGGGGAGATGCAAATAATCCATCTTCAAGATCCTCCCTGTAATCAATTGGTTCAACAGTTCTCAGCAACTCAGAGCGGTCATCTTCATCTGGACTTCTAGGCACAGTGTAACGTTCTGATGGTAAAGACAAATTGACTTGTTAAGTTATAATTGAGATACTGGCAGAAATATGAGAGGGTTTGATAGTTAAATTATACTTGAGATACTGGCAGAAATATGAGAGGGTTTGATAATTAAATTATAATTGAGATACTGGCAGAAATATGAGAGGGTTTGATAGTTAAATTATAATTGAGATACTGGCAGAAATATGAGAGGGTTTGATAATTAAATTATAATTGAGATACTGGCAGAAATATGAGAGGGTTTGATAATTAAATTATAATTGAGATACTGGCAGAAATATGAGAGGGTTTGATAATTAAATTATAATTGAGATACTGGCAGAAATATGAGAGGGAAACTGTCAAATAGCGTAAAAATTGGAACAGAAAATTTGAATGAGGTGAAATTTGGAAAAGCCAAATCCCAGGGGATAAAAACTATCAATGAAAAAACCAAGAGAGAGATGTCTTACCTCTCCTGTCAGAGGCCAGTGGTTTGTCCTTGTTTGCAGAACTCTCCCCAAACCTCTCAGTCCACGTCTTTTTCCTGGCCTCAGCATCCACTTTCCTTTCAATTTTTCTTTTCTCTGAAAAACAACAAGCCAGGGTTCAAATATCTTGGGCAAGTACAGCTAACAACAGGCCAGGGTTCAAATATCTTGGGCAAGTACAGCTAACAACAGGCCAGGGTTCAAATATCTTGGGCAAGTACAGCTAACAACAGGCCAGGGTTCAAATATCTTGGGCAAGTACAGCTAACAACAGGCCACAAATATCTTGGGCAAGTACAGCTAACAACAGGCCAGGGTTCAAATATCTTGGGCAAGTACAGCTAACAACAGGCCACAAATATCTTGGGCAAGTACAGCTAACAACAGGCCAGGGTTCAAATATCTTGGGCAAGTACAGCTAACAACAGGCCAGGGTTCAAATATCTTGGGCAAGTACAGCTAACAACAGGCCAGGGTTCAAATATCTTGGGCAAGTACAGCTAACAACAGGCCAGGGTTCAAATATCTTGGGCAAGTACAGCTAACAACAGGCCAGGGTTCAAATATCTTGGGCAAGTACAGCTAACAACAAGCCAGGGTTCAAATATCTTGGGCAAGTACAGCTAACAACAGACCAGGATTCAAATATCTTGGGCAAGTAAAGCTAACAACAGGCCAGGGTTCAAATATCTTGGGCAAGTACAGCTAACAACAAGCCAGGGTTCAAATATCTTGGGCAAGTACAGCTAACAACAGGCCAGGGTTCAAATATCTTGGGCAAGTACAGCTAACAACAGGCCACAAATATCTTGGGCAAGTACAGCTAACAACAGGCCAGGGTTCAAATATCTTGGGCAAGTAAAGCTAACAACAGGCCAGGGTTCAAATATCTTGGGCAAGTACAGCTAACAACAGGCCAGGGTTCAAATATCTTGGGCAAGTACAGCTAACAACAGACCAGGATTCAAATATCTTGGGCAAGTAAAGCTAACAACAGGCCAGGGTTCAAATATCTTGGGCAAGTACAGCTAACAACAGGACAGGGTTCAAATATCTTGGGCAAGTACAGCTAACAACAGGCCAGGATTCAAATATCTTGGGCAAGTACAGCTAACAACAGGCCAGGGTTCAAATATCTTGGGCAAGTACAGCTAACAACAGGCCAGGGTTCAAATATCTTGGGCAAGTAAAGCTAACAACAGGCCAGGGTTCAAATATCTTGGGCAAGTACAGCTAACAACAGGCCAGGGTTCAAATATCTTGGACAAGTACAGCTAACAACAGGCCAGGGTTCAAATATCTTGGGCAAGTACAGCTAACAACAGGCCAGGGTTCAAATATCTTGGACAAGTACAGCTAACAACAGGCCAGGGTTCAAATATCTTGGGCAAGTACAGCTAACAACAGGCCAGGGTTCAAATATCTTGGGCAAGTACAGCTAACAACAGGCCAGGGTTCAAATATCTTGGGCAAGTACAGCTAACAACAGGCCAGGGTTCAAATATCTTGGGCAAGTACAGCTAACAACAGGCCAGGGTTCAAATATCTTGGGCAAGTACAGCTAACAACAGGCCAGGGTTCAAATATCTTGGGCAAGTACAGCTAACAACAGGCCAGGGTTCAAATATCTTGGGCAAGTACAGCTAACAACAGGCCAGGGTTCAAATATCTTGGACAAGTACAGCTAACAACAGGCCACAAATATCTTGGGCAAGTAAAGCTAACAACAGGCCACAAATATCTTGGGCAAGTACAGCTAACAACAGGCCAGGGTTCAAATATCTTGGGCAAGTACAGCTAACAACAGGACAGGCCACAAATATCTTGGGCAAGTACAGCTAACAACAGGCCAGGGTTCAAATATCTTGGGCAAGTACAGCTAACAACAAGCCAGGGTTCAAATATCTTGGGCAAGTACAGCTAACAACAGGCCAGGGTTCAAATATCTTGGGCAAGTACAGCTAACAACAGGCCAGGGTTCAAATATCTTGGGCAAGTACAGCTAACAACAGGCCAGGGTTCAAATATCTTGGACAAGTCAGGGATGTGACCAGACCAGGAAAAAAAATTAGGAAATTTTCTTCGGATAATAACTCAATATGTTTTATCTACTTTTTATCGCGGTTAAGCAGCTTCATACTGTTACTGTACTAATTAATTGTTTAATGAAGTTAATATTTTAAATACAAGAAGTTTATGTTACTCTAAAATAACATTGAAAGTCTTGTCTAATTGCAATTTAATGTTTACCTTATAAACAACTTTTTAAAAATTACAATGTAACAAAAGTAGCAATTAAGTTTTATTTTAAAGTTTTAATTGAAACTGTACTAATCTAGTGTATATTCTAGATGTACTCCTGTTTTCAATTTTAAATAGGGGGCCTGATGCCTAATATATATTCTTTTAAAGATTGGATTGGTAAAAATATTTGTCTTCAACTGTAAAGACCCTAGATTAAGATTAGTTACAATTTGAAAGTATTAGGTTCATGTGATGGAAAAATGAAATGGACCAGGTTAGCTAAAATTAGATAGGGTCTGGCGTGTGAACCAAAGTTAATCATAATGATAACCAAGCCACATCGATATTTGTTTTTTTGGAATAGCTGTAAATTGTTAGGGGTCATCCACGTTTTTTTTGACGATATTTACCTCCCCTCTCCTACAAAAGCCAGACTCCCCCCCCCCCCCCCCCCCACAATTCTGAACGTATTTTTTCTTCCACAAACAAGACACGGTCGCGTAGTCACGTTGAGTTTAGTATTTTTTTTTTTATCTGTAGGCCTACGCAGCATACGTATTGCAGGAACAGCTATTTGAAATTGACTGTGACGTCATTTTTTTTTCCACAAGCAGTACCGAAAACGTACTTGGGGTCAAGGTGAGGTCACCAGAGCCACCGTTGCTACGAGGTGGGGCGGGTTGGTCTAGTCCTCATAGTCAACTTTAGCAAGGATTTCAATATTAATTAGAGATTGCGAAATAAAATAGAATCAGAGAGAAACTCTAGATTTAGGCGGGTTAAAATACCGATAGGTAAATTAGGCTATATCGATAGCTAGATTACCTTTTCCGTGTTTTTGATAAATAGTTAACTGAAAATATCAGCGGAAAATTTGGACTAAAAAAGTGTGCTTTGAAAAATTCGAAAGTCCGCCGAAATTCCGAATCTTAATCTACATATAGCCTAATCTTGATCTAGCACCGTCAGACCTAGCGCAATCGACCAATCAAAAAGAAATGCGCATATTCCAGTGTCCGTTTGACCTAAGTACAGTAGTTGTCGATTTAAATACGAATAAGTGGAATGAGCATGTCGGCCCTTTCCGTAGAAGACATTTCCGTTTTTTTCCCTAATTTTTAAAACTTCGTAAAAAATCGACAAAAATTGAAACTCGGCGGAAAAATTCGGCGAAAATGAAATCAGCGGAGGAAAATCGCAACTGAAACGGAAAAATCGGATTTCCGCTAAAATTCGGAAAAGTCACATCCCTGACAAGTACAGCTAACAACAAGCCAGGGTTCAAATATCTTGGGCAAGTACAGCTAACAACAGGCCAGGGTTCAAATATCTTGGACAAGTACAGCTAACAACAAGCCAGGGTTCAAATATCTTGGGCAAGTAAAGCTAACAACAGGCCAGGGTTCAAATATCTTGGGCAAGTACAGCTAACAACAGGCCAGGGTTCAAATATCTTGGGCAAGTACAGCTAACAACAGGCCACAAATATCTTGGACAAGTACAGCTAACAACAGGCCAGGGTTCAAATATCTTGGGCAAGTACAGCTAACAACAGGCCAGGGTTCAAATATCTTGGGCAAGTAAAGCTAACAACAGGCCAGGGTTCAAATATCTTGGGCAAGTACAGCTAACAACAGGCCAGGATTCAAATATCTTGGGCAAGTAAAGCTAACAACAGGCCAGGGTTCAAATATCTTGGGCAAGTACAGCTAACAACAGGCCAGGGTTCAAATATCTTGGGCAAGTACAGCTAACAACAGGCCAGGGTTCAAATATCTTGGACAAGTACAGCTAACAACAAGCCAGGGTTCAAATATCTTGGGCAAGTACAGCTAACAACAGGCCAGGGTTCAAATATCTTGGGCAAGTACAGCTAACAACAGGCCAGGGTTCAAATATCTTGGGCAAGTACAGCTAACAACAGGCCAGGGTTCAAATATCTTGGGCAAGTACAGCTAACAACAGGCCACAAATATCTTGGACAAGTACAGCTAACAACAGGCCAGGATTCAAATATCTTGGGCAAGTACAGCTAACAACAAGCCAGGGTTCAAATATCTTGGGCAAGTACAGCTAACAACAAGCCAGGGTTCAAATATCTTGGGCAAGTACAGCTAACAACAAGCCAGGGTTCAAATATCTTGGGCAAGTACAGCTAACAACAGGCCAGGGTTCAAATATCTTGGGCAAGTACAGCTAACAACAGGCCAGGGTTCAAATATCTTGGGCAAGTACAGCTAACAACAGGACAGGGTTCAAATATCTTGGACAAGTACAGCTAACAACAGGACAGGGTTCAAATATCTTGGGCAAGTACAGCTAACAACAGGCCAGGGTTCAAATATCTTGGGCAAGTACAGCTAACAACAGGACAGGGTTCAAATATCTTGGGCAAGTACAGCTAACAACAGGCCAGGGTTCAAATATCTTGGGCAAGTACAGCTAACAACAGACCAGGATTCAAATATCTTGGGCAAGTACAGCTAACAACAAGCCAGGGTTCAAATATCTTGGGCAAGTACAGCTAACAACAGGCCAGGGTTCAAATATCTTGGGCAAGTACAGCTAACAACAGGCCAGGATTCAAATATCTTGGGCAAGTACAGCTAACAACAGGCCAGGGTTCAAATATCTTGGGCAAGTACAGCTAACAACAGGCCAGGGTTCAAATATCTTGGGCAAGTACAGCTAACAACAGGCCAGGGTTCAAATATCTTGGGCAAGTACAGCTAACAACAGGCCAGGGTTCAAATATCTTGGGCAAGTACAGCTAACAACAGGCCAGGGTTCAAATATCTTGGACAAGTACAGCTAACAACAGGACAGGGTTCAAATATCTTGGGCAAGTACAGCTAACAACAGGCCAGGGTTCAAATATCTTGGGCAAGTACAGCTAACAACAGGACAGGGTTCAAATATCTTGGGCAAGTACAGCTAACAACAGGCCAGGGTTCAAATATCTTGGGCAAGTACAGCTAACAACAGACCAGGATTCAAATATCTTGGGCAAGTACAGCTAACAACAAGCCAGGGTTCAAATATCTTGGGCAAGTACAGCTAACAACAGGCCAGGGTTCAAATATCTTGGGCAAGTACAGCTAACAACAGGCCAGGATTCAAATATCTTGGGCAAGTACAGCTAACAACAGGCCAGGGTTCAAATATCTTGGGCAAGTACAGCTAACAACAGGCCAGGGTTCAAATATCTTGGGCAAGTACAGCTAACAACAGGCCAGGGTTCAAATATCTTGGGCAAGTACAGCTAACAACAGGCCAGGGTTCAAATATCTTGGACAAGTACAGCTAACAACAGGACAGGGTTCAAATATCTTGGGCAAGTACAGCTAACAACAGGCCAGGGTTCAAATATCTTGGGCAAGTACAGCTAACAACAGGCCAGGGTTCAAATATCTTGGGCAAGTACAGCTAACAACAAGCCAGGGTTCAAATATCTTGGGCAAGTACAGCTAACAACAGGCCACAAATATCTTGGGCAAGTAAAGCTAACAACAGGCCAGGGTTCAAATATCTTGGGCAAGTACAGCTAACAACAGACCAGGATTCAAATATCTTGGGCAAGTACAGCTAACAACAGGCCAGGGTTCAAATATCTTGGGCAAGTACAGCTAACAACAGGCCAGGGTTCAAATATCTTGGGCAAGTAAAGCTAACAACAGGCCAGGGTTCAAATATCTTGGGCAAGTACAGCTAACAACAGGCCAGGGTTCAAATATCTTGGACAAGTACAGCTAACAACAGGCCAGGGTTCAAATATCTTGGGCAAGTACAGCTAACAACAGACCAGGATTCAAATATCTTGGGCAAGTAAAGCTAACAACAGGCCAGGGTTCAAATATCTTGGGCAAGTACAGCTAACAACAGGCCAGGGTTCAAATATCTTGGGCAAGTACAGCTAACAACAGGACAGGGTTCAAATATCTTGGGCAAGTACAGCTAACAACAGGCCAGGGTTCAAATATCTTGGGCAAGTACAGCTAACAACAGGCCAGGGTTCAAATATCTTGGGCAAGTAAAGCTAACAACAGGCCAGGGTTCAAATATCTTGGGCAAGTACAGCTAACAACAAGCCAGGGTTCAAATATCTTGGGCAAGTACAGCTAACAACAGACCAGGATTCAAATATCTTGGGCAAGTACAGCTAACAACAAGCCAGGGTTCAAATATCTTGGGCAAGTACAGCTAACAACAGGCAGGGTTCAAATATCTTGGGCAAGTACAGCTAACAACAGGCCACAAATATCTTGGGCAAGTACAGCTAACAACAAGCCAGGGTTCAAATATCTTGGGCAAGTACAGCTAACAACAGGCAGGGTTCAAATATCTTGGGCAAGTACAGCTAACAACAGGCCACAAATATCTTGGGCAAGTACAGCTAACAACAAGCCAGGGTTCAAATATCTTGGGCAAGTACAGCTAACAACAGACCAGGATTCAAATATCTTGGGCAAGTAAAGCTAACAACAGGCCAGGGTTCAAATATCTTGGGCAAGTACAGCTAACAACAGGCCAGGGTTCAAATATCTTGGGCAAGTACAGCTAACAACAGGACAGGGTTCAAATATCTTGGGCAAGTACAGCTAACAACAGGCCAGGGTTCAAATATCTTGGGCAAGTACAGCTAACAACAGGCCAGGGTTCAAATATCTTGGGCAAGTACAGCTAACAACAGGCCAGGGTTCAAATATCTTGGGCAAGTACAGCTAACAACAGGACAGGGTTCAAATATCTTGGACAAGTACAGCTAACAACAAGCCAGGGTTCAAATATCTTGGGCAAGTACAGCTAACAACAAGCCAGGGTTCAAATATCTTGGGCAAGTACAGCTAACAACAGGCCAGGGTTCAAATATCTTGGGCAAGTACAGCTAACAACAGGCCAGGATTCAAATATCTTGGGCAAGTAAAGCTAACAACAGGCCACAAATATCTTGGGCAAGTAAAGCTAACAACAGGCCAGGGTTCAAATATCTTGGGCAAGTACAGCTAACTAAAGAAACATCAGAAATGGTCAGTGTGTGGTAGAAACGGCCAGTGTGTGGGAGAAATGACCAGTGTGTGGTAGAAATGACCAGTGTGTGGGGTACATGGCCAGTGTGTGGGAAAAATTACCAGTGTGTGGGAGACATGACCAGTGTGTGGGGGTACATGGCAAGTGTGTGAGAGCAAAATTGAAGAAAAAATGAAGCAAGAAAGTCTTGGACCTCGAGCAACCAGTTCCTTGCCCTCATCAATGAGCTCTTGCGTCATGTCATCATCCCCTATGAATTGCTGAAAGCCTAGAGCGCTCAGGACTCGACTCCCCAGGCTGAAGTAGGTGCAGATACACAGCAGCACTATCAGGATGGGGAAGTAGATGTTGAATCCATTAGAGATGATAGAGATGACATCCATGTGGCCCATGATCTGAAACATTCAATCTCTAGCTAGTCATCCAAGTCTTTGTGGGCATACCATCTCTAGGCAATATTAATGCAACTGTTTAATTAAGGCAGTTTTTTTCTAAACTGGCTGGGACTAGAAATTTTTTCAATCATCAAATTCGGATTCCATCTCCACCTTTAGTAAAACTGAAAAAAAATCAACTTTTTATTTCTCTAAATTATTTTGAAAAAAAAAATCTTTAATTTCAAGCTTTCATTTAAGTTGCTATCTCTGTCATGCTTTTATCTTTAGTCTGTTGTCATAGATCATAACTGGCGAGCAAAATTTTAACCACTTCTAACAAACCTATTTCTTTGAAACTTGGCACACAGTTCAAGAATAGATGACAATGCAATCTGACATCAAACTTGACTTAATTGAATGCTTAATTAATTTTTAAATAATTAATTGAAATTTCCTATATAAAGTACAATTTACCATACTGTTATACACACATGTTTTGTGTTGTTTAGTGCGTAATAGTTTTTAGTCATACAACTCTATTGTATTAAAAATTAACGAAAAAAAAAGCATTAAAAAATATGCTTATATGTAATAATCCACTAAAAAGGAGAAATATTTTTTTTTTCTAAATATATAATAAAGAACTATTAATTAAATAACTAAAAATAAAAGCCTGGGTTGCTTCTTGAATTCAAATAAAGGTATTGAATACTTTGTATCGTAATCCACGTTTTTCTAATGCATTTTTCATAAAATTTTATTAAAACTATTTTAATGCATTTTAAAAAATTTATTTAAACTCTCAAAACACGGCTGTTTTAAGTGAGGGTTTTATTGGAAAAGGAATGTAATATTCCAACTTGAAATAAGTGATACAAATTTATTACACTGAAATAAATGATACAAATTTATTACACTGAAATTCAAAACTTGAAAAAGAATTCTGGTTTTGTTTTTAGAACCCAAAAAATACGGACACCGTTTCTACACCATGATTAATACTTGTATAGACACCATTTTTTTACACATTTCAAGTAGTCTACAAGTTAAGTTTAAACTTACCTGGGCTAACTATTTTTTTGTTGATAGATTTTTAGGTGGTTGTCAGATACAGCCATTTTGTGTATAGTAACAAATGAGGCCAACCTGATCCAGCTTTTCTGGTTGGTTACCATCTGACTGGCTTTGAGATCTGGCCTTATAATTCTATACCAAAGACATTTAGTGCTTTAGCTGACATACCTTGGTGTACGACGTCTCTTGAAACTTTCTATTAGCTGACATACCTTGGTGTACGACGTCTCTTGAAACTTTCTATTAGCTGACATACCTTGGTGTACGACGTCTCTTGAAACTTTCTATTAGCTGACATGCCTTGGTGTACGACGTCTCTTGAAACTTTCTATTAGCTGACATACCTTGGTGTACGATGTCTCTTGAAACTTTCTATTAGCTGACATACCTTGGTGTACGACGTCTTGAAACTTTCTATTAGCTGACATACCTTGGTGTACGACGTCTCTTGAAACTTTCTATTAGCTGACATACCTTGGTGTACGACGTCTCTTGAAACTTTCTATTAGCTGACATACCTTGGTGTACGACATCTCTTGAAACTTTCTATTAGCTGACATACCTTGGTGTACGACGTCTCTTGAAACTTTCTATTAGCTGACATACCTTGGTGTACGACGTCTCTTGAAACTTTCTATTAGCTGACATGCCTTGGTGTACGACGTCTCTTGAAACTTTCTATTAGCTGACATACCTTGGTGTACGACGTCTTGAAACTTTCTATTAGCTGACATACCTTGGTGTACGACGTCTCTTGAAACTTTCTATTAGCTGACATACCTTGGTGTACGACGTCACTTGAAACTTTCTATTAGCTGACATACCTTGGTGTACGACGTCTCTTGAAACTTCCTGTCCTGCGTGATGTGACTGTCCAGGTGTATAAGTCCCAGGAAATTTAAGCACATGGGTGGGGTCAGGCGACACAACATCCTAACAAAATCAATAAAACAGTGTATGTTAAACATGCTGACAATACAGGCTAGTATGCAATTTGTTCCAATAACTACATTAAACTCAACAACATCCCCCCCCCTGCTAAACTCAACACCACCCAGCTAAATGCTTAAATTACACGCCCACAATGTATATTTACACCCCTACAATGTTTACTTACACATCCACAATGTTTACTTACACCCCCACAATGTTTACTTACTGGGCCCACAATGTTTACTTACACCCCCACAATGTTTACTTACACATACACAATGTTTACTTACACCCCCACAATGTTTACTTACACCCCCACAATGTTTACTTACACCCCCACAATGTTTACTTACTGGGCCCACAATGTTTACTTACACCCCCACAATGTTTACTTACACATCCACAATGTTTACTTACACCCCCACAATGTTTACTTACACCCCCACAATGTTTACTTACACCCCCACAATGTTTACTTACACCCCCACAATGTTTACTTACACATCCACAATGTTTACTTACACATCCACAATGTTTACTTACACATCCACAATGTTTACTTACACATCCACAATGTTTACTTACACATCCACAATGTTTACTTACACATCCACAATGTTTACTTACACATCCACAATGTTTACTTACACCCCCACAATGTTTACTTACACCCCCACAATGTTTACTTACACCCCCACAATGTTTACTTACACATCCACAATGTTTACTTACACCCCCACAATGTTTACTTACACCCCCACAATGTTTACTTACACCCCCACAATGTTTACTTACACCCCCACAATGTTTACTTACACCCCCACAATGTTTACTTACACCCCCACAATGTTTACTTACACCCCCACAATGTTTACTTACACCCCCACAATGTTTACTTACACCCCCACAATGTTTACTTACACCCCCACAATGTTTACTTACACATCCACAATGTTTACGTACACATCCACAATGTTTACTTACACCCCCACAATGTTTACTTACACCCCCACAATGTTTACTTACACCCCCACAATGTTTACTTACACCCCCACAATGTTTACTTACACCCCCACAATGTTTACTTACACATCCACAATGTTTACGTACACATCCACAATGTTTACTTACACCCCCACAATGTTTACTTACACATCCATAATGTTTACTTACATGCCAATAAAAATGAGACTGTGTTCATTGGTCTGGTGGTGGGGTGCAATGTAGTAGAGATTCAAAATTCTAATTTTAAACACACTGAAGTATGCACAGAAGCAGAGATAGGCAATGGTCAAGACTGAAGCAAGCTGGAAAAAAACCTTAGAGTTAATCTACAGTTTCATCACAACACAGGTCATTATGCAAAGGAATAATTATTTGCTCTCAGCACAAATGATTCTAACCATTATATAAACAATGGAATAAATAGGACATGTTTGCAACTAACCTCAATATAAACATAGTCGTAGTTCTCCCTGGCCAGATTAATAAAGATGGCAAACAGTGACAGCACCGGGTCCTTGATGAAGAACAAACACTCTGACCACACCACCATGAAGGAGACGATGGTCAAGACGCCGGCACCCACCATAAACACATAGGGCCTGACCTGACACTTCCAGTACCATTCTAGAGGGCAAAGGTTAAAAAAATATAAACCAACAAGCAAGATACATCTAACCAACAAGCCAGATATATATATATATATATATATATATATATATATATATATATATATATATAAAAATATTAAACCCACATGTCAGATATAACCCACAAGCCAGATATACATAATGCATAAGTCCAGACTTACGAAACTTACTCAATCTAAGCAGAATTTGTTTGTTTACCCACAGGAGGTGTGTGGATCTTTCTGATCCATTGAAAGTTGAGTGCTTACCCACAGTTGGTGTGTAGATATTTCGGATCCATTGGAAGTAGAAAGTGCCTGCAGCAGGGTCCGAGTGCCTGTACCTCCTGTCAGTGCTCTGCATGTTCACGTCAATGTCCTCCCACTCTAGGGCCATGTTCAGCAGGTTGGACCACTGAATGCTGGTGCGCTTGTGGATTTGGCTGCGCCTGAAAATGTTTATTGGACCACTGAATGCTGGTGCGCCTGTTTTGTTTGGACTGACCCACCTGATGATAAGGTTTGGACTGACCCACCTGATGATAAGGTTTGGACTGACCCACCTGATGATAAGGTTTGGACTGACCCACCTGATGATAAGGTTTGGACTGACCCGCCTGATGATAAGGTTTGGACTGACCCGCCTGATGATAAGGTTTGGACTGACCCACCTGATGATAAGGTTTGGACTGACCCACCTGATGATAAGGTTTGGACTGACCCGCCTGATGATAAGGTTTGGACTGACCCACCTGATGATAAGGTTTGGACTGACCCACCTGATGATAAGGTTTGGACTGACCCGCCTGATGATAAGGTTTGGACTGACCCACCTGATGATAAGGTTTGGACTGACCCACCTGATGATAAGGTTTGGACTGACCCACCTGATGACAAGACTTGGACTGACCCACCTGATGATAAGGTTTGGACTGACCCACCTGATGACAAGATTTGGACTGACCCACCTGATGATAAGGTTTGGACTGACCCACCTGATGATAAGGTTTGGACTGACCCACCTGATTACTTTCTTGTGGAGCTTGACCAGTGTCCCCTCTGACAGTAAATCGGCAGGTTGGTTGAAGTCCTCAAAGTCATCATGTTTTCCTCGCACAGACTGGCGTGTGCTCTCTGGGCACTGAAACAATTTTATATACATACAATGATAACATGTAGTGAACAATGTTGCTCAGATTCTATATACATACAATGATAACATGTAGTGAACATAGTTGCTCAGATTCTATATACATACAATGATAACATGTAGTGAACAAAGTTGCTCAGATTCTATACACATACAATGATAACATGTAGTGAACAAAGTTGCTCAGCTTCTATATACATACAATGATAACATGTAGTTAACAATGTTGCTCAGATTCTATATACATACAATGATAACATGTAGTGAACAAAGTTGCTCAGATTTTCTTTTGACCGCCAGGGCCAGGTCAGTAGTTGCCATGGTTACCTTTGTGAGTATGGTGTCCATGTGTTTCCTGAGAGGGTGGTTGTAGCGGATCTTCTCAGCAGCTCGTCTGGTCTCCTGTCAGAAAGAAATCACGGTCAACTGTCACATCCAACCATTACACACTGCAGCACACATTTCAATCATTACACACTGCAGCACACATTTCAATCATTACACACTGTAGCACACATTTCAATCATTACACACTGTAGCACACATTTCAATCATTACACACTGCAGCACACATTTCAATCATTACACACTGCAGCACACATTTCAATCATTACACACTGCAGCACACATTTCAATCATTACACACTGCAGCACACATTTCAATCATTACACACTGTAGCACACATTTCAATCATCACACACTGCAGCACACATTTCAATCATCAGACACTGCAGCACACATTTCAATCATCACACACTGCAGCACACATTTCAATCATTACACACTGCAGCACACATTTCAATCATTACACACTGCAGCACACATTTCAATCATTACACACTGTAGCACACATTTCAATCATTACACATTGCAGCACACATTTCAATCATCACACACTGCAGCACACATTTCAATCATTACACACTGTAGCACACATTTCAATCATTACACACTGTAGCACACATTTCAATCATTACACACTGTAGCACACATTTCAATCATTACACACTGCAGCACACATTTCAATCATTACACACTGCAGCACACATTTCAATCATTACACACTGCAGAACACATTTCAATCATTACACACTGTAGCACACATTTCAATCATTACACACTGCAGCACACATTTCAATCATTACACACTGTAGCACACATTTCAATCATTACACAAAGGAGCACACATTTCAATCAATACACACTGCAGCACACATTTCAATCATTACACACTGCAGCACACATTTCAATCATTACACACTGCAGCACACATTTCAATCATTACACACTGTAGCACACATTTCAATCATTACACACTGCAGCACACATTTCAATCATTACACACTGCAGCACACATTTCAATCATTACACACTGCAGCACACATTTCAATCATTACACACTATAGCACACATTTCAATCATTACACACTGCAGCACACATTTCAATCAACTGTCACATCCAATCATTACACACTACAAATATATTTTAATTCATCAGCTATAAATCAAATTTTGTTTCAGCCAAAGCTGGTCAATTTTATTCAATGTATTTTTCTTGCATTGTCCACCACTTACCTCCAAGACATCTTCTAAGGCCTCCTCGGCCTCAGTTTTCTCTGTGCTCAGCTTGGCTATCTTAAAGTAAGTGTTGGACAGCATGTATCCCCTCTTGGACTTGTTCCACAGAGACCTGGGCACGTCCACCAGACCATAGCCCAGCATGAGCACCAGGACAAACAGGCCCCAAGTGTTGCTGGCTGTTACACCAATGATCTTCAGCTTCTCACTGAAATATCAGTTCCTGCACATTTACAACTTAAACATGTCCAGTTCCTGCACATTTACAACTTAAACATGTCCAGTTCCTGCACATTTACAACTTAAACATGTCCAGTTCCTGCACATTTACAACTTACACATGTCCAGTTCATTCATACATTTACAAACAACTTAAACATGTCCAGTTCCTGCACATTTACAAACAACTTAAACATGTCCAGTTCCTGCACATTTACAAACAACTTAAACATGTCCAGTTCCTGCACATTTACAAACAACTTAAACATGTCCAGTTCCTGCACATTTACAAACAACTTAAACATGTCCAGTTCCTGCACATTTACAAACAACTTAAACATGTCCAGTTCCTGCACATTTACAAACAACTTAAACATGTCCAGTTCCTGCACATTTACAAACAACTTAAACATGTCCAGTACATTCATACATTTACAAACAACTTAAACATGTCCAGTACATTCATACATTTACTAACAACTTAAACATGTCCAGTTCCTGCACATTTACAAACAACTTAAACATGTCCAGTTCATGCATACATTTATAAACAACTTAAACATGTCCAGTTCATTCATACATTTACAAACAACTTAAACATGTCCAGTTCCTGCACATTTACAAACAACTTAAACATGTCCAGTTCCTGCACATTTACAAACAACTTAAACATGTCCAGTTCCTGCACATTTACAAACAACTTAAACATGTCCAGTTCCTGCACATTTACAAACAACTTAAACATGTCCAGTTCCTGCACATTTACAAACAACTTAAACATGTCCAGTTCCTGCACATTTACAAACAACTTAAACATGTCCAGTTCCTGCACATTTACAAACAACTTAAACATGTCCAGTTCCTGCACATTTACAAACAACTTAAACATGTCCAGTTCCTGCACATTTACAAACAACTTAAACATGTCCAGTTCCTGCACATTTACAAACAACTTAAACATGTCCAGTTCCTGCACATTTACAAACAACTTAAACATGTCCAGTTCCTGCACATTTACAAACAACTTAAACATGTCCAGTTCCTGCACATTTACAAACAACTTAAACATGTCCAGTTCCTGCACATTTACAAACAACTTAAACATGTCCAGTTCCTGCACATTTACAAACAACTTAAACATGTCCAGTTCCTGCACATTTACAAACAACTTAAACATGTCCAGTTCCTGCACATTTACAAACAACTTAAACATGTCCAGTTCCTGCACATTTACAAACAACTTAAACATGTCCAGTTCCTGCACATTTACAAACAACTTAAACATGTCCAGTTCCTGCACATTTACAAACAACTTAAACATGTCCAGTACATTCATACATTTACAAACAACTTAAACATGTCCAGTACATTCATACATTTACAAACAACTTAAACATGTCCAGTACATTCATCCATTTACAAACAACTTAAGCATGTCCAGTTCCTGCACATTTACAAACAACTTAAACATGTCCAGTTCGTGTACATTTCATGTTCATGTTTGCCTGTCGTCCCTACTGGGACATAGGCCGCTGACAAGAGCTTTCCAGACGTCTCTGTCCAGGGCTAGTCTCTCCAACTGTCCCCAGGTGTATCCAATCTTCTTGGTGTCTTCTTCCAGGTCACGTCTCCAGGTCTTTCTTGGTCTGCCTCTCTTCCTCCTGCCTTGTGGATTCCAGGTGAGGGCCTGTCTTGTTATGCTGGATACAGGCTTCCTGAGTGTGTGGCCAATCCATTTCCATTTTCTCTGGAGGATCTCTACTTCCACTGGCAGTTGATTTGTCCGTTGCCATAGAACATCATTTCTGATGGTTTTAGGCCAGCGAATTCGCAGGATCTTTCTGAGACATGCGTTTATAAATGATTGTATTTTCTTCTTATTTATAGCAGTTATTCTCCATGTCTCGGCTCCATAGAGTAAAACAGGTTTTACTAGTGTGTTGAAGATCCGGATTTTTATTCTAAGGGTTAAATCTCCCGAACCCCAAACATTTTTTAGTTGGTTGAAGACTGCTCTTGCCTTACCCGTCCTTATTTTTATGTCTGCTTCTGTCCCACCCTGCTTATCAACAATACTTCCAAGGTAGGTGAATCTATCCACTTCTTCTAGGGCTTCTTCTGCCAGTGTTATAGGGTTGTTGTTTGATGCATTGACTTTGAGAACTTTACTTTTCCCTCTGTGGATGTTCAGACCCAGGCTTGTAGAAAAATTTGCAACCCTGTTGGTTTTATCCTGCATTTGCTGTTGTGTGTGAGAAAGGAGGGCCAGGTCGTCAGCAAAGTCCAGGTCATCCAGCTGGCTCCACAATGTCCACTGTATACCGTTTCGCGTTTTCTCTGTTGACATCTTCATAACCCAGTCTATGGCCAGTAGGAACAGGAATGGTGAAAGTAGGCAACCCTGCCTTACTCCGGTCCGTACTGGGAAGGCCTCTGTAGTCTGTTGGCCATGCACTACTCTACATTTGAGACCTTCATATGAAGACATAATAATGTTGACTATTTTCTGTGGCACCCCGTAGTGTCTCAACAATTTCCACATTGACTGCCTATCCAGGCTATCAAAGGCCTTCTCATAGTCTATGAAATTAATGTAGAGAGATGAGTTCCACTCTTGGGTCTGTTCAATGATGATGCGCAGGGTAGCAATTTGGTCTATGCATGACCTTTCCTTCCTAAAGCCCGCCTGTTGATCTCGAAGCTGGGGATCTATGGCTTCCTTCATTCTGTTTAATAATATTCTGTTGAAGACTTTGCCTGGGATGGACAAAAGTGTTATCCCTCTATAGTTAGAGCATGCACTAAGATCGCCTTTCTTTGGAAGCTTTATGAGTAGTCCCTCCTTCCACTCCTCTGGTATTTGTTCATCTTCCCAGATTTTCTTGAAGAGTGTGTATAGTAGTGTGGTGCTAGTTTCTATATCTGCTGTCAGTGCTTCTGCCGGTATACCATCTATTCCTGGAGCCTTCCAATTTTTCAGCTGCTTTATAGCTCTATGTATCTCTTCTTTTGAAGGTGGGTTGCAGTCTATAGGGAGGTCACTTTCAGCTGGTGGTATGTCTTGCGTGCACTCTGGTGTTGGTCTATTCAGTAGTTCTTCAAAATGTTCTACCCATCTCTTCATCTGTCCTTCCGTATCAGGTATTGTCTTTCCATCTTTGGTTTTCACTGGCCTCTCTGGCTTACTGTACTTACCAGATATCTTCTTAATTGTATTGTACACGTCCCTAATATTACCATGGTACAGTGCTTCTTCCGCTTCTCTTGCCAGCAGTTCCAAATAGCTCCGTTTGTCTTTCCTTATGTGTTTCTTTACATTTTTGTTCGTTTCGGTGTATTCTTCCAGTGCTTTTAATTTCGAAGCCCGTGTGCGGCTGTTGTTTAATGTTGCCTTCTTTCTTTTTCTCTCTTCAATAATTTTCATGGTATCTGCTGATATCCATTCCTTCGCTTGTCCTTTGATAGGGCCTAGCACTTCTTCGCATGTTGATGTTAATATACTTTTAGTTTTTTCCCATGTTTCCTCTATCGTCTCTTCTTCTATTAGTTCTTGTAGTACCTGGAACCTATTGGACATATGAAGTTTAAATTCGTTGAGTTTAGATGGGTCCTTTAGCAGGCCTGTGTTGTACCTGTATTTCCTTTTGTTTTCCAACATGTTTTTCTTCAGCTTGAGTTTTACTTTAGCTACCAGTAGGTGATGGTCTGAAGCAACATCAGCTCCTCTCTTGACGCGTACATCCTGAAGTGATCTCCTGAACTTTTTTATGATACATATATGGTCTATCTGGTTTTCTGTAGATAGGTCGGGTGATACCCAAGTAGCTTTATGTATCCTTTTGTGATGAAAGAGACTACCTCCAATGACTAAATTATTTGTGGCACACAAGTCAGCAAATCTTTCTCCGTTTTCGTTCATCTCACCTAAACCCTGCTGTCCCATACATTCTTCATATCCTCTGTTGTCGCTTCCAATCTTAGCATTGAAGTCGCCCATGAGTATAAGGATGTTCCTTCTTGGGCGGTTCTGGATAATGGTCATTAGCCTGTTGTAGAATTCGTCTTTGTCCTCCTCTTTGCTGTCATTTGTTGGGGCGTAGGCCTGTATTATGTCCATGTTTATTCGTCTTATTTTAGTTTTAAAGGTAGCTGTTATGATCCGCGGGCAGTGTGCCTCCCATCCGATGAGAGCCCTTTGTGCTTGGTTTGATAGCATGAGTGCAACTCCTTGAGTATGTGGTGCATTTTCATCCTCATGGCCTGAGTACAGCAGTAGCTCTCCTGTTATCAGCCTTTTTTGTCCTGAGCCAGTCCACCTTGATTCGCTGACACCCAGGATAGCTATTTTATAGCGTCTCATTTCTGCTGCTACTTGGGTTGCTTTTCCAGCTTCGTACATCGTGCGGACATTCCAAGCTCCAATATTGATGGTGGTCCTAGTGGAAATAATGGTGGTCGACCTGGTAGTTTCCAATACATATTGGCTTTCACCACCCGGCTTCATAAATTCTCCATCGGGAGATCCATTTTTCCCCTGGTCCGAGCTGTCTTTGTTTCTCTCTGTCTGCGTTTCTGTAGCGGGTAATTTGTTTTACGAGATAAGGTTGCTGACCTTATGCTCAACCCCCAACCTGGAGGACCAGGGTGCTAGCTTTCGTCTGACCCCTACCCGCGCAGACCTTCCCAGCTTGGTTGAACCTGCCAGGAAATAACACTCCCGCTGGTATAGCTCTGGGGGTCGTCAGGGTACGCAAGCTGCCAAGCCACGACAAGGCCCTAGCACCAGATGACAGTTCCTGCACATTTACAAACAACTTAAACATGTCCAGTACATTCATACATTTACAAACAACTTAAACATGTCCAGTACATTCATACATTTACTAACAACTTAAACATGTCCAGTTCCTGCACATTTACAAACAACTTAAACATGTCCAGTTCATGCATACATTTATAAACAACTTAAACATGTCCAGTTCATTCATACATTTACAAACAACTTAAAAGGGGGTAGGCTCCAGAAATTACAAAGTTCTAAAGTATTAAGCTTTATCTATTTATTTGTGTGTATCTAAGTTAGGATACTTGAGGGAAAATATTTGCAGGCATCTGATACTCTTCTGAAAATATGGTTGCCATGGCACCGGCGGCCATCTTGAAAAAAACAACCTTTTCTGGAGTTCTAAAATTTCATAAACTAAAATATAATTCTGTCATATAATCATTGATCCTACTCTTAATAACCCTATTAGAGTCAGCTGGCTAACAATTTTAAGAGAAAACACTTTACAAATATTTTTTTCAAATTTTCAAAATTTGGTATCGCAAAATACCATCAAATTTACCACCCTAGGGTTGGTAAAAAATTTCCAAAAATTTTTTCTACCAACCAATTTCATATCTAAATAGCTAGCTGACTACATAATTGAACTAGGAACATGCCTACTAAGTTTAATGGCTCTAGCTAGTATAATAGCTGAGATTTTAGAACTGAGCAAACAGAAAATGATCAAAAATACAATTTTGAGATAAACGCATTTTAAGTATAAAAAGTGACAAAAAAACTTTAATCAAAATAATAATAAGAAATGAAATGATTTTTTACATAAATGGGTATGCCCACTAGTTATTGAAAGCCCCAGGTGCATAGGTTTCACCCTCTTTTTGTTCATTCTCATACTCAACTTGAAGGCGCTGCTTTTTCATGTTTTTCCGCTTCCATTTCGAAATTCCGAGTTTTCTCTTTCTGGAGTTAATGCACTTTTGCTTAAGCATTTTTACTGCAAAAACATTGTTCACAAGGCTCCAGCTGCATCCCAATCTGTCCATTACCATTTTCAACCCTATCGGGCCACAATTAAACGACAAAATTGCGAGCGATGTTGCAGTATCAACTGCCGCCTTTGAAGAAAAAGAGGTTTTTGGACAACGTTGCCAGATAAGGGCATTAAAACTTTCATTAGCGTTTTGTGTGCACATTTTTGCACATCTCTGCAATAGATCCATATCTGTAAGCCTTACAACAATGGGATAGATTAATTGCCCAACCTCTGGAGTAAATGCAGGTCTGTGCTTCCTGAAATTACCAGTTACAAGTGCCCTCTGGTAGTGACACCAAGATTTCTCCCCCGAAGGGCAAAACTTATGGTTGGGAGACTTGTCAGTTGAAAGCATGTGGAAAAATCCACCTAAAACACCTTGTTTCATCTTTACAACATCTGGGGCATTATCCTTTAAGTTCTTGGCATAGGTGTTTGTTATTTTTTCAATTACCGGCTTCGTAAGGCGTCTATTTAACGATGCCTTATTTCCCTTTTTCAAATTTTCTAATGCATTAAACATGCGTTTAGCTATATGATTAATACAATCCTCTTTCCTAACAGGAATATCATAGCAATGTTCAACCTCCTTATGAGCCTTAGCATCACCATCACATAACATTGCGCCATAAACAAGCTTTCTTTTCGTAATAGATCTCGAAAAGATTCTATTTGCTGCCAAAGTCTCCATAGCATTTGACGAGCAGTCGGCATTCTTTTGACAGCTCGAGATGTGTAGTGCCATCCATTTATCATAATCTGCTGAACCTGGTTTAGGACCAACAGCACACATTTTGCAATAGTTGCTGATGACCTCTGTGTCTAAAACCAGGCCGCTGTCTACATCAATTGCAACGCCAACACCGTTGTGAGACGAATGCCCTCTTTTTTGCCATGTTCCATCATATGAAATGGTTATGACAGGGCAACCGGTGTTACTAATAGCCTGTTCAGGTTGTAGACCTGCAGCTGTTGCTCGCTCAGTAACAACACTAGCTGCTTTGACCATAGCATCTTCTGCTGCATCTTGTGCTGCAGTGCCCACTGTTTTGGCGATCTGATAGAATGTTTTATGATGCATGTGGTGTTTTAAATTCATAGCTGAGAGGAGCGATTTCAGTTTATAAAAACCTATGCCATTTTCTTTGCATCCTAAAACTGTTCTGTAGTTTATGTCATATTGCTTGTTCACGGGCGGTGATGTCCAGCCTTTCCAATCATGGTTACACTGAGGGCAGTGAATTTTTAACTGTGCAGCAAGTCCATTGGAGTTTGTCGTTGACAATTGAAGACCATCGTTGCCACAAGTTGTGCATGCAACTCCTGCTAATAGAGAAAGCAAGGAGCTTTCGTGAATTAGGAAGTAAGATTCCTGTGATAAGGTAGCAGATTCCAGTGGAGTGGCAGTGCAAGAGCTGTAGGTTGCAAACTTCTGTTCAGCCTTACCACATACCTGTGGTTCAATGTCAGCATCCACAGTGGAACTGAAAATAAAATAGAAAAACAATCAGAATTAAAAGCTGCCAAATTATTATCACAAGGACAAAGTTAAGTGTGTTATAGATCTACTAGATCTAGGTCTATTTACATTAGATAATTAATTATGACAATACTAGACCACCTAGTTAGTTGCATTTATGTTTATAATTACAAGCCCTAAATATAATGAATGGCTAGATTTACATCTAGATCTAGAGCTAATTAAAATTATCAATTGGGCATGGATATTATCTAGATCTAGATCCTAGTTAGTTCTATCAAATGACTGGACTGACAATACTAGACTAGAATCTAGATCTAGAGAGAGTATCTGAGAGATCTACCTCTATTACTAGAATCTAGATCTATTACAAATAAACTAGATCTAGATAATAGATATCTAGATTAGAATTAGTGATCTTAGACGTATAGCCTAGATAGATCTAGAATCTATTCTAGTTCTAGATCTATCATCAATGAATCAATGCGGCATGTGGTGATAAAACTAAAACTAGATTCTAGATCTAGAGTAAAACTTACCTTGAACTTGAATTCAGTAAAGATTCTTCGAGTCTCCTAGCATGAATTCCTCTAGGGTTTGCATTTCTTTTTTTTTTTGCCAAAACGAAAATTCTGTTTGGGCATCTTGAAAGGTGAAATGAATGAATAGTAGAACTAGATTTTCTAGTAGGTAGCTTGAACGACGAGCGTTTATTGCCTATGCATCGACGACCGCTTTAGAGAGAAATGGTTGTAAACATAGCGAGTGCGCATGCGCAGAGGTTAAACTGCCGGGGGTGTGTCCCCATTTTGTCCAATCAAAATTTATAGGACATAAGAATCCAATGAAAAGTCTCGACAGTCGATGTTTTCAAAGCTTTGAATCTCATAGGCTAATATAGTTACAGCTTTCGATTATAGGTACTTGAACGATACTAAGAATGACGTTTCCAACGATATATGATATAGCTACCTCCATTTACTAAGCAAAGTAATGTCTTCATGTGAAAATAGGTCATTTTTGACTATTTTGTAAAATAGTCAGCTGTGTAGCTGGGGGGTGGGGGTGTTTATGTTGACTTTTGTATATCTAAATACTAAATTTAAAGCGTAATTAAAGCAGTAATCGATTCTAAGAATACTAAACTACACAAATACATAAAATACCGAAAACGGACAATTTTCACATTTTTGGGCCTTTTCTCTAGCGCCTATCCCCTTAAACATGTCCAGTACATTCATACATTTACAAACAACTTAAACATGTCCAGTTCATTCATACATTTACAAACAACTTAAACATGTCCAGTACATTCATACATTTACAAACAACTTAAACATGTCCAGTTCATTCATACATTTACAAACAACTTAAACATGTCTAGTTCATTCATACAAGATCATTAATCAAGGAATTAGCCCATTTCCTGCCTGAGTTGGATATTTACCCATCAATGCTGACATGCACAGCCACATAGATCAAACAGATGCCAAAAATCAGCAGGTAGGTTCCATAGAAAATTGCATTCTCTATCAAAGCTGATTTAATTTTGCCAAGAACTGTGAAGTCTCCAGTTTTTGCATATGACTGCATCATTGGCATGATAAGCCTGTGGGTGAAAGGTTCAAACATGGGCTTTAATATATGTGTTTTTTCTAATATGTCTCTTCACTGTTCAGACTAAAACATTACCATGCTGAGCTCCAGTAAATGTAAACACTACCATGTCAATACTTGTGAGGTCTAGTAAATGTAAACATTACCATGTCAATACTTGAGAGGTCTAGTAAATGTAAACATTACCATGTCAATACTTGAGAGGTCTAGTAAATGTTAACATTACCATGTCAATACTTGAGGTCTAGTAAATGTTAACATTACCATGTCAATACTTTAGGTCTAGTAAATGTAAACATTACCATGTCAATACTTGAGATCTAGTAAATGTAAACATTACCATGTCAATACTTGAGGTCTAGTAAATGTAAACATTACCATGTCAATACTTGAGAGGTCTAGTAAATGTTAACATTACCATGTCAATACTTGAGGTCTAGTAAACGTAAACATTACCATGTTAATACTTGAGAGGTCTAGTAAATGTTAACATTACCATGTCAATACTTGAGGTCCAGTAAATGTAAACATTACCATGTCAATACTTGAGGTCTAGTAAATGTTAACATTACCATGTCAATACTTGAGAGGTCTAGTAAATGTTAACATTACCATGTCAATACTTGAGGTCTAGTAAATGTTAACATTACCATGTCAATACTTGAGGTCTAGTAAATGTTAACATTACCATGTCAATACTTGAGAGGTCTAGTAAATGTTAACATTACCATGTCAATACTTGAGGTCTAGTAAATGTTAACATTACCATGTCAATACTTGAGAGGTCTAGTAAATGTAAACATTACCATGTCAATACTTGAGAGGTCTAGTAAATGTTAACATTACCATGTCAATACTTGAGAGGTCTAGTAAATGTAAACATTACCATGTCAATACTTGAGGTCTAGTAAATGTTAACATTACCATGTCAATACTTGAGAGGTCTAGTAAATGTTAACATTACCATGTCAATACTTGAGAGGTCTAGTAAATGTAAACATTACCATGTCAATACTTGAGAGGTCTAGTAAATGTTAACATTACCATGTCAATACTTGAGAGGTCTAGTAAATGTAAACATTACCATGTCAATACTTGAGGTCTAGTAAATGTTAACATTACCATGTCAATACTTGAGGTCTAGTAAATGTAAACATTACCATGTCAATACTTGAGGTCTAGTAAATGTTAACATTACCATGTCAATACTTGAGAGGTCCAGTAAATGTAAACATTACCATGTCAATACTTGAGGTCTAGTAAATGTTAACATTACCATGTCAATACTTGTGGTCTAGTAAATGTTAACATTACCATGTCAATACTTGAGGTCTAGTAAATGTAAACATTACCATGTCAATACTTGAGGTCTAGTAAATGTTAACATTACCATGTCAATACTTGAGAGCTCCAGTAAATGTTAACATTACCATGTCAATACTTGAGGTCTAGTAAATGTAAACATTACCATGTCAATACTTTAGGTCTAGTAAATGTAAACATTACCATGTCAATACTTGAGGTCTAGTAAATGTAAACATTACCATGTCAATACTTGAGGTCTAGTAAATGTAAACATTACCATGTCAATACTTGAGGTCTAGTAAATGTAAACATTACCATGTCAATACTTGAGGTCCAGTAAATGTAAACATTACCATGTCAATACTTTAGGTCTAGTAAATGTAAACATTACCATGTCAATACTTGAGAGGTCTAGTAAATGTTAACATTACCATGTCAATACTTGAGGTCTAGTAAATGTAAACATTACCATGTCAATACTTGAGGTCTAGTAAATGTTAACATTACCATGTCAATACTTGAGGTCTAGTAAATGTAAACATTACCATGTCAATACTTGAGGTCTAGTAAATGTAAACATTACCATGTCAATACTTGAGGTCTAGTAAATGTAAACATTACCATGTCAATACTTGAGGTCTAGTAAATGTAAATATTACCATGTCAATACTTGAGGTCTAGTAAATGTAAACATTACCATGTCAATACTTGAGGTCTAGTAAATGTAAACATTACCATGTCAATACTTGAGGTCTAGTAAATGTAAACATTACCATGTCAATACTTGAGGTCTAGTAAATGTAAACATTACCATGTCAATACTTGAGAGGTCTAGTAAATGTTAACATTACCATGTCAATACTTGAGAGGTCTAGTAAATGTAAACATTACCATGTCAATACTTGAGAGGTCTAGTAAATGTTAACATTACCATGTCAATACTTGAGAGGTCTAGTAAATGTTAACATTACCATGTCAATACTTGAGAGGTCTAGTAAATGTAAACATTACCATGTCAATACTTGAGGTCCAGTAAATGTAAACATTACCATGTCAATACTTGAGGTCTAGTAAATGTAAACATTACCATGTCAATACTTGTGAGGTCCAGTAAATGTAAACATTACCATGTCAATACTTGAGGTCTAGTAAATGTAAACATTACCATGTCAATACTTGTGAGGTCCAGTAAATGTAAACATTACCATGTCAATACTTGAGAGGTCTAGTAAATGTAAACATTACCATGTCAATACTTGAGAGGTCTAGTAAATGTTAACATTACCATGTCAATACTTGAGAGGTCCAGTAAATAATTCTCCATAAAATGGGCAGCACCTGGTCAGGTACGTAGCTAGCAGGCTGACCACATGCCGTGTAAAGATCTTCCTCAGAGAAAGTGCTACTCTCTGCCTGCTGGCCAGCATGGCTTGTCAAGCTGGGTGTGGACACGTTGTCGTAGTCAGATCCATTGCCAACTGTGGTGCTTGCTGCTGTTGTGGTGCTGCTTTGGGGGCTACGGTCATACACACACTGCCTATAGAAGGTCTGAAAGTGGCATATACAAGTATACACATTACAATATTTTATGTCATGCACACAAATACTTACTTGCATTAATGACTTCATGTCTAAATGTTGGGTGGTCACCAGGGACTGTCTAAATGTTGGTAGGTCACCAGGGACTGTCTAAATGTTGGTAGGTCACCAGGGACTGTCTAAATGTTGGTAGGTCACCAGGGACTGTCTAAATGTTGGTAGGTCACCAGGGACTGTCTAAATGTTGGTAGGTCACCAGGGACTGTCTAAATGTTAGTAGGTCACCAGGGACTGTCTAAATGTTGGTATGTCACCAGGGACTGTCTAAATGTTGGTAGGTCACCAGGGACTGTCTAAATGTTGGTAGGTCACCAGGGACTGTCTAAATGTTGGTAGGTCACCAGGGACTGTCTAAATGTTGGTAGGTCACCAGGGACTGTCTAAATGTTGGTAGGTCACCAGGGACTGTCTAAATGTTGGTAGGTCACCAGGGACTGTCTAAATGTTGGTAGGTCACCAGGGACTGTCTAAATGTTGGTGAGTCACCAGGGACTGTCCAAATGTTGGTATCTCACCAGGGAAACATCCAAGGGAATGATGAAGATAATCATCAGAGAGAAGTACCAAGAGATGAAGCAGCACGCAGTCACCAGTATGTGCTGTTTCTTCAGGTCACCATATCTGTTCAGTAGGTACGCAGCTAACAGGCATGTGCAGATGATTTCTACAATTAGTGGGCCAGCACTCATTTTCAAACTTGCTATTCCTAAATCACAAACAGGATTAAAAAAATCTCATTGAATGTGGCTAAGCTAAAATAAAATGTAACTAGCACAAATAAAAGTCTGTGCGCTGCCAGACACAAACTGCTGATTACACTTCTTTAATTAGAACGATTTTATTTTTATCTAATGCATCTACCTCTAAAGTACTTATATCTAGATTCTAGATCTAGAAATCTATGTCTACAGATTTATGTCTAACTAACATTAACTGTTAAAGACTTGACTTTTAAGCAGTAGGCCTTCTAAAAAAAGTAGGCCTATTTTAAAGTATTTTTAACCATTCCAAAGTGACAAATCTATCTCTAGAATCTTTATCTAACGAGCCGGCCCGCGGCATAACATATGCCGCTATTTAGTGTTGTTTTTTCTACTTTTCAGTAATTCATAATTTGTGAATTCGACAGTACCAACGCTGACACTGAAAATATTTCTTTAAAACACTATAAGTAGCTCGTTAAGGACCATAACCCCCCCCCCCCTCCCCCCAACGTTTAAAATCGTTTCAAACTAAATTATCTGCCCCTAATAGCCGTCACTAAACCCGACTCCACGAAGGTAAACATAGCGTGAACCACAGCTCACTAAGACCATGTAGGGGTGGGGATGGTAGGGAGTGCGTTTACAGCTTGTTTTCTAGCGTCTCCCAGAAGAGAATTATATATATAGATTCTAATCTAAATCTAGATGTATATCTTACTTAGATATTATCTAAATACTTAAAAAAAGAAAAAAAAATTAAAAACAACCACAAACATCTATCTAGACTAGATTATTCTAGATCTAGATGGATCTGGGCATCTACTAATTTCTAGATTATTAAATATATAATATTATTAATATGTATACTATATAGACTAGAATTAGAAATTAGATAAGCCGCGTTATGATAAGCCTACATCTGCTAGACACTATCTAACTCTAGCCAGCGCTAGATTCTAGTTCTAGATCTAGCCCACAACTAATAAAGTTAATAAACTTATTATAATTAGTAAAATAGTAAATTTAGTATTATAGTTAATTATTAATTATATAATTATAGTGATTATAGGCTATAGGACTATAGTCTATATATATAATTCTCTTCTGGGAGACGTTAGAAAACAAGCTGCAAGCGTGCCTTGCAGTCCCCTCTCTTCCTCTCTATTACTACCACCCCCACATGGTCTGGTGAGCGGTGTTCACTCTAAATGTTTACATTCGTAGAGCCGGGTTTAGTGACGGCTATTAGGGGCAGATAATTTAGTTTGAAACGATTTTAAACTTAGAGGAGGTAACTAAGAGGAGGCTGCTATCATGGGGGGGGGGGTATAGGGTAGGGGTTGAGGGAAAGGGGGGGGGGGGGGGGGGGGTAGTGTTTTAAAGTAAATATTTTCAATGGCAGCATTGGTACTGTCGAATTCACAAATTATGAATTACTGAAAAGTAGAAAATAAAACCACTAAATAGCGGCGTATGATACGCAGCGGGTCGGCTCGTGTCACTATAATCATTTTAGCAGGCAAATGAAAATTTAAATAGGTTATATTACTATTAGGTAATCTATCGTTTTAGGTGCGTAAAACCTTCCGAAGCTAGTAATGTGCGAAAAAGTCACCTCATTGTCAAGGCTTTAATAGAAGTATATTGTGATATATTTGTGTCAAATATTATAGATAAATGAATGATAAACCTAAATCAATGGCTTAATTAGTATAATTAACTTAATATATCAATATAGGCAAGAAATTAACTTTAAACAGCAGTGTTTGAAAGCAGGATTTAATATATAAAAGGCCAAGGCTATTCCCAGCCGGTTGGGGCTATTCCCAGCCGACTGTGAATAGCCCCAAAATGGCTATTCACAGTCGGCTGTCATTTCATGCTAAATACGACTGCGAATAATATCTTAAAATAATAAAAGCATTTATTGTGACTGGGGAGTGAGGTATAGATTAAGAGAGCAGTGCAATTTTTATTTTGTTATATTTTTATAAAAAAGTTATTAAGGTTAAAGTTTAGCTTTTAGGCTCATATGAGACATATCTGCTACAGGCTACGTACGTAGGTCATAGATGATCAATTATGCACTCTAAATCTATACACTAGAATAATAGATGTAGTAATTTTTTAAAAAATAATACTAATTAAGTATTATTAGTTTATTTGGTTGTTCACATTGCTATTCAACTATCAATTACCATTAACAATTCACATTTTTTTTTTGCTGATATGCCAACAATTATGTCACAACAAAAAAAAAGTTAACAAAAACAACCCTTCCTTGAGTAACTCAAGTAACTGTGAAAAAGTATATTGATAATAAGATTAAAAGGCATACATTAAGAGTCATAGCAATATGACATCTGATGGATTTGAACCCCCACCTTTGCCTTCTGGCACGACAGCCATTCCCCATGACCACTAGACTACACCTACTTCATGCCCAATTGGGTGTTTTTAACATTAAATCCATCGAAAACTGTCACGACTGTGAATAGACACTTCGATATAAAAAGCGGCCATCTGTAAGTTATAGTGGCTTCCCCTGAATCTTGCGCTATAAGTTTACATTAAAAAAATAAGATAGCTGCTATAGTAAATGAGATGGTTGCATCTGTTGGAAACATCGCTAGTCTTCATTTATTACTGAAAATTTTAATTCAATTGATTAAAAACAGGTACATAAATGAAACAAGGAAATTTGTATTTTATTTTTCAAAACATAAATCCTCCTTAAAATGTAAAATATTAAAATTTAAGGAGTCACCTGTTTTTCACATTACTAGTCGCGGACGATTTTACATACCTAAAACGATAGATTACCTAATGCCTAATATTATACTTAGGGGTAATCCCTTAGTTTAGCGTCGGTTATTATTCCGGAATATTCGTATAGCAGTAAAAAACAGTAAAACAAAGCCAAAGTCTGTCACACACTTCCGGAATTCACCGGAAGTACTGTAAACCATACTTTATTTGGCGTCATCTTTTATTTTTATACAGAATGTTTAAATTTTGGATAGATTTATTTTTGTAATCATTTTTACATTTTGTAATCATTTTTACTATGTTCGTAATATAGATTTTTTTACTTGGTCTAGCAGCTAGATATCTAGCTAGATCTAGAGTCTAGATCTAATTAATTAATGGTCGCAAATCCGCTGCAAGCCAAAAACATTAAATTATTACATTTGACTTCATTATTTATATTTATATTAATATATGTTTTTTTTTAATTTTTAGATCTACTAATTTAAATCTACTATTATATTTATTCTTGTTTCCTTTAGTCCAGGGGTCTCCAAACTACGGCCCGCGGGCCGGATGCGGCCCGCGATGTCCTCTCATCCGGCCCGCGGAGATCTTTTTGTCCACGGAAAAAAACGTTTATTGGTGATGGCTGAGGAACTTTGTCTAGAAAAATCAAAGACATTCCTGGAAGAAACGGCCCTCGAAGTGAAATTTGATAGTTAATGCGGCCCTCGGACTGAAAAGTTTGGAGACCCCTGCTTTAGTCGATTAAACTTAAAAAATTAAAACATTAATTTACTACAATCGACTTTCAATTTATTTATATTTCAATGGTCAAATAAACCATAGTTTACCGTAACTCTAGTTACCGAAACTCAACAAACATTACCCGATAATTTCCGACGCTAAACTAAGGGATTACCTACTTAGGTCTAGATCTACCTATACTACATAATACTAATTAATTACTATTTTAGTAGGACTATAAATAAAAATATTTTATTTAATAAAAAATAGGCCTAGGCCTAGGTCTAAATATTAAATTTATCACAATAGATCTAGATTCTAGATTCTGGATCTAGATTAGATATTAGATGTATTCTACTTAGATCTATTCTAGATCTAGTACTTAGAATGTCTTAGAAGCCTAGAATACTAGTCATTACAAGATCTAAATCTAGAGATGTAATCTAGTAATCTAGGCTGAATCTAGCATGCAGTGCCCAATGCAAATGCCAGTCTCCTGTCCCTGGTGTTTGCATTCATAATCTCGCTTGACGTCAACAATCAATAGACTAGTCAAGTGAATGATTTCCCTTGGCCTAGCCTATTTTTAAAATTATAATGTACACGAAAAGATGGCGCTGTAGAGTTAACTGGTTTGTGCTCCCACCAGACTAGGTGTCAGAATGGGGAGTATGGATGGGCCGCATCGGGTGACACCAAGACAGAAATTTGCAAAAGATAGGAAGAAAACTGCTTTTACCAGTTCAGTTAATGAAATCTTAGAGTTAGTCTTTTTAAGTAGGCCTAAAAATTGACAAGAGGGGTTGGGGATACCATAATAAAAAATTTTATATTTAAAAAAAAAATTTCTTGCATTTTTGCTTGACGGTAAAAGCTTTTGTAAAAAACAAACAGATATAGATCTAGATCTACTACAGTTGTGATGTTATACAGTAGCTAACACATGCTGTTGCGTAAAAAAAAAATATATGTCTGAGCTGTAGTGTGAAGGATAGGCAAACGATCAAAACACTTCCATGACTTATTTCCCTTTTAATTTATTTGTACTGAACAAATTAAAAAGCAATTACTTCTCTTAATTATTATTTTTAAAAAAATACAAACTAAAGACTGACATAACACAAAAAGGAAATATATTTAAAACAAATAATATAAATACAAAAAAAACCATAAAACTAAACATACATAACACGAGAAACCATTACACATACAAAGCTTTCACGTTTATTTTGACCGGCTAAAAACTAGAGGGTTGTTTGTATTACAGCAAACATATTGAACAAACTAGTTCTAAATCTAAATTTAAAAAAAAAAAAACAACTCAAAACAGTCTAATGCAGGGGTCGGCAACCTGCGGCTCGCGAGCCGCATGCGGCTCTTTTGATGTCAAAATGCGGCTCGCGAGTTCCATGCGCAAATATTATTAATTTCAAAACGCATAAAAAAAATATTCTGAAACACTCGGCAATGAACGATATAATAATAAATATAAACAATAAACACACGCTATTCAATTAGAATATTTAGTTACTCCCTGTTTCCTGTTAAAGTTTCCTTTCCAAATTGAAAAATTCAACGTAATGGTGGATATCAATAAGAAACTAAACGAGCTAAATGTAAAACTGCAAGGAAAGGAAAACCCAACCTATGCCTTGCTGGAAGAAGTGGATTGTTCATGAAAGTCTAGTGCAGGGGTCGGCAACCTGCGGCTCGCGAGCCGCATGCGGCTCTTTTGATATCAAGATGCGGCTCTCCAGCTCCTTGAACAAATACTAATAATCTTAATAAAAAAATAAAATATTTGAAATAAAAAAATATGTTAGTGGCTCTTTAAAACCAGGGGAATTTTGAAAATTGTAACTTTTGGCTCTTCCGCTTCAAAAGGTTGCCGACTCCTGGTCTAGTGGTAGGACATGTATGGGATCAACTATTTTAAAAAAATTAAAGCAAGTTATGTGTGTGAGTACTATTAGTCTGTTTTGAATATCTGTTTCAATATATGTCTGACGTAACGAAACCTGTTAGTAAGTTGGTCAAAAGAATATGAAGCATGAAAACTTTGTGTGTGTAATGGTTTCTCGAGTTATGTTTATTTTAATGTGTTTTTTTTAAATTTATATTATTAGTTTTCCTTTTTATACTATTATGTCATTCTTTATATTTATAATTTATTTTTTAAAATAATTAAGAGAAGTAATTGCTTTTTAATTTGTTTAGTGCAAATTATATTAAAAGGTGCTCTAGAGCACACATATTTGATTATTAATAAAAAGGGAAATAAGTTATGGAAGTGGTTTAAATGTTTGCCTATCTTTCACCTTCATATTAAAACTCATGTATATATATTTTTCTTTTACGCAACAGCGTGTGTTAGCTACTAGACTATAGAACATCACGTAGATCTGGGTTTTTTTTTACAAAACAACTATCAAGGTGCCAGTGGCGGAACTAAAAAAGGCTTAGTTGTTGGGGAGCTAGTTTGTACACTACCACAAACACGCCCCGGTTTACGCTGATGATGAAACACCCATCGGCGACAGCCTTGGTGTCAGAGGCGTCACAAAAGAAGTAAACGTACATCAAACCGAAATAGTACAGAATAGTATTTCTACCAATACAACAAACGAACATTTTACATTATAAAATCACAATGAATTGTGGGGCCCTAATCAATGCTATAAAGAAGCAACCGTCGCCTTAATAATTAGCGGCCTCTCGCGCGATGGACTTTATTTATTTTCAAAAAATTTTTGCCGACAACAGCGTGTATTTGATTGTAGGAGAAAGAGGACTCGGGATGGTGTCTATAGAATAAAGATAATTCAACCGCAGCTGCAGTATTTTTTTTTACAAACAACCATCAAATAAAAAATGCAAGAAAATTATTTTTTTTTAACTATAAACAAGGTAATTAAAAAGTCTAGTGACAATTTCCTTATATTATCTAAAAATAGCTCTGTCGTAGCGTAAATCAAGAGCAGGGTTAGTAAAACCATTGGTTAGTTATTAAAACGTTTTTTATTAATTTTTTTCAGTATTTTACATGTTTTATTTACAATAGAGTTACATGACTAAAAACCATTGCGCGCCCACTGAACGCGATGGCGCAGCCATGGAACGCGATGGCGCAGCTATTGAACGTGATGACGCGTGTGGTGTGGTTGGAAAAAATGCCTACTAATTCGGTCCAAATTTTAATTAATTCAAAATTTTTTTTTGTGACCGAACGAAAGGATATTTTTGAAAACTTTCTTCGGCAATATTGTTCTAAATTATGGCAGGAATCGATTGGTACATGTTTCAAGTCGCTTAGTGGTCTGGTTGCCGAGATATGGGCCAAAACTGCATTTTTTCGAGTTTTTTTGGCTTTTCCAGGAAATCCATGAAAGAAACCCGTAATTTTTATGGCCTATGTTCATCCTCGTAACTTGCTTAACATAATTGCTTTTGGAACTAGTCATCGATATTGCTTCGTTGAGGAGGAGATACGACTTAAAGCCCGGACACACATTCATCCATACATTCATACATTCATCCATTCATTCATCCATCCATTCCCAGAAATGACGAGTTAATAAACGCAATTCTCCAGAATGGAAATTGCGCTTTTAACTATAAAAAACGGCGTCCCCCCACTGCGGGGTCTGGCGGCACTGTAGTTCCGCTCCTGGTCAAAACTGAGTTACAAGATTTTCCGCAAATCCACCAGCAATCAGACGTTGTAAGTAAAAGCTTTAAAAAATATAACAAAAGAAAAACAAAAAAAACAAAAAATCGATTGGTCGATTATTACACAGTGAAATAAGTTTAGTGAAAATTGGATATCCTAAAATTCCTGAACCTATAGTTCAGCCCAGTGGCGTAGCTAGGATTTTTGGGCCCCTATGCAAAAAAGTGTTAGTAGGCCCATCAGAGGCGTAGCGACCCTTCCCGACGACCGCGAACAAACTTTCAATTTGCACCCCCCCCCTCAGACTTTCGATTTGCACCCCCCCCCCTCAAACTTTCGAAAAAGGGCCCCTATTTGCCTTGTGCCCCTATGCCTTGCTTACGCTAGCTTTACGGTAGCTACGCCACTGATTCAGCCCTCCCCCCTTACAACTTTATTTTCAAATACTCTTGAGATAAATCACACTATGCTCTTGTTGCTATCGGCGTCTGAGTTCAGTTTTATTTCTGATTAATTTGGTACATAAAAACAAAACAAACAAACAACACTTTCACTTGAAATAACAATTCTCAAGATAGTTCTTACCTTTTAAAAAAGTCGTACTTTTCAAGGTGCGGACGGACTTGTAGATCTATTCAATTTTCTATCAGTATTAGGCCCTATGCTAGCTGGTTACTTTTTCTGACACAAATTTTTAGAACACCATGTGTGTGCCAGAAATAAAATGTCTTTTATTATTGCAGACAGCGATGGCGGCTGCCATACAGAGACGAGCGGTGTCGTTTTTTTTCATGTAGAGCAACTCATACTTGTCCGACCTTTGTTCGGTAAATAAAACAGTTTGTAATTTAAACATCCAAACTATCTACCAGAAACAAAAGACTGGGAGAGTTCAATTTACTATTATTGTTAGGAGCAAATTTGGGGTCATATTTCCCTTAGTCTTAGCACCCATTTAATCCGCCACTGATGTTGAGTAGGACCTACCCGGCTGTATGTTAGGTTTTGTCTTTAGCAGTTGTATTCCATTTAGAAATTGTGTTGAAAAAGCATTCTTAGAACAATGCATGGTTTACACTTATTACAATTTAGGTATATAATATTGACGTGATTCTACTGGTCTGGTAATCACATATGACTTTTAAAGTTGGGAAAACAAAGTTTGGTAAAGCACTTCTGCTTTCTGAGTGTATGGTGGAAGATTTACCAAGTCCAACTTCGTGGATGAACTGGACAGTGGTCTCCAGATCAGCGGGTGTCCTATACAGTTTTTCCTTGTGTAAATGTATAGGGGCCAGTGTTTAGATCGCGCCTGGTTGCACAAGGGGCAGTCCTGTAGGACGTGCATTTGTCGGGGCCATGCCACAATGGCAAGTTTCGCCAGACCCAACTTTTTGTTTTTTTTATACATGTATAGTTTCTGACTTGCGGCCCGCTCTGAGTCTGAAGATAATGTTTTATGAGTGTTAATCTGTAAAATCCGTCGTCTTTTTTAAAGTTTTGGGTGCATCTCAGACTACTTTTGAGATTGTTTTTATAACTCTTTTGGATGTGATGTAGGGTTATTTTTTCTTTTCCCAGCTGGTCCATGTTCTCATTTCCTTATATCTGAGTGGCCCAGCATCCACCGCAGCACAATCAAGCTGCAGATATTGTTTAGCCTTTCAAGGGCTGCTGTCCTGAGTGATTGAGTATAGGGTTCTGAATTTTTTTAGGGACTGCAAGACAGATTTAGCATCTGTATGAAAGAATGTGTATATGAGGATTCATTGTGATGGTAAAGCACTGACATGTATTTAAAATACAAATAATTGACCTCTTAGTATCAGAGGCGTAGCCACCCTCGGGAGCAAATTTTCATTTTGCTGCACCCCCACCCCCTCAAACTGTTTATAATGCAAAAATGCAGCTAAAATGACATTTTAATTTGTTTTTACAACCCATTTTGGCGCCCCCTAAGGTCGGCGCCCAAAATATGTACCCCCCTGCCCCCCATCGCTACGCCTCTGCTTAGTATGCTGTACAATTTAAAAAAAAAACAACTAAAAAAAATTAAATAAAAAATAAATGGAAAGTTTAAAATATTTTATACATAATTTATTTGAATTTTGTATAGAAAAGAAAGTGTCATACGTTAACAGTCCTTAATATTGAACTGCCTGTTTGAAATTAAAAATGTACTAAAAATTATTTAGCATACTAGAATCTTAAGTCATGTCCAATCTGTTTTTAAAATGTTATTTTCTACAAACAGGGATTATACAAAGAAATGAGATCTTTAAATAGTTTGCCATAAGACACTGAATGTATCAATAAATAAGCTAACTTGTATACAAATGTATAAAATGATACTGTTTACTCTGATGGACAATGAGTTAAAAATTTAAACTTATTTCAATTATAAATATATATTGAGCAAAAATAGAATTTTATTTAGGCAGATGGTAGGGATTCTTTAGATGAATGATGCTAGCTGGATGTCTTAAACACTATATAGTGTACATGTGATCCAAAAGATGGGGGGAATCAAATGAAGTATAATGACATTGGTGTTGAATCTGTGATTGTCAAGACTGTCCATCAAGAGATTGCTTACACAAATATTGAAAGATAACATCCATAGAGCCACAGGACAACATGAGCTAAGACAGAGAGAACCTGTAGCAGGGACCAACCCTTTTATCACAATATTTACAGCATGCCCTAGCCCTGCCACTCTAACACTAATCCACAGCAGTACAACAGCTAATGCCTTCTTTACTCAGTTCACTGGTACATTTTAGCTTTACTCAGTTCAGTTACATTTAGGGCATATAAAAAAAAAAACCCTCACTACAATAGAAAAAAAAAGAGCCCAGACAGATAAATACCAGTCATCATCTGTTGGTTTCATAAACATGACTGATGAAAAAAGGAATAGGGTAGTTTTTGATTAGAATAGGTTAGGTGATGAAATAATACATTAAAAATAAAAAAAATAAATCATTCATTCAATAAAAAAAGCTTGGCTGGAGGTGTTCACACCACAAATGGAGATGCCATGAAAAAATGAGCTCAAGAGTCCTGTAATGAAGCTCTGAGTATTTGATGGGAATATTCCTGGGTTAACAATGCTGGATAACAATTGCATTCAACTGCAGGCGTTAATGCTGCCCTTGGATTTGCTGTAGTATAACAAATGGCACAATATTCATAAGCAACAGTAAGATTTCATTCTTTAAGTCTGACTACATCAAATGATTTTTTCCTTTAAAAATCAATGCTTGAAAAAAAAAGTAAGGAATTCTTGTAGCCATTCTAAGTTGGTTGTATGTTGTGACTGAGGCCATGTCAAATGCTGTTATTTGGAAGAGTAGGTTGATTGTGGGCTATATGACTCAGTAGTCAGCTCTGGTGACTAGTGAAAAATCTGGCAAATACACAAGCTAGAGGCACTTGCATTGACTGACAATAAAACAAGCATGCATCAAGACAGCTTAACTGTCATCTGGTCATTTCCAGCCAAAGTTTGTATAAACTACCAGTCTATGTAAAGACAAGGCTGTAGTCAACAACAAAGTATTCAATGTCAAGTAGTTGAAGGTCTCAAGTACACAACACACTAGAGATTTGATACATCTCTCAAGTACACAACACACTGGAGATTTGACACATCTCTCAACTACACAACACATTGCAGATTACACTGTGGTCAGCTGCTCCACTTTTTGCTCCAAATCCTGTCATGGAAGAAAATAATATCAGTAGCTAACTCAACAACAGCAACTGGCATTTATAAAGTCAAATCTTCAAAAAATTGGCTGACTAGCAGATTATCTATCTCAATCTATTTTCTAAGATTTGTTTCTTTTCACTTACAAGCACAAACTCTCAAGAAATGGACTTACCACAATCATGAGACTTCTGTCATAGCTCCCTCTGTGTCTGTAGATAATTAAACTCAGGCTACTGTACAGTTTTTCTAAACGCTCCACATTATATCCATCAGTTTTTGCCACCAGCTCATTTAATAAAGATGTCAACCGACATAAATCTATTTCAACTTTTTTTTCCACCTGGTTACTGGCCCTGCTGGAGTTACAGTTCTGATTGGCATCTGAAGGAAGAAAAACTCAATTTACTCTTATAGTTCTTGGTGATGGGTGACTTGCTATAGATTCTAATGTAGCTATCTAGATTGCTCTTATAGTTCTTGGTGATGGGTGACTTGCTATAGATTCTAATGTAGCTATCTAGATTGCTCTTATAGTTCTTGGTGATGGGTGACTTGCTATAGATTCTAATGTAGCTATCTAGATTGCTCTTATAGTTCTTGGTGATGGGTGACTTGCTATAGATTCTAATGTAGCTATCTAGATTGCTCTTATAGTTCTTGGTGATGGGTGACTTGCTATAGATTCTAATGTAGCTATCTAGATTGCTCTTATAGTTCTTGGTGATGGGTGACTTGCTATAGATTCTAATGTAGCTATCTAGATTGCTCTTATAGTTCTTGGTGATGAGTGACTTGCTATAGATTGTTATGTAGCTATCTAGATTGCTCTTATAGTTCTTAGTGATCGGTGACTTGCTATAGATTCTAATGTAGCTATCTAGATTGCTCTTATAGTTCTTGGTGATGGGTGACTTGCTATAGATTCTAATGTAGCTATCTAGATTGCTCTTATAGTTCTTGGTGATGGGTGACTTGCTATAGATTCTAATGTAGCTATCTAGATTGCTCTTATAGTTCTTGGTGATGGGTGACTTGCTATAGATTCTAATGTAGCTATCTAGATTGCTCTTATAGTTCTTGGTGATGGGTGACTTGCTATAGATTCTAATGTAGCTATCTAGATTGCTCTTATAGTTCTTGGTGATGAGTGACTTGCTATAGATTGTTATGTAGCTATCTAGATTGCTCTTATAGTTCTTAGTGATGGGTGACTTGCTATAGATTCTAATGTAGCTATCTAGATTGCTCTTATAGTTCTTGGTGATGGGTGACTTGCTATAGATTCTAATGTAGCTATCTAGATTGCTCTTATAGTTCTTGGTGATGGGTGACTTGCTATAGATTCTAATGTAGCTATCTAGATTGCTCTTATAGTTCTTGGTGATGGGTGACTTGCTATAGATTCTAATGTAGCTATCTAGATTGCTCTTATAGTTCTTGGTGATGGGTGACTTGCTATAGATTCTAATGTAGCTATCTAGATTGCTCTTATAGTTCTTGGTGATGGGTGACTTGCTATAGATTCTAATGTAGCTATCTAGATTGCTCTTATAGTTCTTGGTGATGGGTGACTTGCTATAGATTCTAATGTAGCTATCTAGATTACTCTTATAGTTCTTGGTGATGAGTGACTTGCTATAGATTCTAATGTAGCTATCTAGATTGCTCTTATAGTTCTTGGTGATGAGTGACTTGCTATAGATTGTTATGTAGCTATCTAGATTGCTCTTATAGTTCTTGGTGATGAGTGACTTGCTATAGATTGTTATGTAGCTATCTAGATTGCTCTTATAGTTCTTGGTGATGAGTGACTTGCTATAGATTCTAATGTAGCTATCTAGATTGCTCTTATAGTTCTTGGTGATGGGTGACTTGCTATAGATTCTAATGTAGCTATCTAGATTGCTCTTATAGTTCTTGGTGATGAGTGACTTGCTATAGATTCTAATGTAGCTATCTAGATTGCTCTTAGTTCTTGGTGATGAGATAAGTGACTTAGATATTAAATACAGATTCTAATGTATCTAGTTCTATATACTACTAAAATTCAAGTTGTTGACATGTTTGTATATTTATTTGTTTGTTTGGTTATGTGACAGCATCTGCACTATGTGTAGAACTGTAAAATACATGGGCCTATTTATGTAGAGAATAATGTTTTTTTTTTTTTTTTACCAAACTTTTAAAGAAGTTAATTAATTAATTGATATATTCATTGGTAGAAACACCATTTAAATTATAAAAGTTCAGAACTATTACTTTACTGTGATGTCACTTGATTAATTTACTTATTTTTCACAACTAACAATGAAACATGGTGGCTTCCATGGAAGACTATGTTGCCTACTCAAATGTTTAATGCATAATAAAAAACAAATTATTGAGTTTGTTTATCTAACTATTTTAGTCTTAAAATATCTGATATAAATCTTTACTTTTTAGCTTGACAGATCATCTAATTTGGGAATACAAGGAATTTACCTAGAGCTACAATAAACTAGACTTAAGCCAGCCATAGATTGTAGATCTAGTTTTCTAGATCTAGATCAATAATGAGTTTCAAAACTTAACTATTTCAGGCCATAGTTATTTTTACATAAATCTGTTTGTTTAGCAATGGAATTGGCTAAATTCGGATATAATTAAATATCAAATAATATTTGCGCAATTTAACTTTATTAATATTAAATGATGCTAAGTAAATTACCCCAATAAATTTGCACTTTACTGTATATGCCCAGCTGGTCAAGATGATAGTGTAACATTTACCATGCGGGTGGTACGGCTTCGAGACACTTCATGTCATGGTTAATATCTTTTTTCAATTTTTTTTTTTAGATGAATGATAGAGTTGCCTATCAGGACTGGTGGGACACAGTGCAGGTGAAGTAGTGTTCACCTGTTTCTGTGACCTCAGCATATGAAGGGATAGTATGCTCAGCCGAAATCGATGTTTTTAAAAGACAAACACATGTTGTCTAAGTGAATGTGGGGGTCTGGCTTTTTGTGAAGACGTGTGACAGTAGGAAGGGAAGGGGAAAGATAAAAATTGTCAAACAAATGTGATGTCATTCATGAGTAACCCCGCAAACACACGGTTATCCAAGAATAACGGGTAGTCTAGTTGCTCTTACAGTTCTTGGTGATGAGGTAAGCGACTTGGATATTAAGTACAGATTCTAATGCAGAATGAGAAAATTGGATAAATACCTGCAACTGTTACAGAGGTTGACATTTTGCAGTTTTCTCCCTAAATGAAAAAAAAAAACCCCCAGTTAAAATCTAACATTCTTTCACATGTTGAACTAACCTTCCCAACCCCTAAGCTTTATGGTACACATACATTTTGCTTAGATATTTCTTTATAAAAAAAGGGTATAACAAAACTCAAAACTCACCTCCACCTTAGGGTGTTCTATACTGTCCCTGGAGTCTCCATTACTATCCAGTGAACTGCCTATCCCACTGTCTGTGACTACATCCAAGTCAAGCCTCTTGACTACACTACATTTCTCAGGGCCTTCTGTTGCTTTCATGGGTGCAGCAGATCCAGTGCTCCCTGCTTTCAATTTAGATAGATCAATGGCAGTTGAGACATTCACTGCCAAGGAACTAATAGCTTTTTATTATCATGGGTTATAACTGTATGGTGATTTGAGAACACAAAGAGCCCAAGATTTCTGCTAGAATTAGAATCAAACATATCCTACCTGCAGTTTCTTCTATACTTTTTGCTAGAGTTGTCTGTTCCCCACTTGTTTGTACTAACTGTTTACTCAACGTGTGACTAGCTTCAGCTGTAGGACTCATACTACTTCTTCTGGTCACCACTCTGGGGCTGATGGGAGCATGTTTTAATCTTGATGAGCATCGCCCTGGACTCTTCAAATCTTTTATATCAGCTGGAACGTGACAATGTGTTACATATCTCATCAGACAAATTTTCATTTGCGCCAAACAAAAAAAACTTAATATTCTAGTTTTAGCATGACTTACTTTCTTGGAGTGCTGTGTCTATTTTGAGGAGTTCAATATCTGTCTGTTTGGGGGAGTTTGGCTTGCATTCTTCATCTATTTCTTCACAACTCATTTCTTCTTCATTATCTTCCTCTCCACTGGCCTGGCGAGACTGAGCTTTTAAAATGGTCAGTTTTCTTCTCTTTCTGCGGGGTTTGCACCACACACATTTGTTTTTCTTACTTTTATTGGCAGAGGTCAAATGGGGGCTTTTCTTAGGTATACTGCCATCTTTATCAGCAGGGGATGACACAGCATTAGCCTTAGTCCTGTCTGAAGGTTGGTCCACTGGGGATGTTACAGCATGCGTCCTCTCATCACTCCTGCCCTGTGAGCCACCATCACAATCATTGCCATTGTCTTCTCTGGGTGGAGATGATGTAGCTCGGGACAGCTTGAAAACCTTTTCAACAGCCTCTAAAGGTGGCACTGGGTCTATGTTGAGTCCCCTGACACGACGACTGTAGCGCTCACCTTCAGGTTTTGGTATTGAGCGGCTTTGTTTTGGATGTTCTAAATAGTCTGGGATTACAGCTTGTGACTTGGGCAGCTGGCTGTTTGGCTTGGTATAATAAAAGTTGGGGACAGTTGTGGATTTTTGGCCTGTTCAAAATTTGGATGAAAAATATATCAATGACTAAAAAGCATAACCTTATTTGAAAACTGCCAGTAGCCTATATTATCTCTTAATTCTATACTGTATTGTTAAACTAACCTCTTCTCTTTCTTGACTCTTCAATTTCTACACATGTTTTTTCAAAATCTTTATCCAACTCAGTTTTAATGATGGCATAAGCAGTATCCTTCAGAGCACAAGCCCTGTGGCGAATAACTCGATCTAAAAATAGTTTTTAGAGGGATTGTAATCATTCAATTTATTAAATTATAAGTGGTTTACAAGATAACACTACAGCTAACCAGGAACTCCCAGTGTTTTTTTTTTAAATACAGTATTTGACAATCTTTATGTCCAGACAACTTCACAGCTTGGCACTAGCAGTATAATCAACAGCCTAAAGTGTGGGCACCAGCAGTATAATCAACAGCCTAAAGTGTGGGCACCAGCAGTATAATCAACAGCCTAAAGTGTGGGCACCAGCAGTATAATCAACAGCCTAAAGTGTGGGCACCAGCAGTATAATCAACAGCCTAAAGTGTGGGCACCAGCAGTATAATCAACAGCCTGAAGTGTGGGCACCAGCAGTATAATCAACAGCCTAAAGTGTGGGCACCAGCAGTATAATCAACAGCCAAAAGTAAAGCTCAAGTCAAGTTTTCTAAATTAGCTTATGAAAGTAAAAACTTGTACAACTTACCCATTGGTCCTCTATTAGGATTGTATTCTAAAGCATTTGAACAGATGAGGTCAATATCATTCATAAATGAGCGCACAGTTCCATACTCATGAAGGTCAATTTTCCCCATCATAGTAGACAAATCCATTGGGTGTTCAATAATTTCATAATAATCAGGAGCCTAAATATAAATTACAGGAGCTAAATATATAAAAGTTTTAACTACAATTTTTCAGCAGCCTAAATATATAATATTAAGTTTTAATAAAAGAATCAACTCCCTCAGCTAAATATTGTCAAGCAGTATACAAAAATTAGGGTATTTGTTGAGAGAAACTTACATCATCAATATTAACAGGCTTGGCAAAAATGGAGAATTTCTTGTCACTCCCCAGTTTATTTAGTACATCCCTGAGAAAGATGCGAAGTTCCATTAGTGTTAGCTCTTCCTTTTCCATGAGAAGATTGACTTCTTCTTTTGTCAGCTCCCTGGCTTTGGGTGGGGCAGCTTTGGGTAGAACCTCTAACATTCTCTGTGCTGCAAACACAAAACAACTCAAGTACATAAGCAAGCATTGCCTTGTTGACTAGCTCAAATACCAAACCTGGGTAGCATCAGATGGTAGAGGATTGTTGGACCATGCACAATTCTATTCTTTCTTAAAGGGTCAAACTTCATGTTTTAGAACAGATGAGAAGAAATGATGCTCTTACTTCTTTTCTAAATTATCAAACAATTTGATGTAACCCAAAAAAAAAAAAAAAAAAAAAAAAAAAAAAAAAAAAAAAAAAAAAAAAAACAGACAACCCAATGTTACATCAATGATACAGCAGCATGAGGGAAACTTGAAGAAATAAATAACAAGTTCTATCAAACAAATTAATCTTCAATATTTCAACAGAAACTTCAACTAGAAAGCAGCAACAAACTCCAACCATTACCAGTGTGAGCACGTTTTCTTGGACGCAAGTTATAACATGATATTTGACTATGTGGTGTTCTCTGATGTAAATCTCTGAGGTTAAGAGGTAAGACAGTGGTGTGCTGGTGCTCAACACCTCCCTTCTTGTACAACATTTGAGATGATCCAACAGACATCAAACTTCTTCTCCTCAAGGACTTGTCAGATGAAGACAACTTGCAGGAATGGCTGCACTGTGGCACTCCAGCACATTTAGACTGATACAAAGCGGCATCCAGTTTTTGCAAACGTCTTAAATAGCGTAAACGTCTTGCACTTATTGAGCCATCTCTTGCTTCAAGAACAGAATGCTCAAATCCTGGTTTCAGTGGCACGAGACTGTATGGGTGATGGGGTGCTGGCTTGTTAGAGAGAAAAATACAGGGTCTCTTAAATGCTGGAACAGAACCTCTGGCTGACTGATTACGGTTCAGTCTGCCTTGGTGAGCTCGTCGTGATCGCAGGACCATTCTATGGAGTGGTCTGACATGCCGACTTGCAGCACATTTCACTTCAGACACATCTACCAATCCATTATTTGATTCTTTCTTTGAAACTTTTGGAAATGAACCTTTCATCCTTTCTTTACTTAGGCGAGTGCCTTCATGGAAAGGATACATACTGCCAGGATGAGGCCCTTCCATTTTCTTACGTTTTCGCTTCGGTTTGGATATTTTACGTACTATATTAGCTTTTTTCTCTTCGTTTAGAAGTCTAAGAAAATCTCCTGAAAAAATATGATTGTCATGTTTCATTTGTATGAGATAGAGCAAACAAGTCATACAAAGTTATAAGACTGAAAAAAAAAACGGCCTTAATTTTTTACTTTCTTGTATACAGAGTAAAGAGGAAGTAATTTTTTTTTACTGTTTTCATCGGTTTACACCTCAATACTTCATCATATATGGAGTATCAGCGACTTATTTTAATCGGGCAAAAATAATTAATGCAGATTTATAAAAATTTCAGCGTTCTATGCGTAATCGAGTCAGAAAAACTGGGTTTTGCAATTCTGTCAGTATGTCTGTAAACATGACAACTTGAGTACCATTACAGCTAGGTTGATGAAATTTCATATACAAGTATTATATCAAATTAGTAGTTCTGTATCAACTTTTCAGTGATTTCCGGTAACCGGACTACTATTTCAGATAAACAAAATTTAAAAGATAAGTAAAATATCTAATTCTCTGCATTCTGTCAAATTTTGAGTAATTTTCATTGATCGGAAGTTGTAATTTACTTCTGATTTCTCAAAAACGCATGTGAATTTATTCAGTACTAATAATATTCCGCACTATTATACACATATTGTTTGGCGTTCACTTGGTGCGCGATTCTTTTTTTCTAAATTTTCTATTCTATTTTAAAAAGTTTAAGGGGGGACGGGTAGTGAAAACATTTTCTCACAAATTATAAGATACATGCTTTTTTGAAATTGTATTAACTTTAAAATACTTTAAATATTATAACACTATTTATTTGAGTTAATTTATACATTTTTAGAGAAAATTAGGGTCAAATTGAACAATTTTTATGTACACAGTAGAAACAAAATGACTAAAAAAATAATTAAAAACAATGCAATATAACTTTGCACATTCCTAGTAGACACAACAAAGTACGGTTTGTCAAAGGGAAATTTTGAAATCTTACAAAAAGAATTTTTTGTGAAATTTTAAAAATGAATTTAAAAAAACAAAATGAAGCTTTATTGTCTAAACATTTTATCATATAAATGTATGTATTAGCAAAATAATTAATAACCTTAATAAATAATTACTTTTCCGATATTATTGGGGTAAACAGCAAATTACATCACTTACAAAAAAAATATAATAAAAAATAAAGTTTGATGCCAACCTTCACCAGATATCAAAATAAAAAAAAATATATAAAAATGATTTTGAAGAAAGTTGACTACCACTTCCTCCTTAAGTAATTAAAAACGGATAAAAAATCATGTCTATATTCAGAGTTGCCGAATTATATAAGAATATTTGAGAAATTTTAGGGGAGATCACATCCGGTTTAATTACTAACTATTCAAGTAAGCATCAATCATGGTAAAGAAAAAAATACTCATCAGGATAGATGTAGATATTTGCTTAGACAGAGGTTAGAATTTAATGTCCCATTGTGTGATGTCTGGTATCCTACAGAAAGGCCAACTTTGGGTAAAAACCAGGCCAATGTTTGTTCCAACAAAGCCATTTGTAGTCTTTACGTTAGACAAATTATCATAATTTCATTATTGAGGTTATAACCAGATAAGCCTACCCCTGACAACCCTAAAGTAGGAACAGTATTTTTTAAAATCCACAGTTGCTTAACCAATAATAATCTTAAATTAATATAAACAAAAACATGCGTATATACTTCATGGGAACAGGGCATTTCCCCCCTGTCAATTACCCCCCGGACATTTCCCCCAGAGTAATTACCCCCCCTGTCAATTACCCCCCCGCCCAGTAGGACATTACCCCCCCGGACAGGGTTAGAGTTAGAGCTATTGTTATGGTTAGGGTTGTGTCTAGCGTTGGTTTTGGTTTTGTGTGAAGTTTTAGGCTAAGGTGGATGCTTTGGTTTTGGTCTTTTTTTAAGGTTTGGATTAAAGTAGTATAAAGGTATAGATTTCTAGTTAGAGTTAGGATTCTAACTTAAGAGAGGGGGGGGGGGGGGGGGGGGGGGGGGGGAGGAAAATTTCCAGGGGGGTAATGTCCTGTAGCCATACTTCATATATATATTTTGATAAATCATTGCTTTAATGTAACAGTTTGAAGAGTTTTGCAGTATACACTCTAAGTCTTGAAGGGCTGCATCAGAGTGAACTCTTTCAGTGGCATCTCCTGATCTTGACTTTGCTATAAGCAATGCTTCAATTGTCTCATAACTTATTCCGCTTCTAAATTCACTTACGCATAAGTGAAATTATTCTTTCGCAATGTGCAGAAGAATGTGGTACTGTAAAAACTGACATTATTAATGTTGACAAATTGCAACCTCTCCATCCACTTTTAACTTGCCTATTTCAGGCCACGTGGCATCTAATCTTTCTTGTAAACAAGACTTATATAATAAAAATTCAAGCTTAATATCTGCAACTGTAACAGCTTTAGGTAACAATGCTGGAAACCTATTGAGGAAATATTCCTGTGTAAATACAGAAGATCAGTCTGATTGTTGACATCTGCCACTTCCACATGCTTTAGTAATTCATCATGCAGAGGAATATACATTTTACAGCACAAGTCAAACATTTCTTATCACCATCATCAAAAACAGCCAATCTTTCATCCCTCAAATGGAACTCCTCTTTTCTTGAAATAAACTCCAAAGCTTCCTGTCCTATATAAAGGTCTACATTTTTGTGGACATCAATTTTCACTTCAATTATTTTTCATTGCTGAAAGCTCAACAAAATGAATTAGTAAAGATCTCAAAGAGCTTAACTCTTCTAACCCGATGGATCTTGGGTGCATTTTTTCCTGATCATTTTCTTTTCTTTTTAAATAACTTCTATGATTATTTAGAAAAAAAAAGCTGAACAAACTGAGTCAAAATCGGAATGGCAGAACAAATTACTTTTCACGTTGAAAAAGAATGATTCTGCTTTTGGTGGGACGGTAGGCATGTCTACCATACCAATAAGGGCTTCCATTAAATCTGGTAAATATCCTAAATGCCAGCATCAAGTTTTATATTGACCACTTGGCACCATCAAGACAAAATAAAAAGTTAGCCTACCTGCTTGTTTTTTCTTTGGTGGTGGTCGGGCAGTTTGTTTGAGCAGGAGGTCTTGGAAAAATGCTCTCCTTTCTTCCAGATTTGCATCTCTCATCTCTACAACCTCACCAGATGCTTCACAAAACAGGGACTGGAGCTAAGAGAAAAACATACAGCCTGACCAGATGACTGGAGCTAAGAGAAAAACATACAGCCTGACCAGATGACTGGAGCTAAGAGAAAAACATACAGCCTGACCAGATGACTGGAGCTAAGAGAAAAACATACAGCCTGACCAGATGACTGGAGCTAAGAGAAAAACATACAGCCTGACCAGATGACTGGAGCTAAGAGAAAAACATACAGCCTGACCAGATGACTGGAGCTAAGAGAAAAACATACAGCCTGACCAGATGACTGGAGCTAAGAGAAAAACATACAGCCTGACCAGATGACTGGAGCTAAGAGAAAAACATACAGCCTGACCAGATGACTGGAGCTAAGAGAAAACCTTTCATTCATTCATTCCTCTAGCATTTTACTTCTCTACATGTTATCAGTGGCCTCCCAAGTTTTAACACATTTGAGATAGGCACCATTTGAATCAATCATTTCTTAGGTCAGAAACTGTTGTAAATTCTGATTATCCCAAATGTTAGAATGACAGAAATTCTTCTTTAATATTCTTTTTTATTATTGGTAATGTACGACCATTTATTACACCATTTTACTAATTTCTCTTAAAGTACCAAACCAAAAGGAAATTGACAAAATGTACCTATAGCAGTGCTTTTATAGGAATTTCTGAAGACACAGAAAGAAGGGAGAACTACGCCAATACATACCACAGTGTCTAAGGTGTAGTATGGTTGTTCACTAGTAGCCAACAAGAGAAGAGGCAATGATGGGTTCAAATCCTGAATAAGAGTAAGTAGTGTAGCTCTTAAAGTTTCTGCCATCACACCCCACCACTGGTCAACGTAAGGAATATATATGATGCTTGGACACTTGCGCTTTGCCTCATGAAATACCTGCATCAGAATTGGTGACATTAAAACTTCATACAAGAGAAGCTTATGTTAGGTAAGGACAATGCAGTGGACATAAGGATAGAAAAATGTTGCCTGACTGGCTAAGGAAAAAAACATCTTGTTACATAACTAAAGAAACCTAAACACATACATTGGCACACGATTCCTCAGGAGTTTTAGCAGTAACAGCATATAGTGTTGGCAGGTCTAACACATGAACTGGCAAACTCTCCAATCTATGTAGGACAGCTGGTGCTATATAGGTGGTTTGTCCTTGGCCTTCTCTACCCACCAGCATCAGTCTTGGTCGAAATGTAGCAGGGCGACTGGTAGCATAACTGTCAAGTATTGTAGACAACTTGTTAGCCTAGTATGTCTGGTAGCAGAACTGTCAAGTATTGTAGACAACTTGTTAGCCTAGTATGTCTGGTAGCATAACTGTCAAGTATTGTAGACAACTTGTTAGCCTAGTATGTCTGGTAGCATAACTGTCAAGTATTGTAGACAACTTGTTAGCCTAGTATGTCTGGTAGCAGAACTGTCAAGTATTGTAGACAACTTGTTAGCCTAGTATGTCTGGTAGCATAACTGTCAAGTATTGTAGACAACTTGTTAGCCTAGTATGTCTGGTAGCATAACTGTCAAGTATTGTAGACAACTTGTTAGCCTAGTATGTCTGGTAGCATAACTGTCAAGTATTGTAGACAACTTGTTAGCCTAGTATGTCTGGTAGCATAACTGTCAAGTATTGTAGACAACTTGTTAGCCTAGTATGTCTGGTAGCATAACTGTCAAGTATTGTAGACAACTTGTTAGCTTAGTATGTCTGGTAGCATAACTGTCAAGTATTGTAGACAACTTGTTAGCCTAGTATGTCTGGTAGCATAACTGTCAAGTATTGTAGACAACTTGTTAGCTTAGTATGTCTGGTAGCATAACTGTCAAGTATTGTAGACAACTTGTTAGCCTAGTATGTCTGGTAGCATAACTGTCAAGTATTGTAGACAACTTGTTAGCTTAGTATGTCTGGTAGCATAACTGTCAAGTATTGTAGACAACTTGTTAGCCTAGTATGTCTGGTAGCATAACTGTCAAGTATTGTAGACAACTTGTTAGCCTAGTATGTCTGGTAGCATAACTGTCAAGTATTGTAGACAACTTGTTAGCTTAGTATGTCTGGTATCATAACTGTCAAGTATTGTAGACAACTTGTTAGCTTAGTATGTCTGGTAGCATAACTGTCAAGTATTGTAGACAACTTGTTAGCTTAGTATGTCTGGTAGCATAACTGTCAAGTATTGTAGTCAACTTGTTAGCTTAGTATGTCTGGTAGCATAACTGTCAAGTATTGTAGACAACTTGTTAGCTTTAAATGTTTTCCAACAAATATAGGAGAAGTGTTACCTAGTAAAATTAAGATAGTGAGGAACTGCTGATGTACTTGGTCCCGCTTCAAAATTTGATGTATGGATTTTATGTGAGGTAGTAAATATTGAAGGAGCTTCTTCATCTTCATCACTTGCTAAGTCCTCCAGTAGTAAACCGCTTTCTGTCAAAACCTGGGCTTGATCCACTGTTGCTACAAGAACATAGAAGTCCACAAATTATTACAAACTTTCCCGCAACACCTACTTCTCTTAAGACTCAGATATTAAATACATTTAGTAGCTAGACATAAACCAATAATAATAAATTTAATATTTAAATATTACTACTACTGGATACAAAAAAAATATTCTGCAAGATTTGAGTTACAGGATGTAAAAACGGTTACTTGGACACATCAATAACAGATGGATTTCTTGCTTAGTCTCCAGACATGGCTAAGAAATGACAGTGCTGGTAAAGCTGACAGTTATTTTTACCTGCTGCATCTAATGAGGAGAGTTGTGAAAGACAAGGTGGGAAACAATCAGCAAGTTGATTTAGAACTTGGTTCAGCTGATGTTGAAGCAACGGTGCAACCCTAGAAGACAAGGCTCTTGCTGGAGTATTCACAGAGCGTTGGGAGGTAGGAATTATATTGTTGATAGCACTGAGAATAAAAAAAACAATTAGCGTTGGGAGGTAGGAATTATATTGTTGATAGCACTGAGAATAAAAAACCAATTAGCGTTGGGAGGTAGCACTGAGAAAATATTTATAAATTAATCCTAATGGAAGATAATTACTTTCAAATAGTGAGCAGTGCTATTGAAACTTGATTGTATTGTTTATACATTAAGTTTGTAACTGATTAACACACTTTACTTCAACTTCTTAAAATATTACATTTCTAATTTAAAAACCAAACAAAAATAAACCCAAAGTAACTCAACAGACGAAACGCATGTCTATGGTTATTTTAATAATTATGACCTGGTCCCCTCTTAGTCAACTGGGCTATTGCCATAAGGGAAGAGAACTTAAGTTTGTTGTAAAATGGCTTACTCAAAAAAATCTTTGGCAGATATATTAATGGAAGAAACATCCAGCTCTAAGGCTTCATTGGTCATGTAAATCTGAGGATATCTGCGCCGCAATGCCAGCATTGCAGCCTCTGTGCACAATGCCTTGATATCTGCACCACAGTAACCTACAATGACAAGTACTGGTATTAAAGATGAGACAACAGGAGTGCTTGAGTGGCTAACTCTAACATCTTTATTAGAGGTGAATTCTGCTGCTCACTGGCTAACTCTAACATCTTTATTAGAGGTGAATTCTGCTGCTCACTCTACAGACAAGGTTGACAACATTTGAAGCTGTAACAGAAAGCTTCCACTTTCTTTAGTAATCACTGTCTGTCCAGAACTCTTGACAGTTATAGGTCCACTCGTACACATGGTCAAGTTTTTTTTTAAAACCATCTAAGTTATCAAATTATAAAATGTGCATGACCCACATTAAAACTTTCTGTTTTGCCACAGTAAATTTTTGCAATACTTGGTCAAGTACTCACTGATAGATTTTACAATGTGAATCACATTTCTAAGCCCACATTTTCGCCTGGTTTCACAAACATCACCCCCCCTCCCCCCATAGTGTAAAAAACCAAGAATGCAGTAGCACAAAAGGCTATACATTTTATCAGATGTCTCTTTGCTGAAGGACTATGTGATACACTACAATTTTTTTCTAACAAATAAAATATTTTTCTTGCTAAATGATCAAACCATTCATGTTCATATATTTGCGGGCTTGCTTTTAAGTTTGAGGAAACAGATGCCATGTTAGAGAGCAGTTGGTTATACAAGGCAGGCCATATGAATGGTCTCAGATGGGTTTATACATTTTTTATTCTTGGAAAATTGGACTAAAAATAGCTCCTTATTGGGCAAATTTTACTGCATTTGATTTTTAATGTAGGCAACCCTCTTTACTTTGCATATCAGTCTACAATACTTTACAAGTGAAAAATAGCAAAGTTCTCCATATACTTTTACACATTCCTCTTAGGCTTATTAAGCCATAAATAATCTTGACTTACCAACACAACGTTCTGCTAATTCTGATATAAAAAATTCATTTAACTTTGGTCTCCAACTTGATGTATGAATGGTTAATATTTGCTTCCTTGCCTATAAAAACATGAACCAAAAAAAAAAAAAGATATTAAAATCTTGTTGCTTTAGTAATTGAGAAATGAGCAATTAAAAGAGTTACAGAACAAGCAAATCAAAGTTTAAGCTCTGACCTAAATTTGAATACATATATTCACCTCTAATGTTGGCAATGGAAACAAAAACTCTCTGTCAAATCGACCTGGGCGCCTTAAAGCGGGATCCAAGGAATCAATACGATTAGTTGCTCCTATGACAACAATTTCCCCTCGACTGTCCAGTCCATCCATCAAGGCAAGAAGAGTTGAGACAATTGAGCTGTGAATCTGATCTTGTCTGCTGGACCTCACTGGAGCCAGGCCATCAATTTCATCAAAGAAAATAATAGATGGACGATATTTGTAAGCCTAGAAGATAAAGTTTTTGCAATAGGTAACTTTTCACTCATCATAGAATTACAATAATCTTTAAGACTTAACCTCTGTGATATAATGAAAAACACTTACTTGGTCAAATAAAAGTCTTAGCTGCCTTTCGGATTCACCAACCCATTTACTCAAACAATCAGCACCCTTTCGCATGAAAAAGGCAACTCTTCTATCACCCTGAGAACATTCATTTGCTAAAGCTCGAGCTACTAAAGTTTTGCCAGTTCCTGTTGATGAAATTGAGAGGGAAGAAAAATCAAACAACAGAGCTAGGAAAAAAACTGCAGAAAATATTGGTCAAATCTTTTAAACTCACCAGGTGGTCCATAAAATAGTACACCCCGGGGAGGGTCGACATTAAAGCGTTCAAATACTTTATCATAAAGAAGTGGAAAAACAACCATCTCTTTTAATGCTCTGATGTGTTTCCCAAGGCCTCCAATACTGTTGAAAGTTACCTATGGAAAAAGAAATCAGTGTAGCATAACCATCTTGTGCCCACCCTGGGAGGGTTGTAGAGACAGATGTCAATATACACAAGTACTGGGACAGTTTGCCAATAGCATCAAATCAACTATTTAACCTTCCCCAACATGTAGAGATTCAGACATGCTTACCCCTGTCAGCCAAAAGTAGGAACAGTCATGCCTAAAAAGAGGAATTTGTAGCCAAAAAGAGGAACATACGCCCAGACGCTACTTTACTAAGTCAAAAATAAAAATAATTATTTTGGAAATTACTCTGACATTAGTAGGCTTCTAGTCATATATAACTAGTCTCTAGGCTACAATTAAAAACTGCTTAATGTCAGCTAACATTAAAAAAAAAAAAGTTAACCAGTAACCTGAGTCCCCCCCTCCCATAAAAACCATAGCTTTGACATAACATTATTGATTTGATTATTTATGCCTTGATAAATAAAAACCATAGCTTTGACATAACATTATTGATTTGATTATTTATGCCTTGATATGTTCTAAGCTATTAAGCTGTATGAATAACAAATGCTGAAGGCTTCATCAGAAGTAATATTAATATATAATATAAGTTAAGAGCTAAGCCGTCTAAAACCCTTGATCTACTACCTCTAGTAAAATCTTAGTTACTTCTAAGTTCTTCATAATAGTAGTTACTAGTTAAGTTACAACTACAAGATAGATCAGTATTCACTATTTCAGTATCTACTAGTAGATCTAGAATTACAATTCTAGATCTACTAGTAGATCTTTTCTTCTTCTTCGTTCTTAATTTTTAGTGTTTGAAGGGATCGAGCCTTATCTGCCAGAGGGTTTTAACTCGAGACTTTTTCGACTTTATCAACCATGACCTTTTTGCCAACTTGACCATGCCTCCATCACAATTAAGGATACGTTTCAACTGGTTATGCGCCATTGAGGCCATTGACTCCGATTTCAGCCTGCTTTTCTTTTTGGTTTTGCTCCCATAGCCTTAGTCCAACCAAGAACAAACTACAAGGCAGCAGTTGTTTTATTTTGGAGTTGTCTCTCCTAGAAGAGTGGCTGTCCCTTGCTAACAAGCCTCATCTGCCCGAGGGTTCAAACTCGAGACTTTTCGTTTTAGCAACCATGAGCTTTACCACGCCGACCCCTAGTAGTAAATACTTACTGAGATCTACTACTATCTAGAAATAAGCATGTTAGTCATGATTTTATTGTATTTTTTTAAGGCATAAATGAAATCTACAATTCAATTGCAAATACTAAAAAGAACGTTCACTAGCTAGATTGTCCACATTATCTATTTGTAGATCTGGCCTAGCTAGATCTAGTATTAGATAATACTTGTAAATGTTGTAAGTAAACTAGGAAACATACGCCAAAGGGAGATAATCGCTTTTCCATGCTTTTTTTCAATTCACCCTATTACATTTCTTTCTTTATTACTTAAAAAAAAAAACAAAAAAAAAACAAAACCCGGAACAAACTGAGTCAAAATCTGAATGACGGAACAAATTCCTTTTTGGGTGAAAAAGCGGGACGGTTCCAATTTTGGCGGGAAGGTAGGCATGTCAGAGATATGACCAATGAAGCACTTACATTTCTGTCAATAGTCATTGGCTCTACATCAGCAAGACTGGCCCCTGACTTGACTCTATCTTTGATAACACTGGAAGATGGCTGTGCATTGGTTGAAAAGTTCATTGGCATCATTCTGTACAAGAGTTGACAAAACTTTGATAAGCAACCATTGCAATAGCTCTATTGGCTCAATAAGTGAACACTGTCAAGTGAGAGGACAAGAGAAAATGTGAGTACATGCCTACTACGAGCTTTAGCCATGCTTTTAGCTTTACGCCGCTTGAAACTTTTTTCATCACTACTCTCACTCTCAGAAGATGAGGTAGAACTTGAACTAGAATGGAATGCTGACCGCTTTCTTCAACAGAATAGAAAACAATAACTGGCATAAAAATTGTATTGTTATCACGTCCGATTGCTTTCTGTTTACATTTTAATAGCATCTAAACATAAAACTAGCAAAATGTACCATAGTTTTTACCTTATATTTCTTCTTTGGGCAGGAGAATGATAGGTTTGATTTGCACTCTTTTTTGTAGGAGTCGATGCAAAGATGGAGTTGTGGATTCTTTTAATACGGGGCTCTGTTTCATTAAAGAAAAATGTGGTTGTTATATTAAGTGAAATAATTAGAACAGTGAAAGCAATAAAATTTATTAGGTGAAATAAAATATTTGTTATAAAATAGTCCGACCTTTGATAGGTGCCTTGTACAAGTCAGTTCTAGGCTTGTGTTCTCTTAAGGAATATGACTTGACAATAAGAGGCTGCTTCTTTTTCTTCATGGCATCTCTTTGAGGACGGCTGTTGCTATTGTTATTTCCATCATCTTTCTCTGTATCTTCCTCCTCTTCACAGTTTTCATCAGTATCATCGTCTTTATTATTACTTTTGTTACGCTTAACAATATCTAACATAATAAAATAAAATGTGTTATATATATTAATATTTAATTGACATGAACTAAAAACATAACTATTAAATAAGCTGGTAAATATCTGATAAACATGTAATAAAACTTGAACAAACATAAATTTTTGTATGTTGAATGGCTAAGCATTAAAATATTAAATTTCCTTACATGATGCAAAAATGTGCAAGGGTGTATATTACTTAAGTACAACTCATTGATATCAGAGAACTTTAAATGTTTGGATAAGGTCAATCAAGACATGATCAAAGAGTGACTGAAAAGAGAGGTAATCAGAGTTGGTGAGAAGGCTGAGATTCTTTTCAACAAGTATTCAAGGTAGTTACCAGGATCAGAATCTGAATCATCATTGATGGGAACGCCATACATATTTCGTTTGACCTGGACTCTTTTTCTTTTGACACGGCTATACATGTCTGAAAATTCCTGGAAAAGGAAACATCATCATCTTAATTTGAAATCTCAAGGGGATTAAAAAAAAAACAAACATAGAATCAAGTGAAGATTGATCTCACCTGATTATCCTCACTGTCTTCCTTATTATCTGAATTATCGTTTGCTTCATCAGACTCTAATTTTGAGCGACCTGGGATGCTAACGAGGTAAGATTGATTCAGTGTATCATACACCTGCAGAGTGGAAAGGTAAAATTCTGATTTAATGGTACTTAAACTAAAGCACGACAAGCCCCTGGGCAGCATAACACTGAGTTACAGCTGACTTGGCCCAGGTTCAAGTGAAATACAATTACAATAGTTTAATAGCACTGCCCACAAATGATTCAAGAACAAATATCTGTACCTGGCGTCGAGTGCGAGAACTTCTACGCCTTAAATTTTCTGCTTCCTCATCATCTAAAACTTGCTGGCGTTTTGTATACTTCCTTTTGCGTTTGGTTTCATTAACATGAGCATCATCCTCTTCATCATATGAAACTTGCTGTTTTGTATATTTTCTTTTGCGTTTATTTTCATTCACATCGTCCTCTTCATCGTCTGAAACTTGCTGTTTTATATACTTTCGCTTGCATTTATTTTCATTGACATTAGCATCATCATCATCTTCAGAGTACTGCTGTCCAACATTTGTAGGTTGGTCTGTTGCTTTTCCAGCTGATAAACGCTGCCTTAATCTTCCTGAGTTTCTTGCCCTACTTTCAGCACTCTGGTCCCAGTGAGTGATTCCACTGCTGTTATTATCTTCATCCTCTTCTTCTTCGGAATGGTCCTCATCTTGGTATGAAATCCTGCGTCTAGAAGTTCGCTTTGAGATATTGTCGTCATGTGCATTTATCATTTCCTGTTTGACTTGCCTGGACCTTGTATAATTGGTTCGCCGTTCAGAAGAATAATCCTGCACAGGTATGTGATGTCTTCTTCTTCTTATGGAATCTTAACATAAAAAAAAAAACACCACATGCATAAACTTTTACAGTGTTCAAACTAATACTAATTTTCTAGTAGAATTCCCACACTCATACGAAATTTGCTAATTATTCTAAGCACATTTGAGATAGTTTAATATATTTAATATATTAGTGTGTAAGTAAAGAATACCTTCATCTGAGGAATCTGCATCAAGATAGTTGTAGGCCCTACTGCAAAAATAAAAAAACTCAGTAGTGCACTAAGGTAAAATGACAGTATTCAGATCTAAAAGTCAAACAATGAACTAAAACTAGGAGTCAGACAACTATGTACACAAAGGTGGATGCTACTTAAAATAGTTTGTTTACACAGAATACTGCCTGCATATGTGGCAGGAATGCAGTCAATCATGCATACTGGCTATTTTAGACCTGAAAAGGCTTTCACTGCAGACAATGTTTTAAAGTGTCTAACAGTTTGAATGTTAAGAGGTTCTGTTCATCCATCTACCCAAATCTAATATTACTCTGTCTCTGTAATCTTTCAAGTTTCTGCCTATCAATCAGTCAATCAGTTATTGCTTCAACAGTTTAAAAGGATTCTAGTGAAATATTATGTAGCCTTATTAAGACTATAAATATAATCAACAACCGTTTAATACTCGTTTAATTTACATAGGCCCAGATAGTTAATCATCAGAAAGTTAATCAACAGATTAAATTACTTACCTTGGGCCAGTTCTAGGTCGTAGCCGAGATTCAACTACTTTTTCTTCAAATATATTGAATGCATTTCTATCCTCATCGTACGCTCTAGAGTGTGTATTCTCACCAGTCTGGAATGTAAAACGTATAGTCTCAAGACCCTAAAGGTTCAATCATTTACACACCATACATCCACCTCACCAGCCTACAGGTTCATTTGGTTCAAACATTATAAACCATACATCCATAAACACAGCTCCATAAACAAAAATAATTGTTTCAAGAACAAATACTGCCACTATTAGGATCCGGATTCTTATAGCCTTAGCTGCTATTTGGACCAGCCAGTAAAATTGTCAAGATTTAATTAAACAATAATTCTTTTAAGAGGCAGAATATGTTTTCTGCTGTGGTGATTTTTTTCTTGTAATTTCAAATGATATCTTGAGATCTTGCTTTTAATACCCGATATCATTCCTGACAATTGTCACGGGAGTCGTTAGGTCAATTATATATGGCCTATGATATGAGCTTCTCTGGCCGAGCAAATGTTAAGCGCGCATGTAAAAATGTGCTCAATTTTTTTCTTTTCTTCTGTTATTTTGATTTAAAAGGCCTATCAGTCCAAATTTTAGAAATAAAAAAAAAAAAAAAGGGATCCCGTTTTTTTGAGTATTGTGTTATAGTACACTTAAACAGAAGCAATAGAATTTATGAACAATGACGCCAAATATGTTTTTTCTCTTGCTGGGTGGGGGTGGGAGAGACAAATCTCAACAATCTCAAATAGCGATGGTCTTGCTATGACGTATGCTATACACCTACACTATTCAAATCAAAACCAATGTGAAATCACAGTGACCCTAGATAGACAGTGTTGGTATTTTTCTCGCGCTGACAAAAAAATCAAATCAATGGGAGAGACAAATCTCAACAATCTCAAATAGCGATGGTCTTGCTATGACGTATGCTATACACTTACACTATTCAAATCAAAACCAATGTGAAATCACAGTGACCCTAGATAGACAGTGTTGGTATTTTTCTCGCGCTGACAAAAAAATCAAATCAATGGAGCAAAGATGTTTATAATTGGCGTTTTTTTAAATCTAAATAAGATATAGACAAATCTTGTTGTTTTAAAAATATTTTAATTTTAATAGGCCTACATATTCTAAGAATATGTAGGCCTATTAAAATTAAAATATTTTTAAAACAACAGTTAGGAGATTTATTTGCACATTACATTAGAATGCTGTTGTTAGTGTATCAAAACTAAAAGACGGCGGATCGGGAAGAAGAAATATAACAATGGAGTCAATGGTGGCAACGCGACCTACATAAGGTGATTACTTTCAAATGAGTATTTACTAATTTAATTTTACTAAGTCAAAATATCCAATTAAAAAAAAAATACAATTAAAAAATATAAACGAGATGGCTGCTATAGTAAATGAGTATGGTTGCATCTGTTGTAAACATCGCTAGTCTTCATTTATTACTGAAAAGTTTTAACTCAGTTGTTTAAAAACATATAGATCTAGATCTACATAAATGTCGAAACAAGGAAACATTTTTGTATTTTTCAAAACATTAATCTCGCAAATTCTTATCATTATTTTAACACAAGATGCTAATAAAATGGATAATAGGCCTTAGAATACCAGAAAAAATCGCGAGAATTGTGATTGTAAATAATGAGAGGATTTCTAGTGGAGCACTCTCCGTATAAACTGAAGGTATAACGGGGAAAACGGCCCGTATAACAGTAGATTAATATATAATTGATATATTTACCATGTATATTACAGTATTATTGATTCTCTTTTCCAAAAATCCAATTACCCCGTAAGTAACCATGCGACAATTTCTCTCTGCTATTTTTAGTAACGCTGCATCATTGTTACGCTAGTTGCCAGACAGAAACAACTAGTTTTTGTTTTTTGCGGAATGAACTATTAAGTCTAGTATTTTAATTATAATTCAATTGTAGCATGTGCGGAAAAAGTAAAATTATGGACATTATTATTGTATTAGTAATTTTATTTGTATATTGATTTTTTTCTTCTCTGTGGGCCGACAGTAGCTGCATTGAATTTAATTCGTGACCGGTGGTTAACCTCGTCAACGCTGCGTGGCCTATTCGTTTCTATAATTAGTGATGCTTGTTCAGTGGCCTTTTTCAGAGCTAGACCTACTTACGGGCGATTTTAGACTTAATTGATCGGCCGTTAGCCTTTTTCATTGCTGCATATTTTAAAAATGCTCGTTCAGCGGCCTTTGTTTTTGGCGCTAAATAATCTGTTTACGGGCATTTTAAGCATTTTTTTTTTAAGCTAGACGCAGATCTAGTTAAAAAACAATTTTTTTATACAGCTGGCTGTCTAGCATGCCTGATATGTGAACTTAAAAAAAATGACCGAACTTTTAAAAAAAATGACCAGAAGTAGGGAAGTAGGTCTGTTTTTCAATTTGCTTGAAGAAGGGGGGGGGGGGGGAAGAGAGAGAAGTGAAGACAGACACCGACCATCTCATGTACACGTGTTCATTCTATGACGTGTACTATAGGCCTGCTGAACTCACAGTAACCCCGCGACCATGGTGGGATTTTTCATCCACAGGATAGTAAACGTAAGCAAGCAATCACGCGAGTGACGATGTTTGGAGATTTTATTTATTATCAACGAGTTGCTTTTAGTTATTTTCCGGTGAGTAAATAACCTAAGCTGTCGCAATTACCATGGCAGGAATTAAAAGCTCGTGTACAAAAGTCCACGACGTCATGTTATGCTGGTCGAGGGGCAAGAAAGCGATTTTGTCTGTCATTTTCCATTCTACGATAATTTTCAAATTCTCTCTTTTCTCGTCAACCGAGGAAGCTAGATATTTAAATGTGGTGTCAAATGTTCTCTTAAGGGGTAAGGAAGTTAATGGTGTATTTGAAATAACAGAATATTTTATTTTAAAAAATCCGATAATTCAACCTAGATCTAGAACTACTACTTTGGGTTTGTTTCTGTGTTAAACGGTTACAAAATAGCGCCCGATAAAAGTCGGGAGTTCGCTATGTGTGATCGGCTGTGGAACTTCACTCTATAGAATAGATCTAGAATTATAATTAATTAGGCCTATAATATTTAATCATATTTTAATCTATAGTCACTAGTCTAGTAGTCTAGTGAACAGACTCAATGACTCAACTAGCGGTACTAGCGCCTGTCGTCGACTGCTCGGGACTTTGATTAGATCTAGATCTAGTAAAAACTTACATCACCGCTTCTTGATGACAGGCGGTTTTTTTCAGTTGTAAGAGATAAAAAGGTGGTTGGTGATTCAACATCAATGTCACCACTATGTCTTGTTTTAACCATTTCCGAGCCTTTGTAGTTTCAAAGTCAACAAAGGGAAACCCAACGGATCATGATAACAAACGATCAAAATTTCAGATCGGCAAATCCAGATTTTTCTACTTAGACTAACCAAAACAAAACCAGTTCTAATCTCTAGGCCTATTTAGAATAAGAAAAATACTAGGCCTATCAAATATACTAAACAGTTCTAAGTGATGCAACAAGTTAAGTTAAAAGAAACTAGTATATATAGTCTATGGCTTATATATATATATATATATATATATATATATATATATATATATATATATATATATATATATATATATATATATATTCAGTTCCTCTTTACATATGCCCTATTTGTTGGACCAAATAAAGGGCTGGATGTTAAGCCTACTGCATAGAAAGTCCTATGATGTACATTTTAAAAAAATACTTAGCATTGTGAGCATTACTTAATTCTTAAACTGTTAGTAGGCTATAAATAAGAAACATTACAAAAAAACACATGAATACTTTCAAGTTTCACATATAAGTTTCTAAAATAGCACGAATCAAAACTCGGATACTTAAGAAGTATATCGAGGCAAAGTCATTGTTGCAATGGAGACTAGGATTCAAGTTACGATGAGTTTTGTGAGCATTCGTTCACTGTCCCGAACACAGACCGGTTGAATCGGATTTTTAAAGTTATTTGTGAAAATGGCACCACTGTGTAGGACAGCTATGAAAGCAAATGAACATTAAAGTTGGCTTGCGATAAAAAATTATTAAAATAATTGTTATTAAACAAAGGAAATAAGTCTAAATGACTACAATGCTATACTAAATTAAGGTTTTGATTTTTAAAAAAAGCTAAAACTGGACAGCTATTACATTTTGTGAACCACAACTGTAACAGGGATAAAACCGTACCGGTACTAGATTCTAGATCTAGATCTAATGCTTGAAAATTACAGTAAAGAAGGTAATGTATCTTTTCAAAGAAGTAAATCATAACATTGGAAATAATACCGAAGTAAATTTATATGCAGGCGATGTTGAAGATCATTTTCTACTTCATGTTTTTTAAGCGAAATTACAACTGGGCCTAAGCTGAACAATAACAAACAATTTGGCGCGAGATTTTGATATTAAAACCGGCTGCTGTAGAAAATCGGGAATCCCCAGAATCTCTCACCTGCCCCCCCCTACCCCCCTATCCTTTAGTTCACATGAAACTGGTGGTCCGCAAAGCGTTCTGTTTAGATGTATGTTGGTTTGTTTCATTTCTTTTTTAATTTTTGGCACGTCTTTTTATTTTGTGGAATAAAGTACTAAAAACGTTGTAGGAATGCTTCGACATTGATGGTCCTCGCCAGTGTTACTTCCAGACTTTTTTCCCCGGAGGTGGGGGGGGGGGGGGGTGGGTGGGTGGGCGGACACTGTTAAAAGTATATATTTTCTATATAAATTTAATTTCGTTCTGGGGGAGGGCGGTAGACTTTCTTCAGGGGGCGGAGGGGCGGAGGAGCCCCCCCCCCCCCCCCCGAAGAGATGCCTGGAAGAAACTCTGACATCAAGAGATGACAGCAAATGATAAGCAGAGGCGTAGTTGGGAGGGGGGGGGCGGCCGCCACGGGCGCCGACCCAAGGTGGGGAGGGCGCCAAAAGGGGTGGGAATTTATGCTACAGTTTTGAATTATAAACAGTCTAAGTTAAGAAATGTAATTGCTACAAACCTTGCCATACTGATTTAACTGTTTTCTACCTTGATTGTGTAACTGTAAAACATATACCTTGATTGTGTAACTGTAAAACATATACCTTGATTGTGTAACTGTAAAACATATACCTTGATTGTGTATCTGTAAAACATATACCTTTAAGAAATAGTGACCGGCAAAAACCGCTTTTCAGCTTTTCCTAGATGGGAGGGGGGGGGGGGGGGCTTTTTCGCGACCAAAGTCGGAAGAATTTACACTAGGCTAGATTGGTGAGTCGATAAACGTTACCACTTATAAAAGAAACCAATCGTATTAAAGCGTAATGTACGATTGTTCAACCGTAAAAAAGGGTAGTGACTTTTATCAAGATGGTGCAGGGGGGGGGGGGGGGGGTGGGGCGCTTTTTCGCTAAATAAAATCGCAAGGATTTACACTTGATCGGTGAGTAGATAGCCTTTATCACTTAGAAAAGAAACTGATTGTACTAAAGCGCATTGTACGATTGTGTAATTATTTAAAAAGTTAGTTACCTTAAACCCTGCTCTACAAATTTGTCCAAGATGGTGGAGGGGGATGGGGGGGGGGGGCGCTTTTCGCGAACAAAAATCTTAAGCATTTTTTACTGGATTGGTTTTAACACCTTGAAAAGAACCACTTGTATTAAAGCGTATTGTGTAACTGTAAAATAAGGAAAAGGGACTTGATTGCATTACATCTTGCCTGGATCACTGTATTTAAGAGAAATAAATATCATGGACTCTTGAATCGATATCCGATAAGTAAAATAGCATACGGGGTGGGCGGAAGACGATATTCTTGCCGAAATTTTAAGAGGGGGTAAAAAAAATTAGTGTATTGTACAGAAGAGATCATTTTTTGATTGCTTGTTTCATAACAAGCCATAATACTTCAGTTTTCACATAGTTAAGGCCACTAGACCTACTAAACGACTGCTAATGCTTTGTTACTTTGTTCAACCTAACTGATAATTTTAAACTATAATACATTTTTATCGAAATTGTTCTAAAGACACGACAAAAAGTAGACCAAATAAGCTTGCACCTTATACAAACTACACTCTAAAGCAGTGGTTCTTAACCTTTTTGGAGGTACCGAACCCTAACAGTTTCACATGCGCATTCACCGAACCCTTCTTAATTGTTTTGTCGTGTAAAAAATCTTAGCGTGCATCATATGAGTCAGGTGTGTGGCTTGACCTCCGCCGAAGCTCTGAGACTTACATACCGAAATTCTGGGGTTCGATCGAACCCAGGTTAAAGCCACTGTTCCAAACTTTTGATTTCTTATTTTTATTCGTTCCGGTTACCTAAGGAGCATAGGCAACTGGCTTGATTTTTATGAAGATAGAACCCCAAGACACCAGCCTCCCCTATCTCTACTTCAAACGATTTCCTTCAGGACTTTCTTGATCTCCTTCTCCTCTTGTTTCCACGTGGACTTTACACGAGCATCAGCTTAGTGCTGTTGTTTACTGTCTTTCTGTTATTGTACCCTAACCACCACTTTTCCATGCTCTTATTTCATTCTCAACTATCTGAAACCTATCTCCGAGCCATACAGTAAAAGAGACTTCACATTTAGCTACAGATCCTGATTGAATTTTTTTGACAATGCATTTAAATTACACATTGGCTTAGAATGTTAAAACGCATTTTATCGCTGCTGATTCTAATCAGAACGTTATAGGCTGTGTCACTATCATTAAAACGGTTATTACAGCTTCTTCAACCAGTACAATTAGTTCTGCGTTTGTTGTTGACTGTGTGCGAGAAGGCAGCGCAAATCTGAAAAATCCAAGACTTCGAGCTGTTATGTCCGTTGGATTCCAGTTTGTTTCCTCTAGCTTGTTTCATTATACAATCAACCAGTCAACGAAATACCCGTGTTGTATTCCAATGTGCACATTAAATGTTTCAGATAAGCTGCTCTTGTATGTCACTTGTATGTCACTTGTATGTCCTTATTCTAACAAACGTAAAATCCAACTATATGAGAACTAAAAACAGAGACTGTTCCAACGATATAACGTAAAAGGCTGGTCTAAACAAATTAGAGCTTGTTACAAACTACCCTCTAAACAAATTAGAGCTTGTTACAAACTACCCTCTAAACAAATTTGAGCTTGTTACAAACTACCCTCTAAAAAAATTAGAGCTTGTTACAAACTACCCTCTAAACAAATTAGAGCTTGCTACAAACTACCCTCTAAACAAATTAGAGCTTGCTACAAACTACCCTCTAAACAAATTAGAGCTTGCTACAAACTACCCTCTAAACAAATTAGAGCTTGTTACAAACTACCCTATAATCAAATTAGAGCTTGTTACAAACTACCCTCTAAACCCAGTTTAGGCATAGTTTTTTTCTGACTTTACTACCAATCTTTTGTAGAATAAAAACGCATCATAATGGAAATTTAATAGGCGTCAAGTAAAGTTTTAAGGAAAGAAAATCACATTCACCGGAAGTATTAAATCTTTTCCGGACTGGTGTGGTTGTGTGAGACTGGTTGTGTTAGACTGGTGTGGTTGTGTGAGACTGGTTGTGTTAGACTGGTGTGGTTGTGTGAGACTGGTGTGGTTGTGTGAGACTGGTTGTGTGAGACTGGTGTTGTTGTGTGAGACGTGTGGTTGTGTGAGACTGGTGTGGTTGTGTGAGACTGGTGTGGTTGTGTGAGACTGGTGCGGTTGTGTGAGACTGGTGTGGTTGTGTGAGACTGGTGTGGTTGTGTTAGACTGGTGTGGTTGTGTGAGACTGGTGTGGTTGTGTGAGACTGGTATGGTTGTGTGAGACTGGTATGGTTGTGTGAGACTGGTGTGGTTGTGTGAGACTGGTGTGGTTGTGTGAGACTGGTTGTGTGAGACTGGTGTGGTTGTGTGAGACTGGTGTGGTTGTGTGAGACTGGTTGTGTGAGACTGGTGTGGTTGTGTGAGACTGGTGTGGTTGTGTGAGACTGGTGTGGTTGTGTGAGACTGGTGTGGTTATGTGAGACTGGTGTGGTTGTGTGAGACTGGTGCGGTTGTGTGAGACTGGTGTGGTTGTGTGAGACTGGTGTGGTTGTGTGAGACTGGTGTGGTTGAAGTGAGACTGGTGTGGTTGTGTTAGACTGGTGTGGTTGTGTTAGACTGGTGTGGTTGTGTTAGACTGGTGTGGTTGTGTGAGACTGGTTGTGTGAGACTGGTGTGGTTGCGTGAGACTGGTGTGGTTGTGTGAGACTGGTGGTTGCGTGAGACTGGTGTGGTTGTGTTAGACTGGTGTGGTTGTGTGAGACTGGTGTGGTTGTGTGAGACTGGTGTGGTTGTGTGAGACTGGTGTGGTTGTGTGAGACTGGTGGTTGTGTGAGACTGGTGTGGTTGTGTGAGACTGGTGTGGTT